CTTGTTTAAGAATGTGAACATTCAATAAGGCTTGATCAATCAGCACGCGCTGTGTCTGAGCGTCACCAAGCCCCACTTGTATAAAACATCTCAACTTGAGATTTCTTCAAGTCGAGATTTTCCTCAGCTTGAAAATATCTTGTATGAAAATTCCTCAAGGAATTTCAGGACATCCTACCCGATGCCTTCCTCCTGTTCCTTGAGAAAATTGAGGAAATCTCAAGTTGAGATGTTTTATACAAGTGGGGCCTGGTCACGTAAAAAAACTCGGTTTTATTGCACAGAAGAAGTGAATTTATGATAAAACGCCCAAAGTCAATATTTATATTTGTTGGTGGAATTTATTGCTGGTTGTGTATGCTAGAAATTGATTCCAGTGTCGGAGTATTACGGGTCTTATCATAGACAGCTATCCCTACGGGATACCATGGGTTTCGTCCCCTCAGCGCTTATCTCCCCTGTCATCGAGAGCTTCGTAAAACTGAAATTATGTGCCATTTTCACGTAAAATGACTAGTAATTTCTATTTCTTATTTGTCAATGAGATGGAAAATTGCAATTCTTCGTAGTCAGAGTCACACATTTCGAAATTTGTACATAATAATGCTTTTATTTTATTTTACAACGAAGTTGTCAAAATAATTATTTTGTTCACAATTTTGATAAGATTACGACGAGTTTTAACTACAAATGACAATTTTCATTTTAAAATAGATGATATATTTGTATTGATGAAATGTTGAATTAGATGCATACATTATGGAATTTTGATTAAAAACACGATATATGTGTATTTTTTTAAAATGTTGATATACAATCTATGGTAAAGATCATTTATTTGGAGAGAGTAATCAGTGCATGTGCGACGCTGTATGTCCTCGGTAACTTTATACGTCACAAAATGTATTCAATTCTCAAATCAATAATAACTTCAAAGTAGAAAGTATTATTTTTGTACGTTACAAAAATTAATAAAGCATATAGTGATAAAGATCACGAGAAAAAATATTGCTATTTTTTAACACTTCGTTTATGTCCCTGTTGAAGATCGTGTCCAATTAGGTGCAACTAATTAAGTGGTTTGTTTATGTCAATTCCAAACACTAAAACTAGAACATTATTTCTAATAAACAATCTTTACACTATAAACGTTGGTCAAATGGCTTGTCACCGCGTCGTAAAAACATAGCAATTTCCACTTAAATTTAGAGTTAGATACATTGTAGTCATAATACAGCTGGTTTGTCCTTGAATGACTTACCAGTGATGTAAGAGATAAGGAAAATATTGAAATCAATGAGACGACTGTGATAAACCAAAGTTCTTAGTTTCCATGGTGATGTTTCTATCTTTTGGTTAAAACATGTCAAAAGGAAATATCAATACGGCGGTATTTTAGCTCATGTTCTTAAACACTATAACACTATATATATATATATATATATATATATAAATATATACTAATTTTCTTATCTTTAATATCCGAGATTGATTTCATTTCCACCGAGAGTTTATTGTTTACCTACAAATATCTCATAAAAGCCGAGAAAATCAGTTGTCTCCCTTCCTACTTGTGTAATTTCGTCAGAAATACAACTCATTACTTGGCGCTTAAGATTTGCGCTTAAGATCACCCCGACTCAGGTGTGAGAAACATTTATTAGCTTCAGATCTGAAATCCTCACGAAAGCTTGAAGTTAGTATAGAAAACGTATGTTATGTAACATTCAAGTGGTGCCCGCACCCGCATCTCGCACCCGCACCGCGCGCCCTCACGCGCGCCCTCACGCGCGCCCTCACGCGCGCCCGCACCGCTCGCCCACCCTGATTTGAAATAAGTAGTATACTATTGAAATACTCACTCAAGCTTGAAGTCAGTAGAGTGCACGTGCGTCATGTAACAGACGAGTGGTGCCTGCATCATGCACTCCTCCTAATTCCCTACCCCCTTCCTCTCAAGAAAAACTTTGGTAGGTGTATACATTTGTTATGAGGGCTTGTCGGAAGGGTTAGCCCAACCACTTATGCTTTTATTTCGCACCCTAGGCTAAAATCTAACACGTTTTTGTCAATAGGTCTTTAGTAGTGTCAGAATGTTCTGCGGTGCTGAAGTTACAGTTAATGATGATGGATGAGTGAGTGTCTCGTAGGTCTCATTATAAGTAGACAATAGATAATGGTAATTAGCTGACATATCTTAACTATTGTTATAACTGTGTCATTTACATGTGAAATTTTAATCACCTTTAGGTATTTGTATATGAATTTGGTATAAAAATGAACAAATCGGCACTACTTTGAGGATACCACTATGTGGATAGTGGTGGGACACACACCCCCATCCAAAAAATATATTTAGAAATAAATTAAAAAAATAATAAAATAAAATGTGAATGTAATATAATCATAAAATGTCTGTAGTAAAAATGAATTGAAAAAGGGTCATGATCCTGAATAAGTGTGTAGTGGGAAAGCTTGCTATAATATAGGTGCTGACAATACTATAATAGGTACCGATAAACGGACGCACATAATAATTTGAGTAAAGCTATGATTGGGCCAAGTTCCAGTTTATGTAAAGGGGCGTACTTGTATATCAAGCGCTCGAGAGGAATAAATGGCCTTTAGAACCAGTATGTTAAACGTACAATTGTTATCAACAAGACCAGTAATGTATGTTAACAATAGTCTTTCTGACAATACATTTCGACATTTTATTATATAACAAACATGTTGTTCAATTAAATAGGCCGCTATTGACTTGATAAGGAGGTGTAAAATAGGCCTCAGTTGGTACCTACCGGTTGAGACGGTGTGTTAAATGAAAGAATATATATATATATACTGCATTAACAAGTTTATATAGGTATAAATAAATATTGATAGAAAACATGGTGACATTAATTCTTAATTTATAAAGAACTTGTATGTCACTAATATTATAGTAAATTGAACGACATGTTAAGTATTTGGGAACAGAGCTGTTTAGATATAAATTTTATTCATTAAAAATCCAAAGTTGACATCTTCACAAATCAAAACACGGTTAAAGTGTATTCAAAAGAATAATATGTTTCTGGTGTCACACATAAGAGTTTTAAAGTTATTGCGTACAACCTAGAATCTCACGGCGATATCCCGTGCAATTAACATCAGGAAGTCTTACTGGCGATGAAAACTGTGTACCGAGCTCATGTTTCAAACGGAAAATCTTAAATATGACTTTCTGATATTATCACAAGGATTTTTTTGCGATTAAAATAGTTAGTGCTTGAAAAAAACAAACTTTGAATGATAGTTCAGTTTTATTTTTATTTGATAAAATACTGTATTATCTATAATTACGAATTCATATGACTTTTTTTTGATATTACAACGAGTATGTTTTATTGTGTAAGTCATATGTGTTCCAAACGTCTACCTTTCAGCTTACTCGGAACTCACTCAATGACACCGCGTCGCTTTTGTACCAATAATCTTTGGTTACTAATTAATAATAATTTACCAATTAATTAATTCTTCGAGACTTACCTGTAATGATATTATGTAACGGATAAACTGTAAAGGTACTGCTAATGACAATGAACACATATAAGAAAAGAGTACAATTAAAACGACACATAATAGATAATGCTCAAGTATTTATTTTTTTTCATTTATTGTTCCTGTAGTGGAAGTTGATATCATAGTATGTTATGATCAGTTACTGGGACAAGAGCTAGGAGTGTACGTGTGGGTGTGTTGTTTTAATACCACAGACAACTCGCTGGCTTCGAATCACCGCCAAATCGTTGTTTGTATATTGTAGATACGTGAATAAATTCGTGGTATAGACTTCCATCTGGAAACTTCAAACTTTTCTGGAAACTATGTTATTTTACGTGAATACGAATTATTCATAAAAAAAATCGCTGTTTAATCACGTAAGATAAGTCGCACATGAGATATATTGTGTATCTACATAGTTTCTCGACAAAGCATCTGTAAAGACATGCAGTGTTCCTATCTAAATACAAACAATGTCATAATAATGTTTTTTAAAGTGAAAGTGAAAGTAGAAATTAAAAGTGATGACGATAACGCCCCCGTGATATATGGTTTCCTTAACGATATGTATAGACATGTTATAATCATATTGAAGTGTGTCTAATATACACAAAGCTGTGTCTTTTATGGTTTACAGCAGGGTGGTTATCTCGAATCGAACTATATATTTATCGTGTTAAAACGTGATGGTCGGGTTAATGGATTTGTTAAAACGTCATTCACAAGTCTATTGCTTGTATAGTCGGCCAATCAGATGTCCCGCTATCTGTCACCCACATCTCTATAAGATTTGTATACTTACCAACAAAACTACAGCTTAAAGTTCTCCGAATGTTATGCTTTGATTAAACATTTTCCAACAGTCAAAATTATATATGATTCGTTTAATCTTTATTGCAAATGATTTAGAAAATACTGTATGTTTATTTTTTTATGTTAAACACTAGAAAATAACCCAATTTATACTTCAAGTTGCAACATTCCACATCCGGGTCGAACGACAACAAACCTTTAATAAGCAACGGTTCAGCGACCAACCGTAACACGAATCTGGCACAGTGATTAATGCATAGTTAGCTTGAAAAGTGATATTGACACATTTATTAAATATTCTTCACGTAACAATGTTAAAATAATGATGTTAAAAAATTTCTTCAGTTTTCCTACACAATACTGCGATGACCTACATAGACATTTCATTTGTAAAAGGTTTACTGTAAGTACACCTGGCTTGAGTGTAAAGTTGACGAGATCTACTCTACCAAACCGTATACCTGTACGTCTGCCCGCACTCGACCAGTTGTTAACAGGACAGGTAGCGGTAGAATGCAAATCGACATCGATCTCAACATACCCAATATTTTTTCCGTGTAACAATTAATTCGACAACGAAAAAAGTGTCACTGGAGAAAGACTCTGGATTATTTCTGTGAGAAATGGCTTTGTCGGGACGTATGTTTTCCCGACAAATCCCATTTCTTCTAGCATGGATGTTTGTACTTGTTTGTGTGGTTCAGGGACGTTTTATAAATTTCCAACATGGATATGAGTACCAGTATACCTTCCAGTCCGACGCCACCATTAAAGATGTTGGCCAGTTTAATGTCCAGTCAAAGGTGAGGGGAAAAAATGTTTAAAAAAATAACACCTAATTTTACATTTAAGTTCCATCATTAGTTTAAAGAAAACATTCAGGACTTTTCGATGACGTCAGAACAGTATATTGAATTAATTAATTCTAATTAAGTTTTAATAGTATCAGTTTATTGATAGTATCACTGTTTATTAAAGAATTCAAGAAATATCAATTTAGGGATGACGTCATTACTTGTACTATGTATGTTATGACGTCATGATCAAAGTCATGTTTTTTTTTTTATATAGAAAAGCGTTTTGATGATGTCATTAATTAATTACATAATTTTGTGACAGAATTATTGAAAAAATTGAAAAAATACACAATTATTTAACCTCAAGACCTATATGTATCCACCAACGTGATTTTATAGGACTGTTAGTGCAACCTCGAAACCGAAATTGAAATTTAATGTAAAACGTAATTGTAAATGGAAAGACGATGCACATTTCCATGACAACCATCGGTTCCCTTGTACAAAGCATTTTTACTATTTTCCCTTTTGGACATATCGTTACATGTCTATTAAAGACTTTTTTTAAAAAGCATTTAAGAAAGTCTTTGCATCTGAAATTTTCACCCAAAAATCACTTATACCTGATTCAATTTCCTATGACCTGTTTTACCATTAGCCATTCTCGAACTTTCAAAATTGAATAGAAGTGCAAAAAACGAAAAATAAACTGATCCAAATTACCTTTCTACATACAAATGTATATCTGTGATTCAGGGTAAAGTGCCTTAATCTCGATTTATTTCTATTATCTAAGCCAGTATTCATTACATAAAACAAATGATTTGGACACAAGTTTTATCACTTTACGTAAGCCCTCGTCACATGACTTATATATAACACTACTGTGATAGCGACTATGACGATATGAAATAGTATTGGTTCAAAAACGGAGATAAGAATTTATATTGTGTTTTAATCTCGGAAGGTTTTGTGTGTGACATGTACAGCACTTGAGTTTGTGTAAGAAGGTAACGTCCATTTGCAATTTTTAGTTACAAAGAAACTTACGGACAAAATTAACAAACAAGTACAACATAGACATATTAAGTAAACTTGTCACGTGATTAGTTCACGTTACATTCACAGCGACTTTAGTCCATATTAACTTGTGTTCATTTCTTTGAGGTATACACAACATTTGTATAACTTACATAATAGTTGATACATTATGAATTACGTACATGATTTTGCCCATTCGAAATGCTAAAAGTAGGACATTCAGGATGATGTCAGACGAAAGCGTGCTGTGTTAGAATCCCATTAGACTGAGATCAATCTGTTGCTTTCATGGAAATCTGCAATAATAATAAAATTCCCAGTAGTCGAATAAAGGATACTCCAGAGAGAAGTTCACTACCCTTTATAAATAAAGGATACTCCAGAGAGAAGTTCACTACCCTTTATAAATAAAGGATACTCCAGAGAGAAGTTCACTACCCTTTATAAATAAAGGATACTCCAGAGAGAAGTTCACTACCCTTTATAAATAAAGGATACTCCAGAGAGAAGTTCACTACCCTTTATAAATAAAGGATACTCCAGAGAGAAGTTCACTACCCTTTATAAATCTATTATGTGTCAACTTCTCAAACTTTTCATTTACATTGGCAAATGACACGCGGAGATAACGATCAGAACGTTCACGTTGATAACTACACACACGATCTTGGGAACCTGTTTACACTATCAATATCAAGGTGTAATTCTATAAAAATATGTCTTAGTTTGATAATAAAAGCACATTAAGACGACGCGGTCAGTAATTTCAAGGATGATAGAAGTTTTAATATGTTGACTAAAAACTGTTGTTTCAGGAACTTTAGAGGAATAGTTTAGAAGCTCCGTGGTCGCTGTTTGGTCAAATATGTAGTTAGGTGTTGCTGAAAACAGAAACTGACTGAAGTCGTTATCCATCAAAAAGTCATTAGGAAAGTTATGCAAAGATAAAAAAAAACTTTCATTTGGTACGCTATAATGTACCCTATGACGAAACACTAGTTTTTCACTACCTGTATGGGTGGAACTTTTTAGTTCCGGGTCTAAGTGTCGATATATACATGTATGATACGTATGTTGGTTTACCTGTCGTCACCATGGTAAATACACACAACCAGGAAGTACTCTCCATTTCTCAACATCTTGGAAAACAAACAAAAAGAAATTGAATGACCAGTCGATCTAAATAAATAAATAAAAAACACCTTCTTATCTTGCACTTAAAGAACTAATCGATACTTGTATAAATGACACAATATTTAAAGTAAAGTAGAAAAACAACATTATTTAACAAATTGAGACACAGGATGTTGTAGCTATCATATAGATTAACCCATACCTATTAAGTTAGAACGCAGTGGATTCACTTGTTGAATAAAATTAACAGGGTTAACGAATCCTGATAAATCATCAGAAGATAGGAAATTAATTTCGCTATTCCTTTGTGACAAGAGTTAGTACCTAAGATAGGTAAGACAATTAGCTTGACCTTTGACCGAGACTGAATACGGTAGTCATGTCTGGTAAGACAGGTTAATCTGGTTAAGTGCAAGCACGATCTAAAATGGACATCGTTATTGTAAGACTTAATCCGATAACATTGAATGATATGTCACCTACAAATCAGACTTAAACAAACAGCTTATCTAAAATGTTAAAAGACGGACACAATACTTAAAACAGTTCCGACTTATTGATGTAACCGACACTAAAAAGGAAAACGTTCCTTTAAAAAAAGAACAAAAGATAGCATTAGATATAATCTTTAGATAAAGCCCGTTTGTGATCAAACAAAGTATAAGTCACGATGATAATTATATTTCGTTCGAGATTTCACGAGTTATATTGATATGCTACATAGTCTAATATCGCTATTACATTGTAAACGCTGACAATGTGGCTTGTACAAAAACGTATAACAGTCTTGTAAGAACCCATGTGCCCCTACTTAGTTTTACTTATTTATTTTGTAGTTGTTTTTGTCTAGATATATCGTTAACAAGTATGTAATAATTGTTTACTAACATATACGCTGACACTATAATGAATAATTCTTATGAGATTTTTAGGTCATCTGACCGAAGGGTCTGATGACCTATTGCGATCGCCTTTTGTCCGGCGTCGTCCGTCGTCTGTCGTCTGTCGTCCGTCGTAAACATTTTCAACTTCTTCTCAAGTTCTACATGTCTCATTGAGCTGAAACTTACCTGAAATACTTGTGACATGATCCTGACCAAAGTTTGTTAATTTCGGGTTGGTCCGAAATCCAACATGGCCACTATGGCGGCCATCTTGAAAACACATTTTCGACTTCTTCTCAAGTTCAAAAATTTGAAATTTTGTATTTTATGTTAGATGACCGTTAAGGCCCATGGGCCTCTTGTATAAATTGCTGTCGATAGAGTGGTGTTTAGGCCACCTAAACTGGTAAAATGAATCATACAAATATTGGAATGCGATTTATGTATAATTGTACATCATATAAAATTTTATTATGTGCACGTGTAAACGTATGTATGCGTATCTGTGTAAATGTGCAAGTACGTGCGAATGTGTTGTTCCTTTTCTTTCAATATTGTACGAATTGCCGTCAAATGTTTCTCGATATCTGTAACTCTTCATCATTGAAGGAAATAAAGGAAATAATTAATAATCAATAACGAAAGCTTTTAGTAAACAACAAAAAGTAGGACTGATAATTGTGTCCCGATAGTGTTACAGTGCCAAGACTAAACCTACAACTGTACGGTGACTGATTGATCAGTTGTAAGCCTTGTATTGAAGAAGTTAAGTAGGGATGTCCATTTTCAGCTCGCCTATTGAATATTTAAGGTACCCGAAAACTGGTGTCATTTGGTCACTTTGTGTCGAAGAGGTAATATTCTAAAGTAAACAAGGCAAGCGACTTTTGTAAAATGGACACAATCGCTAAAAGAGCACTGATTCAATATTTGCATAAGAAAAGTCTAACACCTAAGTATATCCATACTGATATGGTAGCAACACTAGGGCGTGATGCCTCTTCATATGCTACAGTGAAATGGTGGGTGACGGAACTTAAGCGTGGCAGGCAGAGCCTTGGGGATGACGCCCGCCCTGGAAGGCTTGTCACTACTGCAACTCCATACATGGTCAATAAAGTAGATGATATTGTTATAGCTGTTACAGGGCGAGTTACATACATACATATATATATATATATATCTAGTACAGTTTCGATTTCACAGGAAAGAGTACTTTCCATTCTTAAGAAAAATCTTGCAAAGGTAAAGCTCTGAGCCCATTCGGTACCGAGACTTCTGACAATTGATCAGAAGCACACCAGGCGGACTTTGTCGCATATGGATTTTCTGGACGGCCAAGAAAAGGACTTCTTTAAAAGTAGCAATGAGGTCCTTAAACATTCACGGCTGGTAAAAGTGTATAGATACTGAAGGGGACTATGTTGAAATATAATGCAATATGTCCGCCAAAAGTCAAACACTTAGATATGAGGTTCACAAGTTATCAATCACCCCTCGTATTTACATAGGTTCAGCCTAACGCGGACATTTTCCTCTTTCACTTCGAAATAATAAACAGTAATAATATTGATAATAATACAATTATCTTTACCATTTAGCCTCATGTCGGCCTTATATCGAGAAATTTTGAATCGTAATACGACTTTATCATGAAAATAGTACGCGACAGAGAACGATAACAAGATACCGTGTTAATAAGGCGTATCATTATACACTACCATTAACAATCTTGACGTTCAACATTAAGTTAATAAGATAATTTAAAATGACACAGGTAACCACAAGTAAAGTACAGGTAAACATGAATTAACACAGAATGGAATTGAATAAATTGAATCACTTTCTTTTGTGAGTATAAAAACGGAAATAGCTTTAAACCGGATACGTCACAGTTTAATGGATCTGTTGACGTCGCGCATGATTGAATACGGTCGCAATCGATTACTTGGAAAATTGGAAATGATAAATAATTTAGTTTTTAGGAATTGATTAATTTCTATTTCAGAGATTCTCACAAATAAATTGTTGATTATTCAGCCGACATCTGACATGAGCTTTTGTATACAAGTACAAATATTTATTATTTACTTGTAACGATACCACGTCAATGACGGCAAACACAAAAACCACCAAACCATCAAATATCCAGATCAGAAAAAACGATAACTTTTGTAAATTATATTGATAGATATAAACGTTGACATTGTTGCACAAGTGACGAAGGAAGAGATTTCCATCTCGCGATCTACGGCACGAAATCCCAAAGCTAAGTATGTTTACAACTGTCCAACCATTACACCATATGCTGGGAAGTGAGCTTTCCAATATTTACTTATCTTCATAGAAAATCGAAAGTTATCCTAGACGACAAAGTTATCCTAGACGACAAAAGTATTCCTTAAAATGTCCGAATCTGTATTATTAGTTCTGACGTCATCGCCTGAAAATTTTAACGTCAAATAGTAAAAAGACGTTGATAGTGGTGTTTGTATGAATGCGGAGAAATAGTATTTAACTGTGTGTCTGGCCCCATGTGTATGTCTTGTGAATCCTTCATTTATACAATTATGCATATATAACCGAAATTATTAAAAGAAAAAAGATAATTAATGCAAATATCAAGTAAATTGCTACGAAAATAAAACCGATTCATCATCATTATGAATCGATCACTCATGTATAACCTACGACGTGCCTTTACATGTATGGTATACCGTGTAAACATTGTACAATGTGTGTAATTATTAGAAGCGCGTTTTTAATCAAAGATCTGTTAAGATATGTCATATATGGCTGATATGAACGCCACGCTGATTTTGCAGCCAATCGCTATAATATAGAGTCCACGAGGGGGATAGGACATGCTTGTCAGTAAAGCTTTATCGTTCGTGCATTTTAATATATATTTTATTATGTTTTAATTACAATTCTAATGAAAAGGGAAAGAAAAAAACCACTTTCCGTTGAATTTTGAGGATGAAACTTAAAGTGACACACAGCATAATAGTGACGTCATGAACCAAGGTCAACACGTGTCATTTAGTCTGATAAATACCACTTCTGTCTGATAGTTGTGCATATACAATTATTTGTATAAAGGGCACGTCATTAAAATCATAATAAATATAGAGATTTATCATTAATTGTCGGTAATATGTATATGTTAAATTTGTGTGAAGTCTTTATCAACACCAAACAAAATGTATTTTCCCTTTGATACGACAATAACATAACAGACCGAAAATATATTGTGGTGGCGCTGACTGATAGAATGACTATGCTTTGATAACAAGTTAGATCTGTCGACACCCGAATGTTAATAACTGTACATGTGATAATGTGGGAAAGATCTGTCGACACCCGAATGTCAATAATTGTACATGTGATAATGTGGGAAAGATCTGTCGACACCCGAATGTCAATAATTGTACATGTGATAATGTGGGAAAGATCTGTCGACACCCGAATGTCAATAATTGTACATGTGATAATGTGGGAAAGATCTGTCGACACCCGAATGTCAATAATTGTACATGTGATAATGTGGGAAAATCAGGGAACGTGTACTTTATGGATATTGTTTCGCGATATATATTTTGGATAATACAGGCAAGTATATTTAGCTGTCCGTCCGCCCGATCGCCTCGCCGCCCGTCTGTCTGTTATACGGACACAACCGCATATACAGTAGTAATAAAGAAAGAATTCAGTCAGTATTTTCTAACCCATTTGAGAAGTTTAGCTGGTGTTTGGTGTTTGAAGAAAAGCAATGATGGCTGGGTGAATGGATAAATGAATGAATGAATGAATGGGATTCGAGAGTTACATAGCTACCAGAAAGAACCCCAAGTCATTTATCTTGAGTATTTTCGAGCCTTTTGCAACTGTTCTACAAGTACCAGCAAAGTAAAAAAATGGAAAACAATACAGTCATATTGCGAGATGTCGACAAATAGTAAATCTTATCCTAAAGTGATATCCTGTCTTTTTTCTGTGCAGCTTAGGGTGAAAAATACACACAGTGTGAATCTGGTGTTATTTTAATGCAAAAATACATTATTGCTGTAGATACAAAACAATATGATTAAGTACAAGTTATTTCAGTCTGATGCAAGTCCTCTCACAAAAATAGTCAAAATTCATGTATGCAGGAAAGGATTGTTTCATTGTTCTCAGAAAGTTGAAACATAGTAGAATTTCAATGCATGACTGAACACAAGAATGTGTTTATATCGTACAGATTTTGACAGCGTTGAGACAAACAAAAATAAGTGATCGTATAATAGTACGAGGTTTGAAAATCCAGACCGAGTCCTGGACCAGGAAGTAGCCAAGGAAAACTAATAACTCGATTGTATATTCGTTTTTCACGATTGATTTGGTTTCAATATAATAAGAGATTGAATGTTCTTGTTTGTGAATATATCTAAACATATTTATAACGCTCTATTGCGTACAAAAAAATTAACATAACTTCCGGGTCCCGGGTTGTACAAGACCGTGCATGTAGAAAATTCCAGTTCTCAACTAAAATTACCATAAGTGGAACGTATTTAAGGTATTTAAAATATATGATAATTATACTTACCTCTGCTACGTGTTCACTTTACACTGTTTCTTTGTTACACAATATGTTCATATACAGCTTTGTATCTATGGATCTCATTATGTACATTGAAACAATGTAATACATATTCTCTCTCATTATTGGATAATGTCATATTGTTTCATAACTTCAAAATATCATACTTATACATACTTATAACGGTATAGTATATTGATACAGTATCCTATGAAATAATTACACGTTTTCAGTTAAGTGATTTTGATGTATTTTATTAGATAGTAGCTGGAATCTGGTAAACTGTTTTATATCAAATTCCCCAAATCAGGAAAAAGGTTATTAAAATGTACTATAATTTACACAGTTTGTACTGTTTAATATTTATATTTATGAGCAGTACAGGTGAATAATCTACCTGTATCTAGGTTATTCCTACCTGTATATAGGTTATTCCTACCTGTATATAGGTTATTCCTACCTGTATCTAGGTTATTCCTACCTGTACAATGTATATGTTATTCTGTTTTATTTATATTTGTGAACAGTACAGGTGAATAATCTACCTGTATATAGGTTATTCCTACCTGTATCTAGGTTATTCCTACCTGTACAATGTATATGTTATTCTGTTTTATTTATATTTGTGAACAGTACAGGTGAATAATCTACCTGTATCTAGGTTATTCCTACCTGTATCTAGGTTATTCCTACCTGTATCTAGGTTATTCCTACCTGTACAATGTATATGTTATTCTGTTTTATTTATATTTGTGAACAGTACAGGTGAATAATCTACCTGTATCTAGGTTATTCCTACCTGTATCTAGGTTATTCCTACCTGTACAATGTATATGTTATTCTGTTTTATTTATATTTGTGAGCAGTACAGGTGAATAATCTACCTGTATCTAGGTTATTCCTACCGGTATATGTTGTATGTCATTCTTGTTCGCCATGTGAACAATTGCTTTAAGTACTGACCTCTCGTAACATTGTATGTCTGAGTGAGAAATAAAGTCTGAAAATGTGAGCTGGTGAGCTGCAAGGCTCAAGATAATAAAGAATTGGATTGAATTGAGGAATTATATATCAGAATAGACTATAATGACACCTCTATTGTCTTCCAGTGTTTATATAATTTTAAACACACAATAAATGGGAGTAAGGAGAACTCCTCCACAATATAATGACCAGAAACGTAATGCTAATATCTGAATACAGTGCGTCGATCTGTTCAGTCAACAGGCCATGTTGTCTATTTTGGAAAATTAAACACAATTTTATCTTTCTTGCTATGTAAATGTAAATAAATAGCTAACAGCATTGAGATATCAATATCATAAATGTAATTAAAACGGATAAGAACCTTCTGAAACTCGGGTTTTCTCATTCTCGAACTTTCTGGGGTTACGATCACTTCATTCCTGGCCGATTATTGAACATCCTTGGCCCGCGGATTACATAACCCAAATTGATCATGTTTCTCTCCTCAAAATTGTACAAAGATTAATTTCCACTCTATATTGAAAAAATTATTTTGTAATGTTTACAGGTTAGCTTTACAAATATACAAGATACTCCAGGGGGCCAGGAGCTTCTGTTGAGGGTATATGGCTTCCGGTTTACCCGTGCTGAAGACCTAGGTAAGCATACATATCATTTACCAGCTGTTTCCCTCGTGACAAAACAGGGGTGCCGTATAACTTACTAATGTTCTGTAAAGATATGTACTTATTTTATTTCTGATTGTAAATCGATGTGTAAAGAAATCATGTAGGTAGACTCAAAAGTATCATATTGTAATTTCGTTATACATAAGGGTATTATATATCAGCTATTTAACTGTTTCGCCTTGAAACTTGAAGTCCGATCTAATAACTGTTCTGGTTACAGAAATCAGTATGAATTTTAACGTCATTGCATATGTGCAGATACAAATTTGAACAATTTCCGTCGTGATTTTAGAGTCTGAATTTTTTGTTACTCTTTACAAAGTTAAATATACAAAGTCTAACTAACTAGTTTTCATTTCATATGAGATTTTATGAAACGTGTCTTTGAAGTAATTTATAGCAAAACTTGTTGAGACAAAATATAACAACAAAAAATCAGGACATTTTTTTTTAAGTTATCACATAAGTCATAAAAACAAGTTTTGACAGTTTTTAAACTATTCATATTATGACATCACCATAGGATTCTGACCGACGAATTTCCTGGTTTAAAGGCGGATACAGGATCTTTTTTATGAGTTTCTAATTGATATTTGAATGTATGAAACAAATCAAAGAATTACACAAAGGTTCGTCAAAAGAGACAAAGATATGACACGGGTATATTTACTGAACAACAAGGCAATCTGTATAAAAAAGGTCACTAAGCTCTCTTGGCTCCCCTTTCTACCCAAAAATAATGTTCGAATTAATACACCCCTCCTGAAACATAATCGAGTCGTCCATGCATCGACCACCCAAAAGCATGAAGTAACGCTCTGACCTTTGACCAAGGCAATCACGGTTCGATTCCCTAATCGGACGTGGAAAGGTATGGGTTAACAAGCCTGCCCGACCACGTGGGCTTTCGGGTACAGCGGTTGTCTCCTATCCAGTTAGACCTGTCGCGCGCTTCCACGCGTGCTGACAAGATTGAGGTGGTATAAACTTGATTCATACTTGTTCGTAAATAGGCATACTTTTTCTACGTATGATGAAATATATAATTATATTAATTCAGTCTCTAAATACTTATTGTTTATATATTTCATCCCGTAGGTGTTGCTGGACACAACATGGATCTCTCCAAATGGTAAGTTTTGAACTGGATTACCTCAGCAAAGACCTACACATTTGTTGGTTGATGTTTTCCGTCTCCTTGACTCCTTAATACACTCACGCCTCTCCGCATTTATAGTCGGAGTGAGTGAAACGAAGGGCAGTAACTCTGAGAGGAAAGAATGTGGTCCTACGCCGACATTGCATTTCCCGCCAAAATGATACTCCCATCCTGAACGCATGCGCATTGCTCGGTTCGTGCTTAGTTCTTCAGAAGAACAAATTTGAAGCATTATGACGAGTAATTTCTAATCAGTGATTTAGTCAACTATGACATATAATATGCATTTTGTTGTTTTAATGTAGAAGCATAGACTCCACGTCCAAACGTGTTTGGTAAGGTAGAGAGACAAATGTTATATAAATTTACGAAGGAACTCGTGTGATTCTGAGCACGCGTGCAGATTTGTTATCCTCGCATTGTTTGGCACACATTAACATATTATTTGATTTATTTTCAATATATATGTATCCAAATAGAGTTTCCTGTCAACAGATATACCGATTTGAAAGTTATGTAACACATGTAAACATCTAAAGTCCTTCGGTCAAGGCGAGGTCATAGTTCAAATGTTCACAGGTTGTCGAGCTACAGGTCACAGTTCGAGGTCGTGGTGATTTAGATAAATTTTAGTATGAATTGATTTGCATTATACAGAGACGTATATATATATCGTGATATATACGTCTCTGGCATTATAGGATGCTTGTTGATCACACGTGCAGGGCTTTTTTCCTCACTCATTTGAGAAAGAATCCTTTTATCTCATTTTGGGAAGAAAATTGATCAGTTGGGACCGAAATTTGAGGAGTAAACTGAATAATTTGGGAATTTGGCCATATTGTGAAATAACGGTACAAATATTTGACCCCACATTGTACTCTAGGGGAAAAATCTGATTTGAACATAAATTAAATATGACACCATAATGTTCATGACATTGATTATTACAATGAAAATACATATGTCATGCTATGATACATGGAACAAGTCTGATATTTCTTCTGAATATATATTACCTTTTACTTAATTTCAGGTTTTCTTTCGTCATAAGCCCGCATGGTGAAATCCTGCGCGTGTACCATCCACGGGAAGATGATGAAGTGATTGCAGTCAAAAAAGGCTTTGCAGCACTACTAGCTGGAAAACTTCATGACAAAAATGAGGTTAGCCAATTTTAAGATAAAAAATTCATCGAGTGTTAGGTGGACACTAATTAAAAGATAATGCAAAGAAAGTTAGTTATGAGAAACCAAAAGTTAGTATATCATTACCTGTGATGTTAGATGTTGGAAGAGCATCAGTCAGCACAAACATTTTGAGTAGATGGTTAGATAATTACTCAACTTGCTCATATCTCCAAATATGAGGAGAAATTGAGAACTTTACCAAGGGAGATAATACCATTTTGACCATCTAATATTCAAAGAGAACAAACTGTGATATTTTTTTTCAAAAAATCTTTATTGCTTAAAGCATAATTGTATATCCATTTGATTACTTTTTTGTAGAATCCATTGTAATATTAGACTTCATTTCTCTTTCAAGAATAATGAATGACATCATGATTTATGAGATTTTTGAAGGACCAGGATGGTTACCAATATTAAGTATTGTAGAATTTTTTTTCAGGTACCTGATGTTCTGAAACTAGGTCTATGGTAATGTGAAACCCTATATATACACTGTTATCTCATTAATATTACAGGTGACTGGACATTATGGTGCAGATGGGTGGACATACAGTGTGGAAGAATTTGGACATGAAGGTTTGTCTTGTGTTTTTATCAGCGACTATGATGCTTTATTTAGTGTAATAGCTTCGATAACGTGTAATTTGTACTGATAGTAAATACATGTCCTTGATATTTCAAGTACATTTAGTCAACTTTTAACAATAGATATAATAAAATTAAAACCATTCTTTCTAACTTGATCTCGAGTTAAGTGACTTTAGCTCATTTTAGGATCCATTTTTTAGAGAATTTATTTTTCCATAGGTATAAATTTTTAATTGAAATATTTACAGGTCACCATAATGCTACGTACACAATTTTGCCACTCTCAGAAGGGACATCATTCAAGAAGATTCGGCATTCACATCCTGTACCCAACGCTAAAGGAAAATATGTCAAGGTACTGTTTGTTATGCCCCCTTGCCAGATTCATGGATATTTGGTCTACTTATGTTTTGGACACAATCTGTAGTTCTGTTTATCTGATTTTGATAAAAACTTTTGATATTTTTTTTTTTTTTTGATTTTGATATTTTGATATAGTGCGTTATCACATATGCAGGTTGCCTTACATTGCCTTTTAGGTCCATTGATCAAAGGTTAAAAAAAATGGTTTCACTTTGAGACTTGAGGATTTCTTTTAATACCACACAGTGACTTGGAAAGGCAAATTGTTTTGGTTACTTATGTTACACAGTTCATAATAGTTGAACCTGTGTATTCAGTCTACCTGTCTCTTAAGACCACTTGTTTATGTTCTCAATTTGAAATAGCTCATTTTATTGAACCTGTATATAGAGGCCACCAGTTTCTAACGATGATGTGTTCGTTTTCTTGTTGTAAAACAAATCAAAGTAGAAGACGGAGCACAACGTCTGAGGCCAGGTGTGGTGATACTGTGACTAGGCCTTATCTACACCATAATGGATGTTGGTTCAAGGGGGTTCTCCCCATTAATTGTTATAAAACAGTTCATAGTATTTGTTGAAACTTTTGGGGCCACCTGTCTACAAAACCACTTTCCTTGTGTTTATTATGTAAACAATTTGAATTATTGAACCTGTATACAATGGCCACCTGTATATGAAAACAACTTTTTATGTTCTCAAGGCAAAACAATACATAGTAATTGAACTTATATAGTATAGTGGCAACTTGACTATAAAGGCCTGTTATCTTTGCTCCTTGTGACTGGCCTTTGTAGAGAGGTCCGGCTGTATTTTGTTGTTATCGATTAACTAAAAAAATAAATAATCCTGTTGACAGACAATGGATTTTCATGATGACCTGGGCACCATTCACTCAGTTATGGTTGAAGAAGATTTCACTTCACCCACACATCCAAAGGAGTAAGTTTGTTTTCCTTTAAAGGAGAGTTCCATCAGGAAATATCAGTGACAGATAAATAAGCATTGAGGTTGATCTGGCCAAGAGTAGATTTCTTACAAAGATGACTGCAGTGTCGTATATACTTAGCAGGCTCAAAAGTAACTGTAAATGTTTAACAGGATATGTTCATGAAATGATAAACGTGTAAAATAAATCATTAATAAGGTGTTATGAAGTCATTACAATTACCTGCATACTTAGTGTTGGGTACTTTTGACTTCCTATCTCAATGTAACACATTTTAATATTGTATTTTTCCTCAGATCACAGATTTTTGTCATGTTTTATGTTGTGAATACATGCATTTGGTGAATGTAGACTGATTATCAATTTTTGGATAACAGTAATATACAAATGTAATATAGAACCAGTTTTTCTCTATATCAATTAGGATAGTTTCATCATGTAAGGACTGTTTGAAGATCTACTTGACACAAGAACTTTAAAATAAATGACTTCTAACCGTAGTTCAGTTTCCTGTCTATCGCATATAAATTAATTGCCAATTAAATTCTACGGGTTGTACTCCAAAACTTTTACTTGAAAAACATTGCTTTAGAAATTCATTAAATGACTTTATTTCTTCAGCTTTGATCCTCACTATGGCATGCGGCGTGTGAAGGCTGTGAATGAATTCAGTACTATGGGTAAATTTTCATGTAAAACCAGTTGATCAAGATAGAAAAAATATCATATATATCTTTATTTTTTAAGGTTGTTGACCTACCTTTTAGCACAAACACATATTTCACAATACTGTCCTGTTGTCAATGTAATCAGCATCTTGTTATGCATTATGTTAATAACACCTAGTGAAAAGCTTTGATTGTTTCTGTCATTTTGATAGTGACTTCTAACTTTCATCACATTTTATAAATCATCAAAGAGAGAGATATAGAATCTTGGTTATTCAATTTTTAAATCACAAAAAGTAAAAGTATCAAAGTCATATATGTGATAAACAGAATCTTATATTTTTTGCTCTTTTTATTGAAATATTTAGAAGACTTGACTCATTTATCTCAAATGAAATGGAAACTTTACAATATCTAAGATATGTAATCTTCCAGCTGGTTAATCATCCTTTTATGAACATGATTTTCCAATCCAAAGAGAATTGAAATCATAAATCTGCATGTAGATTTTTAATGGTCATGTTTTAGCCTACCCTGAAATGTCCGCTATGAGTAAGGGTCATCTGAAATTCCTTACAAGATACAGTGCAGAGGATGTTTGGACGAGGCCCACTACTGGGATCAATGTTGGTAGCATCCACATTGACAAGGTAGTTCTTGAATATTTAAATTATCATTTATATTATCTTCTGGGGGCTGGCAGGGAAAGTGGGGTTAGGGGGTTAAATAAATGACCTCTGACTCCATGTCAAGGGAGTCAGAATGTTGGCACTTGTTATTACACCACAGAGTCCTGATGGACAGCAATAGGTATAGATTGGCTCGCAGGAAATTGCCACATAAAGCAATATAGGATTCTATTGTGAGAAAAAAGTGTAAAGTGGGAAATAACGGGAATATTGACTGCTGGATTTCATGTCCTCGCATTAAAAACACTTTTTGAAGATTTTTTATGGGGGGGGGGGATGGAGGGGGGGGGGAGCATATAAATTGCCCAGGTCCATCCTGATGTGTCCTGTCCCAATTTACTGTAAGCACCTGGCATTTTTATCTTTTTACAAACTTTATACAAGGTCAGTAATGAGTATTCATTGGAAATGGTTGTGTTTTAGGGGTCCAAGGTCAAGGCCTTGGTGGTAGGGCATTATGTCTTACATGTTCTTGTTTGAATTTAGATAGCTTCATCAATAAACAACATATACATTGGGCAGGGTTTTCCATAATTTTGTTAGTAGTAGGCTGTGTAGTGAAAGTAGGAGGCTGGCAAAGCCAGCTGACCCCAGCCGCAACGCGGTGAGGTAGGGGTGGCCTGCCGTGTAGTCGTGTATGGAACATTATTACGGAACTGGATTGGTGTAGGCGGCCAAATGATCAAAGTAGCTGGTCAAATTGGCTGGCGACCAGCTCTTATGGAAAACCCTGATTGGGACCTGATTTTGAACCCTTACATATATCGTATAGACAGAAAAAATACACTGGCTGGTTGTATTACTGACTTGTTTGGTCTTGTTGCCTTAAAAATATAGTAGTTTTTAACTTCCAGTTAAAGCTTGTAAGCTAATTTTTTTGTACAGAGTAACTTCAATCACAATGAAATCTAGAGTTCTATTTTCAATTCAATTTTGTACATTAATTTCAGTACAACCCAAAGAAGACCAAAGTGAATGTTGAAAATGCACGGCGAGATATCCGCGGAAACCTAACTTGCATGCGTAATCAACCGGACCAAGGTATTAAATAGCCTTTGAAATTTCACACTTGAAAAATCTTGAATTTTTCTTTCCTGCAATTCCATCGTTTTTATTAAGAGCATGTTCGTCTATATAAGATTTGTATTTAGACTAACTTTTTGCTATCAATTTATTTGACATCAATAGTTTTAACAAAAGCACATAATGTAGAAAAAATATTGTTCACCAATCAGGTAAGCAATCCTCTGTTAGTAGTATAGATAAAAACATTTGAACTTTTAAAAAAGTTTTGTATAACAAGGCTACATGTACCATTTGGGATGTTTTGATAAAGTCTATTTTTAGTTATTAAAACTTCATAAACCATCCAGTATTAATCATGATTCTTGGTGCTAACATTTGTCATTCATCTAAGGATTTCAGCCTGTTACAATACCCTCTAAGACAGGTTTAGTACGCATCAAGTCAGAAAGAGGGTTAGCACACTGTCTTTGTTCTTCCGTCCCACCATTTCATAAGGTATATGCAGGAATAAGAGTAACTTTTATCCATGTCTCTCCTGTCCAGTCCTATTCCAAATCAATCTTATATCCTGAGAACCTCTCCACAGATTGTTTGGCTGTACTATAATTCAATATACTCTAAAGTACACAGATGGTAATGATATACTGTACTCGATTTGGCTAGACCTTGTTTGACACATGGTCATAAAAGTCTGTAGATTTGGTTAATGTATTTTTTTTGTAGTGTCATAACATCCATTTCTACACATTGTTGTATAAGATGATCAAAGGTCAATTTTACAATTGAAATGGTCAAATTTAGAAGGTCACATTTGACAATTACAAAGTCAGCAATGATGATGATGCCTGGAAGTGACAGCATTCATGTCTTGCAGACAATTTCTGGCATGTTTAATTTCTTACCAAAAATGAAATGGATAAAAAGAAGAAATACTATGATATATTTAAATGATGTGACCTAAAGTCACTAAATTGCCTTGAAAGTAAAAGGATTTTTGATCAACGATCCTATCTTCATCTACAGGTTCTCCAATGTTGAACGTCTGTTTCTTCAAGATAGTTGATATCTTACGAAGCCTACCTGAAACAGAACAGACAAAGATTGCTGAATATTACTTCAACAAAATCAGCCGTGTGTAAGTATCTTTTCATTTTGGTATCTCTTAAACATCACTTGTGAATTAATTCTAATTTTAGGTCAGTCTGAAAAAAACTAAGAGTATGTTAAAACAAAATTGAAAATTGTGATTGAAACAGACACAGAATCTTTAATTCCAATTTATATTTTATGCAACAAAGCACAGATTTTTAGATTTTGGTACACTGGAGGTTTGCTGATACAGAGAAAATCAGAGAATCTTGAATGAAATTGAATCTTGAAGATGTAGGATCCTCTTTTTGTTTAAATTCTTATGATATTTCATAATTGTAGTCTACACCGAAACAAGGGAGATATTCAGGTCATGTTGGATGTATTTGGAGTGTTGTGGACAGACCATGCTCAGGATCTGCTGGCCAATTATATCTTCCTGAATCCTGACCCAGACCATGTCCTCATACAGCGACTACTGGTACATGTAGTGGGCGTGGATACTGTCCCCACAGAGGTAAGAATTTTTAAATGTATCCTTTGATTTCTCTACAATCCAATATTCAGATGTTACTGATATAGGATGTTCTGTTATTTACTACTAAAGATGACTAGGATATGTGAGAAATTTCAGAGGTCAGTACAAGCATATGTGGCCTTTATATGTTACAAACAAACATTCAACCTTCTGAAAGTTATCCTCCGGTAAAAAGTTAATATCTTAGGATGTCATCATCAAAGGCAAAGTCTTTATTGAATAAATTTTCACATTGTCACATCAAAATGCTGGTTTTACATTCACACACTAGTGGTTTTCTCCGGTTACTTTAAGGAAGTGAAGTTAAAGATATTCAGTGAAGTAAATTTCACTATCAAAATCCACAATTTACTATACATTGTTGGCAATAACTGCATGTCTGGTAATTACCTTATCTTTTGTCGTTTAATAGCATTGTAGAAAAATACATTTTCGTTGTCCAGTAATAAGCTTATCCCTTATTAAACTTTTGCTACAGGTGTGATGTGTTGACCCTAGGGCTTATTGTTGAATAGATATGATACTGTTTTTTTTTGTGGAGGATGTCTAGCTTTTAACAACAAATATCAATGAAAGCCCTTTTTCCTGGAGTGTTTAAGTGTCACCTGAATCAGTGATTAATGATTTTTTCATTCTGATTACAGTTAATACTGACTACAATGGAGGACATTGTCTTTAACCCTTGGAAATTCCCCAAGTCTTTCCATGACCGGGATACATACCACAGGACAATGCTGGCTCTGGGGTCAGTAGCTAACAAGCTGACCAATGCTGGATACAAGGATCGTGCCCTGTGGCTGATGGACAAAATACATGACATGGTTGGACTTCATGGTGAGTTATGTGTAAGGGCCAATGGTGAGTTATGTGTAAGGGCCAATGGTGAGTTATGTGTTAAGGCCACTCAAGGGAAAAGGGGAAATTGGCCTGTATAGACATGTGGCCTTTTAGTGAAGGTTCATTTAACAATGTCACTGTCACATAAATACCATGTTGGATATTTAGTACCAACACAGGTGTTAAAACACAGGTATAACATCAGTGTAATCATCTTGGTTATGGTGTTAGTGACAAGGAAGGAACTAAGAGGATGAGCAGATCTCTACCTAGTAGATTTCCAAACATTAAATGTAATAATTTTCCCAATACTTTGTAAATATTGACAATCAGTAATTTGTTGGAAATATAAAACGAAAATGTTAGCTCCTCTCTAGCATCATTTTTAATCTAAGCATAAATTTATGTCATTAACATGACAAAGGGATCATGCTCAGGTCATTATCTCTTGTGAAATGCCCTCTCCCGAATTTGTACGTACCATGGAGATGGGAATATACCCAAAGCCTGGTCTACTTAAGGATGTGTGGGTTAGCTTGTTGCTGTGGTCATGATTTTATATTTTATAGTTCTGCTGCATCTTGTTTAAAACATTTCATTGGCAAAAACAACTTCCTGTAATGTTTTAATACAAAATTATAAATGGTAACTGTCTTTCTCACAGACCCCTGGGAATACCGAACGAAGAGAGCAACTATGAGTGAAGCGGAACAGATAGAATATGACAGGAAACGGGTTGTTCTCTTAGAGACCCTCGGCAATGCAAGACTGGATGAATCCTTTGTGTACATCATGTCACATATCAACACGACAAACTCCCCCTGGATTAAGCGTGCTGGGTGTCATGCTCTTAGGAAATATCATCACCAAGAGGTTAGTTATAATGTGTGAATTTGAAATGTATACAGGAGAGTCTGTAATTGTTAAATGAATTTCTTTTTTATCCATTTCTTTATAGAAAAATACTGGTAAGAAATCTGTGATATTGAAAGTTTCTGTGATATACTCCTTGGAAGTATAGAATCTGTATCGATAGACTTATGATGTAGTGTGACCACAGGAAGGTGTCATTGTTGGTAGCACTGTTGGAGTTTGCGGTTTCCCTGTTAAACAAAAATTTGGCAATCACCAAATGAAATAGACTATAAATTAATTTTCCCTGGAAAGGTACCAGTCAATCCCAGAATTACTTGCACCATGGTAGACAAAAGTACCCATTTATTTAGCTAAATAGACTAGAAAGATATTGAAAAAAGGAACCTGCTCAAGGATACAATAGGTAAATGAGGTTTGAATTTCTGTCAATTAGGTATATGATGCCCTAATATATATAAAGGGTGATTTTTATTACTTCCCACAGGCTGCTAATGTTCTGCTGAATGCTGCAGTAGGAGATGACGATGCAAATGTACGATATGAAGCCATTCTTCTGTACCAGGCTCACCCCAAGTCCAGTGTCATAGCACCAGTGGATACCAGGCAAGTACATGGACTTTCAAAATGTTGAGGATGAAATTTGGCTATACTTTCAGTCATGTTTGATTATCTTAATATAAATACACAACAAAGACTTAAACAACAGATAAACTGCAAGAAAACATTTCTATATAACTACTTCAATTACAGGGTAAGGACAACCAATGGAACGAGCATGATTGTTGACCCGTATTCAGCAGGGGTTTATGATCTAAAGACTCACCACCGCCGTCGTCGAGGAAACGCTGAATTCCTTTCATTTTTTCTGGAGGCACCCAGTGTAGATTGGCGGAAGTTGTTGGGATCTAAAACACTGGGGGCGTCCTTCGGTGTGGTGATGGTCAATATCCTTGATATAAGCATTGGTGAGTTTAGCTACTAGGTTCAACAAAATCTCCATAGTCAACACTTAATTCTAAATGTCATATCACAATAGTCAGGTGTTTTCTAGTAATTAAACCCCAAAATAGTAAAAATGAATCTTATTATTCTTCAGCTGAAAAACATCTGAAATAATGTCTTAGGTTTATTAAACTCTACTATATTTATCCTGTTGTTAGCTCAGGGGTTCAACATATATAAACTTTTGTGACTACTAATTGACACAATTTCAGCAATATAAGATTGTAGCAATTTGTTTTAGAAATGTTTTACACATAAATTCAGGGTGATTCAAATTGATAAGATGTTATGAATTATGTATTATCAAGTGGAAATCAGTTTGTATCATCCATGTTTTAATTTGGGAAAGTCTACTACTTCGCAAAACCATGGGGTGGGCTTATTACAGGACATTTACTTAGCTCTTGTATATAGTGATACTGAACAGCAATATATAGATGAGTTTATTGCCAAATGAATACAGGTATACAAATTAAGTAAATGTTTGTAATCTTGACCTTTGATGCTGTATAGATCAGTAAGTCATACAAATGGTGAATATACCCTGTTACTATTGGTTACAAACATTGTATTTACCATCATAGTTATAAATCACACAAATAATAATTAATAAATATGTTGTTTTTATGATTCCATAGGCACTCACACAACACTCTTATATTATATTAAAGTCATATTTTCTGTACCTTTTTATTGCCCAAATTGTAATATCAGTCTCTTCCAGTTGAAAGCAGTACTGTGCTGCTGCTAAGAACTTGATACTATTTAACATAAATTTCATTGTCTAGAAATAATGTATCAAATTATTTGTGGAAAACTATAATATTCAGATGAAAGAAAGGCAATTTTGATAAAGTGTATATCATAAGCTAGATGAGTTGTCTTGAAAATTGTAAAAAGTGGATTTGATACATTTTTTGCACAGCTCCTTTGAGTGGCCATATCCGCATAAATGTCCATGATGAAGCGTACGCTAGGGTACATCTGGGTCTTTTGGGAAGAAATCTGGACTTTTTTGTGGCAAGAATTTGTTTCAAGGGAGAAACCAGCTATAACATCAACATCTTACAGGTAAGAAATTGTTTGCATAATCAATTTACAGGTGATACCGATTCAGTGTATCATATCAATGTACAGGCAGTCATTGTCAAATGTCATTTAAAGATGTTATTTCAAGGTGCTAATCACTTACCAGATCAGGGGCTGCGATAGCTCAGTTGGTAGAGCTTTGACCTACATTACTTGTGGTGAAGATCCTATGTGTACGGTCTGATGCTCCCTAATTTTGGCATTTTGTGTTTTTCACAATGCTGAGCCATTGTGGTTGTATCCATGGGTAAAACACTTTTTCCCAATTGCTTTGGATGTCATGCGACAGGTCCTCCACATGTTGTTCAGTGAGGTAGCTACCAGCTACTACAGGGAGACTCCATCCCAAAATGACCTTGGCTGTTCAGAGCTAATAAATTAAAAAAAAAAAACATTTACAGAATGACTTAGAGGTAAAAAAGATGCTTATTGATAAAACTGGATTATGCAGAAAAATGCTCATTGATGAAATTGGATTATGCAGAAAACACAGTACATACACAAACAAGTTCTATACAAAGGGAAACTTTCACAGCTCTAAAACCTCTACCATTTTATCCTTCTGCCAAACGTGTGACAGTTAAAGTGGACTGAAGTTTGAGTTAATGCTGAAATATGTGTCTTGATTGAGAATTGATTTATATATCTGTAGAGCGTGGGAGTGCATTGAAATCTAGAGAGAGTTTTCCTGTGTACAGTAGCATAGTCAGATGTAGGTTAAAGAAATAACAAGCATCTTACAACTTAATGATTGCATACAATGTCCACAATTAAATTAAGTCATTTCTGCATTAGTTAGGTGTAAATGTATTACATTGTAATATAATTATTGAGTAAAATTTTTATGGACTTCATTATTAGATATTAAATTGATGATGAAGATTTACAATTAGTTTATATATTAACTCAAGTAATTGAATGATGATATGATGATGGAGGGATCATACATTATTTAAACGAACTTTTGCCATTTTCATCACTTAACTTGATCTTGATATATTAGTGTCTTTTTGTTCATTTTTTAGGAGGGAGAAATGAAAAAGATAGCCAAACTTGCTAAGGACTTTGACAAGTCCATCAAAAATATTGTGACAGCAGTTGAGTCAGGTGTGGACCTTTTCAAAGATATCATCAGTGGCAGCTTCTCTATTAAAGATATCGTCCAGGCTTTTGTGGATGCTCTACAAGCTTTACCAGGCAAAGTGAGTACCTACACAGTAACTAACACCGACACCCCACCAAAAGTGAGTATCTACACAGTAACTAACACCGACACCCCACCAAAAGTGAGTATCTATACAGGAACTAACACCCCCACACCACCCAATTTGAGTATCTCTCTACACAAGATTGAACATGGTCACACCACACAATGTGAGTATCTACATAGGAACTAACATCCCACATCACCCAATTTGAGTATCTACCTACATAGGAACTAACACCCCCACACCACCCAATTTGAGTATCTCTCTACACAAGAATGAACATGCTCACACTGCCCAATGTGAGTATCTACCTACACAGAAACTTACACCGACATCCCACCAAAAGTGAGTTTCTATACAGGAACTAACGCCTGCATATCACTGAACATTAGTATCTCTCTTCAGAGAAACTTGCTTCTCCACCCAACTCCAATTGCGTATCTATGTACACAGGAACTATCGCTCCCTACCTCACCCAAGGTGAATATCTCTCTTCACATGGAATTACTAATATTTCTGATTGTTTTTAGGTTTGGGATCTAAGGGTACGTGCAGTGAAAGCCATGTATATGTTTGGACAGCTTGATGAAAACGAACTGCCAAAATTTCTGCGTCCTCTTCGGAATTTGATTTACAAAGTCACAACACTATATTCCAATATCAAAACTGATGTTTTGAACTTCTACAATGTAAGTAATACCATCAGAGAATGAAATAACATTATGTCACATGAGACGCAGCCATTTTAGACTCATGTGTCCAGAAATGTTCATTTAAAACCTAAGGTTCACAATGGCATGAAAATAAATGAATGCTGCTCTTTCTTCACGGATTACCATTACTGAGAACAAAATATGATGATATTCAACAACTTTCCTAGATCTAACACAGTGTAAACTTTAACATTATCTGATCCATGTTAACTACCGTTAGTATCATCTGTTGTAAGATGATTACTTAGGTACTCTTTAGTAAAATTTGAAACTTTTTTTTTATACAATACATTTGAATTTATTTATTTATTTTTTTTTTTTTGTTATTTCAGACGCTTGTGGAAACCATAACAATCATCATTCCTCAGCAAGCCAAGTTGATCTATGAGGCCATCAAGGATATCATTGATGGTTTCTCGGTCATCACCAAGGATCCAAAGACAGCCATCATGGGAATAGGCAAAGGTGTAGTCCAGTGAGTGTCATACTGCCATGGAAACAGTTATATTTCCAATATATGGTTATCATATCAACTCACACCAAGAAAGTTTAACTTAATACCAACAAATCTGTAGGAATCTTTGTGTTAAAGGATGTGCTATGCTTTGATGACTGAATTTACATATTGTATGAAATTTCTGTGTTGTCTGTGTTTGTCAGCTCATTATCATTAGATGGTTAGATTGTGGGCAGTTCAAATCACCCTTTATCCATGATCAGTGGTCTGTCTGTCTCTTTGACTACTTTTTCCTGTTTCCAGAGATGCACAGGATCAATATTTCTTAAATTCATGTAGGTCTCTCTTTATCTTTGGTCAATGGTCAGTTGTCTGTGTGTCTGTCCTGAAACATTTCTTCCTGTTTCTTGAGGATTTACAGGGTAGATCTTTCTTAAATTCATGTAGGTTCCTTTCCTTTTTGTGTATTGTACTGTTTGGAACAGATTGGACCAAAATGCTGTCTTAAACAGTTATAATTTGTTGTAACATTTCTGATAAATACTGCCATTGTTTATTGATGTTACTGTTTGTCTAGTTCACCTTCCAGTACAACATACAATAAAGAGAAACTGAAGAGAAGAAGGCAAACAATACAACTTATCAAAACAAAACCCAAATCATCAGATGGTAGGGGCCAAGATCCTTCTGGGATCACTTATAGAACTTTCATAGAATCCTTCGGATCCACCAAGGATTCTTCTACCGATACATCTACCAACTTGTACCACTCACAGAACGTTGGACTCCTCCACCTCTTTTTATTTTCCAACTTTCATAGTTGTTAGGAGATGAATCTAGACTATAGTATGAATCATCTCTGTTGTATCTGTGTTGCAGGGTCTTCATGTCTGTTCGGGAACTTCTGGATGCCAAGAACAAAACACAGGAAGCCTGCTTCTTCTTAAAAGGTAAATGTATATTCTTAGTTATGTAACAATTGTATAGCCTTTGTGTCTTTGGACAATCATTAAATATTTTCAGTCTCTTAAATGAGACAGAGTAAATTTCATTTTGAATTAGATTCTTTTGATTTAGCATACAGTCCAATATTTTCAATTTTTGCTTTCATTTTCAAAGATGGCTTACAAATATAAAATGTAGATTTGGTTAGTAAACTATAGTCTGTTTGTGGACTTTTGTGGAATATGTCTATTGTTATATCAAAGTATCGGTAAAAAAAACCCATGAAAATTTCAGCCATTGAAAATAACGCATTTTGCTGTTATGTGGAGCAGAAATTATACAACAGTTTGATCAGGGCTCTCACACCCCATTTTGCGACTTGGGCCCGGGGTCCTTAGAATTGGGAAAAATAGCAGCGTTTTCCTTAGAATTGGGAAAACTTGGGGTCTATATTGGGAAAGAAAGATACTATTTTGCATTGGGAATGGGGCCGAATATCTGCCCCAAATCTGGCAGATCGAGAGCCCCGTTGATACAGTGAATGTTGTTCGTCTGTCATTGATGATTGGATATATTGCTTTGTTGTTTGAACAGCTGTTCAATTGTGTGTATTTTGACTCTAATTATGATTATGTTGATATTTTGATATTTTCTGTTTGGTTTTATAGACCAGAGACCATATTGGTGGGACTTAGGAAAACAACTTGACATTATTTTGGCAATGACTGTAAATGCATCTAATGCCATCCAAGAAGAAGGTACTGCATGGGTTAACCAGCCATTTGCGGAAGGAGAGGATCTCATCGCGACCTTCACTGGGGGAAAGATGAATACGGTAAAACACATACTTAAATAGACATGCATATCATATTCTCCTACTGCAATTATAAAAAAGGAAATTAACAATACCAACTTTTTCTAGAGCATTACAAATTAAAAATCTTGAGATTTTAGATTAAAGAGAATGAATATACCTGCTGCATCTGAAGGCATGTTTAAAGGGTCAAAGATATGACAGTTCTGCAGACAAGGGTACTCTTTATGTGCACTCTGCTTTGGGTAACAAGAAAGATGGAAGGGAGAATTTGTTGCTTTGATTTACTTTCTATTACTTCATCATATCATATTTCCTGATGCCGAATTGAGTAAACCCATAGGTTTTGCACAAGAGGGACCACAGACTCTCACACATCTATGATCAAATGTTGAACAAATTATTACAAATTAGGCAATGTTATTAATCCTGCTCTGATTTAGGGATTTGAGTAAAGATTTATTTTAAGTCACAAACCACCACAATTAGGAAATAATATTCAAATTTTTGAAACCTTTGTAAGTTATAGGGTATGACTGGACAAAAAATACTAGAATTTATAAATATTGGGAAAAAAAACTAGAATTCATAAACCTTGGGAAATAATTTTGTTTTAGAGTGTAGCTAGACAAGAACTACTTGACAACCTGACAGCCATTAAGGATGAACTATTGGAGCCTTTTGATGACCTCAGAACTATTGCCAAAGATTTCCTTACTGAGTACGGACAGGTGTTTACTCTGGTGAAGAACATCAAGGAGGCTTACACCACTCTGAAAGAAGGGTAAGGTTAAATGGAAAGTTAAAATTGTCGCAAATTTCTCATTTTACCAAGCCTTGATTATAGAAAAACTAGATACTTTTGCACATTTGTGGAAATTGTATTTCATCAGACTTTTCTTTGGAACATTATTCTTCAGGTTGGAAATGTCATTGTACTGTCTTGTGTATCTTTTGGTCTGTCATCAACTTAACATCACGTCACACTCTTTTCAACCTTGGTGTACATAGGATTATAGTACAGCTGTAAAAAATCAGCTGATTTCGTACACTACATGTAACACTTCTGGAATTGGTAATTTTTTATGCATGACACAAGGTTTTTATACGCTGGCGGACGCGTTCATATATTGGCATCATTTTCTCCGTCTGTCAGTCCATACGTCCATTTCTTGTGAACGCAACTCCTAATCATCAGGTTTTCACGAAACTTGCTCAATGTCACTACTACAATGGGTAGATGTGCATGAAGGGGCGATTTTTTGGTTCGTTGATTATTGTAAGATTTATGCCATTTTCAACTTGGTATCTGTAGCTTGCCCTTAATGGAGCTTTGTGAATGCAACTCCTCCTAAACTAATGATCAGATTTTCATAAAACTTGCTCAATGTCACTAATACAATGGTTCGATGTGCATGAAGGGGTGATGTTATGGTTCATTGATTTTTGTAAGATTTATGCCATTTTATCTTGATCTTTATATTTTGTGGCGGCGTGTATTGTGTCCATGGCACTCTTGTTATAAAGTTGATGTATGATGTAATTATTGTATTGTAATTTATTAACTTTTAAGTATGAAATGAACATTCAGTCTTTGAAGGTTTGTTTTATATTTTATTTTCAGATATGATTTTGCTCGATCAATTATTGATAGAATATTTGGTCCAAAAGCTCACAAGAGCTTTCCACGCAGAAAACGACTAGAAGGTGGGGGGTGTGGTAAAGATGGCTTTTACCCTTCCAAACTCGACAAAAGTGGACAAGCTGAATACGAATTTGATGGAGTTGATCTTATAGTGGAGGAGGACGAGAATGTAAGTGGTATTGAGGGCCTGAAGGCAAGACTTATTTGAAATTTAAAATCTATGTGTAAGTATTTAAATATGTTGTCGTTACACGTAGGAGAAACTCTGCTATGTTCCTATCATAATCCCAATGTCGAGTCACAAAATTAAAATCGACCAATATTATTTTAAATTAAGATGACAAAGTCACTTATTTATTAGATCTAGAAGATATAGTTCAGGTGGAGGAAGTAAAGGCACTACATGGCGGACATTTTGTTATTTTACCTGTAATTGTAATGACGTATACTCATTGTGTTGGAATATAGTTCCAGGAAACATTCTCATGTGTTTTTTACTCATAGTTATTTTGAAAAGTTTTCAGAAATGTAATTTTGATTAGCTTACTAGCATTTGATGGTCACCTGTTCAGGCATTGATTATGATAATTGTACCTTGTTACAGTTGTGGAGCCTCTATAGTACCGTTGCTAGTTAAATCTGTCTGCTTTTGAGCAAAGTATTTTGATTGTACCTTGTTACAGGTGGTGGCACCGTTCCCAGGTTTGGTCTACATCACGGATAACGCTGATGAAGTGAGAATCAATGCTACAGGCGGATCACTCCGCGACATCGTGGTAGTTATTACAAATGTGAACCCAAACAGCACCATCTTAAAGGTCACCGACTCTAATTACATTGAGAAGCGGGTGAGTAAGACTGTCCGAAAAGTCTTCAGTGACATTTTCCGTACTACTCATAAAGAATTAGTTATCTTGAGGACTGGCCCTATTGTTACATTTGTCAATGGGCTAGAAAACAATACACACAGAAAATAAACAATAGGATTGTATACCTGTTTGCTGTTAGTTGTAAAATGATTTACAATCAAAAGAAACACAATTTTAAGACCATTATTAGGTCACTATTTAATAAGATACGTTTTACAGTTGAACCTGGTTTTCGCAAACTCCGCAGGACCATGGGAAATCTTCAAGATAACCGAGTATTTAATTTTAGTGAGTTAAAATGTTTTGTGTTAAGTTAGGCAGAGACTGATGAAATGCTTTGAATTAAGCAGGGTCTTTTAGTTTTGCGAATTCAAGAAAACAAGGTTTGACTGTACAGTAAACCTTGGATAAGTCAAAGTCGTTGGGACCAAGTAAAATATTCGACTTATCCGATGGTTCGACTCAACCATGTTTTTGTCTATCGCCTGTAATCAAGACATCGTATATTTAAACTGACCCTATTTTCGCCAATCATGTCTGATAGCAAGGTATTAATGAAAAGAACAAGACAACATCTCTATTTTATAATAACAATTATTTTTTATCAAAATACAAATAAATTGTAGGTTAATGACAGTTACTGCAATTATCATTGTCACAAACACATGGATAATGCATACAAGATTGAACAAAAGACAAATATCATCGGACCACAGTCGCTAAGAAAGACTATCGGTTTCCATCATACACACAGTCACTAAGAAAGACTATCGGTTTCCATCATACACACAGTCACTAAGAAAGACTATCGGTTTCCATCATACACACAGTCACTAAGAAAGACTATCGGTTTCCATCACACACAGTCGCTAAGAAAGACTATCGGTTTCCATCATACACACAGTCACTAAGAAAGACTATCGGTTTCCATCATACACACAGTCACTAAGAAAGACTATCGGTTTCCATCATACACACAGTCACTAAGAAAGACTATCGGTTTCCATCATACACACAGTCACTAAGAAAGACTATCGGTTTCCATCATACACACAGTCACTAAGAAAGACTATCGGTTTCCATCATACACACAGTCACTAAGAAAGACTATCGGTTTCCATCATACACACAGTCGCTAAGAAAGACTATCGGTTTCCATCATACACACAGTTACTAAGAAAGACTATCGGTTTCCATCATACACACAGTCGCTAAGAAAGACTATCGGTTTCCATCATACACACACTCATACAAACAGTCACTAAGAAAGACTATCGGTTTCCATCATACACACAGTCACTAAGAAAGACTATCGGTTTCCATCATACACACAGTCACTAAGAAAGACTATCGGTTTCCATCATACACACAGTCACTAAGAAAGACTATCGGTTTCCATCATACACACAGTCACTAAGAAAGTCTGTAATCTTTGACTGTTGATGGACACATGTCTTCAGCAAGTTCATAGAAATTTTTCCGGAGATGTAAGTCATCATGGCCAAAAGTTCGTCAGACTCCTCGGAGTTCTCCAAATGCGTCATGATGGTGTCGCAGGCATCGCGGACGGCAGTAGATGAAGGGTTAGGTCTGGGTGGTGGTGTAGAATCGTCATCAACAACTCCCGGCAAAAAGTAAACATGAGATGTTTTACTTCAATGGCTGTTTGATCGCATAGTTCTTGGTTAAATGAGATAATTACCTGTGCACCTGCATAAACAAAAGGATTAGGTGGATCGATACCGTAAAATTACATTGTGCATGTAGGCCTGTTGACACCATTACGGCTGACCGATCACACTCGTTACCAATCAGGAAAATTTACCTGAGACAATGTGGCGTCTGAATGTTCGACACAAACATGGAATTTTTTGTACGATTTAGAAGGGACAGACCACAAAATATATTCAACACAACCACAGTATTCGATTCAACAGTGTTCGATTCATCTGTGTTTAATTTACTAAGATAAAGAGGAGAAAAAATCGGGATCGAACGAAACGCTCGACTCGTCCGATGTATTCGACTCATGTGTGTTCGACACAAGTGAGTTTTACTGTATTTGGTATTCACTAGACCTGCCTCTAATTCAGTTTTTGTTTTCATATGAAGGTTGCTGGGGGTCAGATCATTGGTACAGCAACACGGTCACCATGTGCTGGTAACAATCACATCCATCTAGCTTTGTTTAAGCTGGGAGGTCTCCTCAAGAACGAGATAGAACCAGTGGACCCATCAAGATTCTTGGAGCCAAGATTCCCAGGCATCCCACAATGGATACAGCATTGTGATGATTACAGACTTGTGTTTAAGGTAAGAAATTCATACTGTATATTGTCCTGTAAAAGACCTTGAGTGACCTTCGGTAACAGTGATTTTCCTTGTACTTTAATGATATTTATGATCACTATAACAAAAGAGAAAAATATTTTTGATCCTCCACGAAGGGAGAGCAAAAAGGTGCTGCTTTGTCCGTCAGTTCGTTCTTATTTTGTTTGGAGCATAACACAATCTAAAAGAGGTATTATCATAATACTTCATAGGTAGATAGATCTCAGCAAGGAAAAGGGCAGTGCACAAGAACCATCACTCTTTTGCATAATTTAGGAGCTCTTGCCCTTTGTTATTTTCATACTTTAATTTTGTCTGGAGCATTACACTAAAACTATATGAGATATCAACATAATTCTTCATAGGTAGATAGGTAGATCTCAAAAAGGAGAAGTGCATTGCACAAGAACAATCACTCTCTTATTACCCTTTGTTATTTTTCATACTTTCACACAAAGAATACATGGATGATAGTAAGAATTGTGTTTTTCAGTAACATGTATTTAAAGCATTCCTTTTCGTTAAAGAGTGTTTTTAATATTGTTTATATTTTCCTAATTCTTTTAAACAGTTTGAGACAATTGCTGAAGGAACCATAGTTGGTTTAGGAGGACAAAACCAGAATAACACCAGTCCGCAGCTGAATAACACAAATGTCAAACCTATGATCCAGCTTCCTACTGCTGAGGATCCTGGCCAGCCTGTTCAGTCACTCAAAGGTCAGTTTGTGTCATGGCTAACTATGTTAAGTTGAACTTCTTACAATAGTATTGCAAGGTTCTAAAGATACTGATCAGATTTTGTTTACGTCTTATTGTTCGATTCTTACCTAGGTCTTGTTTGATCCTTACCTAGGTATTGTTTGATCCTTACCTAGGTATTGTTAGATTCTTACCTAGGTATTGTTTGATCCTTACCTAGGTCTTGTTTGATCCTTACCTAGGTCTTGTTTGATCCTTACCTAGGTATTGTTTGATCCTTACCTAGGTCTTGTTTGATCCTTACCTAGGTCTTGTTTGATCCTTACCTAGGTATTGTTTGATCCTTACCTAGGTATTGTTAGATTCTTACCTAGGTATTGTTAGATTCTTACCAAGGTCTTGTTTGATCCTTACCTAGGTCTTGTTTGATCCTTACCTAGGTATTGTTTGATCCTTACCTAGGTCTTGTTTGATCCTTACCTAGGTCTTGTTTGATTCTTACCTAGGTATTGTTTGATCCTTACCTAGGTCTTGTTTGATCCTTACCTAGGTATTGTTTGATCCTTACCTAGGTCTTGTTTGATCCTTACCTAGGTATTGTTTGATCCTTATCTAGGTCTTGTTTGATCCTTACCTAGGTATTGTTTGATCCTTACCTAGGTATCGTTAGATTCTTACCTAGGTTTTGTTTGATCCCTTACCTAGGTTTTGTTTGATCCCTTACCTAGGTCTTGTTTGATCCTTACCTAGATCTTGTTTGATCCTTACCTAGGTTTTGTTTGATCCTTACATAGGTATTGTTAGATTCTTACCTAGGTATTGTTTGATCCTTACCTAGGTCTTGTTTGATCCTTACCTAGGTCTTGTTAGATTCTTACCTAGGTATTGTTAGATTCTTACCTAGGTCTTGTTTGATCCTTACCTAGATCTTGTTTGATCCTTACCTAGGTCTTGTTTGATCCTTACCTAGGTATTGTTTGATCCTTACCTAAGTCTTGTTTGATCCTTACCTAGGTATTGTTTGATTCTTACCTAGGTATTGTTTGATCCTTACCTAGGTCTTGTTTGATCCTTACCTAGGTCTTGTTTGATCCTTACCTAGGTATTGTTTGATCCTTACCTAGGTCTTGTTTGATCCTTACCTAGGTATTGTTTGATTCTTACCTAGGTATTGTTTGATCCTTACCTAGGTCTTGTTTGATCCTTACCTAGGTCTTGTTTGATCCTTACCTAGGTCTTGTTTGATCCTTACCTAGGTATTGTTCGATTCTTACCCAGGTCTTGTTTGATCCTTACCTAGGTCTTGTTTGATCCTTACCTAGGTCTTGTTTGATCCTTACCTAGGTCTTGTTTGATCCTTACCTAGGTCTTGTTTGATCCTTACCTAGGTATTGTTTGATCCTTACCTAGGTCTTGTTTGATCCTTACCTAGGTATTGTTTGATCCTTACCTAGGTATTGTTTGATCCTTACCTAGGTCTTGTTTGTTATCACTTGGGTATTGGTTAATTCTTACTGCAGCTTTTGTTCAGTTCATACATCATTAATGTTAAATTCTTAGGATGTTTGAGTTGGGATGATGTAGTATGGTTTTCGCAATCTCCTGCCTTGTTTTATCTGTAATATTTGTTTTCAATGTATGCTTTTGATCAGATAACCCAGATGGAATGTATACTAAAAAGGACAGTCAGCCGACACTTGCAGATGACCTTGACCAGGGGATTGAGGACCAATGTCCAAGTCCGACCACGTATAATCCAGCTTCTTCTACCACCACCACTACCACCACAGTTGCCCCGGCAACCACCCAGAAAAAAGGTAATGGTTTTTGTATGAGAAAAAATGACATTATGTAACTAAAGCTGCTTAATCAGACCACTTGATTAAACCTGTAAAACTTACCTGCAGGGTTTTTCATAATTTTGTTAGTAGTAGGCTGTGTAGTGAAAGTAGGAGGCTGGCCTGCCGTGTACGTGTAGTCGTGTGTAGAACATTTATTACAGAACTGGATTGGTGTAGGCGGCCAAATGATCAAAGTAGGCGGTCAAATTGGCCGCCGACCACCTCTTATGGAAAACCCTGTACCTGTGAAGAAAACAACCCACTATTACACAAATACTTTTCCGTATCATTGCTACTTCTCATATGATTTTTCATTACCACAAGACAATAACATTTGAATCATTTCAGGCTTGTTTTCTAACTTGCTGAAGAAAGCAGACAGTTTCTTAAAGAAGTTCTCGCTAAGAAGGTTAAGGATGGGAACCATCATTGAGTTTCTGGATCGTTTAGGTTTGGATGAAAGCAAAGAAAAAATGGCCAATGTCATGAAGACAATTAAGGTAATAAAAAATGTTCCTGTAATCTCACAGCCCAACATTGCTGTAATCTTACAGTCCAATGTTCCTGTAATCTCACAGCCCAATGTTCCTGTAATCTCACAGTCCAATGTTCCTGTAATCTCACAGCCCAATGTTCCTGTAATCTCACAGCCCAATGTTCCTGTAATCTCACAGCCCAATGTTCCTGTAATCTCACAGCCCAATGTTAGTGTAATCTCACAGCCCAATGTTCCTGTAATCTCACAGTCCGATGTTCCTGTAATCTCACAGCCCAATGTTCCTGTAATCTCACAGTCCAATGTTCCTGTAATCTCACAGTCCAATGTTCCTGTAATCTCACAGCCCAATGTTCCTGTAATCTCACAGTCCAATGTTCCTGTAATCTCACAGCCCAATGTTCCTGTAATCTCACAGCCCAATGTTCCTGTAATCTCACAGTCCAATGTTCCTGTAATCTCACAGTCCAATGTTCCTGTAATCTCACAGTCCAATGTTACTGTAATCTCACAGCCCAATGTTCCTGTAATCTCACAGTCCAATGTTACTGTAATCTCACAGCCCAATGTTCCTGTAATCTCACAGCCCAATGTTCCTGTAATCTCACAGTCCAATGTTACTGTAAATTCACAGCCCAATGTTCCTGTAATCTCACAGCCCAATATTCCGGTAATCTCACAGTAGATGAGGAGCAGGTTCTTTTTTATTTTATGTTTCCAATGTCATTCAGTCAAAGGTCAAGGTCAGAAATTGAATCTCAGTGATAAGGGTCACACACTTTGAAGTGGGGCACTTATGGAGAAGCAAGCATTGAATTTTATACCAAGTTTTCAAATGAAAATCTATTAACTTATACTTCAGTACATGAGATATATATAGGATACAAATTTACAATAAATGATATAATATCATTTTCTGTATGATGACATAACAATCAATGTCAGATTGGCACAACCAATGAAATAGCTTCATGATGTATTGCCAGTTATGTTATAAGAACATATTGCAAGAGGATTTCAATGTAAAATGGTGTATAGATTGATATAGATTAGCATGGTTGACCAAAGGACACTAGTGGAAATTTCTGATGTTAATTGTCAGATGATTCCTGATGTTAATTGTCAGATGATCCCTGACGTTAATTGTCAGATGATCCCTGATGTTAAATGTCTGATGATTCCTGATGTTAAATGTCTGATGATCCCTGACGTTTATTGTCAGAAGATGATTCCTGATGTTAAATGTCAGATGATCCCTGATGTTAATTGTCAGATGATCCCTGATGTTAATTGTCCGATGATTCCTGATGTTAAATGTCTGATGATTCCTGATGTATATTGTCAGATGATTCCTGATGTTAATTGTCTGATGATTCCTGATGTTAATTGTCAGATGATCCCTGATGTTAATTGTCCGATGATTCCTGATGTTAATTGTCAGATGATTCCTGATGTTAATTGTCCGATGATTCCTGATGTTAATTGTCAGATGATCCCTGATGTTAATTGTCCGATGATTCCTGATGTTAAATGTCTGATGATTCCTGATGTATATTGTCAGATGATTCCTGATGTTAATTGTCAGATGATTCCTGATGTTAATTGTCAGATGATCCCTGATGTTAAATGTCTGATGATTCCTGATGTTAATTGTCAGATGATTCCTGATGTTAATTGTCGGATGATTCCTGATGTTAATTGTCAGATGATTCCTGATGTTAATTGTCAGATGATTCCTGATGTTAATTGTCAGATGATTCCTGATGTTAATTGTCAGATGATTCCTGATGTTAATTGTCAGATGATCCCTGATGTTAATTGTCGGATGATCCCTAATGTTAATTGTCAGATGATTCCTGATGTTAATTGTCAGATGATTCCTGACATTAATTGTCAGATGATTCCTGATGTTAATTGTCGGATGATTCCTGACATTAATTGTCAGATGATTCCTGATGTATATTGTCAGATGATCCCTGATGTTAATTGTGGGATGATTCCTGACATTAATTGTCAGATGATTCCTGATGTTAATTGTCTGATGATTCCTGATGTTAATTGTCAGATGATCCCTGATGTTAATTGTCAGATGATTCCTGATGTTAATTGTCAGATGATTCCTGATGTTAATCCCTGATGTTAAATGTCTGATGATCCCTGACGTTTATTGTCAGAAGATGCCTGATGTTCTTCAAAACTGATATTGATGTGTTGACAGAGAATCATTGACAACAAACCCTGCTTGGGCCCACAACAGATGTCTGATGAACAGTTACGAATGGCGCTTCAAAGCAAGGGAATCAACTCCACTGGAAGCCGTGAAGTCCTGAGAGCTAGACTGCTTAAAAATGAAAACAGTAAATATCAGTATTAAATTTAATATAAGAAACATAAATTTCAGATTAAACAATAACAAATATTTTCATCCTATTTGTTAAAGGGCAAAACGGGCAAATACTTTGAAAGCATCTTTGACAAAATGTATACAGTATTCAAATTTTAATTAAGAAGTAGCTGTTTCAGTACAGCTGATATTTTTCTTCATAATGTGAAAGAGTTTGAGGTAAATTTTAAGTTGAATGGCGCTTCAGAGCAAGGGAAAACATGGAACAATACTGAGAGCTAGACTGCTTAAAAATGAAAACAGTAAATATCAGTATTATGTTGAGTATACTAGTGATATCTTTGAGGTGGCCCTCCATCTCTGGGTCGCAGGTTTGAGACCTACTTGGGGCAGTGGCAAGGTCCTCTGGAACTATGTCTTTTCTCCACCATCTAAGCCTGGCACATCCTTAATGACCCTGGCTGTTAATAGGACATAAAACAATAATAAACCAAGATGTCTTTGACATTCAACAACATTTCAAACACTGATTGGTGTTCTTTTTCTGTTACATAATTCTTAGTCTCTGTTAAGTTGATAAAAAGTTAATATACAATGGGATCTGTTTTGTTGTAAGAGTGATGATATTTGTTACTACAGAATGTCCGTTGTTGTCCTTCACAATGCCAAAGAATGTCTACTGTACATTCCAACAAAACTGCATGGGAGTAGAGTGCTGTATCAACGCAAAAGTCTTCATGTTCCTTAAAGTGTTCAAAGCCTGGGCGAGGTTCAACCCCTGTGACTTTGAGTTCTCATTTGGACTCGAGGACTGGAACTACACAATAGCGTTGGAGCGGGTCTCATTTGATGGTGAATTTTATAACTAACACACTGTATCTGTATTACAATACCTTTAAGTGTTGAAAATAACAGTTTATATTTTAAACAAGAATTTCATGCCATTCTCTAGAGGCTGAATACTAGCCATATTTTTTGGAGGAGAATCATGTGAAAGTGAGTTTTCATTTTGTTTTATGGATGCCTGTTTCCTTGCAATGCTCTGGTAATATGGTTTGAATGCTTTGATACTGGTGAGAATCTTTCGTGACTATTCTGTTATGTATTACAGGCCGAGAGGATGAAATATACACGGGATTGGAGTTGGATATATTTGGTGGTGTGGAACTTGTAATCAAATACAAGATCCAGAAGACTGACTATGAAACAGTGGCAGACTTTGGAATTGGAATGTGCAGTTTGTCCGATCCTACCCAGTGTCCACTTTTCTTCCCCCTTCTTGACAAAGCAGTTCTTCCCCTTCCTACTTGTTACCCCAATGGTACTGTTGTATGGCCCAAAGGTAAGTCATCAAAAACGTGCAAATTAAGCCAGGCTCCTTTTACTGAACATGCCTGCCTTATTTTATATTATTGGTCGTTCCATCAATCATGTGCAAAAATAAATAGAGATTGTTTTGTTTTATTTGGTTTGACTTGAAAACTTATTACATAACAATTTCAATTTGATTAATAATGTATCTTTATCTTTGCTCCTATTTCATAAACTTTACTTCCCTAAGTCAGAAAACAGAGCAAAGTTTAAGGTAAGTTTTCAATCAGATTGAGAGTAAGTTCCGCAAGATTTGAAAATATGTATTAGTTTGACCTTATTTCTATTTCTTGTTCACAGTTAATTTTAAGGAATTCTTCAGTAAGGAGGCTATAGCGAAACGTTTGAAGGAGGCTGGTGCTGCTGCTGTCAAGATAGCAGCAGAGGCTGCTGCAAGTGTTATCCTTCAGATCCTGGGCCTTCCAGCAGTGAGTTGTCTCCCCATGAGTTGAAATTAGATCGGAGGAAATGACACAAATATGCCACTTCACAAAAGGAATTAACATTTGATAAAAATATTTGGCACATTGTTAATGTACAGGTTAAATTAAAAGCAATTACATATTACTTAGATTTTTTTTCGAAACAAATAATATTACAACATCATACTCTGAAATCAGCTATTTTTGTGGGGATGGGAGTATTTTTGTGTTGATTTGTAGGTACTTTTACTAAGTTGCTTTATTGTTCATAGGTAAATGTTATTTAGATATATTTATCCATGAAACAAAAGGTTCACAAAAGAGTGTTTTTTTTTAAATCCATGAAAATAGAGCACCACGAAAATAGATGATTTTACAGTATTTACACTTTGTTTCAATATGTAAAATTTAAAAATGATCAAGGTGCTTTTCATACAGTCAATATATTTTCCAAAATTTCATTACTATGTTTAGTTTCACATTATTTTTATTCAGTTTGAAAATTGATATATATCCAAATATTTTTTATTTGACATTACACTTGTTTTATCACAGTTGGATCTTATCAGACTAACATTATATTTAAAGATCTGATTTGATTTCAAACCCTAGGATATGTTAGACCAGACTGATCCCTGTCCTCGTGGAGAGATTAGAACAGATTTACAGTTGAGGGAAGAGCTGGCATCTCGAGGACTGAGTACTATTGGAGATCGTGCCACACTTTTGGATCGCTATAGCGAGGATGATAGAAGTTAGTAGTTAACATATTTTCAGGTTATAAGCTGCACTGGTATCATTTTTGCGATTTGATCCACATATAAACCCCACCATTCAACTGTAATAGAAGAAAATTAATTTGACAGCTTTTAAAAATTTTCCTGATGATGCTGAGTCATGTGATTTAGTGAAGCAATGGAGAACACACTAGCTTTCACCATTGATAATTTTTTTTATTATGAAAAGGTATGGTTGACCTTCCTGGCTATGTCAGTTTTCTCTGGACATCCTTTTTTCTCCCAGGTTAAATCCACCTTCCAACTAAATCAATACATTAATTCTCACGCAAACATATAAATGAAAACCATGGAATGTTATCATTTACTTCTATACAGGGAGTTTCAGATTTCCATTTAAACTTATAGTAAAAAAAAATAGAAGTATAGTTTGATTATTTCAATGATGAACAAAATAAATATGGGTTGTTTCTTTGGAGAAATATTCTCCATGTTGTATTATATTATCTTCCCAAAGTAATATTTTGGACTCAGAATCTGATGAAAACGTCAATTTTTCAGCATGTTCTTTGTACAACACAAGTCTAACAATTCCAGAAATCATATTATATAGACACCATTGTCTTCCCAAAGTAATATTTTGGACTCAGAATCTAATGAATACATTGTCAAATTTTCAGCATGTTCTTTGTACAACACAAGTCTAACAATACCAGAAATAGCGAGTGACACCTTGAGGCAGATAGTACACTACTTCATCTCCAGCAATTGTATGAGACTGGATGCCTGTGTTGACATTAATATCCAGCATGCGGGATTGAGCTATACCAAGGCATTTAAAGCCTATGTAGAACTTGACCCATGTAACTTTATCCTCCATGCCAAGTTTGAAAAAATCTCCATTTCAATTGTTCTCATTTCATATGAATGGGGTAAGTATATTGGAAGTATCAGTTAATTTTGTGTTGGCATCCATTTTTTAGAATGGAGAGGTTATGAAAAAATATGGTTGTAATTAGATTAGTTGATGATGGGTCATATCATATTAAAAGGGCATTCTTTTGTTGAAACTACTTTTTAATAAGGATGGTAGAATTGTACTAAAATGGAATCTCAGAGCATATTCTTTTAAAATTAATGACCCATTTTTCTATTCAGTTTCAAAGTTTGACAAAAAGGATTGGACTACATAAAATTCGAAAAAGTTTTAACTTATTTTCATGCAGCGTATTTTGAAAGTGTGAGTAGGACAGGGAAACTTGTATCTATAATATTAAGGGAATTTTAGCTCATACATAAAATCAAGGATGTGTATTTCTGCTTTAGGTTGATATTTCTAAATTTATAAAACAACATATTCATTTGCAGGTAAAACAGAGACGGTAGAACTTATTCAGAATGTGATGTTAAAGTAAGTAGAACATTTATTTTAAAAGTTAAACTCTCTTCTCAACGTTAATCTATAAATCTTGATGAATACTGCAGGTAGAATTTGTTAAATTAGTTCAACAGGGCATTGGTTTTTGTTTTGTTTAGTATAAAATTAATGTATCAAGAGTTTACAGATTACAAAATTTGTACCTAAAATAATTTTTAAAAAACCGATTATATATAAAAATTATCATCAAATTTTTTTTTCATATCCTGTGTGTACTCTCTATTTGGCCTTACAAACAAAATTGAAGCTTACAATTTGTAAACATCAAGTCTGACAACTTTTCCCAGGAAAACAGAATTTTCTATTTCGCTATTTCATCAGATGTCATTTTTTTAAAGCATAAATAAAACAAATAACTGTCAAAATATAATTAATTAATTATAAATAATTTTTCCTTTTTAAAATTTAACATTGTGTAACTTGCATTTTTATGTTGATATTTCAATATAATGTGTTAAGATCGGTCATTTGTGGTATGTTAAAAATGTCTTTACACACCAGTAAACAACAAAAAAGACCAACTATTTCTTGAAAGGTGAAATAAATGATACATAACATTTGTTGTTTCAGGTTCAGCATTGGTAAAGATGATGTGAAGAAGGTGTTTGTTGTCAGTTTTGGCATGAGTGTTTGTCCAGCTGATGGTTCCAACTGCTTCATAGACGACTTCTTCCTCTCCAACATAGAAATTCCCATCCCAGTTTGTAATGAAAATTTCACACTGCCAGGTTTGTGGATTGTTACAGATACTATGATTCACAAAATAATGTTTCATTAGGCTTACATTGAAAGAATATATATATGTAATCTTTAAAGCTGATTTTTTATGTAGGCAAACTGATTCATTTAATGTGACATTTTGGGATTAATTCAGGATGGTCATACAGATATTAATACAGGTCTCGAAAGGTTTGTTAAGGTTCATCTTGAACAAACTAAGAGCAATGATTAAACATAAAATTCATGTCAAACTGATCAGTGAAAATGACTAAGATATATTCACTGAAAACATCATACATTAAAAATATAATTTCTGGAGTTTTCTCCCTTATTGGTACTTTACCAGTTGTAGAGATTGTTGTCTTATATACAGGTAGTGGCTCCATCCAAGACTTCCTGACGGGACTGGGAGGGAAGATGACAGCTGAAGCGTTCAAACTTATACTTCGATCGTTTGATTTAGATGTGAGTATTGATGTAGATTAAAAATTGTCAAATATTATTTTCAAGCCAATGTTAAAAATTTGTTAGAAATACATTTATGTGAACGATTAATTTATTCCTATAATGACTACTGTTTGTTAGCTGACATGAAAGACCCAGTGAATGATTAATTAATTCTTATAATGACTACTGTTTGTTAGCTGACATGAAAGACCATGTTGGGTATGCTTATACAGGTGTGCGTACACTAGTTTTCATTAAAATGTTTGCTCAGAAAATTGCTGAAAGGATTTATACTAAAAGTAGTAGAAAGATCTTCGACCAAAAATTGCTGAAAGGATTTGACAGAAGAATTTAGACACACCAAAAAGGAGATAATTTTTGAGAAAAAGTGTTCTGCAAAACTTCTTTTCATCTGTTACTCAGATTGGATTCATACTAAAAGTATATACAACCTGTCAAGGTTTCATGGGTTGTATGAGTGTAAGGATGTGAGATTTCAATGTCATTCGAATATTATTTTCTCGTTTATCACAGCAAGTGTTTGTGGATGGACCATGTGTACTGGCAGCTGGCCCCACTAGTAAGTTGTTTCAGTATACCAAACAATATAATCTCTAAGTAATATAACATTCTAGATCAATATTCACAAAAATTAGATGCATTAAATGTCTATTTCACATCTGTGACCTCAATATGTCCTTGAACTTTCCATAGTAAAGACATATGCTTCTCTTTCATCCCTTTCTCTAGTATATTGAATACATGATGATATAATGATTATTCATTATAAAATATTGTCAGAAAATGGTCACATACAATTGTAAAAAATATAAATGTTTGATTGCAATTTGATAATGGTATGAATATTAGATGACAGTATTGCTTTAAACAGTATTGTTGTAATAGTATACCATGTGAAAATAGGAGCTTACATTCAATATGTAAACTATATCATGTTTTATTTATATATCCAGATTGCCCTGTGACCTTTGACCCTACACAATACCTGCCTGACCATGTTAAGAGCATGTTTCGTTGTGAGATGACAAATGACTGTTTTGGAGTACAATGTTGTCTGGATCTCGATTTCACTGTGCCATTGGGAGATGTCCAGGTGGAGCTGAATGTTCCCTTCCACTTCATAGTTCAGCCCTGTGACCTCATGATGGATGCAAAGTTTGGGACCTATCAGCACCAGACTCAACTGTTGACCTATGAATGGGGTAAGGTTCTTCAGTTGATAATTGTAATAAGGGTACTTGATTATCTCCCCTGCTCATTTGCAAGCATTTAAGAGAAATTCAACATTTGTATTAGTAATATAGGACAATTTACATAGATTTCATTTGTTTGATATTACAAGTTTAAGGTTTAATTCTTTAATTGGACATTAATAGATGTTAATGTAATTCAGATACTGGAAGGTCAGTCGGTATAATAGAACAAGTGTATTTATGTGATTTAAACTTACACAGTTGACTAAATTTTGGTTTGATCAAACCATTATTTCAGCAATTTTGTTTTTGATTCATATGCCTTTTGTGCATTTATACCATTTTTGAAATCAGCAAAAATGGAAAGCCCATAAAAAACAACTTTTAATTATTTTGATAAATTGAACATTTCAAGAAATTGATGTTAATTTTGAGAGTTTGTGATAATTATAAAACCAACAGTAAATTTCCTAATTAAAAGCTTTCGAGGGTTAAAGAGTCCTGGGAAGGAATTTGAACTGAAATGACTTTTTTTTTTATCTACAAGAATTGTAAACTTATGTGAGATATCTACAACTTGTGTGATTTATTGTGTTATCATACTCCAGTTAATTAAGGGGCAAATAGTAATCATTTTGTCTGTGTTTTTGTGTAGGTCCATGATAACGTTGTGTTCCATCTCATGAGTCCATTGACAGATTTAGTTTGAAATCACCATAACAAGGTCTACATCGGATAAGATTTTAGTGGTCATTGGTCAACGTTAAGGGTCACTTTTGACCATTTCTGAAATAAAAAACTTAAGTATAAAATATCTCATGGAACCTTTAATATATCAAACCGTCAATAAATTTAGTCCAGAAGAAAAAAGTGAGGGAGTAAGGGTTTATATATGAGAAACCTGCATACTTTGTTCTGTTATATACAACATTGTCCATTACAGGTACACCTGGTACGATTGCCATTGGATCAGGAGACCAACCTCCAATCCAAATCACGTAAGTCACTTACTGCATCATGAACTATGATTAATATAACACTCCTTACCTGTAGGTTTCCTTGGTAACTGATTAATATCATAACACTCCTTACCTGTAGGTTTCCTTAGTAACTGATTAATATCATAACACTCCTTACCTGTAGGTTTCCTTAGTAACTTATTAATATCATAACACTCCTTACCTGTAGGTTTCCTTAGTAACTGATTAATATCATAGCACTCCTTACCTGTAGGTTTCCTTAGTTACTGATTAGTATCATAGCACTCCTTACCTGTAGGTTTCCTTAGTAACTTATTAATATCATAACACTCCTTACCTTTAGGTTTCCTTAGTAACTGATTAATATCATAGCACTCCTTACCTGTAGGTTTCCTTAGTAACTGATTAATATCATAGCACTCCTTACCTGTAGGTTTCCTTAGTTACTGATTAGTATCATAACACTCCTTACCTTTAGGTTTCCTTAGTAACTGATTAATATCATAGCACTCCTTACCTGTAGGTTTCCTTAGTAACTGATTAATATCATAGCACTCCTTACCTGTAGGTTTCCTTAGTTACTGATTAGTATCATAGCACTCCTTACCTGTAGGTTTCCTTAGTTACTGATTAATATCATAACAATCTTTACCTGTAGGTTTCCTTAGTAACTGATTAATATCAGAACACTCATTACTTTAGGTTTCCTTAGTAACTGATTAATATCATAACACTCCTTACCTGTAGGTTTGTTACTATAAGAAAGCTGACCACATCCTGAAATGAATTATAAATTATGAATTGTCTAGTCTCCGTCCTGCTAGTTCATCACTGTTGGATTTTATGTAGTAAAAGATATATTGCCACACCATGATGACATTGATGTTTGAAAAGCCTTAATCCTGCTAATTCGATTTCCTTTCAAAGACTGTTTGATTTTCTCTAGTAGAAGCACTATTGCCACGCTATGGTGACACTGATGTTTGAAAAGTCTCAATCCTGGTAGTTTTGTTTCTTCACAAAGATAGACCACTGATTGATTTAATGTAATTGAAGTACTATTTCCCCGCTATAGTGACTATAATAATTGAAAATTGTTGGTCCTGGAGCTCTATGGTTTATCTTAACAAATAGATAAGCCTCAGAGATGTCTTTTGACAGATACAACATTGCTCACAATGAGGACAAGACCTCACTGTTAATAGACTTGGGACTGACTATGTGTTTCCCATTGGATGGCAACGATTACTGTATCCCAGATGGCAGTTCCCTGGAACTCCTCAAGGCAGCTGAGCTTCCCTGTGATGCCAGGGCTTTGGCTAACTTAACACAAAGTAATTCTGTACTTTCATTTTCTATCAGGAATAATTTTTATGTTGCATTGATTTAAGTTTTTCTATAATTTTTCAGTCTTCTTGTCTGTTTTGTAATTATAATCAAACCTGCAATAGGGACATATTTTCTAATTGCTCTGTATTCAAAACGTGGATAATACAAGTCTGTCAATTTTGACAAATTGTTGTCAAATGCAAACCTGTCTTTAATGATGAATTGCCTATATCAGTCTGTTTATGTATAAAGATTACTGGCATAATCATCAAAAAAATATAGATACCACCTAACAGAAAATGTTTGTGTCACAGTTATGTCCCTTAAATAGGATTAGATTAGAAAAAATATGAAGCACTTGTACTTCTACCCACTAAAATGATGGTTGGGTATGATAATTATATCTGGAATGTAGTTAAAACATTCAAGTGTCTTTGTTTCAAGGCTTTAGCTTCACAAACTTTACTGATGAACTGAGACAGGAGGTTGGAGAAGTGATGAAAAAGAGTGCTTTGGACATCATGCTTAAGGCTTTGGGACTCCAAGATTTCTTCAAAGAACCGGCTTGTGACCCAACAAAGGGAAATTACACTCCCTCCTCAGACAGTGGCTGGAATAACTGTAAGGATCCATGTTAAATATTTTAAAGCATTTGTTACTTTTGGTATCTTCTTTTAAATTTTTTTTGTGTTTTCTATTTTTTCTGTCTGCGATTTAATATGTTGTATACATTAATTGCAGTGTGTCCTCTGGGAATTGTAAAAATGCCGAACCTTCCAGACATTGCAAAGTGTCACATCCCTTACCGGTGCTCGGCTATCTATTGTTGTGCCAAGGACACCAAGCTGACTGGCCTTTCGTTTGAGTTCTTCCTTGACATTGACATGTGTAACTACACTCTCAAAGGTGGCATTGAAACTACGACCTTTGAAATACAACTTCTTGACTATGAATTTGGCAAGTATTTTACAAGTAATCATTGAACAGTCAGGTGGTATTTATTGTCGATATGAATGCAATCTGGTTGACAGAGGTATGTTACTTACCTGTTACCCAGATAGCATTCCTATTTACAACAGACATAATCTTGACAGCCATATAATTGTTAAATATCCATTTCAGATAGTTTTCTGTATTTGGCCCTGGTTGACAAGACAAAGTCTTTATCCCAAAATCAGGGGTGGGCTTATTACAGAACATCAAAAGAATTTTTGTTGGTAGCACCATTGAATAGTAGTAAGATGATGGATGGACTTATTGCCAGACATGAGCTTTTTGCTCAAAGCATTTCATCTCCTATGTAGATCAACTGTTCATATTTGGCCATTAAGTCTTGTCCAGAAGAAACCACTGTTTGATACTATTACAGAATTTCTCACCCTTAATAAAATATACATTTGGGATAGCTTATTGTACAAGATAGATCTGTATAAAAGAGATAACTCTAAATAGAGTTATCAGAGACTGAAAATTAAAGTTGTCTTAGTACAACATTACAGGTGAAATGAACTTACAATAATTCAATAAACAATCAATAATTTACATTATAAACTAAACTTAACTCAATTAAAGGTAATTTCTGATAAAATATTTGATATTGAAATAATCATGCCATGTAAAACGTGATATAAATACATGAAAGAATGATAATTTTTATTGTTTTCTTTTCAACAGGAAAAACAGAAACAATTAACATTGAAGATGTGGTCTTCATTGCGTAAGTATTAAAACAGTTAATGTTGAAATCAACATTAATGTTTCACTGATTGTGCCTAAGACCTTGTGAACTTAATATTTGGTTAATTAATTAGGATCTTCATATTAACTCCATTGAATCAAAATATCAAATTCTACATCTGTTTATGTTTTTGTGATGATTTGTCAAGTTTAAATGGTGAAAAGTCATACTTGATCCTTATTGAATACATAGTTTGTGTGTATGATATCTCATGAATCTCATAATTGATTTAGGCCGTATTCTCACTATTGTACTACTACACTAAATCTTACACCAATCCAGACTGTGGCCACCATCAGTCAAGGTTAAAGTGTCCAATTTTACATTTGACCACTTTTTATTGCATGCACCTTTTTCTAAATGATGGTAAGGGTTAGTGGGATATCAACCTGAGTACAAGAAGCCTTTTGTCTCGTTAACAGGTACAGCTTACAGAAACCACCCAACAGAAAGATCTTCATTATTGACCTGTCCTTGAGGTTTTGCCCAGATCGAGATCCAAATGACTGTCTTATTGAGATCCCTGTTCTCCAGGCCACAGAAGTACCTCAGATTCTGTGTGATATCAATGCCACCCTGGGACTACGTGGTGAGTTGCTTAAGTACCAAATAATGAATGGGAAAATTCTATCTGAAAACAGGAATTTGGTCAGAAATTGAGGGTTTTAGCCAGAATCTGCATTCCTGTACGATTCTCCATTGCATCATAGCTAGGTAATATATAGCACTTTGTATTTTTAAAATTCTAAAATTAGGTCACAATTGATAATAGTAATGAAAATGCAATAAACACTTGTTGATACATTTTCTATTTGCAGGAAATTGTACAAAATAGTTATAAATGGGATGGCAATGTTACTACACAGAGGCCAATTGCTGAAAGTAATTCCTATTGTGAGAATATTTATCACATAACTGGCCTGTTGTGTCATGTCATACAGACATTCCATGACTGTCATTAGACACATGTAATTATTGTAACACAGTAGTTCTTTTATTTACGAATTATTTATTTATGATTATTGTTTATCATTTCTCAATCAGATTTCGATGTAAAAGACTGGATGGCCAATCTGGGCCAGGATCTGACTCAGAGGCTGTCTCAAGCAGCAGTGGACCTACTGCTGTCACAGTTGGGACTGGATGTGTTCATGAGGGATAATCCATGTAATCGTTCATCGTCCAATTATTGGCCAAGTACTCTGGGCTGGAAGGATGGTGAGATACAATATTGCTTATTGAATGTGACTTTTCCCATTTTTTAGCTTATTTTGCTCAGACAAATTTCCATTTTAACTATCAAATTGCCAAAACGGAAAACAAATGTAATGATCATTGTTATACAACAGCTTTGGGCATCAAATACTGAAATACAACAACTTTGGAAATGCATGGCTAAAAAACCATTAACTTTGGACATGCATGGCTGAAAAACATTGACTTTGGACATGCATGGCTGAAAAACAATAACTTTGGACATGCATGGCTGAAAAACAATAACTTTGGACATGCATGGCTAAAAAACAATAACTTTGGCCATGCATGGCTGAAAAACAATAACTTTGGACATGCATGGCTGAAAAACAATAACTTTGGACATGCATGGCTGAAAAACAACAACTTTGGACATGCATGGCTGAAAAACATTGACTTTGGACATGCATGGCTGAAAAACAATAACTTTGGACATGCATGGCTGAAAAACAATAACTTTGGACGTGCATGGCTAAAACACAATAACTTTGGACATGCATGGCTGAAAAACAACAACTTTGGACATGCATGGCTGAAATACAACTTTGGACATGCATGGCTGAAATACAACAACTTTGGACATGCATGGCTGAAATACATTAACTTTGGGCATGCATGGCTGAAAAACAATAACTTTGGACATGCATGGCTGAAAAACAACAACTTTGGACATGCATGGCTGAAAAACAACAACTTTGGACATACATGGCTGAAATACAACTTTGGACATGCATGGCTGAAATACAACAACTTTGGACATGCATGGCTGAAATACAACAACTTTGGATATGCATGGCTGAAATACAACAACTTTGGACATGCATGGCTGAAATACATTAACTTTGGGCATGCATGGCTAAAATACAACATCTTTGGACATGCATGGCTGAAATACAACAACTTTGGACATGCATGGCTGAAATACAACTTTTGACATGCATGGCTGAAATACAACAACTTTGGACATGCATGGCTGAAATTCAACATCTTTGGGCATGTGTGGATAGCTGAAACAGTAATCAGTTTTAAGATACATTCACTTGATGCCCTTGATTATAGATTATTTCTATGATTTCAATTTTTCCTCAAACTATCATTCAGTTTTTAAAAATCTTGATTGATATCAGACATGTTTTTAATCAGTCATGTTATTCTGCAACAAACAGATTGTGGCCAGAGTTTCCTGACCTTGCCGGACATCTCAGCCTACCCGATGACGTGTGCTGTCCCAGATTTTTGCTCAGGGATAGACTGTTGTCTGGAGTATTCCAACTCATTTTTCAGCTTAACTCTCAACGTTTACCTTGTCATTGACACATGTAACTACGAAATCCGTGGTGGCATTGAAAATTATGGCTTTGTTGTCCCTATCATAAATTACGATTGGGGTAAGCTTTTTACATGATTCACCCATCACACAGAAATTTTGGGTTGCTATATAAAGTAATGATGATACATGCATCTTATAGATTCATTTACCAAGATTTCATGGTTATTGCATCCTACAAAAAACCTGCATTAGGATCGGGAACCACTGTAGATCATATCAAAATCTGAAGTTCTCATAATTCTTTAAACAATTGAGTATCAATAGTTGCTCAGTCTTATCAGTCTTATCAAAATAAAGATAATTGTTTAATTATTACTTGCAGTTTTCAAAGAAATATTTCATAGACATTTTGACTAAAATTTAAGGCTTTTTCATGATGCTTGGAACATCAGATCATTTACCACCAACATATTTTAGAACATAAATTTGTTTTCTTACAGTGATTTTCAGTTCAGTTTTTGTAGATCATGTTTAGAAAAGTCTTTGTTTTTAGATGTTTTGTTGATTAGTATTTGGTAACAAAAACATTTGTTTTACAGGAAAACTGGAGACAGTTAACTTAAAGAATATACAGATCACGTAAGTTAAAATTACCAATGAAGAGGACAGAATTTAATGTTCAGAAAACTTAACTTCTACAGGACTTCATTGTGTGCAGGTGTAACTATGTCAAAAATCATTTCATATTACATTTGTCAATTTTTAAAAAAATTTTTCTTGACTGAAAAGCTCCATTAGCCAGGTGAGCAATACAGGCCTCTTGGGCCTCTTGTTTCTTGATGTAAAATTGTATGACATTAAAATTGGGTCATATTCCTTCTGAATGTTTTTGCCATGAGGTATTATTTTCATACAAAAACATTGTAAAGATGCCTGGATTAGCAGATTGCTTGTACAGTGTATATTGTATGAAAATATGAACTATTTTTGTTACACTGATTGCTAATATTAATATTTTCATAACTAATAAATAAGTAATGTTTTGCAGTTTCACTATTGTACCCCTTCCTGAGGCAAAGAAGTTTCTGGTTGACCTAAATGTCAGTGTTTGCTTTGATCCGAGTACTGAAGGCACATGTGACTTCACGAAGACAATCTTCAAACAGACAAAACTTCAGCAGGTCCTATGTGATCTGAATTCACCTCTACCAACAGGTATATGTCAAAGCCTAGTCTATAAGTAATGCCGGCAAATATCATTAGTGAAAGGTAAAATTTGATGCATGAATAAAAACCGTATTATGTGACACAAAACATTGAAGTATTTTCAGTATGCAGAATAACATGTGTACGAAGTTAATTTTATTTTTAGGCAAAACATAACACAGGTACAATTTCAGCAAATTGTTTTCAATTCTGTCACTAGACATAGAACCTGAGACCTCTAGCTTGCATATCTTACCTCCAACCCATCAAGCAAAAAGGGAAGATTTCTCTTGTCGATTATACAGGCTTAAAATGCCATACTCTCCCTCCATGAAACAACATGTCTTTGAGTTTCAAGAGTATACAGAGATACTGGTGATGGTATCACTAAATATTATTTGCAAGTCCTTTCATGGGTAGCAATGTAACAAAGGTCATTACATGTTTTAATACCTCGACTAGAAATAAAGCCCAAGAACTCTGCCTGGCACCAGTCTTGCACTGCACAGGTTGAACTAAGGGGGAGAGCTTGCTAGCTCAGCAGGACATTGGTTCTAGCACTTAACCAGTGTCGGTTATCAATTGTTGTTGCTTCAATCAGATTATTTTGTCATTCACTAGAATTATTTTGCTATAAACATGATAATTTCTTCATTCTAATGTTTCTACCTTGCCGAGACCTAAAGTAATGGTTATGTCAAGGAGCTTGCTAGTATCAATAAATAGAAATATTTTGTTACCTTGCCCTACATCCTCGTGACTGTCAATTACATGGATGTACAAAAGGTTGTGAACCTTTTATCATGGATAAAGTTATGTCAAGATGCCTTGAAATATGATAGAATACTGATAGATAAGAAATGTTGTAGATTTCTCGCTGAAGAACTGGATGACAGATAAAGGTCTGGAGTTGGGGAAGAGTCTGACTACAGCTCTAGCCAATCAGCTGTTAGAAGAGTTAGGGATCATGCCTTTCCTTTATACAACACCATGTGACCGGCAGGTTGGGAGATTCATTGGAGATGAAAATGGCTGGAACTCGGGTATGTACAGATTAGCATTACCATGTTTGTCTGGGAATAACTCAGTTTCATTACAATAAGCCATTCAACATTTATCATAGTTTCAGTACATAGACAAGCAAATGATACATCACTGCCCTTTGATAAGTCCGTCTTTTTTCTTTAAGGTAAAAGTATATGTTACTAAGCAAACTCTATATCTTATTTGCAAGATCAGTCTGGTGCAGGGTCATCAACCTGATTTTGTGCCAACAGTAATTTCCCAATAAGCAGAAAAGAAGTTTTTTTCTTCAGATTGTACAAAAAAACATACAAGCCAATAGCCCCTTTTAATACGAATTTAGAATAAGATACAGTAAAGCCATACATGGAATGAAATAGCATTATACAGCTCTTACTGATGGCCTAAATCTTGAGGCCAGGAAGGCAACTGAGGAAAACCCAAAGTGATTGAAAATAAAATCAAAATCTAAATGGGAAGGTAAAAACTAGCCCCTTAATTCAATAAATTTCATTATTTTCAGATATCAGAAAAATTAAGAACAATGTCGGGTATATGTATATGTTCTGAACAGTGCCACAATGTTTCAAATTAAAGCTGATGTAGAACAATCCAGTCCTTTCCATGTATATCTGTTACCCTGAACATTCATATACATTGGACTATTTGACCAAAATGTGATATTTTCTAAACCTTTATTCTGTTCTTTCTGTGAAATAGTATTATTCCCACTGAAAAAATTCACTAATTTTGATTCCAATAGCTTGCCCAGCTAACCTGACATTGCCAAGGATACGGGGCCCAGCAACATGCCATATCCCGGACTTCTGTACTGGTGTGGACTGTTGTGTCGAGGTCGGACCCATTGGGAGGTCATTCAACACTTATGTCATCATGGATGCCTGCAACTTTGAACTTCGCATTGGCATAGACAACTTTGGTTTCAATTTGTCACTCTTTAATTACGAATATGGTATGTGTATTTAATGTTCACCAGTTACTGATTATATCAGTCTGTGGTCATGAACTTATTATCAATTAACATTATGTTATGTAACTAGTTCACAACAAGAATAAACTGACAGTTGTTCACAAAATGTGCATATTGTGCATTCATTATTTGAACTGTGATGAACGATATCTCAAAATGTGAATTTTATTTCATCAGAATTTTGGTAAACTGAATGGAATTAAAAGTTATTTTATAAAAAAATAAGATGTGGAAAAGCTTATTTCCAGATCCTTTGAATGTGTTTATGTTGTGTTTTTTTTAATTTAATTGTCTGGTTTTGTAGGCAAACAGGAACAGATCTATCTCAAAGGAGTGATCAGAATTGAGTAAGTAGACTACTCTAACTAAGATATAACTACAACACAAGCAATGATTGAAAAGGAAAATTGATACTTCACTTCCGACCATTAATTTGATTCCTGTGATCCATTAGCTTGGCCTGTGTGATCCTTTAGTTTGACCCCTGTGATCCATTAGTTTGACCCCTGTGATCCTTTAGTTTGACCCCTGTGATCCATTAGTTTGACCCCTGTGATCCTTTAGTTTGACCCCTGTGATCCATTATTTTGACCCCTGTGATCCATTAGTTTGACCCTTGTGATCCTTTAGTTTGACTCCTGTGATCCTTTAGTTTGACCCCTGTGATCCATTAATTTGACCCCTGTGATCCTTTAGTTTGACCCCTTTGATCCTTTAATTTGACCCCTGTGATCCTTTAGTTTGACCCCTGTGATCCATTATTTTGACCCCTGTGATCCATTAGTTTGACCCTTGTGATCCTTTAGTTTGACTCCTGTGATCCTTTAGTTTGACCCCTGTGATCCATTAGTTTACCCCCTGTGATCCTTTAGTTTGACCCCTTTGATTCTTTAATTTGACCCCTGTGATCCTTTAGTTTGACCCCTGTGATCCATTATTTTGATCCCTGTGATCCATTAGTTTGACCCCTGTGATCCTTTAGTTTGACCCCTGTGATCCTTTAGTTTGACCCCTGTGATCCTTTAGTTTGACCCCTGTGATCCATTAGTTTGACCCATGTGATCCATTAGTTTGACCCATGTGATCCATTAGTTTGACCCCTCTGATCCTTTAGTTTGACCCCTGTGATCCTTTAGTTTGACCCCTGTGATCCATTAGTTTGACCTATGTGATCCTTTTTTCAACTCCTTTAATTAATCAATTGTGTCCCTGTGATCTATTTGCCTGAGTCAAATTTTGACTCATGTGAACCATTAGCTTGACCACTGTTATCAATTAGTTACTTAGCCTTCAGGGGTTCAATTCCGGAAGTGGATGGGGAAAAGGTAGGTTGTCACCTCTCTGACCATGTTGGTTTTCCCAGGGTACTCTTGTTTCCTTCCCTTGCGCGCCTATATCTGAGCCAACAAGAGTGATTAGTATCAGTTGCTATAACTTGTTGTAAAATAAAATCCAATTTAACCCCTAGGAACCATTTCTTTGACCCTTGTGAACTGTTTGTTTTACTCCATGATTCAGTGGTTTGACCCTGTGATCTAGTAGTTCGACTCCCAGTTATTATTTAACTCTGTTAGAAGCATGTTTCATACCTTTGTTATAATGTACACTGTTATTTACAGTTTTACCGTGATAAACCTTGAAGGAGAGAAGAAGTATTTGCTGAATCTCAACCTAAGTATCTGTTTTGAACAAGATGATGCTGACTGTCTGATCTCACTACAGATATTTGAGAATTTTAAGATGACCAAGCTATTCTGTGACTGGAATTCAGGGTTTAGGATCCCAGGTACAATAGCAAACAAGCATTGACCAATATTTTATTCAGTTTCTTTTTACAATTATGTTATTGGGATGAAATGGTCGATGCTGGTCCTTGATCTCTAATTGAAGTTGAAGATTTGTACTTAGCATTAGATTTGAAAAAAAAAAATGCGCTAAACTTTGGATAGATGGATTGGCCTTTTATTAGAAAAGAATTAAAATTGATAGGAAAAATGGAATTGAAAAATGATATTGATCATAAGAATGACATGAAATCATTGGATTTAATATGTAAGGTGATATGTAAGGGATGGGGTTGATACTGTGAAATTAAGATCAATCATGGTGGACTTTGAAGTTTTTGTAACAAAAGAGTGAAGCTCAAATTTACAGACCAATAGTAAAGCCGAGTCACCATGTATTATTTTATTTGTTACCAGATTTTTCCTTGGATAGCTACATAGAAAACTTAGGCTTACCCTCAGGAAGCACATTGACTGGTATTCTTCTCGACCAACTGCTTGAGAGCACAGGGCTGGCTGCATACCTCCTGGAAACACCTTGCGGGCATGATAACGTGCCATTTGCAGCAGCCGCAGTCTCTAATGGATGGAATGATGGTACCTTAAATCTTTTCCTTTTTAGATTTAATAACATTTTGCATAGTATTATTTCCATAGAAATATAAAAATTTGCAGTACAGTAGTAGAAGATAACTGTATTTGAAGCTTACATTGACAAAGAAAAACTTGAAGATTTCTTCCTAAGTTCCAAAATAATTTTGATCATGATGTTTGGAGAGTTGGTACATGAGATGTGGTGTGATAAAAGTTTGTAAAAATAAAAAAACATAATTGTTATTCTAAATTAGAAAATGACTGAATTGGTGTTTTGTTTCAGAGTGTGGCCATATCTCAATCTTACCAGTGCTGCCATCACGAGTACGATGTCACCTCACTACAAACTGTATGGGAGTGAGTTGTTGCCTGGAAGTGGAGGAGATTAGTAAGTCGGTACACTTCTACATGGAGTTGGATGCATGTGACTACATTCTGAGGATTGGTATAGAGAGAATACACCGCGAGATTCTACTGTTTGATTACACATTTGGTACAGAGGACTTCTTCACCCTGGTGGGAATCTTTAAAATAACGTAAGTTTGAGTGATATAAGTAAGGTTTAACTTGAGGGTGTTGTCAGAGTGATATAAGTAAGGTTTAACTTGAGGGTGTTGTTAGAGTGATATAAGTAAGGTTTAACTTCAAGGTGTTGTCTGAGTGATATTAGTTTTAACTTGAGGGCGTTGTCTGAGTGATATAAGTTAATTTTAGTTTGAGGGTGTTGTCTTAGAGATATAAGTTAATTTTAAATTGAAGGTGTTGTCTTAGTGATATACGTTACTTTTAACTTGAGGGTGTTGTCAGAGTGATATAAGTTAGTTTTAAATTGAGGGCATTGTCAGAGTGATATTAGTTTTAACTTGAGGGCATTGTCAGAGTGATATGATATAGTTTTAACTTGAGGGCATTGTCAGAGTGATATAAGTTAGTTTTAAATTGAGGACATTGTCAGAGTGATATGATATAGTTTTAACTTGAGGGTGTTGTCAGAGTGATATAAGTTAGTTTTAAATTGAGGACATTGTCAGAGTGATATTAGTTTTAACTTGAGGGCATTGTCAGAGTGATATGATATAGTTTTAACTTGAGGGCATTGTCAGAGTGATATGATATAGTTTTAACTTGAGGGTGTTGTCAGAGTGATATAAGTTAGTTTTAAATTGAGGGCATTGTCAGAGTGATATGATATAGTTTTAACTTGAGGGTGTTGTCAGAGTGATATAAGTTAGTTTTAAATTGAGGACATTGTCAGAGTGATATGATATAGTTTTAACTTGAGGGTGTTGTCAGAGTGATATAAGTTAGTTTTAAATTGAGGACATTGTCAGAGTGATATTAGTTTTAACTTGAGGGCATTGTCAGAGTGATATAAGTTAGTTTTAAATTGAGGGCATTGTCAGAGTGATATGATATAGTTTTAACTTGAGGGTGTTGTCTGAGTGATATGATATAGTTTTAACTTGAGGGTGTTGTCAGAGTGATATGATATAGTTTTAACTTGAGGGTGTTGTCTGAGTGATATAAGTTAGTTTTAAATTGAGGGCATTGTCAGAGTGATATTAGTTTTAACTTGAGGGCCAGAGTGATATTAGTTTTAACTTGAGGGCATTGTCAGAGTGATATGATATAGTTTTAACTTGAGGGTGTTGTCAGAGTGATATAAGTTAGTTTTAAATTGAGGACATTGTCAGAGTGATATTAGTTTTAACTTGAGGGCATTGTCAGAGTGATATGATATAGTTTTAACTTGAGGGCGTTGTCAGAGTGATATAAGTTCATTTTAACTTTAGGGCGTTGTCATAGCGATATGATATAGTTTTAACTTGAGGGTGTTGTCAGAGTGATATAAGTTAGTTTTAAATTGAGGGTGTTGTTAGAGTGATATAAGTTAGTTTTAACTGACAGTGTATAAGTATGGTTGAGTTACTTTTAACTTGGACAATATCATTAAGGTAATATCAGGCAGTTTTACTTTGAGGGGATCAACAGGGTAACATAACCAACATATAATGTAGATGGCGTTGTCAGGGAACACCAAAAACTTCACATATTGACATCAGTTTAAATCAAGAGATGAAATGGTGAACATCCATAAAATGTTTATCCAAATGATTTAAGATAACATTTGAATGAGGACACCATTTATCGAACTCTTCATTTGTAGGTATGAAATATTTGACCTGAAGGAAGAGAAGGAGTTCCTGTTGTCCTTATCAATTGCTGTCTGTTTTGAGAGTAATGGTGACTGTTCTCTCTCTGTCCCAATGTTTGATCAGGAACGTATTCCCAAACCACTGTGCAATTTGAATGCCACTTTTGCCATTGCAAGTAAGTTTACTTTTAGAAATATTATTGATTACTGGTGAATGGTTATTGATTAATTCATTGCCCATTGTAAAATCATCAATGTTCTCACGGGCATCTTAATCTATGAATTTGTAGATTCACAAACTGTCAAATTTGTTATCTGGTAGCAGGAAACCAAGTGTTCTCAAAATAGCATTTTTTTTAAAAAAAAAAAACGCAAAAATTGAGTCCTATGAAAATATGATTTGCAGTAATTTTCTCTATTTTTGCGATATTAATGCTTTGTGAATATTTTACTGGCAAATTTAAGATGAAAAGGAATTACAGGATATAACTTTATTTCCTGGTTTTCAATGGCGAAAGTATTACTTAATTAAAATAAAATGCCCGAGGTTGGACACCACGGCTTGGTTGTTTAAAATTTTCATTAAATGTAAATAGTTGTGACTGAACACAAGTTTTGAACAACCAGGCACAAATATTATGAAATTAGTGCATGATGAAGTAACCTGTTATAAGAAAATTTATTTAACTGACAACATTATTTATATTTCAGATTTCAGCTTTGATGATTTTGTACGGGAGAGGGGTCAGGCTATTGGTGAAGTTATCTCCAATGAGATTGCTGACCAGGTGTTAGAGGCTTTAGGTATTGCCACCTACATGTCAGAAACGTCGTGTTCAAGGGATCTGGCCCCATTTTACTCCACAGATAATGACCACTGGAATATTGGTAAGCCTTTGCCTCCAATCAATGTATATAACGAGGATTCTGTAAGAATTTATTTGATGTTCATGGGACTTAAAAAGTCAAAAGGGATACTTTAACAAGATAGAAAAATATAGTAATATTGAAAATTTAACTTATTATTGGAAAGCCCAATAATGAAGTTTGTGAGATGATTAATTACAAACTGGTGTCAGGGTGATTGATAAATGAGGCTAAATTTAAACTAAATAAAACTTCATGTCATTTTTGTGTCATCCTTGTTTTAATTGTATATCCTTCATTACAGCTTGCCCTCAGCCATTGAATATGCCATCACTATCTGGTCCTGTGTCCTGTCACGTGCCCGATTATTGTACTGGTATCGAGTGCTGTATTGATGTGCCTTTCATTCCCAAGACTTTCCGTGTGTTCATTCTTCTTGATGCTTGCAACAACAAGTTTGAAATTGGAATTGAAAAATTTCAGTTGACAGTGTTCCTGATCAACTACAACTGGGGTAAGTAGCCATATTACAACTGGGGTAAGTAGCCCTATTACAGCTGGGGTAAGTAGCCATATTACAACTGGAGTAAGAAGCCTTCATTGGTTCAGCTTTTGACTTCTATTATTGTGATAACTTGAAGTTCAGTGCTTTGAGGACCTGCAATTCAGTATTGGTTTCATGATGCATTCTTTCCCTGATTTTAAAGGTTCAGTTTTAGTGTTAATGGTTCTGAATCTAAGAAGTACAAATTTTTAATATATGAGAGTTTATTACATTTAAAATTCAAATTAAATTTAATTGATTTTTTTTCAGGAGAATGGAAGACATTTTACATGAAGGGTGTTGTGAAAATTGAGTAAGTAATTTAATATCCCATAGTCTCTTGTTAACACCTCCATTGTCGTTAAGATTTATTGTTTTTTATACGATCCTTATAGACATTTTTGACGTCAAGTGGTGTGTTGAATGGACTTGAATTCTAAAAAACAGATTTTTACACAAAAATCAAATGTAACGAATGCATTTTCTAGTCATCAGACCTTGAATTATTTTCAAATTGAACGTTATGTAAGTGCAGGAAACCTAAGCCTGGTTAACTTTTATTTTACCTTGTATTAACGGCGAACATTATTCCACAGCTATATGATTCGGAGCCTTCCTGACGATAAGATGTATGTCCTGAACCTCAATGTCAGTGTCTGTCTCTCGGATGGTGTATGTGACTTCCAGCAAGTCATCTTGTCAGATACCTATGTCCCAATTCCTGGCTGTGATTGGACAGTCGGATTCCCTGGTAAGTGAAATATTTTCTTATATCTAAAATGATTTCTTGAACTATAAGCAATATTGGATAAAAGATAGAGAAGAAAAAACAGAAACAAAATAAAAAGAGAGGGGGAGGGGATTATTTTTCTTATATTCAGTGTCAAGTCAAAGGATGCTCTTTTATGTCTTATCCCTTTTTAGGTCAATATTTCATAGGTTATATCAACATCAATTTAGTGTAATTTCAGTGTTAAAATGACATTTGATTTTTTCAACATCACTTAACCTTAAATTCTTAATTAGAAGTACATCATGATTTTTTTAGCATTTAGATTTATCATCGGAATAGCATAGAAAATTTAAGGTTGGAATTATGTTATATTACAACGTTAATCTGATGTTAAATATTTTCAACAGTATTTTAACATAGAATAAACATTAAAAAAAATTATCAGTGTTGTAACATTATTTTAACATTTATAAAAGGTTATTTTACATTAAAATAAAACTAAATTTTAACATTATTTTCACATTTGTACTTATTTAACGTGATTTCAATGTTGAAAATTTAATGTTAATATTAATTTTACAATATGAAAAACAGGTAGTGTATATAACGATCAAATCATATTTTCAGACTTTTCTCTATCTCAATGGCTAAGTGACAATCAGCAGGGAGCTTCTGCAGCCTTGAGTAATATCTTGACATCAGTGTTGATGGAAACACTAGGCTGGACTCCTTACCTTAGTAATCCACCCTGTAGTATGTCCACCTACCTACCAGCGAATGGTGACAACTGGAAAGTCGCAGGTGATTTGTTTAAGCACTTTGAATAGAATAAGGTTCAATGTTTTTTACAGTGTACATATCAAAAATCTTCAACCAGAAGTTCTGAATCTGAAACATAAAGGTTCGGAAGAGTGTCAGTGAAAAATGAGTGTTATAGTGGAAACTGTGTGTTAATCATGAAAGATGTGTGTTAATCATGAAAGATGTGTGTTAATCATGAAAGATGTGTGTTAATTGTGAAAGATGTGTGTTAATTGTGAAAGATGTGTGTTAATTGTGAAAGATGTGTGTTAATCATGAAAAACGTGTGTTAATAGGAAAAAATTTTGATAACATTGCCACAAAATTGATAGATTTTTTGTCTTCAGCAAATCTTACAAAGCTTGTATTTGTTTAAGGATTTTTTTTCTGGTGGAAGAAAAGTTTTTTAGGTAGTAATGAAAGTTTTTTTTTCTAGAAAACAGAAAAATACATTGGCTGTTGGTAAGATTAAGAGATATGTAACCAGAAGTATCTACAGTGTGGTAAAACCTATTGTGTAACTGTTGATAACTGCTTTTCTGGGCATATTTGACCAATTCTGACACAAGAAATTAAAGTATTGTGAATATTTTAGACATAAGATTTGAAAACGTTTTATTCAGTAGGTTTGGTTAGTTAGCAATCAGAATTTAAAAGACTGATTTCTTGTTTGCAGACTGCCCTCTGGCCATTGGTAACTCAACACTGCCATCCCTTCCGGCTGACCTGTTCTGTCGTCTCCCCAGTCATTGTACTGGTGTAGACTGTTGTCTCAATATCGACTTAATCTCTCGCACTCTCAATGCTTATGTGGATTTGGATTCCTGTCATTTTACCCTTAGTTTTGGCATTGAAAATCTACAGCATCAAATCACGTTGTTTACATATGAATGGGGTAAGTCATGATCACAAAAATTGGGAGAAATTTTATCGTCTTGTCTTTTGTTAAACTTACATGCCATTTGTACATGTCGGATGAAATATATGAAATAGTGCATGATTGGAGAAGATACCCTGTCTTTATTCAGCAATAATCTTTTCGGAGCCTATTCCTCCAATTAAGGGATGCATTAGCTTGTTACAGAATAATGAATCCAGTTATTAGTTGGTAGTGATGTAGAACAGCAATAGATATTGGTGGGCTTATTACTAGACATGTAGGCTTATTGTCAGAAAAATATGGTAATTGAATAAATTTTAATAGATTGGTGATCTTGTGGAAAATACCAATTCTTCAAGCAATTTGAGATATAGTCAAATCTGTTATCTCAAAGACTCCATTTAATGAAGACCCCTGCTAACTTTACACAAAATATTTGAGCTCGCTTAAATCAAATACTTGATAATTTTGAAGTTTCCCTCGGCCCTGCAGAGTTCGAGATAGTAAGGTTCAACTGTTGTATGAAAAGAGACCTTCAAAGCAAAATGTGTTGTGAATGGGCAATGGAAGTTATCATATAGGTTTGAAGGACACAATATCTTCTTGGTATGCAATACAAACACTCTGTGAAAGTTGTGCTTAATATCTTATTAGTTCACCATATAAATTATATGAGGGCAGAAGCTTGGTTCTTTAGATGTGATGATGAAAGAGAGAATCTTCTAAACAGAGAATATACAGTTACTGGAAATTTATTAAATTTAATAGGATTCAAATGTTTGTATTAATATGTACTAATTAAATTTCTAGGTAAACAGGAACATATATACTTGAATGGCGGCTTCAGATTGGAGTAAGTGTTTCTTTTCATTTAAACATTTTCACCTCTTGGCTCTTATAAACAAAATGTTTTCCTGGCAAAAGTTTTAAACCTCTCACATGCTACTGTTATATATGTGTTGAATAAGTGGTATGTTTTTCTACTCAGTAGAAAAATACAATACATTACATTAAAAGTTTATATTAGTGTCACACATCAAAGATACAATCAATAGATAAATTCAATACAATTGGAGGATGTCCAGCCATATTTGGTTTATAGGACACTTCATTTTTATTTTTTCAAGGGTATTAATAAAATCATTTAAAACCTAGAACTAGAGCCATTGTTCTTTTGCATTGTAAAATTGATGGTTTCAAGAGGGAATCTGTGTCAACAATTATTGTTATTTTCTGTATTATAGTGACTGTCTTTATGCGAAAGCTATTATTATGTGGAACATTTTCATGGTGAAAATTGAATTTGGATTGATGTAAGAGTTGGGAATCAATTCTTAAAGATGAACAGTTAAGAGACAGGAACATATCATTTGAAACATTCATGAATGATAACTATTTAGATATAGAGCTATATCAATATTTCTATAATTTCATATAAATGTAGTTCATGATGAATTCATAATTTATTTATTTATTTAGTTTTGTAACCTCATTAAGTTGTTGAAGTTTTGCTGTGATGGTCGAACCAACATAAATCTTGACTGATTAATCAGGCGTTATATACCCTGAATCATCTTCTTGATTAAATTGTATAACACTACTTTGTTCCATATCAGTTATACCATAGAAAACAATGAGGCAGACAACACCTTTATCTTCAACCTGAACATCAGCCTATGTTTGGAAGGACTTTCAGGGAGCTGCATGGAGCACATCAGAATATTTAGAAATGCAGCATTACCTAAACCAGGCTGTAATTGGGCCATGGGTTTCCGTATTCCAGGTCAGTATTATACAGCTGTTTCATGCCTTTGATATTAGTCAAAAGTGTGACTTCTGTTTCCGGAATCATCCTATGTTATCATATATAGGCAATTTATGCTTAGAAAGTCATACACTTGTCTCTCTAGATGAGTTTAAGACATTCCAAGAATAAGAATACCAGCTGTTTGTTTACATTGGCAATCATGATCAAAAAGCAGTTCATCATAATCATTTGAAAGCTTGGGAACATGAGGATGTTCCATGCCGGTCAACAGTTTGACTGTTGACTGGGCAAAAGTTTGACTGTTGACTGGGCAAAAGTTTGACTGTTGACTGGTCAAAAGTTTGACTGTTGACGCAGTTTTTATACCAATTTTCCCAGGAAGCAGTTGAAAATGCTTAATTCATATTTAACTAAAGAGTCTTTAACAATGAAAGTCGGAAGTTATTATATCTTGATGAATGTTAAACAAAAGCTAGTTCCATTATGGATCAATACTTGGAAATATATTTTATTTCCTAAGAAGACTTCCAGTTGAATTAAAAAAAAATAAAACCATTTAAAAACAGATTGGAATTAAAATTTAAAAAAAAAAAGATGAAAATAAAAATGTTTGTGTATTAACAACCATAGACATTCAGGACCATGGGCTTTTCATACTGCTAAAATTGTTTGATATGTTAACAACAGTATCTTTATGAGAGCTGAAAAATATCATGAATAATTTAATTGCTTACCATACCATGTAATGCCCACATACTTATTCTGTTTGTGCATTAAATGTGCATCTTGATGTTTTAGATTTCTCTGTGAATGATTGGATAACCAACAATGGTTTGACCATCGGTCAGTCTCTATCCCGTTATTATGCTGCAAAGTTAATGGAGTATCTGGGCGTGGCTAAATACATGCAGCGCACTCCCTGCCAACGTGTCAGCAGCTACTACAATCCATCACAGAACCAGTGGAAAAAGGGTAGGTATATCTTCTGACTACTATCTACACATAAAATTTATATTGTATACAAACTGTAAACAATTTTCTTTTCTGATCGTCAAAGTTTTCATCATTTTTTCTGACTCGAAAAATTCTCCGATAAATGCAGTTCATTTTTTGTTATGTTATGTGTGATTAATACAGAATTAGATAATTTCTATGTGATGACACTGACCATCTATTGTAGACTGTCCTCTGGACATAACTCTCCCTGATATCTCATCTGTACCGATGACGTGTTATATTCCGGACTATTGTACGGGGGTAGACTGCTGTTTGGACGTTGACTTCCTGGGCATGTCTTTCCATAGCTTCATCCTCTTGGACGGCTGCAACCTAACCTTACAAATCGGAATAGAACAACTGGCACTCAATGAGTCCTTGAATGGTTACTTGTTTGGTAAGTGACAAACACTAACAAACAAAGCATGTGCAGTTCATAGTGATGTTACCAACTGTTATTATTAATATTAAAATAAATGATAAATAGCACTGAAATGAGATGAAATATGTACATTTACAGTATTTTTATTAAAAGTGCTATTCACTTGTCAGTCTTATGAACAATCTTTCACCAATAATGCATGTAGAATAGACGATTGGAAAAATGATTCTGTTTTAAGTGTTGTATGATTTACCTGGCATGTTTATTTTAGGGACAGTAAGACAGCTCTATGTGGAAGGTGTTCTGAGGATAGAGTGAGTATATACTTATTATACCTGGTAGTTACAGTGTTTGATAAATAGTATGTGGGTAACAACACTTGACCATTCAGCAAAGATACTGACTTAAAACATTAGGCAGTGTGTCATTTTTCATTTATCAGTTTGACAAATCAGTCGAGGATTGCTATGTACCAAAATGTGGACACAATGGCTGATCTTATTTAATTTGCTTTGTAAATGAAACTTTAAAAAGGCTAATCGGTTTTCAGAGTTAAGTAACCCTCATTACACCATGTAAGTTGAGTTAAAACACACCTGTTACAACTAATTTACACCTGCTACAATTAAATTGTGTTAAAATACATCTGATTTAACAAATTCACATCTGTTATAACTAAACTGTTAAAACACACCTATTATAACTGATTTAGACCTGTTATAACTAAACAAAATTGTGTTAAAACACACCGGATATAACCCTTGTCAGTGCTATGATATAATTTAGGTTTGCAAAAAGTTGATTATTGTCCACAGCTACCGGATAGAAGATCTGACTGTAGAGAGAAAGTACAAGGTTGATGTCAACATCAGTATCTGCCTGAATGCTGACCCGAGTGTGGCCTGCCTGTACTCTGTAGAGGTGTTCCGTAACACACTTCTTCCAAAACCTTTGTGTGACTTCAGTGGAGACTTCTCTATACCAAGTGAGTTATATTTTAACACTATGTATTCATCATCACATGATATCCTTTTCTCAATTGTCATATATATCTTTAAGCTAGTGTTATATTAGTTAGGAGGCATATCTTGTTAAGCATTTATGTCTCCTACTGTCCTGAATAAAGTATGATTCTTTAGCTGAATCTTCTGTGTTCCAAAGGCAAGATCACCACACCATGAATATATATCCTTGTCTTACATGTCTTCTTTTGACAAAAATAAAATTTAATAAGATATAAAAACTTGTCTCGCAGAAATTTCCTTTTTCGTGTGGCAAAATAAGAAAAAATATGTATATATCCACACATATTTATCTTGAAGGAAGTATTTGTGAAGGAAACCTAAATATGTTTCATTTTCTGTAGATATGTCCACAAATACTATATCGTTCTCCTGTAAAGCCCATATTCCTAGTCTGAGTAAGAGTTTACCTCTCTCAACTCCTTTTAAAGGGTAAATACAATAGCCACTATTTCCAGCTTTGTTTAGAAACAAGAACTTTATCCCACATGTACTCACTTTTAAATTATTTCAGATTTCTCTCTGGTTGAATGGCTCACAAATAGAACCATAGCAATTGGGTCTACACTGGCCGCAGCTGTGGCCCAAGAACTGATGGAGGAACTTGGACTGTCCTCATTCCTCAAAACTGACCAGTGTTCGTTGTCCTCGGATCTGTTTGCTAATGCTGACAATGGATGGACCTCTGGTAAATCCTGATTATACTACCTCATATTAAGTCATTACTTAATGTGTTTGAGAGAGCTGCTTTTATCATATTTTCCAAAATCTTTCAAATAATACATTTGTGATATAGATTTTAAAGTGCTAGATATAGTTTTATGATATACCACTTTACTGTATGAAAATATTAAATTTCTTTTGAAATGTTGATAATTCTGAACTTCTTGTGATTTCTTAACTTTGCTTGGCATGATTTTCTAGAACTAGGCTATTCAGGACATTGCGAAAGTGTGTTCATTTGCATGTTAGAATAAAACAAGAAAACAGTGTGAAAATCTCATACGTACAAATGTGCCTATAACTTTCCTCAAGAAAATCAAAAAAGATAAAAGATCAAAAATGAAAAAAAAAGATGGAAGACCAAATGTTGAATGAAGTCCTTTGAATATTTTGGTTTTGTTTCTTCATTTATCTTATTTATTGCTTTACTTAAAATAGATAGTGATGTTTTTACTCTTTTGTCTGTCAGATTGTCCATTTGAGATGACTCTGCCATCACTAGGGTCTACAGATATCCGTTGTAACTTGCCTAGTTACTGCTCTGGAGTGCAGTGTTGCATGGAGGTTGACTTCCTCTCTCGTAGTTTCCATGCCTATGCCCTCATCAACACCTGTACCCATCAGCTGGAGGTTGGAATTGAGAAGTTTGTCTTTACCCAAAGTCTGTTCAGCTATGAATGGGGTAAGCTTATCCTATTAATCAGTTTATTATGTAGATCATATGATTACTACAAGGATTGTGTAACATATTTTCACAAGCATGATTAACCCGTTTAGCAAATATTGTAATCACTAATTTGATAATGTTGACATCACAAGGTATTACAATTATCTAATTATTGGAAACTCTCCAGTCATGTCCAGAAACAAATTACACACTTTTTTAAGATATCTGACAATTTGATGAATAGAATCTTACACTTGTGATAATTTGTCGTGAATTATATTAAATATTTATAATTGCTTTTATATATAATTGATAATGCAATATTGTGATATACTTAAATATAGCTGTTTTCTTATTCATTTTAAGCATATTGACATCATTATTTTATTTCATTTTTCACTATAACATCATCTGCAATATTTCCATGACGTTCAGTAAGATCTGTGGTTTAATATTTTATTCACCAGTTTTTCTATTGTAGGAGTACTTTATGTGATTGACATTTTAATACCTACACTTTCTGTTTTAGGTACAAGGGAAAAAATCTGGCTGCTGGGAATGATTCGAGTAGAGTATGTATCTAAAATTTCCTAATCCTTTCAGAAAATTTTAAACAAAATGATGATAATACAGAAACTCTTCATACTTCTGTCCATATATGGTTTCTTTTTCCTTACAAAATTCTGCCAGTGCTAGGTGATATTTCATACCATATGACCCAGCAATAAGCCCATGTCTAGTAAAATGCATACTCATATCTGTTTTTACAAACAAATACCATATTATTGTAAGCTGTGATAAGCCCATCTCCTGAGTTACAGTCACTGGTAATGTGGTGGCTGCCTTGGTTTGATACAAGATAAAAATCTGGTATTGATTGATGTGTTTGTAAGCAATTCCCTTTTAATTTTAACACTGTATTGACCTCTATATTTTATGTCTTAAAATAATTTACACATTTATTGTGTTGATAAAACTGATGATGGAAGTAGTCATTTCTTAATAAACAAATCAAATTATGATTAAGCCTTCAATGTTTTGGTTGATGAAATCATGTTATTATCTTACCATCAAGTTGGGAAGTGGGACATCTGATTATGTATATTGTAGGGCTTATTACCAGACATTTGTCTATTACTGAGAAAGATAGAGTAAGCTCTAACATCTTTAAACAGAAGTCTATCATCTCATATGTACACTAGGTAATGTTTTATAACCTTGATGTGACCTTGGCATGACCTTGATGTGTTATAGTTTTACCTTCACTGAGAAGTCTCTCATCTCATATGTACAATAGATAATGTTTTATGACCTTGATATGACCTTTGTATGACCTTGATGTGCTGTAGTTTTACCCTCACTGAGAAGTCTCTCATCTCTCATGTACACAAGGTAATGTTTTATGACCTTGATGTGACCTTTGTATGACCTTGATGTGTTGTAGTTTTACCCTCACGGAGAAGTCTCTCACCTCCTATGAACTCAACATGAACATCAGTGTGTGTTTTGAAGCCCAGGACAGCTGTTTGATGAGTGAATCTGTCTTCAGAAACACCGAGTTACCTAAAGTTTTCTGTACATGGGGCAGTGGCCTCATCATCCCAGGTAAGGAAAATTGGAACACTGGCTCTCTAGTAACAGACATTATAATGAAGATTCCTTATTATCCTATCTGGATAGGATAACGAAATGCACAGAATGTTAGCTGGAATTACTCTTTTTAGTTTCATGTTGGCAGAAATACTGAAAATGATTTTGAAAATATGAAATTGCCATTATAAAATATCTACACCCAAAATACAGCAGATGACATTGAAATCTTGCTGCTATGAAATTTTCCCAACTGCTTCAACCTGATGTGTACCTTGGTATACAATTTTTTAAGATATATCACTGATTTCTTAGCTACCATGTGGAAAATTGTTTTTATTTTTAATTCCTTATTTTTAACTTTTGTTTTTTTGCATTACACATATAATAGATTCAGTTTCTGCTTTTTACTTAACGAAATCTTTAAGAAATATTTCAATTTATTTCAAATGAATGTAATTTCCTAATGTGACACTTAACATGCTGCAGGATATTTAAGTTGATGATTTCTTGTTTGGTAGATTTTGACCTTGGAGAATGGGTAACACAGCAGTCTGGAACACTTGGACCAGTTCTAGCCAACACTCTAGCAGACTCCTTATTAGACGTTTTAGTAGTGAAGCCATATCTTAACGATCCTATGTGTTCACTGACCGATTCTGTTTACACACCTGCAGTAGGCGGTTACAAAGATGGTAAGTTACACATTCACATTATATTTTTTCATTCTTCTGCCCCCTTCTTATTAAAAGATAGGGCTTGGGGCTTGGGGGTGGGGGAAAGGGCTTGGGGGTGGAGGAAAGGGCTTAGGGGTGGAGGAAAGGGATCGGGGGTGGATGAAAGGGCTTGGGGTGGGGGAAAGGGCTTGGGGTGGGGGAAAGGGTTTTGGGGGTGGGGATGGGGTTGTTTTTGATGATTACTGGAATTGCTTTGTCTTTAATAGGTTGAAAAATTGATTGTTTTGTGAAATATTACTTTAAAGTCCATCACAATCTTGTTACAGACAAAGAATTTCATTGTTAGTGAGTTGATACAGAACTGTACTGTACTATATATATGATACAATGAATGGTATGTTTGATACAATATGTGATAAATTTAATACAATTTATGATAAAGTTTACTTTGAAGTAATATATAATAAGTTTGATACAATATATAACAAATTTGATACAGTGCCTGAGCAATTTTCTTGCATATATAATGAGTTTGATACAACGTATGATGAGTTTGATACAACGTATTTGTTTGACACAATACATGATATCTTTGACACAACATATAATATGTTTGACACAATATATGATATGTTTGACACAATACATGATATCTTTGACACAATATATGATATCTTTGACACAATACATGATATCTTTGACGCAATACATGAAAAAATATATCACACATGATAAGTTTAATACATATATGATTAGTTTAATGCCAATATAAATTTTGATACTATATGTGATATTTTTGTTGTTATTGTAGAATGTGGTGTATCATTGCCGAGCCTTCCGTCAGGAGTGTCCTGTCACATTCCTACATCATGTTCTGGCATTGATTGCTGTGTAGAGGTTCCTCTCATCTCCAAGTTCATACATATCTACACCGAACTGGACCCTTGCAGCTACATCCTGAGACTTGGCATAGAGAAACTTTCCTTCAACATGTCTCTTATAGAATATGAATTCGGTCAGGAACATATCTTCTTACTTCAGGGAGTATTCAAAATCACGTGAGTATTCATAGTTATGTTGATGTCTTATCTCAAGATAATGTCAGTGTTAAACAGAAAATAATGTCAAAGTTCTGTCTAAAAATAATGTCAGTGTTCTATCTAAAAATAATGTTACTGTTCTATCTCAAAATAATGTTAGTGTTTTAAAACAGTGTTAGTGTTTTAACACAAAATAATGTTACTGTTCTATCTCAAAATAATGTTAGTGTTTTAACACAGTGTTAGTGTTTTAACACAAAATAATGTTAATGTTCTATTTCCAAATAATATCAACATTTTATCTCAAAAATAATGTCATTGTTCTATCTTAAAATAAGTCATACCTATGATTTCATATTTGACTAATCAACAATCTTTTTGATAGTATTAACAGCCACAATTATCATTAATACTCCTTCGTTGACAGATTTGTGATAGATGATCTGAAAGCAGAACGTGCATACCTGCTGAACATGAATGTGAGCGCTTGTTTTGACACTAGAAATGATGATCTTTGTGTGAAAGTACCAGTTCTTATCAACAGCAAATTACCTAAGGTGTTGTGTAACTGGAATCTCGGCTTCAAGATACCAGGTATTACATAGATAACTTTTATATTTCCTTTTTTTTCTTCTGATTTCGAGAGCATAAATTGACATTAATAACTTTAAAGGATTTTTGTTAATTTCTATATGAGGTTTTTAGCCAACCATTATCAGATGGTGGACTATTCAAATTGCCTTGCGTCCGTGGTCTGTTGTCCATCCATCCGTGATCCATCAATCTGTATGCAATTTTTGTTATCGCTATTTCTTGAGAAGTATTGAACAGATCTTTGTCAAATTGCATATGTAGGCCCTTGGCCCCTAGTTGTGAATGTTTGTTTTTCGGACTGATCAAATAAATAAAGTGGCTGACAGGTGGCCATCTTGGATTTCCCAAAATCTAACGGGCACAACTAGGGACTGATGAAATAAACAAAGTATTTGACAGGTGGCCATCTTGGATTTCGCCAAGTGAAGATTGTTATCCCTATATCTTAAGAAGAACTGAATGGGTATCTGTCAAATTTCATATGTATGTTCCCTTTGATCACTCCTTGTGCCCACTTGATTTTGGGACTGATCAGAAGAAACAAAATGTTTTCCAGGCGGCTGTTTTGGATTTGGCAGGTAACGATAATCATTGCAATATCTGCAAAGGAATGTTCAAATATCTTATCATTAAGAGCAAAAACAGAGAAGAGAAAAGAAGGAAAAAGATTCAACTTTTAAAGAGCAAATAAAGGTCAAACAATGGTGGGCTCCAAGATCTATCTGGGATCTCCTGTTTGAAATTAATAAAAATATCAAGATGCTCCTTAAAATATTTTTGATTATCAGAGCAATATATGGCTTCAATTTACCAACATAACGTCAGTCCTTTTTTGCTTCATTTCGATAAAGACTAACTTGAAAGTAGATTTGCACAGAAATAATAGCAAGGTAATGTCCGTTTTAAAAAAAACCACATTGTTGTGATGAAGCCCACTTAAAGGGGGACGAATACCAATAAACTAAAGGAACCCTACTTTGCAGCTTTCGTGATTATGTATTCTGTACTGATCTTCAACCCAGTCACTCTTCATACCTTGGGGTATCCAGTTCAGGAGTAAAGGACACTTGCAACCAACTAAGGAAACAATGGTGTTTGCTGTCTCTCGTATCTTAATATGTTTTTTATGTAGAAGCAACTCTGATGCTGTGAAGTTTTTTCAAATGTATTCAAACGACTAAATGTTGATTGCTTTTTTCTTTTAAGTGAATCAATAGTTGTACAACAAATGAAAAAACAAAGTTTTTTTTTAAATGTCAATGTATAGTTAATAGAACATATCTGATCTGTTTGCTAGATGTTTGTGTATAGTGCGGACCACTCTGATATAATGTAACAGATTATTTTAAATCATTGTTTTTGTGATTGTAGATTTTTCCCTCAATACTTGGCTAACAAGCAGAGGTTATGACCCTGCTCAGAACCTACAGGACGCAGCTTTCATGTACCTGATGCTGGAGTTGGGGATATTTGATTATCTCGATGACGGCCAGTGTGATGCCAGTGTATCTGGATGGCAGTCAACAGGTATGATGTTCGAAAATACACACAACATTATGAAGATGACAGAAATTTATATTGACAAGAAACATGAGAATTTTCAGTTCTTTCTCCTTTCTACAGATTTAAACATGGTGCAAACCTAAATATTTTTCTGTACCAAGTAATAAAAGTAAAGATACAGCCTTTTTACTCCTCTGCATATGATTAAGTCACAGTTATGTTGGAAGAGGGGAGATAATTTGGTAGATCAGACCATGGAAAATTAGAATATAAATGGTGTCAGATATTATTTAAGAATATAGGGGTAGAAAATGGGTTACATTTCTGTAAGATGGATTGTCATGAAGACAGAGTCAGTCTATCACAAAACAAAGAAAAAACAAAGGTTTTTGGTAAAGTGAAAAAAGTTGCACATGAATTTTCATATTTTTCAGAGTAAACACAAAATTACAAATTGAAAGACTGGCAAGATTGACAGTTTCTTTCACTAGATTAGGATTGAGTTGGATGTTGGCAGAACCTATAACTCAGATATCAGGTGTACTTATATCGTAAAATATAGGATAAGTAACAACAAAGTCACTCTTGAGCCAGCTCCATATCTGTAAGAAAACTGAAGTAATGTTGAGGATTTGCAAAGATACTCATGTATCAATTGATTAAAGGTTAATGCATTATTTTATATCAAATTTCATGAAACTATAGAAACATATGCCTTCAATTTAATTGATTGCTTAATTACAGGTTGTGGAGAGAGTCTGACACTGCCAACCCTTCCAGGGAGTACCTCTTGTCGCGTCTCTGACCTCTGTACAGGTGTTGACTGCTGTACAAATGTACCCAAATTGGCACGGAACTTCCACTCTCATCTTCTACTGGACGCCTGTACCCACAAACTTAGCATTGGCATTGAGAAGTTGTTTCTCAACATTTCCCTGGTTGACTACCACTTAGGAGTTCATGATAACTTCAACCTGTATGGCCTGGTGAACATAGAGTATGTAAAAAACAACATACACTTATATATATCATATGAAAAATTTAAAAGTAGATGCGAGTTGATGGATGCCTCTGTACAGAAGAGGATATGTTAGTGTAAATTCACTGTACAAATTATTGAAAGTAAATATGCTATCAGAAGAACAAATTTGTTGAATTGAGAGGAAATGGGAAAATTATGATATTGACAAATGTTAAGTTAATAAGCAATATTGGGAAATCTAATGCAATAAGATATGTTTTAAAAAACACCAATTTATTAGCGTCTCAGTATTTTGTCAACATTTGACTAGAACAGTTTGGATTTTTTGTTTAGATGTTTCAAATTTATATACCAAAAAGATGCACTTTTCACTAAGCTCATGATACAGACATTTTGAGAGGAAGGGGGTGGATTTCTTAAATTATATATTTCATTTTCAAGATTTTTTTTTTGATATGGGAAAATAACAACCTTCAAAGTATACACATGTTAATGATAAAATGTTCCTTTTATGAATTTGGCACAAACATATTTATAAAATGAAAAAATCCAGGCCCTGGTTGTTCATAGGATGGTTAGAGATATTCCTTGGTTAGAGATATACCTTGGTTAGAGATATACCTTGGTTAGAGATATACCTTGGTTAGAGATATTCCTTGGTTAGAGATATTCTTTGGTTAGAGATATACCTTGGTTAGAGATATTCCTTGGTTAGAGATATACCTTGGTTAGAGATATACCTTGGTTAGAGATATACCTTGGTTAGAGATATACCTTGGTTAGAGATATTCCTTGGTTAGAGATATACCTTGGTTAGAGATATACCTTGGTTAGAGATATACCTTGGTTAGAGATATTCCTTGGTTAGAGATATTCCTTGGTTAGAGATATACCTTGGTTAGAGATATACCTTGGTTAGAGATATACCTTGGTTAGAGATATACCTTGGTTAGAGATATTCCTTGGTTAGAGATATACCTTGGTTAGAGATATACCTTGGTTAGAGATATACCTTGGTTAGAGATATTCCTTGGTTAGAGATATACCTTGGTTAGAGATATACCTTGGTTAGAGATATACCTTGGTTAGAGATATACCTTGGTTAGAGATATTCCTTGGTTAGAGATATTCCTTGGTTAGAGATATACCTTGGTTAGAGATATACCTTGGTTAGAGATATTCCTTGGTTAGAGATATACCTTGGTTAGAGATATACCTTGGTTAGAGATATTCCTTGGTTAGAGATATACCTTGGTTAGAGATATACCTTGGTTAGAGATATTCCTTGGTTAGAGATATACCTTGGTTAGTGGTAATTAACAAGTATGAACTAAACATAATTGGAACCATTCTTTATCATGTCATAGTTTTAGGTTTATTGAGAACAGATTGAAATAATTTGAATGTGGGAGTAACTTTTAATGCTTATGTATTTCCAATAGCAACAACTTGGATTTTTCTCTCACCGCTGGTTATTCTAAATAACGTTTGAGCAACTGGGGCCAGCTTGTTAGGAATGTTTGTCTTCAAATAGAAATTCTCTCTTTTTTTATCAGTTACTTCATAGAAGATGTCGCAAGTCAGAATCTGTTTGTCATCAACATGAACATCAGTGTTTGTCTGGATAAAACCACTGTTCCTTGTGCAGTAGAAGTTGTGGTATTTAAGGATGTTCAACTACCTAAACCATTGTGCAGCTATAACAATGGATTCCTCGACAGAAGTAGGTGTTCACCCTTTCTACTACTTTGATCAGTAAAACATGTTAATCTACTCACCTAAAAGATAATGTCCGATTCAGCAGAGTCGAATAAGGAATACCACTGCAACATTCATCTGTTTCTTCATTCAAAAACTTGTCACTGATTTGATGCAAAGATCTTAAAGAGTTGGGAAGCAACTGAGGAAAACGAAAAGTAGCCAAAAGGAATGTCAAAATGTAGATATGGAGTTGCACTTAAATTTTCAGTTATGAAATTATGAAATTTGAAGATTGACTATTCATTCGAAGATCTAATTTTTAATTCACCCATATATATATATTGCTGTCAAATGAGATAATTAACCAATGCTATTTGATTGTTCTGTTCTGTAATAAGCTCACCTTCCTGCCTTAGATCAAGAAGTGATGTGTTTGCCCCCAGGGGTCCTGTAATGAGCCCTCCACCAAAATGTTTGCCAGAAAGCATGTTGAAGGGAAAATATGAAATGTAATGTGTACCTATTTGATTCTTAAGCAATGACATTTTACCAACATGTCACCGAGAGGTATTCATAGAAACTGATTATGTCTTTGTAGATTTCTCTTTGTCACGCTGGATGAGTGAGAAAGGTTTAGCAATAGGAAGTAATTTGCCATCCTGGGGCACTGACCTTCTCCTGCAGAAGATGGGAATAGCTGCCTTAGTTGAAGATACTCCATGTACGCTGAACACAGGACCATATGGAGACTACTCCAGTGGCTGGTCAAGTAGTGAGTAAACTTTCAGTAACCTGGAATCTATACAATTAGGGAGAAGGATGTAGATTTATCACATGATATCTGTTTCATGTAGTGAATATACCCATTAATATTTTTTGTGTATTTTGTGTATATGAAATATAGCCTATTGTAACACCAGAAACTTATGTAAAATTCCTACATATATATGTCAATCCGGTCTGTTCATAATGCAGAGTTACCTACTCTTGCGAGCATTTGCTTGTGACACAAACATCATGGGTAAACAACATTACAGTCAATGCCGTCTCACAAGAGCAGACAACTCTGCAGAATAAGAGCAACAATTTTTGCTGTAAATGTGAATTAATATTCATAGGGTTAAAAAAGTTAATTATATCTCCATGTATATGGTTCTGAGCACATTGATAGATGTGATATATAAACATGTAGAGTTTGTGTGATAAAGTTTTGTGCTATTCTTATAAAGCTTGAGATCAAGAATGTTGCTTTCAGATCATATTCACCGAGCTTTGATAACCATACTTCTAGTACATATCATTTATAGGAAAGTTTTTGAACCAGTCCAGCATTTGACTTTCTACTTTCATTTACAGACTGCAGCCTACCTCTGGACCTTTCCACACTGCCTAGCTACATCTCATGTCATGTTCCTGACATCTGTACCGCTGCTGTTTGCTGTGTCAGATCCGCTGTTTTGGGACGATCTTTTAAGGCCAGTATGATACTAGATGCGTGCAACTACAAGGTCACCATTGCCATTGAGAAACTTACCGTCAACAAGATACTTCTGGATTATAACTTTGGGCAATGGGAGGAGATGGACTTGGGCGGCTTGATTGTTATCAGGTACTGCAGATAGACACAAATCACACATTCCTTCCACTGATTCAAGACAAAATTGTGATTATATGCAAGAATTTAAGAGAGGGGAGCAGCATTAATTTTGATAATAAATTTGAGAGAACATTTGAGTTGTGTGACTAAATCATTGTTTGGGTCTGTTAGTGTTTCATGGAAAACCAAGTTCACAGATTGGTCTATAGTTATGTCCTTGTGCAAAATGCTTTAACCCTTTTGCTCTTAATAGCATTAGGCAGGCCTCCCACTTTTTGTTCTTTAAAGTAGCCACCAGCTACTACAAGGACACCATGTCTCAAAATAACCCTGGCTGTTGTTAGAACAATCAACACAGCAAACAAACAAATACTAGATGGAGAAGATACATTTTAGTGGACATTTTGCTTGGAATTTCTAACACTTGTCTTATATAGTAAAACGTGTTATTGCTACAGGATATGTAATAAAGCCAGTTGTGTTGTTACAAAGGCTAAATGGTTTCATGTTCAAAATGCAAGTGTTTGGTCCTTGGTATGCTTGTATATGCTTTTCCTTCAGAGCAAATTATACTTCATCAATGTTCTTTGGCTGATTTCAGAACTTATGCATACTTTTAATGTACCCAAGATAGGACTTCCAATCCAAATTTTGTAAAATTTTAAAGGTACAGGGAGGATCAATTGTTTCGAAAAATAAATGTGAAATTGAGCAATTTCAGAATTAAAGCATAATGCATACTTTTAATGTACTCCAGAAAGGACTTTCAATCCAAATTTCAAAGGTACAGAGAGGATCAATTGTTTTGAAAAATAAATGTTAAATGGAGCGAAATAAAATGATTTCATTTGTACCTCAGATTCAAGATAGACGACATCACTGCTGAGAAAAAGTACCTGATGAATCTGCAAATGAGTCTTTGTTTTGAGAGTGGTGGAGACTGTATCTGGTCTCACAACCTACTGCAGGACACTAAGATTTCCAAACTGGCCTGTAACTGGGGTGATAACTTCCCAATCCCGGGTAAGTAAACTAGGTCAGGTATAAAACCAGTCATAATAACACAAAGAAAGAACATACAGAGAAACAAAATATACACATAATTATACAAGAAAGTTTGTTAAATGGCTAATCAATATGAAATATCTAAAAAAGAAATATTTCTTTTCGATATGGCTTAAGAATGTCTTTTACCACATTTGGCTATATGTGATGTAGGCCAGTTCTATACATTCAAGATTGAAGTTATATTTATTACCACTGGTCTATTACCAATATTTATGAAATATTTGATAATATTTTGGTGTACAGGTTTCCGTATCAGTAATTACTTATCTGAACGTGGTCTGACTGGAGCTATCCTGTCAAGTCTGGAAAGCCTACAGCTACTGGAAACTCTAGGAGTACTAGAATACATGCTGGAGACACCATGTGACAGAGGAAGCTCACATTTTACACCACGTAATGCAAAAGGATGGACTCCAGGTAAATCTGTTTTCATATTGATCTACATTGGATCAAAAGTAAGTCTCCTTATACTGATCAAAATTGGACTCCAGGTAAGTCTGTGCTTATACTGATCAAAATTGGACTCCAGGTAAGTCTGTCCTTATACTGATCAAGATTGGACTCCAGGTAAGTCTGTGCTTATACTGATCAAGATTGGACTCCAGGTAAGTCTGTCCTTATACTGATCAAGATTGGACTCCAGGTAAGTCTGTCCTTACACTGATCAAGATTAGACTCCAGGTAAGTCTGTCCTAAGTCTGTACTTATACTGATCAAGATTGGACTCCAGGTAAGTCTGTCCTTATACTGATCAAGATTAGACTCCAGGTAAGTCTGTCCTTATACTGATCAAGATTAGACTCCAGGTAAGTCTGTCCTTATACTGATCAAGATTAGACTCCAGGTAAGTCTGTCCTTATACTGATCAAGATTAGACTCCAGGTAAGTCTGTCCTTATACTGATCAAGATTGGACTCCAGGTAAGTCTGTGCTTATACTGATCAAGATTGGACTCCAGGTAAGTCTGTCCTTATACTGATCAAGATTGGACTCCAGGTAAGTCTGTGCTTATACTGATCAAGATTGGACTCCAGGTAAGTCTGTCCTTATACTGATCAAGATTGGACTCCAGGTAAGTCTGTGCTTAACCAAGTAAACATGTCTTTACACTGAATAAAGTTTGGTTTAAGGTAAATCTGTCTTCAAATTGAAATTAAAAAAAATTCTCATTGTAAATCTGATCTCAACCAAGTAAATTTGTACTCCATCTCGTAAATCTCTTTTCAAATAGAACAATGATGGAAACCAGGTAAATCTGTTCTCATTCTGGTTCAGGATGGATTCCAGGTCAGATTTATCTCGAACTACCAATTAAATCTGTTCTTGTACTGGACAAGGTTTGACACCTGGTCTATCTGTTCTTGTACTGAACAAGGTTGGACTGCTGGTAAATCTGTCCTCATCCAGGACAAGTTTGATTCTACATGTATTACAACAGCATAGGATTGTCAATGATTTTAGGTTTCTGAGCAACACCTTACTTGGATTCCACTAAATTACCTTCCTTTGTTGGTATTGCAGAAATGACTCCTTATTTCTTATGGCACACCTTGGTCTAGATGTTATACAAAAAGTAGGAGACAGATCATATGATACAGAAAATCTTACAATTGGTAGCATATAACATTTTCCTGTCTCATGAAGACACTGTATCCCATTTGCTCCTCATAGCATTTGAGTTCGTGATTCTGAGTGCTCAGTGAAGTAGCCACCAGCCATTACAAGGATACCCACCTCAGAACATCCCTGGATCTTCACAGGATGATAAACAGCCAATCTTATTATGTGTATTTAATATCTTCAACATTGTTATTATCTATTATAGTGTGTAGTGACTCGGATGTTACCTTGACAACACTTCCCAGCTGGGCCTCTGCTAACCTGCACAGCAGCTGCACTGGTGTCGGGATGTGTCTGTACCTCGACTTCCTTGACCGCACCATTAGTGCCCAGCTTGAATTGGATGCTTGTAGCTACCAACTCCATGTAGGGATTGAGCGCTTCCAGTTCAGCTTCACTCTATTTGACTTTGAGTTTGGGACAATTCATCGCCTTACGATGTTTGAGATCTTTACATTAGAGTAAGTAATTTGGGTGCACAGGACCCCTCAGAGTAGTGTGACTGCCTTACTTGACATAACTATTCTAACATCTTCTTGTATCCGTCATATATCTGTTAGATAGAACTGAAAAAAAAAAAATGTTGAAATCATATTGTCAATATGTACAATTAACAAACATAATTAGATGAAAAGACATCTTTATATTTCTTCAAGTTTACTAGTTGTGCATTGGGAAGAGATTTTTAATTGATATTAACCATATGACTTCACATAGATCTGGCAACTTCATTTCTGCAGCGATTTGGACCTAGGTTTGCACAAACGTACAGTTTGAGAAACCCTTAGATGAGTGCATATGATTTCAGAGTTTCAAGGTTAAGGTTACTATAATGAAAAACATTATGTTATGTTAGCTATGTTACATTTGAGTAAATTAAAGATCATTGACAAAGCAGTGCTGGCATATTTGGGTGATTACTTCTCGGGATAGCTTGCAATGGGCCTCTTCCATGATGTTCAGTGAGATAGCAACCAGCTACCATTAGGAGATCTGAGTTCAAATCACCCTGGCTGTTCATGGGGAGATAAACCCAGCATAACATAATATTACATTAGGGAGAAGGCAGTTATATCAAACAGATATTTTCTAGTTTTCACTGCTTTTATGATTTAATAGTTAACAATGTTATGAAAGAAGTTGATTTAAAAGAAGGAGAATCCAAAAATCTACAACTGAAAATAATATTGATACAACAGAAGGACATCGTACTTTAAAAATCATCGTATTTTTTTTTTTTTTTTATCAACTTTTAAAAATAATGCAGTAATTTCGGTTTTCCCTATTATTGGCCTAATGGGTGAGTTTACTATGAATATATAACTGAGTGGTTGTTTATTTTCTGTAGGTACATGATTGTTGACCTCACAGGCGAAAGAAAGTTTATTATGAACATGAACATGAGTGTTTGCTTTGATGACGATCAGACAAGCTGTCAGTTCTTTGTCACTGTGTTTGACAACACCTTCCTGCCTAAACCTGTGTGTAGCTGGTCGAGGGATTTCCTGGATAGTAGTAAGTACATAACAGAAAGCCTCATCTTAGATTAAATCATCTCAGTTTTTAAATTCCAGTACTGATCACAATATCTGGCCATCAGTCTCAGAACAGTGTCTGTCCATCTGTCTTATAACTGTGTCTGTCCATTGGTCTTATCACAGTGTTTGTCCATTAGTCTCATTACAGTGTCTGTCCATCTGTCTTCTAACTGTGTCTGTCCATTGGTCTTATGACAATGTCCGTCCATCAGTCTTATCACAGTGGGCGTCCATCAGTCTTATCACTGTGTCCGTTCATCAGTCTTATCACAGTGTTGGCCATCAGTCTTATCACAGTTACTGTCTATCAGTCTTATAACAATGTCTGTCCATCAGTCTTATCACAATGTCTGTCTATCAGTCTTATTACAGTGTCCGTCCATCAGTCTTATCACAGTGACTGACTATCAATCTTATCACAATGTCTGTCCATCAGTCTTATCACAGTGTCCGTCCATCAGTCTTTTCACAGTGGGCGTTCATCAGTCTTATCACAGTGTCCGTCCATCAGTCTTATCACAGTGTCCGGCCATCAGTCTTATCACTGTGTCTGTTCATCAGTCTTATCACAGTGTCTGTCCATCAGTCTTATAACTGTGTGTCCATCTGTCTTATCACCGTGTCCTTTCATCAGCTTTATCACAGTGTTGGCCATCAGTCTTATCACAGTGTCCGTCCATCAGTCTTATCACAGTGTCCGTCCATCAGTCTTATCACAGTGTCCGTCCATCAGTCTTATAACTGTGTGTCCATCAGGGTTGGCCATCAGTCTATCTGATGTTCCAGATTATCTTGAATGTCTCTTTGTGATTCATTGTCATATGCTTGAAAAAAACTGATGTTTCACATTTTCGGAAGTTTAATGTCAAGTTTGATGTTTTACAAGAAGAATAGCAGACATTCTGTCATGTTTGGGGATATATATGGTCAGGTAGACCTAGGGAATGAAAAATAAATGTGAGTTTAGTTTATAATTATCATTTCTCTTTTACTGTTATGGAAATCCACAATTGTTACTACACGTGTACCATGAAGGTTTTATATTTTGCATTACACAGATCAGTGACCTTTTTCATGGTGAATACTAGTGCTGTGTAATATGTGTTTTCTTTACTTTGCAGGTTTCAGTCTTCAGACTTGGTTGACGACTAATCATTACAGTCCGGACCAGATCCTATCTTCAACTGCAGTTTCCCAGCTGTTACAGGCACTCAGTCTTGGCGAGTATGTAAATGACCCAATGTGTGACCGCTACAGTCATCCCTTCAGTGGTGCTATTCTGGGCTGGACCACAGGTCAGTACTGACATACTGTATACTGGTAAACGTTTGCAGTACTATGATTTTGTGCGTTTTTGTATTTTGCATTTCAGGGCAATTGTAAGAACTTTTTCCTGTGTACTGTAATTCTAGGAGGCTCCTACTGCATCTATGATATTTACCATTTTTATTCTTGTTCATTTATGTCATTCGTTCAAGTTTGAGGTTTTCCAAATTCTTATAGCACATCTTATATCATTTTACATAATTCATGAAGCAGATTAAATTAATCTCTTTTCATTTTATTATTTTGTTTTATCAATTGATAAAATTTCATTCAGTTCTTGAATTAAGCAAAGTTACAAGAACCATTACAAAACAACAAATTTTAGGTTACCTAGGACAAAGTTTCAAGGTGACCTATTGCGATTGCCCTTTTTTAGCATTTTCAACTTCTTCTTTAAAACCTCTGAACCAAGATCAATGAAATCTTTTAGAAACCTCCCATGGCTAAAGGTGAACTAAAATTTTACATTATATGCAAGGACCTGAAGGGCAGATTGAAAAAGGGGCTTTGACTCAAATTTCAAAAAAATATTCTCAGTACGGTAGAATCAAATGCTTTTCATTTATGGAGGAGTCTGAAGGTTCTTCACCAAAATTGTAAATTTCATGATACAAGGGTCTTGCATTTTTTCAGGGAAGGTTGTTAAGGTAACTTTATTTTATATAGTGAAATTATATTTTAGGTCATCTTACCAAAGGGTCATCTGACCTATTGCGATCGCCTTTTGTCTGGCGTCGTATGTCATAAACATTTTCAACTTCTTCTCAAGTTCTATTGATCTGAAACTTACCTGAAATGATCGTGACATGATCCTGACCAAAGTTTGTTTATTTTGGGTTGGTCCGAAATCCAACATGGCCGCCATCTTGAAAAAACATTTTCGACTTCTTCTCAAGTTCAAAATTTGAAATCTTGTATTTTATGTCAGATGACTCTTAAGGCCCATGGGCCTCTTGTTAAACATAAATTTGTTTAATTTGTTAAATTTCCATTTAAAAAATTTCAAACTTAATTAGAATTATTAGTACAAGATGATGGGTTTTTGATTTGTACATATTGATCCTTACTGATTCCCAGTGATTGATCCTTGTGGACTCTTAAATTGACTGAAATTTCAAATTTTTCTTCTCCACACCCTGGTTGAATCAAATACTCTGCATGGAAGTAAGGGTCTGAAAGTACTTTACCAAAATTGTGAATTTCATAACCCAAGGGACTCGCATTACATCTAGAGGAGGGATTAAATTTGACTTTAGTTTAAAATAGGAAAATCAAATTTTTGAGTTTGATTTCTTTTTAACTCATGGTTAGAATCCTTAACAATTGGGATAGCAGTTAATGTTAACACATTTTACACTTACATTACATGTACAATGTAGTGTAAGTTATCTTACTTTGGGAACAAGATAATTTCTATGTTGTTACAAAAACAAGGTCAGCATTTTAACTCTAGTAACCGTTAAGGCTCTTGGGCCTCATGTTAAGTAATTTTTATGAAATCTTTCAGGCTGTTAAAACTTGTACTCAATTCGTTTGATGTTCTGTCACTATATTTGAATGAATGAAAGTCTTCCAATTTGTTGTTTAATGTAAAGTGATCAAACTTTCTTAACCTGAAAAAAACACACTGATTTTTGTCAGGTTTTGGAGGTTTAAAGAAACTATTATTGAGAGTGACCTCATTGATATATTGAAAATGTGAAAGTTTAACATTTCTTTTTATATCATGATCAATACGTACAGAAGACTTTAGATATCTTTGGTTTAATTGCACTTTGTAGACTGTTTTGATGTGGAATTACGTGACTTACCTAACAACCTTACCTGTTACCTTGACAACACATGTATGGGAATAAGCTGTTGTATGGACGTGAACTTCATGCAAAGAAGCTTCAATGCTTATGTCAAGTTGGAGCCTTGTGACTACAAGATCAGTGTAGGCATTGAGAAGTTGCAGTTTGAGAGCATTCTAAGTGATTTTGATTTTGGAATCTGGCATAATGCGAAACTGTTTGGTGTCGTCAGTATAGAGTAAGTATTCTCATTGATCAGGTATAATATAAATGATGCCTTGCTTGGAAAGCTTTTTACAAATGTCTGCTGTTTCAAAATGCATTTATTCGATGCAGGCAATACCATGCCAGGTTTAAAATCTTTCCAATCTTAAAATAATATGAATTTGAGGAAAATAACACAGTACCAGAGGAAAGGATTTACATAGAGATGCCTTTTTTGGAAAATTCTTATAGCCTGTATTTCATCAAGGACTTACTCCTTGCTGGTCACATGTACACAAGTATAAAATATTTAAACAAGTTTCATACAAAAAGAGAATTGTTTCAATTATTATGCCATGTTTGTAAAGCCGTTTTTCTTCCTTTCAGTTTCATTGTGGATGTATTCCATGCTGACAACATCTACCTGATTTCTATGAATCTGAGTTTGTGTTTTGAGGCAGGCAAGCCATGTAACCATGTCTTCCCAATCTTTGAGAACACTGTCATTCCTAAACCTGTATGTAACTGGAACATTGGATTCCTAGACCCTGGTAAGTTATGTACAATGGTGTTTTCCTCATTGACAAATGATATTCAGCAAACAATACATACAGCCAGTATAGCTTTTGACTATGCAGCCTCAAGTGAAAATCTGAGATGTATGTTTCAATGTCCCTTTCATGTGGTGGTTTACATGTCTTCGCAAACAAACAATTTATATTCCAAGTAGTGCAGGGAAACCTCACCTCTAGTGACACATGCTGTTCCTTGGGCTATAAACCAACAAACAAACAATTCATATTCCAAGTAGTGCAAGGAAACTTCGCCTCCAGTGACACAAGCTGCTCATTAGGCAATAACCCAACAAAAAATTCCTATTCCAGTAGTGTCTGTCACTTGATTAAGGTTCACGCATGACATTTCCGGAAATAAAAATAATTTGACCAGATCGTCTGTCACATGTCAGTTAACACTTTCACTAGACTGTGTTAAACTTGGTTTCTTAGCCAAAAACCATTTTAGCTCTCTTGATATTTTTTCCATGGAATCTATGTTTCTACCATTAAGGTTAATTTGTGAAAATGCATTTTTGATCCTTTTAAAATTTCTGACATCTTCAGAAATAACGCTTTGGAGACATGGTCTACAGATTTAAGTTTTCTTTAGATGATATATAGGCTCTGTTTCTGGAGTTTAAGCCACATGTTTTTATGTATATTACTGATTTTCTTATAGAACTGAGATCCTGATTAATACTATTAAAAGTCCTTTTGAAAGATATAATCTTTATATATTTATCTTCTGACTTTTCCTAGCTAGACTTCCACACAGTTGGTAAAGTCACCATGACTCAGAGACTGGAAAGTAGAGAGTTAAAAGAAGCAATGCATTATGGGATGATGCAATCATGCAGAATTAGCATCTGAAAGTATAGATCTGCATATAGAATTTGAAACTGGATTTCAGAGTTACAATGTTTGATTTTATAGTTTTGTTGATGTTAGAGTCAGGGCATCATATTTCAGAAGTTTCCATTTTGATACTGTTATAGAGGCAAGAATAACAAGTCTTCCCAAATTTTGTTAGTAATCCTTTCTATTCTGTGTTGACTCTTTATGTCTGAACTGTTGATATTTCAGCATTTTCTCTGAAGCAATGGAAGTTGAACCGTGGGATGACTATTGGTGAAAACCTGGCATACCACCACGTGTCAGAGTTACTCCAAGGCATGGGTGTATCTGATTTAATCAGGCCTGATGCATGTAGACGTACAGAGGCACCATACACTGGGGCCAATAGTCTGGGCTGGATAGATCGTGAGTATACATAATCCTGGTAATACACTAACTCCGACCTACCAACTCGGCTATAGAGGTTATCTCTTTGAGTCATTTGTTGGGTCATTAGTGCAGGAAGCCACAGGTCATAAAGTAAAACATCAAGTGTGTCATAATTCTTTCTTGGTTTCCCCAAGTTCTTTGTAGCGTTTTCAGTTTAAAAATTCTGGCCTTTCACTATTTTAGGCTAGATATGAATAACCTGACATAAGTGAGTTTTTGTTGTACAATTTATTTCTAGTTCTTTTAACAGTTTGAGATTTGATCATGTTAAAATAAGATTTTTTATGACAGAATGTTCTGGTACGACGTCGGGCCTGCAGAGCCTGGGGTCAGGAGCAACATGTCGGGTGGTAGACACTTGTACTGGGGTAGATTGCTGTGTGGACTCGGACACACTAGGGTTTGCCATCAATGCCTACCTCTATGTGGATGCCTGCAACTTTCAACTCTCATTGGGAGTGGAATTGCTACAGCTCAACTACACACTGGTTGACTTTGTCTATGATGAACGTCGTACAGTGTCACTCATTGGACTTGTCAATTTCGAGTAAGTACAGTTAACACTGCAGATACTTTAACATTCATTTTTTTCTGTAATTATCACATTTCAGTGTATAATTTCATCATGAAAAAGGCAACATGGATTTCATATAATTACAATGTAAAGTAATAACTTGCTAGACTTTAAACACTGGTATCATTGTTTATTTCTCTTTATTCAATTATTCTTACTACCTTTTTTTTTAATTAATAAGAATAAAAATTTTAATTGACATCATTTTTTGTGGACAAACTGGTTTGTTGGTACTTATGTAACATTTCAGATAAAAATTGGGAGGGAACTGCAAATATTGCTACATATGCCTTGAAAGATTTAGTTGAAGCTTGTCCGTAAGCAAAAAAGGATCAACTGATCCGTCCTGATTTCATAAATAAATAACCCTATTCCAAATGGTCAAACCAGTGTTTGTTTTATTATGATTTAGATATAATACTTCTCATCAGGATAACAACTTATAACCTCTACCTGAAAGTCAGTGGAGGGGTGGGCTTATTACAGGACACCGAAATACTATGTACTATGTGTTAGTAAGTCGTGTTTCTGTAGATATTAGTGGACTTATCATCACTAACCAGGGACTTGAATAAATACAGTATTTTTATCAATGCTGAAAACTGTTATGGATATTATCTTATATTGTCTTACAAACACCTTTGTATTCCCTTATGAGAATCCCCGGTATATAAACAAAATTTTTTTTTACAGTTACCTGATCGTGGACTTAGAAAGTGAAGATAGCTTTGTAGTGTCAGTCAACATGTCCATCTGTTTCGAGTCAGCAGAAGCATGTGAAGTGTCAATAACATTACTGGACAGTGTAAAGATGAAGAAACCTGTTTGTGATTGGGGCACTGACTTCCTAATACCAGGTAATTCAAAGCTTAACGTTGTTCTTTAAGCAACCCTTCATTACTGCATTACCTTTGTCAAAAATTGATAACGAATGCTGCGTTAGTTTTTTTTTACTTTGTTAATTTATCCACATCATTAAATGCCAAGGTTATTGTGACCAGTTCTGAGGTCAAGGTCAAGGTGATGTTGCTTGTCGTAGACCAAAGATTAATGGCATTGAAGGATTTTATCAAAGTTAAGAAATCAAAGTTTTTTCTGATTGCTTTCCAGGTCAAAGATCAAGTTCATCTTAAGTCAAATGTCAAGTTAATTAATGATACCAATTCATATCACCATATTTGTCAAGTAATGTTAGTCCAATCTCAATTTTGCTTATTTAGAATGTCTGATTGGGTATTTTGTCATCACTCAGTAGGGATGATAAATTGATAACTTGATGTAGGAAATTTATATATGAATTTTCCTGGACTATGTTATTGGAAACAAAGTTTTTGACATAAAGATGACCAAACAATGATTGTAGGAGGTAACTCTTGAAAAGTGTATCCTTCAACTGCTTCAATTTTTTACCTAATTTGGAATGGAGCATTCCTTTGTCTAGTAATACAAACTTTGTGTAAATGGAAGATGTAAACCTCTGGGAAGTGATGAAATAAAGTTAAAAATTAGAATTTTGAACATTAAGTTAAATTTTGAACAATAGGACATGTTAAGTTATTTAAATTTTGAATGATAGTACTCATTAAGTTAGTTAAATTTTGAATGATAGGATGTGATATACTTTTGTTAGTTTCAGCAATATTCCACAAGTCACTTCTCCTTTGGGAGTTTCTCTTCACTCTATTTTAAAGAAATAAATTAGTGTCTTTGGCAGAAATTATGAATTTGTATAACAAGGATGTTCTCCACTATGTCTTTGTTTTTGATCCAATTTAGAGTTTGTTATATATACATATCACTACTTTTGATTTATCTATTTCAGGTTTTAGTTACAATAACTGGCTGACATCTCAACAGTGGCCTATTAGTTTACCACTGGACTCTACAATGATCAACCGACTGGAACATGTGTTAGGGATTGCCTACTACTTCCTGGACAGTCCATGTGAACGCAGTGCCTTTTCACCTGCCAATGCCCAGGGATGGAATAAAGGTTAGTAGCACTCAAGGCCATTTTGAGTCAGGAATTTAATCCTTTTTCTGACATTTTTGTAAATAGTTACATGAATTTGAGTAATGATTTCATTGATTTATGATTTTCAGCAATGATCATCTGAATAATTACTGGTTGCTGACCGTTTCCTACAGTAAGTAATGATGGCAAAGTATTATCTTGTGGTTGGAAAGTTTTTTTTAACTGAGAAAAATTTGCATATGTTTTTTAACAGGATGTCGCCCTTCAGTGGATTTGCCAACTTTGATAGATGCGATGACATGTAACTTGTACGACACCATCGACCCCAATACGGGTTGTACTGCTGTTCGATGTTGTACAGACGTTGCCCTCATAAGAAGGTCCATCTACACCTATGTTACTGTTGATCCCTGCAACTTCAAGCTGACTATTGGAATAGAAAAGTTCACTGTGATCGTTGGGCTACTAGACTATGTCTATGGCACCATAGGCCACACCTATCTCCATGGTGCTATCCGAATTGAGTAAGTCAAAAAATGAACACTCTATATCTCGCAAAATATGTATTTTCAAGTCATCTAACCAGAAAGGCCACTCTGATCCTGTTCTATTATAAAGAGTCGAAGGTTATGCATATTGCGACCAAATGTTTGGAATAGCAGATTCTGTTGCATACTGTAAAATTATTAATTTTTGTGAGGGATTTATTTTTGTAGATTTTATGAAAGTTCTTGACACAAATACATTGTCTATGAACTGATGAAAGTAGATTTATTGAGCTGTTTGTGTATTTTTTTCGAAAATCATGAAAATTTAAACCCTGTGAAAAATATAATAGGATTTTGAAGTATTGAATTTAAGTTAAGTCACGGTTCTAGATGGCATTTGTTTCAGTAATAGTGCTTTGTTGCACATTAATTAACTCTACCTATAACTAAAATATACAATGGTTGATTTGATGTTCAAATTATTATATCAGATTTCTGTAGGTGTTTACAGATTGAAACATGAGAAATATGCAGTCAACATTTATCTATGAATGAAATTATTTTTTCCAGTTACGTGATAGAAGATTTGGATTCTGAAAGGAAGTTCCAGGTGTCTCTAAACACTAGTGTTTGCTTTGATTCTATGTCATGTAACGTATCTGGTGTTATCCTAAATGACGTCAAGCTTCCCAAGCCAGTGTGTGACCTGAGCGCAGGCTTCATTGATGAAGGTAAAACTGTTATTTATTACCAAAGGCTTTTAGGATTTTGATTACTGTATTTTCTGGGTTATATGTCACACCAGTATATAAGCTGCAGAGCCAATTTTTTTAACAATTTTACCGATTTGATTTACATATTAGCTGCATCGAAATATAAGTTGAACCCTTTCTTTCGATGTGGTAATGGTTATGTTGGCCAAAGTTCATTGATATAACGGACAACGGAGGGCAGTTTATCAATATCATCAGTGAAACATTTAATATAGGTTTGCAATTATATTTTACATAGATCTGTGTTTATTTTATTGATGTGTTTCAAAAACATAAAACAGCAGTTATTGAACTCGTTTTGGCTTGGGAGCCTTCAAAGATTGTCTATGCACAGATATAGGGACTTAATTGACAATATCTCCATCAAGCCATTCTTATTGTAAACAAGCATGGCAGTCATTCTAGAATTTGACCTTTAACCTGATGCAGCAAGCTATTGTAAACTTCCTTAGCAACCACAGAAGTTCAGAAGATATTATTGTGTTTCATATTAAAAGGTATGAATAATAAATTCCACGAGAATGTTATTTTATTTCAGTCTTAAAATCATCCTGTATACAATTGCAAATGACACATTTAGACAATCTGTTTCAGTCACAAACACGTGATGGACATTTACTTCTAAAAATATCAGTATCATCTTGTACTGGTGTACTGGTACTCTTCATTTTTTATTTATTTTATTTCTTTTTTTGCCAATTTTTTTTCATCCATATATAAGCTGACTGGTATATAAGTCACATGCCTGACAGCCAAGGAATAAAGTCACAGGTTATAATGTGGAAATATGGTAATGTTAAACGCAACAGGATTGATTGGATAGAAGAAATTGCAATATTATGTCTGAATCAAAATATGTATATCTGAAAGATAAAAATTAAGTTATAGAATCTAGAGAATGCTACAATCCTGTCATTGTTAAACTGAATTTCTTGAAGGAATTAAATATCTTGTTGCTTTAAATGCCTTAACCTAATTTGGTGCAATGATATTAAGTGCATGATTACTTTCTTTTTGCAAATTAACGCAATGAAGTCAATAATTTTTTTAATTGGAACAACGTACTGCATTTAGCTTGATCATATTTTGTATAAATAATTTGAGGGTAATACTTTAGTGTGGAAGTACTAGAATGAAATTATTGGGAAATATGTTTGTTTGCAGTATGCTGCTCTTTTGACAAATTCCATTATTTTGACAATTATTAAAACTAGACTTTAATTTGATATATGTTTCTTGTTCATGTATAAGATTAACCTACAAACTAAGCCTGTTGTTACAATCAAATAATCATTGTTTCCCAGCTTGAAATTATTTCAACCTTTTAATGAAATTCATTTTAAAGGACAAAACCAATGCATCCCCATTTAGCCCTGTTTCAAGAGAACTGGCATTTTCTATGAATATTGCTTCATGCTACTAAATAAATGCTGCTTATTGTTGAGACAGATTTCTCCCTTGTGCAATGGAAGAGTGAGCGTGGAGTATTTGGTGCGGTCACCGGTTACTCTGTCAGTCAGTTGATGGATACACTAAAGATCAATGACTTCCTCCTGGATACTCCGTGTCAGCGAACAAGTGCACCATACAACATGGCTACAAATGGAATATACAATGGTAAATTCTTCATACCTTCCATATGACGAAAAATCCAAGATGGCGGACACACGTACATCTTGTGAACAGGAGGATTGCCTGCAAATATGCCCCCTCCTCTCTTTTGACAAGTCTTTTTGAACTGGGTGGGGGGGGGGGGGGCTTATTTGCAGTAAAATACAGTAACTTAAATCAGGAAGGATCTATCTCAACAGGCTAGAGACAGGTTCCTCCTGAAGATGCCCAGCATAATGGGCGAAACTGGTAGACATACTACCTAATAAAAGATTGAAGAACTTGACTGTAGTCAGTTGAGATCCTTCCTTTTAATCAATCCCCTGCATACCCTCGGGTTTCCAGGTGAAAGGTGTAGGACCCATTGATTCACTACCTATATAGAAGCAGTGGAATTGGCTCTACTTATGATATATTCTACATAACTTTATATATTTCCTAATTACTGAATAAAATACTGGATACCCATGGTTTGCTATCAAAAGAAATCAGGGTGGAATGTCTTGTTTAAGGACAGAACTATGATATCATGGGTTGGTTTATTTCTCCATTTCCTAAGAAGCGCAGACCACTTCTAAAAGGGATTAGTAAACCATACACTTTGGATCTTCACCGGATTTGACAAAATCTGACGTCTACTGATTGAGTTATTGTGATCTCATTGTTCATGAATGGTGTTTCTTTGTTGTAGAATGTGGCTCCCTGACCTCACTACCCACCATCACAGAACCAGCGACCTGTCACATTCTCAGCTATTGTACGGGCATCCACTGTTGTATGAAGCCTGATGATGTGGACATCACCTTCCAAGCGTTCATCGAGTTCCTGCCATGTCAGTTTGAAATGAAAATGGGGATAGAGAAACTCACCTTCACGCAGTCATTGTTTGATTTTGAATTTGCAAACGACTATGATTTCTACATGTTCGGCGCTGTGCGGATTCAGTAAGTTGTATCATTTCATTTTAATGGAACTTTCTACAAAATAGATGCGAAAAATAAGTTCCTTTGTTCAAATCTGGTGTGAGTGCTACACTGTCAGCTTCCGTATTGATAGAACCTGCTTTTGTGCAATTGTTTACAGTTTCTATGCATTGGTAATAGTTTAGGTTGAAAAAAATCATGCAATGTATTTGTGAGATCTTTCCTAACAAATTGCAATTTCGTTTCCTTAAATTTGCGCACGAGAAATGCTACATATAGTAATCTAGAATAATAACACGAAAGTTCTCTCACTTTTATGCTTTTTTAAATTAAAGCATTTCCACTCTTTAAAGACGTGTGAAAGGTTACAGAATTATTTATAACACTGTATTGTATCCAATCATATTTATAGCTCTGTATTGTATCCAATCATATTTATAGCTCTGTATTGGTTCTTTCTATTCTCAGTTTCAATGTCATTGACTTGGTAGAAGCAGGGCTTTACGTGGTCAATGCCAGGTTCAAAGTCTGTTTTGAGGCCGATGAATCAAAGCCTTGTGATGTGGATTTCACCTTGTTTGATCAATACCTTCTCCCCAAACAGACTTGTAACTGGGCAACAGATTTTAATGTGCCAGGTATGTATAACACAATATACCAAATATGTATAATGTGCCAGGTATGTATAACACAATATACCAAATATGTATAATGTAACAGGTATGTGTAACACAACATACTGGGTTTGTGTAATGTACCAGATATATATACATACAACATACTGGGTTTGTGTAATGTACCAGATATATATACATACAACATATTGGGTTTGTGTAATGTACCATATATATATATACATACAACATACTGGGTTTGTGTAATGTACCAGATATATATACATACAACATACTGGGTTTGTGTAATGTACCAGATATATATACATACAACATACTGGGTTTGTGTAATGTACCATAGATATATACAGATATGTATACATACAACATACTGGGTTTGTGTACATACAACATACTGGGTTTGTGTAATGTACCAGATATATATACATACAACATACTGGGTTTGTGTAATGTACCAGATATGTATACATACAACATACTGGGTTTGTGTAATGTACCAGATATGTATACATACAACATACTGGGTTTGTGTAATGTACCAGATATGTATACATACAACATACTGGGTTTGTGTAATGTACCAGATATATATACATACAACATACCGGGTTTGTGTAATGTACCATATATATGTATTTACATACTATGTTCCAATTATGTATAATGTAATAGTTATGTGTATTGTACTTGTATATAAGGCTGTAATATCAAAGGAATGACAAAGAACAAAGATGAAACTTCCCCATTGTTCTAATACATAGATCAGTGATAAAGACTGACTTTACCAAAGTTGTATTATTAAAATTTGAATTATTCAAAAGTCAAAGATGTGTTTTTTCTGATTGTCATTGAATGCTGTCAGAGCTTCACAAGTGCTTACTATGTCTTTATCATTTTACTTCAGGGTTTTCTCTGGTTACCTGGCTAGCATCTGAGGGCCTGTCTATGTCTGTGCCCCTCCCACCAGTCACTGTGTCAAATCTCTTGTCCTATTTGAAACTTGCTGCTTACCAGTATGAAACATCATGTGACCAGAAGTCAGGCATTTACCTAGCAACTACAAACATCTGGAATCCAGGTATAAAAAGTAGTTTGTGGTGATTGACATTTATAAAAAGATTAGAAATTTTCTGGTGTACAGAGAATAAAATGTTTAAATAAATCAGTTTTATGATGAACTGTTTACAGAATCTTAATACAGATATCATATTTTGTTGTGTCTACTCATTATTCAAGAATTTGCCAGGACATTGTATCAGGCCAAAAGAATCTAAGGTTTTAAATGTAACCTGTACTAATGCAACTTTGTACTGACTCTAAAGTGTAACTATACAGAACATATCATCTACTGTCCTGAATACAAAATATGTAGCAGTTATATGGAAAAATATTCGTTATTCTACAGAATGTCCAAAGACGATTGACCTCCCAACAGTCTCGGAAAATATTACCTGTAACATCCCTGACTCGTGTACTGGTCTGCACTGCTGTCTGTATGTGCCCGTTTTGGACCAAACTTTCCAGTTTTCTCTCAGCATTGACTCCTGTTATAAGAAACTGCGAGTGAGCATTGAGAAGATCTATCATGAGGAGTCCCTGATCGATTATCTGTTTGGAACAGAGAAACACTTCTACTTCTATGGAGTGATCCGTATGGTGTAAGTGTTATGTTTTATTGTGACAGGCATGGTTACCAAAGTGATACAGATTCATGTGAGTTTCACTGTATTTATCCAGTAATGCAACTAATCCCTACAACAGATATCCACCCATGTTTATTGCAACAACCTTGCCAGAACACTGACGTTTGTTGGTGAAACTATACCAACTTATAGGAAGAGTTTCAGAGTCGGAAAACCTAAAATTACTGTAGAACTATTAATTCTTGTAGTAGATTTTTTTTTGCTGATTTTAAAGCGTAGTCTTAATCCATGAATCAAATTAGTATAAATGGATTGATAGAGCTATGTTTATCCATGTGATCCTCAAAATAGAGATACAAAAACACATGAAGATTTGAGTACCACAAAAAGATATGACTTTAAAAGTAACCATCTATCAAAACGTGATGAAAAAGCTAATAAATACAACATCAGTATAGTATAAGTCCTTACTTTGAGTCATGTTTTGTGTTGACCCCTGGGTCTTCTTGCAGAATAAATATGGTAAAAGAAATCCAAAACATCTTTATATAGAAAGTTCATTATGGACATGGATAATGGATATTTCAGGAAAATGCTATTTTTTTTTAATTCTGTTAATCTTATAATGGTGGGCCATTATAATGCTGTACAAATATAATTCTGTAAATATAAGCAGCCTTTTAATGTAAAAGGGTTTATCCGAACTTATCGTAGAAATTCTTTTACAGAATCAAAATACACACTGGTTATAGTCTGTGAACAAAGCATGTTTTTATAAAATAATTGTTTTAGATGTATGTATATGTAATTGATATGATTTAGAAAATGGTAAAACTTGGTGTTTATTTTGTTTCAGTTACAAGATAGAGTATTTGATGTATGACAGAAGTTACCTGGTATCTCTGAGGATACAGGTGTGTTTCGAGACCTCCGGATCATGTAGTCAGGACTTTACTCTCCTTGACACTGTACGCTTTCCAGAACCAGATTGTAGCTGGGATGCAGGGTTTGTCAGAACAGGTAAGAGGAAAAATGTCAAATTACATAGACAAAAAATTAACTACAGGTCTATTGTACCTCTTGACAGACACGTATGAAATGTGCATATTGGAAGGATCATTTGAATTTGAACCAAATGATCTTTGTGAACCAAATTCGACCAAATGTACTCTCTGTACCATATGTACTCTTTGAACCAAATGTACTGTGAACTAAGTGTAGTTCATGACCCAAGTGCACTCTGTTAGCAGAATTGCACTCTTTGACCCAAATGTACTCCTTGACCCTAATGCACTGAGTTCAGAAACATACTATGTTAACCAAATTAATTTTGATAACAAAATGTATTTTGTGAACTAAAATTTATGTACTCTATGAGTCTAATGTACACTTTGACCTAAAGGTACTCCTTGAACAAAAATATACACTTTGAACCAAATATCACTAATCGTATAAAGTGGACACTTCTATGAATCAAATGTGACTTATTTTTACAGATTTTTCACTAAGTCAGTGGTTACAGGAAAGAACAGTCGCCCCAGGTGAAAAGCTGTCTTCAGTGTATGAGAGCGAACTAATGCAGGACCTGTCGCTGGTTAGCTATATACAACATCCAACATGTAATGGCACAACATCTGCATTTACTCCTTCTACTAATGGCTGGAAGTCTGATGGTTTGTCTTTATTTCTGTTGTTTTTGAAAATTCAGTCAAATGTTTTTCTTGCAATGTAAATTTAACTTTTGGTAAAATAAATCAGAATTAATTTTTCCTATGTAAAGACGGCCACACCAATGTCTTGTTGAATATTTTATAATCTGTGTATTGTTATCATGAAGTTAACAATGCAGGTTGAGTATTGAATATTAAGGTTGTCATCTGAAGATTTGGATGGGGAAGGGATGTCCTCCTTAATTTCTATGTCTTCTAATCTTCATATCTGAGAAAGTTATAACGACTGCTTATTGATATAACTCTATATATGGTTAATTTGAAATTGTTGACTACTCACATTTTGATGTAATGTTGATATTTTTAGAATGTAGTGGACTACCGCAATCTCTACCTGATCTGTCAGCCTATCCTGTTTCCTGTGCACTTCAAAGTACCTGTACCAGTTGGCTCTGCTGTGTGGAATTAGGCTTTGTTCAGCAGAACCTTTTCATACAATTTGATATCAAGCCTTGCGATCTGTTGTTGTCTGTTCAAATGGAGGATTTATATGTGGAAGTTCCACTGCTTGAAGATTTGACAGGTAAGTCTTTGTCTGAATATCAACAATGCAATTCTGAATTAAGAGTCATACTGGAGTTATAGTATAGATCAGTACATCATGACAGATATATCAACACATAAGATTTAGATAGAGAAACTTTCAAACACATTGAGGTATTGTGTTGTGGTCAATTTTCAAAGGAGAGACGAACATCTTTAACCAATTAAATATTTTGAAAAGTTGTTTAAACTTTTAAATTGAATATGATAAGTTATCTATTCCATTTCGAAATTTATTTTGAAACATCCAAGTTATCTGCTCGTTAACAGAGCTGAAGAAGGGGAAGGATGAGGAAAAAGAAGTGGGGGAAGGATGGGAGAGGGGATGGCTTACTTATTTACAGTCAATGTGTTTGTTATTTACAACAATGAGAGAAATATTGATATAACATTACTAATCCTAGCACATTTACTCATTGATATAAATGTAAATTTATTTACTTACAGGGAGACCAAGGACATTCTACTTAAATGGCATCCTCAGAGCAGAGTAAGTCATCTATATAATCCTAATTTGACCTTTGCCCTTTTGTTATTACATGTCATTCATCTGTGACATTCTGACATTTTCATCTTTGTTATCACATCTCCTAAACATTCAACCTGAAAATAAATGCAATTTGGATATTTAAAAAATGTCAAGGAGAGTTTTAATAGAGACAATGTCATAAGCTTGTTTAAAGAAATCTGAATCAGAGCATTATGAATATAAAGAGGAACACTTTTACATTGATGTTCTTGGACATGGTTTTCATAGTCTATCACGGGATATGGTGATCAGGGTTCATCCAAGGGCAGAACCAATGTTACTGCTTAGTGGATACATCTGGACCTAAACTGTACTGATGTAGATATGTACATTATGTTTGGTCTGTTTACACAGTTATACTATATACAACCTGGAGAGTGAAGGCAACTATCTGGTAAACTTTGACCTCTCACTGTGCTTTGAGACCAGCTCCTGTCAGTGGACAGCCCCCATCTTGAAGAACACTCTCTTGCCAAAACAATCTTGTGATTGGAACAGACCAATGGCTGACTCTGGTAAGTGATCACGACGTTAAACATACAGAATCAAGCAAGTTAAAAAGGATGATATTGCAGCCAAAAATATCCCCAGTCACTTTTGTTTAACGTGGTTGAAACAGTAAATGGGGCACAGAATTATTCTGTGCCTGATTTCCTCTTGTAGAATCAACTTGTCAAACAGTTTCATCCACTTCAACTCAATTCATGTCCTTGACTTACAGTCAAAGACTGTGCAGTGGAGCATCACTATCTCTTGTCACTCATCAGACGATAATTAATTCTGACCAGTTAGCTTATCAAACTGATTTTTCATTGTCTTACAATCTCATTTTGTATGTTTAGAATCAAGTCTGATTTCATATTCTTATTGGTTCCTAACATTTTATCTGACAGGATTCTCCCTGGCAACATGGAAGACCTCTGTGGGTGCAGGAACGGTATTGACTGACAATGAGGTTTATCGGTTAGTAAATGTGCTGGAGGTTGGTTTCTACATGTCTACCACTCCCTGTAATATATCAGCTGCTCCATACTCTCCAGATGTCAATGGCTGGAACAAAAGTGAGTCATTCTTGGAATATTTAATTAATTGATTGCTTGACGGAAAGGACATTTTTATCCTTGATCCCTATTTTCAAGAATTTCAATATACTCTTGTAAACAATAATTTTGTTTATATTAAAATGTAAAAGGTGAGACCATTTAGACAGATAATATGATTTTAGTCCAATCGGACTCTTTCTTGTATTAATAACAAATTCACACGGTGTTTTTATGTCATTGGTTTGCTTTACAATATCGGTTATAATCATATTTCAAATTTGTCTATTGCTTTCATTTACAGTGATGTTAGGAATGGGGTAGGAGGCTTTGGCATTGTGGGGTTTGGGATTTATCTGTAGACAAAAGCTTTTGTTGACAATAATACGTGTGTCTCTTACTTTCACACCAATTCAGACCTTGTTGAAAAGCTGCCACAATTTAATCCATTTCTTATTCTGTATCCTAGTATTTATATACAAGAGTTAGGTCTATGCTTTGAGTACATTTTGACTTCCCGAGTATTTGAGGAGTATTTCTGGGGAAGTGTTTTCTTGTTACCGTCCAACCTTTTTGTATTTTGTAACCTTTGACCTACCAGCCTGCACAGAGGATATAGCAACCCTGCCAACCTTGCCCTCAGGGACCCGATGTCACTTAACAAATTTGTGCACTGAAGTGGACTGTTGTTCTGATGTGCCAACTATCAAACGAAACATCCATTACAAGGTGCATGTAGACACCTGCAAGAAGATGCTATTTGTCGGAATTGAGGCTGTACATGCAGAGATTCCTCTATTTAACTACAGGATGGGTGAGACATGGTACTACAAGATCAGAGGTGTCTTCATCATTAGGTCAGTACTCAGAGTCACAAGGCAATGGGGTCTGTACACATTATTAGGTCAGTACTCGGAGTCACAAGGCAATGGGGTCTGTAGACAACATCATTAGGTCAGTAATCAGAATCACAAGGCAATGGGGTCTGTAGACAACATCATTCGGTCAGTACTCAAAATCACAAGGCAATGGGGTCTGTACACAAGGTCAAGGACACAAATGAAAGATCAAATTTTATGTTTGGGGCTTCGCTATGTAGAATGTTACTGGTTTGTATGTTCTTAGAGGAGCATGATTTGTCAGCTTTACTATTTGCCTTGTGCCTAATAATACACCTATGATTTTACACACATTAACAATATTGGAAATATCTTTAATATAGCCTGACATTTTTGCCTGTTTCACCCTTTTGAAAAATAAGGCCAAACAAATAATGTGGTGCTGAATTATGGTGTTCCAGACAGTTATGTCTACATAATTTCAGAATGAATAAATTAGAATCTGCGTTTTAGGTAATTTGGCTTATTGCTCTTTTAATTGCATCTATTTAAAATGGGGCTTATTAGTTTCAGAATTCTGTTACTAGGTGAGAGCTTATTTCTATAGGATCTTTATTGTTCTACTCACAGGTGGAAATAAATTATCATGGAAATGGAAATGCTATTGGTTAAATCTGTTACACATTGATTTGTTAAAAACAACTTTAATACTAATTAACCTGATTGGCTAGGTATTTGCCTGGGTGCTAGCAGCACTGGTAAACCTTATTAGATAAGCTAACTGCTTGTGACCTAATATGGTGTTAAGTAATATGTTGCTATGTTTAATGAGAAAGGTATGTTTTTGTTGCTATAGCTACAACATCCTTGACCTGCCAGGCAGTGAGAAATTACGTGTGTCCATCACTATCCAATCCTGTTTCACCGTCGGGTCATGTGACACACCTATTGTGGTACTGGACGGTGTAGAACTTCCCAAACCACAGTGTAACTGGGACTATGGTTATGCTATCACAGGTATCATTCAATATTCAGGAATCTTTGCCATAGTGTAGTTTTTGCCCATTTTGCAGTTTTTCAAACAAGTGAAAAACAAATCAATACATTGCATTGATTTATGTATTTTAAGGCATATTTAATGCTAGTGAAATGAATAGATTTATACAAGAAAGGAAAATATTCCAGGGAAATGTTTTCCTGGTATATAACTTATACTAAATAATATTCATATTTTCTTGCATTTATTAACATTTGGGTTCTATATATTTATCGTGTTCTGTGGGCACATTACATATGACTCAAAATAAGGGAGTGGACTTGTTTGTCAGATATGAAAATGTATCGGTCGATGAAGATAATGATAGCTTTTCCATGTCTATAGTAGAGATTGTCATCAAGTAGCATGTTTGTATTATATGTTTCAGTTACCAAGATCACCATTAAAATATATTTGATGCTTTGATACCAAATTATTGGTGTTTTGGCTTAATGTCAATAAAATTTATACTTAGATTCATAGTCATTATTGTGAAAGTGGACATCACTGTGTAAATTGTCAGATTTTCTCTTCTTTTACTATTAATGTTGTTCAATGTTGCCAATGTGCTTTTTGTTTTTCAAAGTAGGCTAATATATTCTTCTTGTTTGGATATTTTGTAAATCTTGATTTTTTGTAAGAGTTATAAAAGTATTTTTTTCATGTACAGGTTTCTCCATAGACAAGTGGCGTCTAGACAACTCCGTAGAAGTGGACAAGGCCCTTGACCAATACCAGATTGCCAGGCTCCTAAGGGAACTGGAAGTCTCTACCTATTTCTATGACAATGAGTGTTCCTTTGCCACTGGAGTATTTGTTGGTGCAATTGATGGATGGCATAATGGTATTATAATTTCACAAATGAACAGAGTTCAACATTTTGAATGTTCACAGTGTGATTTTGAAAATTCTGTCTTTTTTATATCAGGCAATTTCAACCAACCAAATGAATCTGAATTTTTTTTGCTGTCGTAGAATGTCCTAGTGTCCAGACTCCAATTCAGGATGATGCTACATGCTACTTGTCGTCTGACTGTACTCACATGGAGTGTTGTATGACAGATTCCACCATCAACAGAAACATCCACTCGTATGTTAGCCTTGATCCCTGTGCCAATCAACTACACATTGGTATAGAGAAGCTGTCCTTCAATGTGTCCCTATATGACTACAACTGGGGTAGGTCTGGCTTGTGTTTTATATATCGTTCTGGACTACAACTTCTATAGGGGAGATAACTCTTGTTCTGTATAAGTCTTGTTACCTGATGTGTCCTTCTTAATGAATTTCAAATTTTTCAAAGCTATAGAAAATCCATTTTATATTTCAATTATATTTTTTAAATGAAATATTTGAAAAATATTGAAGGACATTTTGAGGTTATCAATTTTTTTTTTTATACCCCTACTTAGTAAAAGGGGATATGGTAATCAGTCAATTGTCAGATTCGACTACTTGTCATGTTTATGTACTGGATATCTAATCAAACTGTGGACAGATCAGAAATAAAACAGTCAGTCAATATGTGGGAGGTGTAGGGGCTGCTTCATTTTGTTTTTATTGCTGGCTTTATGTGTGCTTTTTTTTTTTTTTTTTTTGGCAAAACTGAATGATTTGTTAATGTTGCATATTCTCGCATGCTTTTATTTTCCTGAAATCTTTGACTTGACAGAGAAACTATATGGTTTTATATTGAATTTGAATTATTTTCTTTATTAGGTCACCTTGAGGAGCTGGATATCGGGGGAGTTTTCAGGATAGGGTGAGTAAGTTAGGTATCAGAGGATTTTGCAAGACTGCGGTAGGTGCAGTTGGATTTCAGGGGTGTTTTCAGGACTGGGTAGGTAAGGTACCCATTTAAAAAAATTGTTTAAAAAATGTAAATCATTAATGATAAATTGAAATATGGAGTGCAGTCATTTGTGAATATGGAAGGTTTAAATGTATTAAGTTCCAAATACCTGTTTGTTTTGTAGTGTGACTATAGAAGATCTGACCCACGAGGACCTGTATGTAGTGAGTGTCCTTCTGAGTCTGTGTTGGGACAGCGGGGCACCATGTGAGAAAGTTGTAACTGTCTTTGACAACACACAGCTCCACAAAACTCCATGTGTATGGGCCAGGGATTTCCCTGTGGCAGGTGAGTCAGGGTCACAATTCTGTATCCATGGTACAACATTTTTAATGCCAACCTCTTCAAAATTCATTTTGTAGTTTTTTTCAAAATTTATATGCAAATATTGGAAATTTTCAGGTTTGGTCGTCCGTACTTACAGTGAACTGCAACAGACCATGAAAGAAGAGTGCAGTCCTTTGTATTAAGAAAATCTCTATCGTTGTAGATACTTGTAAAATGATATATGGCATTTGGATTCTATAGTTTGTATTTTCTTTGCAGGGTTCTCTCTAACCCAATGGTTTAGTGACACAGGAAACACACCTGTGTCTACATTGACTGGAGATGCACTTGTGGACCTGATGGAAGCTCTAGACCTATTCCCGTACTTAAAAGATGACGAGTGTAACATCTCAGCAGCGCCCTACTTTCCTCAGGACAGCTTCGGATGGAACATCAGTATGTTTATTATCTTAGCTATTCCACAGGTTTGAAGACATAATTCTTGGAACACAATGCCTGGGCAGCACTTGTTTCAGGAGGAGATCTTTGAAATTCATTTAAGAAATTTTGGATTTAGTCATCTTTGAATATAAAATTTCTAGTGTGGTATAAAGAGATAATTGTTTGGTAAATTGGAGAGGCCAATTAATATTGATAACAACTACATGTGTTGGATATTTTGTGTTGTTTAACAAATACATTTGTGACATTTATTCTGAAACGGAATGCAATTTCATTAGAATAATTTTCCTGTTGTAGTACTAGCTGAAAAGACCATATATTTTTAAACTCTGTACATTTGTCTATCGGTCAATTGAGTTTTTAGGATTATAAATTTACTCATAAGGCACCCCTACCATTGTTTAAGTTCGTGAAACACTTATTTGACTTTGGATGGTGACATGTCTCATATTGAAATCTTATCTCATTTTTACTCTATACAGAGTTATGGACATTTCTTCAATGTCCATCGTTTTGTCCAAGGTATTTCTGGAGTAATATTGTTTTTTCGTAATTTCCAGCTTTTTTGTATCTTAACAATGGATTGTTTGTGATTCGTTTGCCTTGTTGAATGTTTAGGTTGCAGTCATCCCATGGCAGTGCCAGACTTACATGATGATGTGTACTGTAATATTGGAGATACCTGTGGATCTGTGGACTGTTGTGTAATGTTATCAACATTAGGACGTTTCGTACAAACTTACGTCTTTATAGACCCTTGTACTTACGACCTCACAGTGAGAATTGAGAAGTACGGCTTCACCACCTCCTTACATGACTATACCTGGAGGACAACACGCTATCTTTACCTCAATGGGGTCATCCGTCTTGAGTGAGTGATATATTAATTAAAGACTATCATTCCATTAATGTTCTTACCACAAACTTCTAATTCTGACGGTCTTTAGATAATTGAGACATATTTCACATGTTTATATAAAATTATGGCAGCACATAGATGATTTTAATAACCACTTCCTCATTAGATTAATGATTTATACAAACTTAAATTAATTAGCATAAGTTATTTCTATCCTGTCAAGCACATTTCACAAATTGAATAATTTAATGGTAATCCTGATATGTAAGGTTCTCCTTAATTGTCCACCTTCATCAAATGAAATTGGATGAAGTTTTTTAAACAGAAAAAGCCTTAGTTGGAATTCTGAACTGCTAAAAAGGCAAATGAGGTCTGTTTAGCACATAAGTTTTATCATTGTTACAAGAAAATTATTAAAAGTGTTTTGTTTGGAAATTTCAGGTTTTCAATAGATGACCTGTATTACCAGAATCAGTTTCTGCTCAGTCTGTACTTGAGTGTGTGTTTTGAATCAGCTGGATCCTGTTTGATTGATCGCTCTCCAATACTTGAAAACACACTTTTAGACCGTCCTCCTTGTAACTGGGAATCTGCCCTTTACCTGAATGATCCAGGTTTGTTGAATTAATTTTCCTGAAGTAATTAAAACAATTTAACAAACTGTAACTTAGACATTGGACATTAAATTTTTTGTTTATCATTCTAGTTAAAAAAACATCTACTTTATTTGCATAATATTCTTAATTTTTATGGTCAGTATAATTTACTTAATACTCTTAAATATTTATAGTCAGTATTTTGAAAAACTGCAAAGATTGTGAACTTATGAGGTGCAAGGAAATTACTGGTGATTTTTAAATCAATATTTAGATCAGTATTTTGTTGGGTGAAATTTGAAATATTTAACTGATAACCACTATAAATATGATAAAATCCAATTTAGTTTTCGTAAATATTCCTTATTTTACTTTGTGTCCAGACTTCGACATCACAGATTGGAGAACCAAATATGGGTTTACAAACTATGATGAACCACTACCCCTATATGCCCAATCACAGCTAATGAATACATTTGGATTGTCTCGGTATATGAAGGAGACCTCATGCTCCAGAAATCTGGCTCCGTTCGATTCTGCCTATTATGGATGGGTTAGAGGTGAGTGATTGGTCACCATCAATCATGGTTGAGGCTTCACATTGTAGGTGAATTACCCTGTTTAATACTAAAACTGTACACATCACTAATGAAAAATTCATATACTGTGGGAATGTAAACTTAAGGAAAAAATAGAAAGGTATTTGCTTTCAGATTAAAAAGAATTAGCAAACAATACAACTAGATAATTAAAAAAAAAATCTCAACTTTTCTCATTCATGTCTTTAACATTTTGAGGCTAAGACTTAAGCTGATATGAATATGAAAATAATAATGAAATTGTTTTAATAATTTGTTGTCTAGAGTGCTTGTCACCGGTTCAAATGTCATCATTATTTGGCGAGACCGTATGTGTTTTGGATGCTGAGTGTACTGGAATCTCTTGTTGTGTCTACGTACCTGACCTATCCAAGTCCTTTAACTTCTTCATGAAGATTGAATCCTGTAACTACAAGTTCAGCATCGGCGTGGAAAATCTCTCGGACAATATCACCACATTCAACTTTGACTTTGGTATATTGAACTTGCTGCTTTTGTTTTTAATTTGACACTTTTTTTAATATGGTTTGTCAATATCATGCAGAAATATGCAAAAAAATCATAATTATTCTTCATTGAATTTGTCTTCATTTGAGCATTTTTCCTTTGCATTTTGTTAGAAGTTAATTTTTCTCTGCTTTCAGGTGAAGTTAAACAGTTTAACTTTGGAAGAGTTTTACGTATTGAGTAAGTTTGTTTTCTTAGTATACTTTTTGTTTATGATAGCTTTCCTTTGAACATGCATTTTAATCTAAAGAATTTTTTAATAGTAATGTATACATGTATAAGAATATAACTTTCCAGGGTGAAAATTGTCTTAAAATTTGTCTTGATAAAGCCTCATCCTTAGAGATGAAACTAGTCAGCAATAATAAATTACCTACCAATTAGTGATGCTTGGGTATGTTATGATTGAATCTATTTTTATTAATTTTGATATTTTACTTTATCGCCCGGCATTCCTCCTGGAATCAATACCTAATGCACAGCACCCCACTGATCAACCCTCACACCTGGTACTAACTTGGCTCTATTTTTAGTTTTGTTTAGATTATTTACTTTACTTTTCTGGTTGAATGGTTTGACGGAATCAGGTCGCTGTTAAGATCTGAAATAGATTGGATTTCTTGTGTCTGCAAACTCTGATTTTCTTCAACACACTTCCCACTGGTTCCTCCAGGAACTCGGATTCACTTCCACACACTTCCCACTGGTTCCTCCAGGAACTCTGGTTCTTCCAGGAACTCTGATTTACTTCCACACACTTCCTACTGGTTCTTCCAGGAACTATGATTTTCTTCAACACATTTCCTACTGGTTCCTCCAGGAACTCTGATTTACTTCCACACACTTCCCATTGGTTCCTTCAGGAACTCCAGTTTTCTTCCTCATGATTCCTCATGGTTTCCATAAGGGCACACAAGAATGTTTGGAAATTAACAAAGCTTTCACATGTTTTCCTTTTATACTTCACAGCTATATCCTTGACAACTTGGAGGGAGCCAATGACTACCTTATCAGTCTCAATATTAGTGTATGTCTAGGAGGTAATGCAACTTGTAACTACGAAGAACAAATCCTTGACAACGTCAGGCTGCCAAAATCAACATCTTGTGTCTATGACGACGGGTTTGCCATCAATGGTAAGTATTGACCCTGAATATGTGACATTGGGTCACCATCACTGATATGTATTTAGAAATACCCCGTATCTATGACAATTGGTCACTGTCATTTACTTGTATTAATAACGTCCTGCATCTGTGACAAGAGGTCACCATCACTGATATATGTTTAGAATGACCCTGTATATATGACAATGGGTCACTGTCATTTACTTGTATTAATAACGTCCTGTATCTGTGACAAGAGGTCACCACCACTGATATATGTTGAGAACCATTGTATCTATGACAATGGGTTACCATCACTGATACATGTTGATAATGACCCTGTATTTGTGACAATGGGTTACCATCACTGATACATGTTGGTAATGACCCTGTATTTGTGACCAGGGGTTACCATCACTGATACATGTTGATAATGACCCTGTATTTGTGACCAGGGGTTACCATCACTGATACATGTTGATAATGACCCTGTATCTGTGACCAGGGGTTACCGTTAGTGATATGAGTTGATCCTAACAGAATTTTATTGGGTCAGCTAAGCCAAATTGATAGGAAAATATACATGTTTTCATCACGTAAGTGTCATTCTGTCAGCTTTTGATTTTCTTATCTCCTGAAAAAACAGTGGGAGGATTTCAACTATATTTCATTCTGAATTGAAGTAGTATTGTAGAAATGATGGACTACAGCCTTAAATACATACCCAAGAGGATGTAGCCTTTTATAGAAACCCAGAAAGAGGCAATAACTTTAATAAAAAGACATTCAAAAAAGAGGCTTTGGCCTTAAGTAGGTGTCCAAAAAAAGGCTGTGATGATATGTCTCCCAAAATGAAGAATTTTAATCAAGTAATGCTAAAGCCTACTATTCTATAGAGTTTCAGCCATAAAAACTAAATTATAAGATTTTTTTATGTCACCTGTGTAATTATGTGACACTACATCTGGTATTTTTTTCTTATATTTGCAGACTTCTCCTTGAATTCTTATCTGACGGATAAGGGTATTTCTACCGGAACACCTCTGGAGGATTATGTTTTGGCCCAACTATTGAAAGACATGAAAGTTTCCCCGTATGTGGATACGGTGCAGTGTGACCCCACAAGTGGTCAATATGCTCTTAAAGATTCTGATGGATGGGTACGAGGTAAGCTTAAAGTTGGAGAGAAATTGACTACAGATTCACATCAAAGTAGATTTCATCATATCCTTACATGGTGGTCTTCAATTTGAATATTATGTGTTAAATCAAATTAAAATATTTATTTTGGCACGTTAAGACATTATTCATACAAATAAAAGTTCAAAGCACTGGATTTACTATTGATAAGTTTCAAAACATTAAGACAATCGGGTAGAGATTATCTTTTAGCTTTATTGGATACATGTAAGATTAGTAAGCCAGGGGATCTAGGTTCAATTTCTAAAGAATTTTATTGAAATAAGTGACGACTTATTTAACATTGGCCCCAATTGTGAAATCAAGAAGTATTAATGAAAATACCATGAGTTTCTTTCATATGCATCACTGTTAACCCTAGAAAGTTTGATGAGTTCTCCTAATGGGGAATATGTGACCTTGGTAAATAAAGATAGCAGAGAAGATGCCAACATGTCAATAGAATCATAATATAAATGCAATAAAACTAGGTGAAAATATGAACAAAAGAAAGATAAACCAGAGACTTCTGAAAAATTACAAAAGATAATAAGACAAGGTGTTCTGGGAGAGGAAGCATCTTCTGCTTCACTGAGCACACCATACTAAGCATAAGGTATGTACTGCTTATCTAGAGAAAATAGCAAGAGTTGATTGCTTAAGCATAAGTCAGATATCCTTGCTTTAATCTAGCATGGAGGCATTGAAATATATATTGTATATGTGTTGTAGACTGTGGCCTCTCCACTGCTGTATCCTCGCTGCACTCACACATGAGCTGCCGACTCCAATCAGACTGTACATCATTTGATTGCTGTATGAATGTCAGCAAGATCAACCGCAACTTTGCTGCTTCAGTGGAAATCAACTCGTGTGAATCCAAACTCAGCATCAATATAGACCGTTACTACAAGAATGTCACACTCTTCGACTATCCATTTGGTTTGTTGGATTTTTTCTGCTAAAGTATTGTTTTGATTATTAATTTAGATTTTCAATTTGTAATATCAAATATTTTGTTAACTTTGTGATGTTTTCAGTGTAAAAGTAGTTGCCTTAAATGATAATAATGCCAATAGCACTCGTAATTTTACTTCAGACAGGCTAATGATAAACAACAATAGGTAATTGATTTGCCTTTTTCACTTAAGTAAATGTTTAATTCAGAACTTTATTAATTTTTAAGTGTTGAAATATTTTTCTTTACCTTTGCAGGTGCATGGGATCACTTTTATTTGAAAGGTTTTATCAGAATTGAGTAAGTATAATTATGTTGTTTTGGCATGTAGTGGATTAATACTACAAACATTACTTCCACTTCCATTAGTATCCTTAATGACAGTGTGAGTAGTTAGCAGAATGTCTGTAATGGGCCATATTACAATAAGAGATTGTTATGTCAGAGTTACTGAAAATACACAAGAACAATATTATCACCTTTCCTCCATGGTTTAATTGCGACATTGATTCAATTTGTATTATTTTCACATTTACTTTAGAAGTGTTTGATACATATGTATTTTGCATTTTTGTCTTTTTGATATTTGGTGTTTATTTTGTAAAATGATTATCTCCCTTGTAACTGTATTTATTATTCAATAAGCCCAGGACGTCATCACATAGTGCAACAATATAACATATTCTGCTAATAGCAGAAGATGGTGGGCTTATTACCAGGTATTAGCATTTTGTTACATAAAAACAATTTGATTTAGACATAATTATTTCACTTTGTAAACTCCACAGCTTTGTACTCTATGACCTGGTTCAAGACAGAAAGTATCTAATAGACTTGAACATCAGTGCTTGTCTAGAAACATCCCAGCCCTGCGAGTTTGTTACCCAAATATTCAAGGACACAGCTCTCTACAAGAAGCCTTGTCAGTGGTACACTGGCTTTCTTAATCCCGGTAAATCTTCACTTGGTTTTGTTTTTATCAAATACATTCATGCATTCGAACATTTTAGTGTTATACAGTGTAGTTTCTACTGATAGATGTTTCAACTGACTGTTTATATTATGAATATGTTAGTCATTCATGAAGTCTTTGTATATTTTTTCAAATACTCACTCTAGTTAATTGTTGTTTGAGCAATGGATATTTCTGCTGATCTCTCTGTAACATTTATATGTATTTTCTTGGCCTGTGCATAACATAATATAATTATAGTCCTTATTGTTAAAATATTCTTTTGAAAAATAAGGTGAATACAAAAGACTGGGTTTGGATTTGATCTTGTTTCAGATTTCTCTCTGATCAGCTGGGCCAATACTAAAGGACAAGACCTGGCACACCCACTGTCAGAACTATACATATCCTTACTGAAAGAAGAGCTTGGAATAGCAGTTTACCTGCTGGAGGATGTTTGTGATCTCAGTTTGGAGCCTTACTCACCACACACAGATGGTTGGAAGGATGGTAAGAATGGTTTGATCAACTGTTATAGAATACTCACCATGACATTTGACCTTTAACCTTCCATATTTCACACATGTGTATATTGACATTTATTATTACTTCCTCCTAATATTTTGACATTTAGCCTTTTGCATTTACAAAAATTGGTGTAGGCTACTAGTAAGCACTACCATGCAATGATGTCTATCATTTTTTGTTTGGCCTTTGACCTTTTATATCTGTAGAATGTGGTGTGGACTACAAGACAACACTGCCGTCCAGTGATATCCATTGTTATCTGTCATCTTCATGTGGAACTGTGGACTGCTGCACAGAGGTGGCTCAACTGGACACAGCAATACGGACAGCGGTTACTCTTGACCCATGTAACTTCACTCTGACAGTTACCATTGAGAAACTCACCTTCACCATTGCCTTGTTTAAGTACAATTGGGGTATGTAATAGAAAATCTACCACAGGACCTTCATCCTGGTACAAATTACTGTTTTTTCTTCTATAAGACATTATAAACTATTAGCACAATGATATGAAATGATGTTTGTATATATTTGTTTGTGTGATGATCATATTATAAAAGTAATGTCTGAAAAATTGAGAATGAAACATGTTTAGTTCATTGTTGCTTTACATCCCTAGTAACAAACATGTACAGAACTGACAGAATATACACTTTGTATATAGATATCAGTGCTGTGTCTGTGGGTTGATGATTGTTATTATTTTCTTTTTTTTTAATTTCAATTTCCAATTCTACAGACCCGGAGGTCCACTTAAAGAATGGATAACAAATATAACACAGGAATAAATATCACAGTCACCTGAAACATAGAACTATTAAATGTACAAAATATGGAACTGACGGTAAAAGGCATTCATGAGTCATGCTTTAAATGCGGTGAGAGACAAATGAAACATATCATAGTCTGAAACAAGACCAAGAGAGTTAAAATTTGACTGAGTTCTGTTTAAAACACTCCTCAGTCAAATTTCAACTCTCTTGGTCTTGTTTAATATTGATGGGTTATGAAATGTAAACTTTATTTTACAACCATTGTGAAACAGGCTATCAGCTTATATAAATCAATCGTAAAAGAAAATGCATTGCCACTGTGCCACTGGAGTCTGGTGGTGTGACTTGAGACCTTGTATATTTACACCTGTTTCTTGTTTATCTCAGGAACTAATCAGACCATGGATCTGTATGGAGTTTTCAGGCTTGAGTATGTATAAACTTGTTTTTTTTTTTTTTTTTTGTCATTCTTGGGTTTCCTTACACATTTTGTTCAAGATTTCCCCCTAACTAAGTAGAACACTGCATGAATCAGCGTTTCATAGCCTGAGGCTTGACATTGGAGACTAATTAAAATTGAACTTGGTTTTGTATAGATTCATTATCTATGAACATTTCTAAATTTAAAACAGAAGATAGTATTAAGAAATACGGTATATAAGGTTTGATTTTTATTTTGATAAACAAAGCGATTAATATTGATGGCAGCGGTTAAAAAAAGAACAGCACGATGTTTTCAGATATGTCTTTAAAATAATGTAAGAGAGTTTGAAGAGTGGTTCTCAAATGTGTATTTTTCTCATGTGTTGTACAGTTTCAATATAGACAATTTGTATGAAGAGAAAGCCTACCTGATCAGCCTGAATCTGAGTCTATGTTACGAGGCTGGACAGTCGTGTGATGTCGTCATCCCGATCATGGTCAATAATCTGCTTAGGAAACAAACTTGTGACTGGGGCACAGAATACAGGATTGATGGTAAGATACTGGAGAACAAGGGATGAGGGCATATAGTGTTTCTAATCTCCATCATGTTCAGCACCAATCAGAATCTATGATATATCTTTAGAGCCTCTTAGATTTGGTTTATGTATCCCCATTTTAAACTTGCACATGATATTAAGTTCTACACCCAATATGTTTAAATAGTCATCAAGTCAAGGTTAAAAGGTCAAAGAACAGCGTCAGCAAATCCGTCAGATATTGCTACTTCTGTACATAGAAGCAAGGGAATTCTTATCTTGTAGACATTTTCTACTGTAAGTCTTTTGTGTTCTGTTTAGGTTTCTCTGTGTTTTCCTGGCTGTCTGACAGAAGTGCCCTGCAGCTAATACATCAGGATTGGACATCAGGATAAATCTTTGTTGTAGGCTTGCCTGTGTTAGCTATCATATATTTGAGATAAATCTTTGTTGTAGGCTGTGCCTGTGTTAGTGATGATTTGAGATATAGGCTGTGCCTGTGTTAGTGATGATTTGAGATAAATCTTTGTTGTAGGCTGTGCCTGTGTTAGTGATGATTTGAGATAAATCTTTGTTGTAGACTGTGCTTGTATTAGGTATGATTTGAGATAAATTTTTGTTGTAGGCTGTGCCTCGGTTAGTGATGATTTGAGATAAATCTTTGTTGTAGGCTGTGCTTGTATTAGTGATGATTTGAGATAAATCTTTGTTGTAGGCTGTGCTTGTGTTAGGGATGACTTGAGATAAATCTTTGTTGTAGGCTGTGCCTGTGTTAGCTATGATTTGAGATAAATCTTTGTTGTAGGCTGTGCTTGTGTTAGGGATGACTTGAGATAAATCTTTGTTGTAGGCTGTGCCTGTGTTAGTGATGATTTGAGATAAATCTTTGTTGTAGGCTGTGCCTGTGTTAGTGATGATTTGAGATAAATCTTTGTTGTAGGCTGTGCCTGTGTTAGTGATGATTTGAGATAAATCTTTGTTGTAGGCTGTGCCTGTGTTAGCTATGATTTGAGATAAATCTTTGTTGTAGGCTGTGCCTGTGTTAGCTATGATTTGAGATAAATCTTTGTTGTAGGCTGTGCCTGTGTTAGTGATGATTTGAGATAAATCTTTGTTGTAGGCTGTGTCTGTGTTAGTGATGATTTGAGATAAATCTTTGTTGTAGGCTGTGTCTGTGTTAGTGATGATTTGAGATAAATCTTTGTTGTAGGCTGTGTCTGTGTTAGTGATGATTTGAGATAAATCTTTGTTGTAGGCTGTGCCTGTGTTAGTGATGATTTGAGATAAATCTTTGTTGTAGGCTGTGTTTGTATTAGGTATGACTTGAGATAAATCTTTGTTGTAGACTGTGCCTCGGTTAGTGATGATTTGAGATAAATCTTTGTTGTAGGCTGTGCCTGTGTTAGTGATGATTTGAGATAAATCTTTGTTGTAGGCTGTGCCTGTGTTAGTGATGATTTGAGATAAATCTTTGTTGTAGGCTGTGCTTGTGTTAGGGATGACTTGAGATAAATCTTTGTTGTAGGCTGTGCCTGTGTTAGTGATGATTTGAGATAAATCTTTGTTGTAGGCTGTGCCTGTGTTAGCTATGATTTGAGATAAATCTTTGTTGTAGGCTGTGTTTGTATTAGGTATGATTTGAGATAAATCTTTGTTGTAGGCTGTGCCTGTGTTAGGGATGATTTGAGATAAATCTTTGTTGTAGGCTGTGCCTCGGTTAGTGATGATTTGAGATAAATCTTTGTTGTAGGCTGTTTGTTAGTGATGATTTGAGATAAATCTTTGTTGTAGGCTGTGCCTCGGTTAGTGATGATTTGAGATAAATCTTTGTTGTAGGCTGTGCTTGTGTTAGGGATGACTTGAGATAAATCTTTGTTGTAGGCTGTGCCTGTGTTAGTGATGATTTGAGATAAGTCTTTGTTGTAGGCTGTGCTTGTATTAGTGATGATTTGAGATAAGTCTTTATTGTAGGCTGTGCTTGTATTAGTGATGATTTGAGATAAATCTTTGTTGTAGGCTGTGCTTGTGTTAGGGATGACTTGAGATAAATCTTTGTTGTAGGCTGTGCCTGTGTTAGTGATGATTTGAGATAAATCTTTGTTGTAGGCTGTGCCTGTGTTAGTGATGATTTGAGATAAATCTTTGTTGTAGACTGTGCTTGTATTAGGTATGATTTGAGATAAATCTTTGTTGTAGGCTGTGCCTCGGTTAGTGATGATTTGAGATAAATCTTTGTTGTAGGCTGTGCTTGTGTTAGGGATGACTTGAGATAAATCTTTGTTGTAGGCTGTGCCTGTGTTAGCTATGATTTGAGATAAATCTTTGTTGTAGGCTGTGCCTGTGTTAGTGATGATTTGAGATAAATCTTTGTTGTAGGCTGTGCTTGTATTAGGTATGACTTGAGATAAATCTTTGTTGTAGACTGTGCCTCGGTTAGTGATGATTTGAGATAAATCTTTGTTGTAGGCTGTGCCTGTGTTAGTGATGATTTGAGATAAATCTTTGTTGTAGACTGTGCTTGTATTAGGTATGATTTGAGATAAATCTTTGTTGTAGGCTGTGCCTGTGTTAGCTATGATTTGAGATAAATCTTTGTTGTAGGTGGAGGTGGACTTCATACACAGACGCTTCAGTACCTACATTAACCTGGATCCTTGTGAGTCACGTCTCAGCATTGGTATAGAGAACGTTATGTACAACACTACACTGTCTAGTGACATCCTTGGTAAGTTTAACTTAAATCTTTCTCCCACATTGAGTAATATCACAATTAGAGCTTGTACAAAGTTATTTAATCGGAATCCAATGAATTATATAGTATTGAATCATGATTTAAAACGTCTTATATTGATTTTCTCCGACATTCTCCTTCCATTTACATTAACAGCTAAATATTTGACATGCATGTTTCGAAAAAGGTTTTCTTTTGACATTGAAAAAATTACAAGATGAATGCCCACAGTTTGTAAATTTCCTAAATTCAGTGATATATACCCATCATTTCTTTATCCTACAGGAACAGTGCAGAACTTCTGGATGGAAGGGATCATCAGAATTGAGTAAGTATGAGAGTTTAGTCAAGGATCTAGATTCACTCACAGAAAATCTGACCACTATTGTTCATTTTGAAAGTATAACCTTTCATGCATAAATCCTAACCGACTAAAGTTAATATAGACTGAATATATTTTAGTTAACCAGGAAGGAGAATTTCATTTTTTAAAGAAAACACAAATTTGGTATATGTAGCCATTCAAAATGTGAACAGATCAAGCCACTTCAAGTCTACTGAGAGTTGAATAAGAATCCCAGTTACTTTATTTCCAAGAATTTTCTTGTTGTGTTCACAATTTGTGGTTTTATTGTACGATATATGTACACTGTTCTGTGTTTGAGTAGGAAAGTATTTGTCTGTTGTGTGTCTGATGATAATTGTCATACTTGTTGCCAGTTATATCATTGAGGATCTTTACGACAATGAGAGAATGTACCTAATGAACATGAACATCAGTAACTGTTGGGAAACAGCCTCCCCACAATGTTCTGACATTCACGTCGTGTTCAAGAATACCTTGCTTCCCAAACCCATCTGTCTGTGGAACCAGAACTTCTTTAACCCAAGTAAGTCACGTCAAATGATAAGTCATAACTAACAAAATGATATTGATGAATTTGAGAATTTCAAGAATGGACTAAAATTGTGGGAAAATGTTTTTTTACCTTAAAAACAAAACGAAGACAACGAAAGACTACTTTCTAATTTTATTGAAAAAAACATCTGCTTGGCCGCAAGTTTTTGATAAAACCTTAGAAAACAACATTTTCTATCAACTTATAGTATATGGTATATTTCAAATTTCTCTAAAGTCACATCGATCTTAAGCAAGTAAAAAAACAGACTTTACTTTTAAGTATTTCATTTCCCCATCATCATGCTTTTGACATGACCTAACTTTATATTTTCCATAGGTTTCTCCCTCAATAACTGGCTGGCTGAAAACCAATACACCATGTCGCGGCCAGTAGCCCCACATGTGTCGGCTCATCTACTTGACCATCTAGGGCTGTCGGGACATCTTCTGTGGCCCACCTGTGACCGGACAGACAACATCTACCAGTCATCAGATGGGACAGGCTGGTTTAAATGTAAGTCTGTCTTAAGTCTGTGTAAAATCTTCAAAGGCTGGAACCTCTACAAAACTTTTTTAGGTCATCTGACTCAAATGGTCCAGACAACCTATTGCTATCATGCATTTTCCCTCGCCCTCTGTAAACTTTTTTTTTAAAACACAACTTCTGCTTAACGCCTTGGCAGATTCCATTCAAATTTGGCCTGAAACATCATTGGGGTGGAGAATTACTTCTTAGATTCAGGAAGTTTATTCAACCCTTAGGGACCTAGGGTTGGTGCCCAAAAAGGTTAGTTAGACAATACTTTTCTTCAAAATGCTACTTTTCCTTAATACTTGAATGGATTTCATTCAAATTTATCTGAAACATTTGTAGAGGTGGGCAATTAATTCTTAAATTCAGAAAGTTGATTTGATCCCCTAGGGACTTAGGGAAGGGCCCCAAAAGGGGAAGTTAAACAATATATCGCTTCAAAATGCTATTCTTCCATAATGCTTGAATGGATTTATACCAAATGTCTGAAATACCACCGTGGGAATTAGTCAAATTTGTCATACCACCATCTGCTAATTCTGTGGTTTATCCATCCATTCATCGATTGTCAGATGACCATTGTTATAAATAGCTTTTGTATCCAAAACAAAAATTATAACATATCACGTGAGAAATGTATGACTGATATTGATCTGCGTGGCTGAATGCATTCTATTTGGATTTTGAATGTTTAATTTAAAATGTGATTTTTGTAAGTATATCAAGATTTTTTTAAATAGGACAAAGTTTGATCTGACATGGTCCATCCATTACGAACTTTGTTTTATCTCAAGATCTAATTCTTGTTCAACAAATAATTTTGAATTTATTCCATAAGGTTTATTATAAATCAATCCATTTGGCAAAGGGTAGATTGAAATTTTAAGTAAAGTAGTTTTAATGGTGTGATTTTGTCTCCAGCATGTTCCAGGACTGTGGACCTTCCAACACTGACAAACTCAGCGGTGTGTCACCTGAAGACTGACTGTACCAAACATGAGTGCTGTATCTACAGTGATCTGGTAGACAGGTCGTTCCACACCTTTATTGACATTGACCCCTGTAGAGAGGAGATGACTATCGGCATAGACAACTTCCAACGTGTAGTGTCTCTGATTGGGTATGAAGGAGGTAAGCAGTTTACTATTATAAAAGTTAGGTAATCTGTGATTGGCTTAAAAGGCAATACACAAATAACATGATTTTTGATTGGACACCAAGGGGAAGGCAAATAACATTCACCCTATGTGATTGGCTACAAAGGGATAGCTAAATGACATCACATTATCAAAACCTGAAAAAAGTTTTTAAAATAGAGAACATTTGGCTAAATGAAGAAAGTCTGTAACATTGTCCTGTTAGAAAAAAATGGTCGAAGAGAGAAACAAAATAGAAAATATCTTAAACTCTTAAACTGAGAAAATCAGAAAAAAAATGAAAGAAGAAAAAAAAATGATGACTTTTTGTTGGATATTCATAATGCAGATGACAAATAATACATAGCTATCACTTGTAAGTTCTCCTACCAAAAAAAATTGAAAAAAAAATTGAATATTTTGTGATATAGTAATATTGTTATTCACTTCCTTTCTTTTCCAGGTGTTGAGGAACATTTCTGGATGGCAGGAGTTATCCGACTTGAGTAAGATCTTTAACCATGATTATTGGCCACGTATATTATGCATGCAGATTTCAAGACAAGACGTACATAAGTCTGTTTGTAAAACTATTGTTAAGCTGATTATTGATTGTGAATAGATAGTTTTTTAAATGATATCAAAAACATTCACAGAATGTATATTGAAATATCATTGTCACAGTGGACAATAGTTTGATAATTGCATACTTTACAAACAATATTGAAATCAAGAGAAGGGGGTAATTGTCAGGAAATGATTGTTTCTATTTCAGCTATGAGGTGTATGATTTCTACCATGAGCAAGACTTCCTGGTATCATTGAATGTGAGTGTGTGCTTTGATGCTGGTAACTGTGATATGGAAATTGTTGTGCTGGACAACACCAGACTCCCTAAACCTTTGTGTACCTGGGACAAAGACTACTACATACAAGGTACTGTTTCTATGGGGGTCACGATTTATTTGGATTATTTCATTATTTTACCCTATTCTTGGCAAGAGTTCAGAGGTTCCAAGTCTGAATATTGGTTTGGTCTATTTTACATACAAGATACTATGCTTTTGTAGATCAGAAGTCTTATGTATTCTTTTCTTATTTAGCCATATTCTTGATTGGAATACAGAAATTCCAAAAGATAGAATCTTTGTTAAACTATTTGAATTCCTCTCAATATCCCTGTAAATTGATCCCTTCAGTAGCTCATTATAGTATGACAGTACAAAAACATTATTGAAGATGAAAATGGTTTACAAGAGAAAAGGGGAGAATAGTAAAGTGGAAAATAGTGAACTGATTGGTGGTGTCCAAATATCTCAGTTTTTTTTAAACATCACAGTTTAAACTGTCCTGTTATTTAGAAATAGGAATAAGTAAAAGAAGTGAAATTAGATAGGTTTTATTATTGTTAGTCAACTTGACGAAAGAGGAAATACATTCAAATGCAACTTTCCAAATAATTATATTCATGGATATATGAATGTCATTATAAGATTTGGTTGTCAAAGTCTATTGTAAAAGGACAGTAATTGAAAAGATCCCTTAATTAATTTTTTCTTGTATTTTCACAGATTTCAAATTGTCAACATGGAAGCAGGAGAACAACATTGGAGTGGGAGACAGTTTACCTACTTGGGCAGTGTTGCTGCTGATGGAGAAACTACGCCTTGCTAGCTACTTGGAGGACCCTATGTGTGCCTTGGGAACTGGACTGTATGATAATTCGGATCCTGCACTAGGCTGGAGTAAAGGTAGACCTTACAAAGTTATACCTCTGTTGTGGTTTTCTTGTGACAAACCAGATGTGTTAGTCTTTTGAACATTGAGATTATTTTCAGTTCCAAACAGCTTTGAATAATCTATCTACATTCAGATACATTCAGCTACATGTGTATAGCAAGTGGTTTCTAGTAGGAGGTTCTTCCCAAATCAAGACTTCAAAAGACCAGTTTGAATCTGCTATAAAGATTGCTTGGGATTTTGTCTTTTCCTTTCATTTTGTGCTCTTTACCTATGTTCGTTTGTGTGCCTCTGTGAAGCTGTTGTGTCCTTGGGCGAGGCATTTCACCCTAGTTTCTGTTGGTGGCTTGTGATGGGTCTCTTGTATGTTGTTTAGTTAGCCACCAGCTACTTCAAGGATACCCAGCCTCAAAATGATCCTGGCAATTCATAGGGCAACAAACACAGCAAACTTACAAACCTGCTTTGCCTGTTCAATCTTTCTTACCCATTATTCATAATTTTAATAATATTTCCTTAGGTTCCGGCCCTGATAAAGTCTGATATGATTCAGGGGAATGGATACAGAAATTTTTCAATAACATAACTTAAGTTTGTTTGATAAACCTGAGGTTCTTGGTAATGAGTGTGTCTCTGTAAGCTATTATATACAGAATTTATTTGTCCTATTGTAATTTTCTACCATTTGATCATATCTATGATTTTTCACAGCTTGTCCTTTGACCTTGACCTTGCCTGACCTTGCTGAATCATCGGCTATCAACTGTCATCTGACGGAGCTGTGTACAGCGGTTGAATGCTGTGTTACCTCTGACCTGGGAAGAAATTTCCATGTATACCTTCAGTTGGATGGGTGTCAGTCTTACTTAAACCTGGGTATTGATAAGTTCTTCACGAATGTGTCGCTTACCACTTTTACAGAATGGCGTAAGTAGAACAAACATTATTTAAAGTGTGCAAATATCTGTAGGGTTAAAATTTTATCTAAACTTACTTTCCAATTTCAAATTTTCGCCCATGGATTGATGATGAAATTGATTTATCAAAGGAAAATTGTATAGGATGTCAATTCTTTGCTGAAAAAAAAACTGGAGATGGAAGTGTTGTGTGTCACGGATTAATGTTCTAGCTCAGGAATGTGTCTGTTTGATCTATGGTGTGACAATTATTTTTTATCACCCCAGCTGCTGTAGAGTTTATTTCTTAATTATTGATGTGATTGCAGGACAGGTTGTTTTTTAGTGAAATGTTTCCAAACATAAAATAAGTGCTTGATTTCAGTTCTCATGTTATGTAAAATTTGATTTTCAGGACAAGAACAGCACTTCTATCTCGGAGGAATTGTACGACTAGTGTAAGTAACGCTGTCAGAAAAATTTCTTTGTGAAATCACAAATCAAAGTTGTGCTCATTGATTGCCCTGAAAGTAATTGATATGGCATGTTTCTAAGTTACCAATAGTGGGTTACTGACCTCTATCCTGACCATTACAGGTATACAATTGACCACTTTGATGATGCCAAGGAGTACCTGATTTCCATGAATGTTAGCATCTGTAGTGAGAGTGACCAGGTGTGTGAAGATAATCACCTCGTTCTGGCTGATGTTCGTCTACCTATACTGCCATGTAGTTGGAATCAGTCCTTCCTACAGCCAGGTGAGTTTAACTTAATTTGTAAACATTCAGAGGAATCTGTTTTAACAGATATGTTATTGTCCAAGTGATTCTAATTTAACATTGTTTGTAAACATCCAGGTTAGTCTGCTTCAAATTAATTTGCAAACCTCCAGGTGAATCTGCTTTAATTGATTTGTAAACATCCAGGTGAATCACCTTTAATTGATATGTAAACATCCAGGTTAGTCTGCTTCAAGATAATTGCAAACCTCTAGGTGAATCTGCTTATTTGATCAGTAAACACACAGGTGAATCACCTTTAATTGTTATGTAAACGTCTGCATGAGTCTGCTATAAATTGATTTGTAAAAATCCAGGTTGATCTGCTTTAATTGATATGTAAACATCCAGGTTAGTCTGCTTCAAATTGAATTATAAACATCCAAGTTAGTCTGCTATAAATTGATTTGTAAACATCCAGGTTAGTCTGTTTTAACTTAATTTGTAAACATCAGGGCAAATCTAATATGTATTGTTTATATGACTTTGGTGTATTTTCATGACAAAGACTTCTCACTGGTGACATGGCTGGGTGATAACATGCTCTCTACTCCACTGACTGGACCTGACTTGTCCAAATTGTTTGTGGACCTCGGACTGTCCTGGTACAAATTATCAATACCATGTATGCAGGCGACCTTTGGCAACAGCGTCCCAGGAACAGACGGCTGGGTTAGAGGTAATTGAATGTTTGTCTCTGTGCGTGGATAACATCCTATCTCCCCAACAATAATTCCTACGAGTGTATCAGTCCACTGGGAAAAAAATCATGCATTTATATTCTTAAGAAAGAAATAATAATAACACAACATTTTGATAGCCAACTGTTCTTAATGATTCTCTAGCTGAAGTAATAGTATTCAAGAGTTATTTTTTGTAGGTTGTACAGCATTAGAAGATTTAGAATTTTTTTCATATATCAATGCATTTTCCTTTTTTATTTACAGATTGTCCAACATCCATAAATGTGTCTGAGGTGGCCACTTACAACACAGACTGTCTGCTAGCTGATGGTTGTAATTCAATTCAGTGTTGCATGACTGGAAGTGACCTTGACTATGCTTTCCATGCTGGTGTAGACATTGATGCTTGTGAGAATCAACTTGTCGTCACTCTGGAGTCCTTATCCATACCAGTGCTTTTCTCTAGCTTCAGTTGGGGTATGTCTGCATCCATAGAGTTCAGTTCAGTGTCAATTTCAGATTTTTGGGCCTCACTTTCCCCTGTCAATTCTACCACAAGAGATGTCTCGTCATTTACAGCTTTTCTTTGTTCTGTACTAGTGCATCTCATGCACTGTTTTACTTACAAAAAAAAGCAATAAATATTTGGTTAACAAGTACACACTGGAAATGTTAAGAATTTCATGTAAAACTAATTTATTGTCTCCATACAGAGTTATGGGACTGTTTTAATCTGGCAGAAAAGAACATGTTTTCTTGCAATACTCTGTTTTGTTCAGGTAATAAAACTGAACCTTTTAATTGACAGATATATTCAGCTGATTAATGAGGAATTTATGATATTTCAGGAGAGAAAGTTGACTTCCAGCTACAGGGTGTTGTTCGGATGAGGTAAGCATGGTACCCTGACATCATTAGGATGCTAAAACTTGTCAGGATTTTTACAATTTTTACTTCCATATTTTGCAAAAATAAACAATTTTAAAACAGAAATTTCAAATAGGCATCATTTTTATCTTAAATCAAATAATAACACAAGAAAAGGCATGTTGGTGTCCAGGATGTTCTTTTAATTTTCACAATATCGTGATATTACTTACATCACTATAACTGGTATCCTTCTAGTCTTCAATGATGAGACAGTAAGGAAAAATGACATCCCTACGGGATGACTGATGCGGTATATAGATTTGAAGCATTACCACACTTTTATTTTTTTTGATGTGACCTTTTCTAATTTTGAAATATTGAAATTATAAATTACAAGATGCATGAAGTTTCAACAGTTTGGTTTAATTTTGTTTAATGTTGCTCTATGGTCTATCAGGGAAGATGTACTCTTGAATTTGAATTCAATGAGTTTAAGTATTTAGAACTACTGGATGCAGTTTCAAGTTTCCAAGCACTTAATTTGATTTTCATTTGAAAAAAAATCACTTGACAAAACATGTGTTTGATTATTACATGCTGACTATATTTTGGACGATAAATCAAATGCTGTGATGTTATGCAGATTGGAGATTTACCGTCTAGTAACCGAGGGTAACTACGAAGTCACCTTAGATCTTATGGTGTGTACAGAGAGTGCCGGGCCCTGTGATCTGATTGTGAATGTCTTAAACCAAACAAAACTGCCAATCAAGTCATGTGACTTCACAACAGGATTTGCAGCGAAAAATCCATGTGAGTTCTTGTCAATTTATGTTATTGGCAAAATTCTTGCTGTGAAAATTTTATCGATAATGTGTAAAAAAAAATTAACTATGTTTTTTAACTTGTCTGCCCCAAGTAAGGGCCAAGCAAGCTTACGGCATACTGTGACGTCAGCCATCTGTCCTGCAATTTTTTTCTACAAATCACTTCTTGTCATGAACAACGGAGGATTTTGATCAAATTTGGAAAGAAACATCATTAGGTATAGTGACCTCAGTTTTTCTGTTCCCAAGGGACCTGAGGGGAGGGGCCCCAAAAGAAAAGTTTAGCAATCCTTTTAATAATTTTCTTCTGTGGGAATGATTGGTTATAAGCATCGTTAGGTGAAAGGAAATCAATTTTGTGTAAACACTGGGTCTCAGCTCTTGGGGTAGGGCGCAACAGCAGAAATAAGCAAATTCTTTTCAGTCCTATTACTTCTTTTGGAATGAATAGATTTTGATCAAATTTAGTTTGTGGTATAATTGGGTGAAGGGGAATCAATTTTTTTCAAATGGTAGGTCTGGACCTCCTGAGATGGGAAGTATGTGGGCCAAATAGGGGAAAAGAGTAAATTTTTATTCCTACTCCTCCTGTAGGAATGATTAGATTTTGACCAATTTCATTTGAAGTATACCTAGTAATTGGATGAAGGGGAATCAATTTTGTATAAACAATAGATTTGTCCTCCAGCAGGATGGGGCCCAATAGAGTAAATTGAACAAATTCATTAAAATCCTACTGTTGGACTGATTCAATTTTATCACAATTTGATCTCAAGGATCCTTGGTTGAAAAGAATTTGGTTTTGTATCAATGGTGTATCTGACCCCAACCCTGCTTTCTCCACCCACTTTCACAAATTTAAACCAGGTTAGCAACACAGGCCCTATGGATCTCTTTTTTATGTATCATTTCAAACATTACATAATAATTTCTTAAAGGGAAAAAAGGAAAATTTAAAATGGTAAAACTGTCACTACTCTGCTTTAGTAGTTTGCCATTCCTTGACTATAGTAAATTTTACTTGGTAATAGACTTGTACTTTCTTTGGCCTCCAAAGAAACATTATATTGTTATATTCTTATTTACAGTTTTCTCACTGACTTCCTGGCTCACGGAAAAGAATCTGGACCCTGCCTTATCTCCCCTGCCAGACTACATCTCCTATCAGCTGCTGGAGGATCTTAAAGTAGCCCATTTCATGATGGACTCACCTTGTAACCAGTCAACTGACATGTTTGCTGGGGCAACTGATGGATGGAGTGATGGTGTGAATCAGCTTAATTAAATTTGAATTTACGAATACATAATGCTTATATTTAAGATTAACATTAAATTAAAGGTCGTATTTTATTTTTTTTCTTCTGGTGAAAGGGAGATTCAGGTAAAAATAAGCTGTGTCAAAATTTCCTCCTTTATAGTAAAAAAAGCAAAATAAGATCAGTAGGACTGAACAACCCTGGTCCAATAATCGATTTAAGAAAACAGCTAAGGTGTACAGTTCTTTGTGGAACTTATCGCAAATTAGATATGGTAACCAAGTGACTGTACACATAAAAATACTCTAATTTGGTAACTAGACTCCTAGATAAATGAGATAAATCATCAATTAGTGACATGTACTTTTTCTGACTTTAATCAGGTATTATAAATCCTAGTAAGCCAGTGTTTATTGACTTTCATACATAACATCTTTATCTTGTAACGAGTGTTTACCTGGCAGAAACCCCATACACATCTTTTGTAATTTCAGTAGAAATATAAAATGCTTTATCTTGTTTTTAGGTCATCTGACCCGAAGGGTCCGATGACCTATAGTCATCATGCTTCGTCCGTCGTCGTCCGCCGTGCGCCGTGCGCCGTCCGCCGTGCGCCGTCCGTAAACTTTACATTCAAACGACTTCTTCTCAAATACTAGAAGGTCTAGGGGGCTAATACTTGGCACAGAGGATACTGGCATGGAGCTCTAAGTTTGTTCAAATGAATGACCTTGACCCACTTTAAAGGTCACAGGGGTCAAATATGTTAAAATCTTTAAACAACTTCTTCTCATTAACCAAAAGGCTCAGAGTGTAGATATTGGGCCTGTGACATGCTGGGATGAAGGACTACCAAGTTTGTTCAAATGAATGACCTTGACCCACTTTAAAGGTCACAGGGGTCAAATATGTTAAAATCTTTAAACAACTTCTTCTCAATAACCAAAAGGCTCAGATTGCTGATATTGTGCCTGTGGCATGCTGGGATGAAGGGCTATCAAGTTTGTTTAAATGAATGACCTTGAACAACTTTCAAGGTCACAGGGGTCAAATATGTCAAAATCTTTAAATAACTTCTCAAATACTAGAAGGCCTAGGGGGCCCATAGCATGCTGGCATGGAGCCCTACAAAGTTTGTTCAAATGAATGACCTTGGCCCACTTTCAAGGTCACAGGGGTCAAATATGTTAAAATATACAAAGGACTTCATCTCAATAAGCAAAAGTCTATGAGTGCCGATATTGGGTCTGTAGCATGCTGGGAGGAAAGGCTACCAAGTTTATTTAAATGAATGACCTTGAACAACTTTCAAGGTCGCAGGGGTCAAATATGTCAAAATCTTTAAATAACTTCTTCTCAAATACTAGAAGGCCTAGGGGGCTAATACTTGACCCATAGCATGCTGGCATGGAGCCCTACAAAGTTTGTTCAAATGAATGACCTTGGCCCACTTTCAAGGTCACAGGGGTCAAATATGTTAAAATATACAAAGGACTTCATCTCAATAAGCAAAAGTCTGTGAGTGCCGATATTGGGTCTGTAGCATGCTGGGAGAAAAGGCTACCAAGTTTATTCAAATGAATGACCTCAACCCACTTTCAAGGTCACAGGGGTCAAATATGTTAAAATATACAAACGACTTCTTCTCAACAAGCAAAAGTCCATGAGTGCTGATATTGGGCCTGTAAGATGCTTGGAGGAGAGGCTACCAAGTTTGTTCAAATGAATGACCTCAACCCACTTTCTAGGTTTGGCTTGCTTTTTGTCAGATGACCGTTAAGGCCCATGGGCCTCTTGTTTCCTGAAAGCCAACCGAACTACTTTGAATAAGAGGTGTTTTTGACCCAATGGGCTTATTGAAGGATAATTACAATTAATTATCTGATTCTTTCTTTACAGACTGTCATGTTATTGCCTCCCTACCAACACTGACTGGCTTAGCTACAACCTGTTACCTTGGTGACTCCTGTAGCGATGTCCAGTGTTGCATGATGGTTGAACGTATTGACACAAACCTCTTTGCCTCACTAACTATGGACCCCTGCAGAAATTCATTGAAAATCCAACTGGAAACAATAAAAGTGGACATTGATCTTCATTCCTTTGATTTTGGTAAGTCAATATTTCTATCAACATTTGTCCAGATGTTATGTGTCCCCTAATCAGCATACCTGTACATTAGTGGCTGCTGACCTGGATATGTTTGTTTTCAGTAAATCAATCTTATTCTGTATATCATCTTGGTCTGTAACAGCATCTTCTTCATAAGAACCATCAATGGATCATTCCAGTTTCTGTAAAGATTCTTATGATGAATTATCATCAACTATATTCAAATAAATATCCAAGACCTACTCTGTGACTTATTTTGGCTGAAATATTACAGGGTTTTTCTGGAAAGATTTGCATGAAAGTCTCTTGATTTAAAAAAAAATCTTTAATACCTTGACTCACTTTAAAGTTGAAGTTATCCAATGTGTTCTTATAAGTTCATGAGAACCTTTAATACATTACTTCAATTGATTTTACAGACCAATTCTTTTAGCTTAGATTAGTGAAAATGAAAAATATTTAATTACAAAAATACAGAAAGAAACACCTTATGTTTGATTGAATATGTTTACAGGTCTGGACCATACTCTGTCTCTGTATGGACCGTTTCAACTTGTGTGAGTATTTGTATTGTTGTTTTGAATTTATAAAACAAAGCTTTTTCTACAATAAAAATTACTGAATCATTGCTTTATTTTAAAACGAAGTTCTGCAAGTATATTTGAAGATCATAGATGAATTATTTAAGTAACATGGCTTATACTTTACATCAGGATTACTGATCAAAAGAAATTGCTTTAAAGTTTTAATCAAGAGATATCTTAAATCAATTTGATATTTAAATTTTCATTTTAACATGACATTGTTTGTAGGTACGAGGTAATAGACCAACAGATAGAGAGAAAGTACTCCTTCAATATGAGGATTGAGGCTTGCTTTGAGGTGTCTGGTCCGTGTGAGAAACAGGTTACCGTGTTTAATGACACAACAATCGACAAACCAACCTGTAATCACACAGCTGGCTTCTACAACTCCTGTGAGTACAGTGTCAGCCATTATTTGTGTTACAATATTCACTAATCAATAAGTCTATCTTAATATTACCATATTTATCCACTAAATAAACCTATTGATATTTATATGAATATTCATCATTCAATAAGTCTATGAATATTCATCAATCAATAAGTTTATGAATACATCCATATTCATCCAGCATATAGGCCTATTGATATTTATATGAATATTCATCAATCAATTAGTGCTTCCTCTTATCTTTTTTATAACTTTAACCTGAAATACCTCATACATGGAATTTGTAAAAGACTGAATCTTATTAGCAATTTGCATCACTATAATGCATAATATGTATTTGGTTTTCACTAGAATATTATAGTAACGATGATCGATTAAGAAAATATATAATTGATCATTGCATCAGATAAAGTTAGATGGTAAGATAATGGACTGTATCCGATCATCGTTCCTTTGGTAGAAAATTACAATAGATGACTCCCCAATGTGAATCCTTTCAGCATTCTCCCTGACGAGTTGGATGAATGATAGAGGTCTTGATGTGAATGACACTTTTTCCTCGGCCCAGAGTGATGAGTTGATACGAGACTTACGATTGGATGACTACATGTCTACAACGGAGTTGTGTGACTATTCTGCTAAAAAGGAGGAGGTAGAAATGTATGGCTGGATCAACGGTAAGTCGTGGCGGCTGGAATAGAAATAACTTCATTCTGGCAACGGCTGGAAATTTATTTTTAAAGGGATTGGTTTTATATTGTTAGAATGAATTAATTCCTAGAATATGATATAAAGTATGAAAATCCCTTAAGATTATTGAATTTTTAATTTAAAATTTTTGAGTTACTTGGCTAATTACTATTACTAGTTTAAGATGTTAAATTTTCATTCTAATTTCACAGATATATAACAAATTACCTAGTACCAATAATTTTGAAGCAATTTTACAGTTATGTGATATTGAAAGCATCTAGTACAAAGAACAGCTGTTTTTATCTGGCTGATTGTGGATATTTTGTCTCTTCTAGATTGCACTAATTTCACCACCAGTAATATGTCCTACTTGGCCAATATCTCCGAGTCAGTTCCGGCAGTTTGTCAAGTTGTGGATACCTGTAATGGCCTCACCTGCTGTCTATACGCTGAAAGACTTCAACGAAGTTTACGTGCAGTTATTACTCTTGACACCTGTACCTTTACTCTGAGAGTGCAGCTGGAAAATCTCATACAGGAATTAGACTTGCTTAACTATCCATGGGGTAAGAAAAACCATAATGAGGCCATTCACATTTGGTGTAATTTGAAAAGTTTTTATGTCAGACCATTATAACTTAAAATTAAAAAAAATATACTTTGTTACAGCATAATTTATGGACAATTTAATTCTTTACTTAAATCATGGGACTGTACTTTGAATTTCTATGTATTTTATTCTGCATAGGAAAACATTTTGATACAGATAGCATCATTGAATGTGATTTACAATTGATTTGTTTTTAATGCCAAACAGTTAATTGACTTAATTGTCTCCCTTGGGAAATTATCATAAACAAGGATAGATAAGCTTTCAATATTAAAGTGATATGAATTACTTCATTTTTAACTTCTAAATTGGTTTATGTGCTAAAGATTTGTTACAATTTTTGTACAGGAACACTTGCAGAGATTCAGTTGCATGGTGTCTTTATATTAAGGTGAGAGTAAAGGAATATTCCATTACATCAGGTCAAGGTCAAATAACTTTCTAACATATCTATTTCTAGATAAATGAAGGTCAAGGTCAGCCATTTGTTCAAGACCATGGATACTGTTGATATAATGTGAACGTTTCAATGCAAAGGACAAAGCGGAAATTTTATGCTCATAACATTGACAAATTGAAAAAAGATTTGAGTTATTGTTGTCAATAAATGAAATAAAGGATTTGTGTTTTGATTGTTGAATTATTACAACTTTTTTTGTCTGGGTTATAGCTACTCGGTGATAAGTATTCCGAGTCAGAAGAGGTTTTCTTTAAATGCTGACATCAAGTTGTGCTATGAACAATCCAATTGTAAATATGATTTTGAAGTGCTCCACAACACTTACCTGGAATATGAAGTGTGTGATCCAAGTATCCCGCTCCCCTTCCAAGGTAGGATACCATCATCTCACCAGGTGTCAAACCATAATATTACATTATTGTAAACTCAAACAATAAAAGTTAAAGATGTACAAGTCTGCTTGTCTCATTAAATCTTCATTATAATGATGTTTACTTCAGGGAAACTCAGTTGGGATTTATTCTAATTTTTTTTGGAGTCATATCCCTTGTAATTTAAAGTTTGTAAAAGCTCTGTTAAATGAAACATGCATGAAGTCCTTTTCATATTCATTTATCAGTCTTTATGGCAAGAAATAATGCAGCTGTTACATTGCTATATATGTTGTTAATATACCAAACCTTATAAGGACAATGTTTATGCTTCAGGAATGACGTTTGATTTCTGGAGAAGAAATGAGTGTGCGGCAGTGTCGGGATCTGGAAGTTCGTATTAATCTCAGTCATCAATCATCAACACCTGTCATCAATGACCAAAACATCTAACATCTTACAGTCATCAATCATCAACACCTGTCATCAATGACCAAAACATCTAACATCTTACAGTCATCAATCATCAACATCTGTCATCAATGACCAAAACATCTAACATCTTACAGTCATCAATCATCAACATCTGTCATCAATGACCAAAACATCTAACATCTTACAGTCATCAATCATCAATGACCAAAACATCTAACATCTTACAGTCATCAATCATCAACATCTATCATCAATGACCAAAACATCTAACATCTTACAGTCATCAATCATCAACACCTGTCATCAATGACCAAAACATCTAACATCTTACAGTCATCAATCATCAACATCTATCATCAATGACCAAAACATCTAACATCTTACAGTCATCAATCATCAACACCTGTCATCAATGACCAAAACATCTAACATCTTACAGTCATCAATCATCAACATCTATCATCAATGACCAAAACATCTAACATCTTACAGTCATCAATCATCAACACCTGTCATCAATGACCAAAACATCTAACATCTTACAGTCATCAATCATCAACATCTGTCATCAATGACCAAAACATCTAACATCTTACAGTCATCAATCATCAACACCTGTCATCAATGACCAAAACATCTAACATCTTACAGTCATCAATCATCAACATCTGTCATCAATGACCAAAACATCTAACATCTTACAGTCATTAATCATCTAAAAATCTACTCACTAAATTCCAACCACCATTACCAAACATCCACATACCAAACATCCACATACCAAACACCCTCATACCAAACATCAACATACCAAACACCCTCATACCAAACATCCACATACCAAACACCCTCATGCTAAACACCCACATACCAAACATCCACATACCAAACACCCTCATAACAAACATCCACAAACGACACATCCACATACCAAACATCCACATACAAAAAACCCACATACCAAAAATCCACATACCGAACACCCACATACCAAACAGCCACATACCAAACACCCTCATACCAAACATCCACATACCAAACATCCACATACCAAACACCCACATACCAAACATCCACATACCAAAAACCCACATACCAAACATCCACATACCAAACACCCTCATACCAAACATCCACATACCAAACATCCACATACCAAACACCCACTTACAAAACACCCTCATACCAAACACCCACATACCAAACACCCACATACCAAAAACCCACATACCAAACACCCACATACCAAACATCAACATACCAAAAACCCACAAACCAAACACCCTCATACCAAACACCACCTTACCAAATACTAACATACCAAACACCCATATACCAAACACCCTCATGCTAAACACCACCTCACCAAATACTAATATAGCAAACGCCCACTTACCAAATACCGCCATATCAAACAACCACATACCAAAAACCCACATACCAAACACCCTCATGCCAAACACCGCCATACCAAATACTAACATACCAAACACCCTCATTCCAAACACCCTCATGTTAAACACCACCTCACCAAATACTAACATACCAAACACCCTCATTCCAAACACCCTCATGTTAAACACCACCTCACCAAATACTAACATACCAAACACCCACGTACCAAAAACTAGTATACCAAACACCCACATACCCAACACCCTCATGCTAAACACCACCATACCAAATACTAACATACCAAACACCCACGTACCAAAAACTAGTATACCAAACACCCACATACCCAACACCCTCATGCTAAACACCACCTTACCAAATACTAACATACCAAACACCCACGTACCAAAAACAAGTATACCAAACACCCACATACCCAACACCCTCATGCTAAACACCACCATACCAAATACTAACATACCAAACACCCACGTACCAAAACTAGTATACCAAACACCCACATACCCAACACCCTCATGCTAAACACCACCTTACCAAATACTAACATACCAAACACCCACGTACCAAAAACTAGTATACCAAACACCCACATACCCAACACCCTCATGCTAAACACCACCATACCAAATACTAACTTACCAAACACCCTCATACCAAACACCCTCATACCCAACACCCTCATGCTTAACACCTCTATGCTAAACACCACCTTACCAAATACTAACATACCAAACACCCTCATTCCAAACACCCTCATGCTAAACACCTTCATGCTAAACACCACCTCACCAAATACTAAACATCAAGAGCTATAGCAGTTATTAAGCACAAATCACTAAACACCTGTCACTTGTTTTCATAAACCTCCAAATATAGTCATCAAACATCGGTCATCTAATTCCAACCAACAAATTTCATAATGATATAAATGAAACAAATGTGAGTCTCTCTTACCTAGTTTCTGTCTATTAAACTCTTTGATTTAAAAGAAACTATTATATTAGTTTATTTTGACGGCAAGAACTCAACCTGATGTATATATATTTTTAGGTCATCTGACCCTAAAGTTTTATCATAATTAATCACTGTATAAAAAAAAAGAAATATTCAGGTGTTTACTTTGTACCCATGTACCTGCAGGTTGTTCTGGTAATCTGACAACATACGGTGCTGCTAACTGTAAGATGGTGGAGTCATGCGGTGGAGTTGACTGTTGTATGAGTATGAACTTTATCCCTGGCGCACGGCGAATCAGGCTGACTTTTGAGACAGACAAGTGTGCTGACACGCTTTCTTTCAGCCTTGAGAACAAAGCATGGACCAAAACTCTCAGTGCAATCAATGGTAGGTCCAGATGGGAAGCAAGAAGTCATTTTGATGTGAATAATTGCCTTATGCTATTTTGACTTCAGAAACTGCAGATGTTTGCACTTTCCTATAATGTTCTATTTTTTTCTTTTTTCTTAGGTGTCAAACATTCAGAAACAATTGGCGTGAAACCATCCTTCACGTTGAACTACACTGTCACAGAGATTGGAGCCAGTCAATTCAGGATCAGTCTTTCTTTGGAAGTGTGTGAATTGTATGGAGAAACTTGTGAAAGTCATGACATCATGACCAACACATATCTCACTTACTCTTCCTGTACTCCAGCTAGGCGCCGCCGACGCAGAAGAAGTGCCATTCAAAAACGGGATGCTCAGGAGTATGTGAATCTTTGAGTCTTGCATGGCCTTAAAAAATCATTGTCTAAACTTTCCTTAATGGCAAATTTCTTTTCATTCAGGTATCAACAATTTGTGAATTGTGTATGGTGACACACTGTCCTCCCGTCCTGTGATTTAATCCTGTTTGTCTTGAGGTTTTTAATCCAAGAATTTTTCCTGCAAAATCTCTTCTTTTTCAATTTATGATTCAGAGATAGTGGACTGCTTGAAAGACTTTCTACCTGTGGTCAGGTGTCAGTTTGATGATCCTTCAATTATTGATACAGAGTTTCTTTGTTACGTAATGAATTAAGAAAGATTTAGGAGTATATTAAAATACAAAGCATTTGTAACATACCCGGTAAATACATCTGCAGTTACTCTATGGTGTTGTTACTTGATTTATTTTTCAGACTGGATGTTTCAGACCTGAATGGTGGTCTGAAGATTCTTCGAGATAGAGGTGCCACTGAGGAAGAGTATGATGTATTTATAGAACAAAATCTTGTCTACGTGGTAAGGATTCTATTTATAGAACAAAATTTCATCTACGTGGTAAGGATTCTATTTATAGAACAAAACCTCATCTACATGGTAAGGATTCAATTTATAGAACAAAATGTCATCGTCGTGGTAAGGATTCTACTTATAGAACAAAATCTCATCTACGTGGTAAGGATTCTACTTATAGAACAATTTTAAAATCTCGTCTATGTATATGTTGTGTTGGACAAAAAATTGTGTGTGTCTATATAATGTTATGGAAGTGTTAATGCTTTATTTGCAAGGTGAAATTTCCTGGTGGTAAGTATAGATTAAGTTGGACAGGAAGAGTATTTGCAATTTTTTCCCAAAGTTGTAAATTTGTTATGTTTCCTTGAAGGAAAATATATAAATTTGATGGAAATGGGTATGCTGTGCTGGACCAGAATTTTGTGCACTATTTTTAACAGAAAGTGTGTATGTAATATTGGATAAGAAGTGTACATGTACGTAGTAAGGATTTTTTCTTTGTTGGACAGGAAGCACAAGAACTTGCTAACCTAGAAGGAGCTGAAGTGGGAGATGATGACAATAAAATTGGGATTAAGTCTGCCATCAAAGCCATGGGCACAGGCAACCCCCTCACCATAACAACCACAGGAAGATTGGAAAGTGAAGTTACCATACAAGGAGGTAAGTTTAAAATATCACCACAAGAACATTGTTTCCTTAATTATTTAAATAATTTGGATTTATTTAGCAACCACTGGAAGATTGGAAAGTGAAGTTAACATTCAAGGAGGTAAGTTTCAAATATCACCACAAGAATATTATTTCTAAAATTACTTGGGATCTGCCTATTACCCTAAATGGTATGATAGTGGACAAATGAACATCATCACATCAATAGATTTTCCAAATGGGTATGGATTTTATAGAGGAGAGTGAGATTTAGTAGGAATTAAAGCAGGATAATTCAATGTCATAATCACATTTTAAACAGACCTGAACTGATGGTTTTGTTTTCTTTTTATTTAGTTAATTGGTCAAGACATCACATAGCTATTTGGTTAAGAACACTTAAGACTGATATGCAATATGGCAAATAATTACTTCATAGACAGATATGGAATTTAAATGTGAAATACATGTTATATTTATGTCAGTTTTAAGATATTTATACTTTCTCCATGACCTGCCTTCTATTGCTGTAACTTTACTGCTGATTCCAGCATACATTCAGGGATTATAAACCAATAATTTTTTTCCATATTAGGTGATGCTATCACAGGAATGCTGGGGAAAGTAAATGATATTGCTGGTCATGCAGAACAAGCTTTTGTCGCGGGCCAGGGTCTATCACAAGAAGGTGTTCGTATGCTTGGTCGTAAACTTGCCTGTATGACTATCGGGGATCTTGAGGCTATGCTAGATACCCAGAATGTGGACCCCTTTGAAGTTGCTCAGCTGATGAAAGACTTGAATGACTTGGGGAAGGCTTTGGTTTGTATCAAACTTCTCCCATAGCTGTTTTAATTTGTAGACTTAAAATATGTATGATAATGTTAATTAGGCCATCTGACCTAGAGCTATTGTGCTTCATCTGTCATGGTGCATTGTCCTCTGTATAAACTTTCAAACAACTTCTTCTCAATAAGCAAAAGCCCCAGTGTATATTAGGCCTGTCGCATGCTGGCATGAAAGGCTACCAAGTTTATTTAAATGAATGACCTTGACCAAATTTTAAAGATCACAAGGGTCAAATATATTCAAATCTTCAAATGACTTCTTAAAAATTAAAAGATACAGGCTATTTATATTGGTTCTGTAACATGATTTGATGAAAGGGTACCAAACTTTTTGACCGTGACCCACTTTCAAAGTCACTTGGGTCAAATGTGTTGAGAACTACAATTTCTTCAAAAAGCAATTGGACCTTGGTCATGTTATTACTGTAGTAGTGTGTATAAGGAATAGGATTTCAAGTTTACAGAAATTTACTTTTTATGATTCTTTGTTAGCTGTAGAACAGATGAGCGATTCAGGCCCATTGGGCCTCTATCATATGTGTGAAATTTTATCAAAACAATAGATATTTTCCTGTTCTAGTACTCTGACTTTATCGAGAAGTTATTCAGTGACTCAGAAGGAATCTTCAAATCATTTGATGTGACGCTGAAAGGAGATTTCAGTTTTCCAAGACAAAGTATTGAACTATTCAGCTTTTCTAAGTTCTTCCTGGTAGGAGGACTGGTTCCTATGACATTTGGTAAGTACCCTATAAAAACATTAAGTACCTTGGGGGATTAGTGTTTGATTTTTGTCGGTACTCTTGTCCATTAATTCATATGTCCATAAAATATCAAAAGTAGCGTGAGTTGACCTGTTGATGTATAGTTACCTTTATAATCAAGTGTCTGCATAATGGTATATTTTTCGAAAAACTACGAAAATATCTTATTTCAAAGTAGCTTTAGAAACATTCAGCTATAACTGTAGGTACAGCAAGACAGTCCTCATTTAGAATGGAGTTCTAATACTATTGTTACCATTGTAAAAATATACAAATGTTGATTTAAGTGGTTTGAGGGTTTCTTAATTAGAAACATTTTGTCCAAAAATCTGTTGATATATACTCAATAGACATATCTTAATGTAGATTACTCATTTGATTTTGAAAGTGAGCATTCCTAAATCAAACATTGAATCGTTGAATGTTTTGCTGAAATCATCCCAACTTGTAAAAATTTCAACTATTTAAACTGTCTGTAGTCTTATATTTCTTGATTTTCTTAAAAAGAATAAATGTACATTTATGATTTTGTGTTGTCAGGTTTTGGTGCTGGTGGTTACTATGGGATGAAGTTTGAGGTTGGGGCCAAAATAATGGACATGGCAGCAATATGTGGCGTAGAGCCATATGGAGGACTGACAGTTTGGGGTGAGCTAGGTGTTGGCTTTGGCCTGGTTGGCAAGCTACGTCTTCAAGGAAACCTTATGGATCTGCGTTTCCCTACTACAGCTGAAATTGGTTTCAAGAAGTTTCCTATAGATGTTAAGTAAGTATATGCTAGTAGCAATGGACTGGCTCTGTGTTTAGTCATGCTTTCTTGTATTGTGTCATGTTTTGTGGGCATTTATAAAATGTGGTGATTCTTCACATATCACTGAAGATAAATGTGAAATTTTGGGCCCATCAAATAAATAAGTCATTGTGACCTATATTTTGATTTCCAAAAGTCTAGAACAAACTTTAGAATATGATTCTTTTACTGTTTCAGATATGATAGTAAAAATACGTTCATGTGGATAAATGTTTGGAAGTGTATCAAATATGTTAAAAAATAGTTTTAATGATTTTAATAAATGCTGTAATGGTTATAAGCATTTTTCTATTGCTTTCATAATTATTATGATTGGTTTAAAACATCCCCGAGAAAATTGATTGTCAAAAATTATTTTGTAGTTTTTCATGTTCTTATGATATTCTAGTGTTAAACATCAGATTAGTGAAAGTTTTCTCATAATAATGTATTTTGTATTGACAGATTGATAATGTATCTTAAATTGACCCCGATCACACTCAACCTGTATGCCTTGGTGACATTGGAGATTGACCTTGCCTTCATTTCCTTTACTAAGACATTGTTTAAGACCAGGCTGTTCACCTACTCCACACCAACCATCTCGAAGAAACTCATTGACAATACAAAGGAAGACCCAGATGATTCTCCACCACAGATCAAAAGTTTCACTGGTGATGGCAGTGGGGTAGGTTGAGATCAAAAGTTTCACTGATGATGACAATGGGGTAGGTTTAGGTCAAAAGTTTCAGTGATGATGGCAGTGGGGTAGGCTGTGATCAAAAGTTTTACTGATGATGGCAGTGGGGTATAGGTTTAGATCAAAATGTTTCACTGATGATGACATTGGGGTATGTTTAGATAAAACATTTCACTGATGATGAAATTGGGGTAGGTTTAGATCAAAAGTTTCACTGATGATGACATTGGGGTAGGTTGAGATCTAAAGTTTCACTGATGATGACATTGGGGTAGGTTGAGATCAAAAGTTTCACTGATGATGACATTGGGGTAGACTGAGATCAAAAGTTTCACTGATGATGAAATTGAGGTAGGTTTATATCAAAAAGTTTCACTGATGACTACAAAGGGATAGACTTTCATCTTTTTAACAAGGGTAGGCTAATTGATAAGTTTATAAAATTTCACTGGAAATTTAGAATGCGGTTGATAAATTATCTGAAATTCTCGTTTTTTTATCTGTACCCACTGTTTTTTTTCTTTGTGTTAAGTACTTGATGATTGAATGCTTTTTCACTTGATACATTTGTTTACTGTTCAAGCTGTCAAATTTGTTTGTGACTGATTTAGAAGGAGTTTTTACCTATAAATATATTGATGGTCTAAAGGTATATCAATTGTTTAAAATACCTTGTGTTCAACTTTCAGGAAACAGGTTCCTGTTCAGTCCATCAATTGTCTGGGCGAGATTATACAGAACCAATGGTAGAGATCTCTCTCCAGGCCGATGACGACAAAAGTGAAGTCACCATGACGTTAGATGTGGGTACTGTGGCTGGAGCGAAAGATGTGATGGAAGGCAAACCACTTGGAGGACCCTTAGTTCAAATTGAAGAGGTGTGTTTACCTTGGCAAACTGCTTGGTAGATCTTTATAACAGTTTTAGCTGGTATTGTTTAGTTTTCTTTCTACCTGCACTGAACCATTGTTCTCTGAAAGGTTTCAATTTCTGTTGTGATAATTGGTCACTATTCGCAGGTTTTCAGGATTTGACTATGGCTTGTTAGTGTTTGGTTAGATTTTAAGCCAACCCTCTGATGATGGTGAGCTTTTTAATGAGTCTTTACGTCCCGTTGGAAATTTAGTTAGTTTTATACAGAGAACTCTCGAGATATTCATGCCCTGTAATTTTTTGAAGGAGCATATAATTTTTGAGGTCCATTCTGTCGCATCCTTTCCCAAATCAGTGTTTAATTTTGGAAACCTCTGAACAGATTTGGTTTATATTTAAACCAATGTTAAAACAATCAGTTGTCTGACCTGATCAGAAAAAAATTGTTGGGTCATTTCCTCCTAAACCTGTGAACTGATTTCAAAGAAATTACGCAGGAATGTAAGGGACTATGAGTAGATTTGCATTTGGGTTGCCATGGTTTTGATATAATGTGCCATAATTCTTAGTCCTGTAGTTGATTTCATTCAAGCTTGATCAGGTGCTAAAGATAATTATAGCCTATAGTTTGACATATTAGGTGCTTCAAATCTGTTACCATGAAACAGTCAAAATTATGATATTATCTGATTAAGCTGAAATTGGTAGAAAAAGGTTTAGGGGAATGACAAATATAATGTGCTATTTTTGGAAAATGGTCAAAAAAAGAAATGGTTGCCATTTGGTTTCCATAGTGACCAAACGAAGGCCTCTTGGAGCAATCTTGTTCAGACAACCTCTCCTAAACTATTGTCTATTAGAGGTTGGGGAGTATTAGTCAGTCATCCTGCCAGCAATTTTTGTTATCGCTATTTCTTGGATTTTGATGGTTAAATATTGTTTTAATAATTCCTATTTCCTAAAAAGAACAGGGAAATATCTGACTTGATATGCAGGTTTCCCTAGTTCCAGTTTGTGCCCATTCTATTTTCATCTGCTCAAGAAAACAGAATGGCAGACCAAAGACTATCTTTTTGAAAGTTGAAGTTTGTTATTGCTTATCCTGGAAATTATTTAGATCTTTTCATATGTGGCATTCCCTCGTTATCAAATTTAATAGAGAAGGGGAAAGAAGGGAAAAGTAGAGAAAAAAAGTCAGAATTAGAACCAATAAAGATCAAGAACCTATAAAGATAATTCAGTCTTTAAATTTGAAATAATGGTAGAAAACTTATACATGTACTAAAATCACTCCAAAACAGAACAGTCTGTCTTCTTCCATTTTTCATATTAACTTTAGAAATTGGAATTCTCTTTTATTTATTTGAGTTAGTTTTTAGAACTTTTGGTTAGTATGCTTACGATTATTTATCTACAGACAGAATATTCTTATTATGTACAGAACATGATCCAAATTATTTCACATTAAAGATTCACCTTTAAATATGGACTTTTATTCTCAGCGTATGAATCCTACTGGTCTACCATTGAATTTCACTGTGACTGTTGCCAATGACGCTGGCACAGCAATCAAGGCAGTGTGCTGGATTCCAACTTATGATGTGACCATCCCGGGAGGACAATTCCGTGCAGATTTCTCATCCAGTAGTAATCCAGAGGACATGAAAGCATCTGTGGTTGTATTTGACGATTCGTTGATTGATTCAGCAGAGGTATCCATTGGATACGGACGTGAAGTTTACGGTGACCAAGTCCTGATGTGGGAGGATGTCAACCTATACAAGAGATTTCATGATGTAGATATAAGTAAGTTTACGGTGACCAAGTCCTGATGTGGGAGGATGTTATCCTGTACAGGAGATTTCATGATGTAGATATAAGTAAGTTTACTGGGACCAAGTCCTGATGCAGGAGGATGTCAACCTATACAAGAGATTTCATGATGTAGATATAAGTAAGTTTACTGGGACCAAGTCCTGATGTGGGAGGATGTTAACCTATACAAGAGATTTCATGATGTAGATATAAGTAAGTTTACTGTGACCAAGTCCTGATGTGGGAGGATGTCAACCTATACAAGAGATTTCATGATGTAGATATAAGTAAGTTTACGGTGACCAAGTCCTGATGCAGGAGGATGTTATCCTGTACAGGAGATTTCATGATATAGATATAAGTAAGTTTACGGTGACCAAGTCCTGATGTGGGAGGTTGTTATCCTGTACAGGAGATTTCATGATGTAGATATAAGTAAGTTTACTTGGATCAAGTCCTGATGCAGGAGGATGTTAACCTTTACAAATGCATTGATTTCTTTGGCCTTCAAGAAGAAATTTGGTCTTCAAAGAGCTCAGAATGAAGATTAGAAGTTTTAAAAAGATTTAGTATTCTGTTCTCTAGACTGACAAATCTGTTTCCTTGTAGGCAATGATCCACTTAACATCAAGGTACTAGGTTTGTTTAATGGTGGTCGGTTTGGACGTTTGATTGGTCCAGTGTTCATGGAGCTGAATCAGATCAACACAGTTGGGGACTGCATGCGACAATGTGCCAACTACCCAGACACCAAGTGCCTTAGTATAAACTTTGACTTCGGTACGAGTGGCCATTGTGAACTCCTGGAGGCTATTGAAGGACATGATCATAAAGTGTCTGTGGTGAGTTGTATCGACTTACTTTCAACCTCAGCCCACAACAAAGGAAGGGAGTTGATAACGTCAGACTGCCTAGTTACACAAAAAAAATTCTTCAAACTTTGCATGATATAATCTCTTTCTTTTTATGCTTCATTGTGCATTTTGAAATTTTGACAAATATTTTTGAGTAATGCTCCCTTTGATGAAAAAACAATGGTCTACAATCTCTGAACAGTAATGACCTATGTTTTAATCTTTGACCTTTGACCTATGTCTCAGTCTTTGATCTCTGACCTGTATTTTTGTCAATGAACTCTTACTTGTATTTTAGTCTATGAACTCTGACCTATTTTTTTGTCTTTGAATTCTGTCCAATCTGTTTTAGTCTGGGCTGTACTCCCACTATGAGAGACTAGGAATTGGACTTGCAGTTGAGTTTTCCTACAGCGGTCTCTCACTGCTTCATAACATGACAGTCTACTTCAACTTGCGCCTTGTCAACGCATTGGAATACATGAATATAATCTCCACCGAGGCAATCCTATCGGATTTCACACCTCCTGAACCAGGTAAATATCAACATCATACTTTCAGGCAAAGGTACATTCAATAATGTATGTAGTAATGTGAGTCGAACATTCAACATATCAGATAACCAGAATGAGCAATTTAGTTTTGGGATACATCTATGTTTTTTGTTAATAGGTGTCATAATGAATGCCACGGAAGACCGTCTTGAGTACGTGACATGCTCTTCACAGATACCTGAAGACAGACCTGACTGGCTGCCTCGTTGTGTCGGCATGTCAGACAGAGTCAATAACCACAGGTGAGAAAATCAGATTTCAATGTGCATTTCTTTTCCATTTAAGAACTCTGAATTGAAAAGACTGCTTTCTAAATCAAACTATGGCCTTGAAATTTTCACAAATCAGTGTTGTTACTTCATTATCTTAATCTTTAGCAAGAAAATTCTGTGGATGGGCCGAGTATGACATGTACATATATATAGTATTAAATACATTTGCTGTCTGGTAAAATTTTGTTTGGTCAGATAAAAGTATCCTGTGTGTTGACTGCAAAGAGAGAAGATATAACTGTTTAACATTACGGTCTGGTCAGCCTTTATAATTTTTGCAGACACTGATATCCCATTAACCCTCTTAACTGTGATGAATTTTATATGGCAAACTTTTTGTATTACGATTTTTTTTTCCCACAGGAATATCATTGATGGTCCAGGTTCTACTACAATTCTCAATGGCAATGATCCTGGAGACGAGACGCTGTATACACGAGCCAATCGTTACATCTCTGGTATGTCTTTGTTTTTGTTATTATAATATGGCTTGATTCTACTTCAGTAAAATTATATTTCTTTAAGAATTTAAAGGAGGATCAATAACTATGAATATTTAATCATGTGTGAAACCTTTTACTCTACTTCCAGGTATCAAACTATCACATAAATACTTATCACTCTTCATTCATGTTTTCCCTGAATGTTACTAATCTTGACTTAATTTTGTAAAGCAGTGCAAGCCAATAAAAAAACAGGTTTTTAAGTATAGAAACCTCTGTTACAGTAATCCAGAAACATTATAATGATATTTTGTTTTTATTTCTCAGCCAATTGGAATGGTACAAATGATAAGGAGACAGGTATACTTGGTTACACAATAACAGTGGGACTACATTATTGTGAGGACATGATTCACCCCCACCACGACCCCCAGAAGCACCTGTTTGATGAGTCACAATGGACCTTACAAGCTATGATATATCCACTTCCTGCGGGTTATGATCCCTTAGATGGTGAGAGTTTAGTCAATTGTGTTTACTGCAAAGAGATTTTTTAGTTGGTTCAAGAAAATTTCGAAAGATTATTTCCAGTAAAGTAATAATATTATTTTGGAGCTAATTAGAACATATTAATTTTACAGATATTTAATTGTGTGTTGAGATTGAACATAATATATCTATGTTGAATGAAAAAAAAATTGTTTTTGAATAATTTTACAGACGGAAGATATTTCATTTCCCTCCGTGCCTTGAACAAAGTGGAGTATGGTGGACCGTTGGTAACAACTATCTGTCACACAACCCCATACATCATTGATAACTCTCCACCAATTATATACGAAATCTATAACATCACTTACAATGAAATCACTACACTGCTCACAGCCATGCATAACTCTACGTAAGTTATAGAATTTAAGTCATTTAAATTAAGATTGATACTCACCTATTTCATCAGGACATATCATTGTACAATTTTTAAACATTTTCAATATGTCATGATGTGTGCAAAATTATAGTTGTGCCTTCAGTAAGTTTGTCCATATGTTAATGTGCTGATTCATTTTTCAGATACTTTGAGTACTGATTTAAAAATAATTGTGTTTATACTCTTTTCAGGATACTAGGTAATCTTCTGAATTTCAAGGTTAATAATAGCATATCATTTCGAGTTAAAGTTTTCAGAAAGATGATAAACTGAATTAGCAATTAACTGAGAATAAATAATGGAGTTTGGAAGTTAGTGTAATAGACCAATGATTAACATACCAATATTTAAAGGAATCAATAGGTTTAATAATGACATTAAGTAATTGTTTCCTCAAAAATGCATAGTAAACATATATGTTTCTTCCTAGGTTTATTTCAACTATAATCTTACCAGGCTAGATTGCTATTTCATGCCATTTAATTGGAATGTTTTGATCAGTATTCACTTTAGAATAAAAATATACAGATTCAAAACATCGTTGACTAAATGTGATAAAACCAATGTTTTAAAAAACTTACTTGATTTCTAATATTTAAACACATGTGCCTTATTGTCCTTAACTTCTGTATACTGTGTTTTCCAAGACAGAAACATTGCAAACTAATAATCTTTTCCTGTAAAAAAACCCACTTAAAAACATCCTCATCTCTGTAACTTGCATTCCCTTAACTTAAAGATTTATCTTATAACAAAAAACTATTCAAATTGCACTGTCAGGTTTTAGGGTATCTACAGAGTTAATTGTTAAAACCAATTATAATCAAAGATTGATTGGTTTTTACAGAACTGATTACTAATAGATGACCTTTTTTTGATTACAGAGATCCACAGTCAGGATTAGAGTATAATGACATATGTCTAGGTAGAACCACTCGGGACTGTTATGTCTCCAATAATCTCTGGGAGCGCTACTCATACAGCCCTTCTATCCTACACTACTACTCGCTACCCGATGGAATTCCAGTGTGGGTGAAGATCAAGGCCATCAATTACGGTATGTAGATAAAAAACAATGTCTTTACATCATCATGCCCCTAAATGGGATACATGTATATGTGAACATCATCATTCCATTGAGTTAATTAGTTAATTCAAATGATTGGCCTTGACCCACTTTCAAAGTCACAGAGGTCCAATGTGTGGAGAATTTTTTCTTCTTTCAATAAGCAATAGCTCCTGAGTCATGTAGTAGCATGCTTGAGGAATGGGATTTTAGATTTGCTGAAATTATTTTACACACTGATAAAGTCTTTTGTGTAAGCTGTGGAATGTCTGTGTAGCTGGTGAACAATTCTTGCCCATTGGGTCTCTTGTTTGTATTTACTGCTGAAAATATAGTGAATCTAAACTGTTTTAATCACTTTATAACTGTTCCTTCTACTACTACTGTTACATTTTTAACAGGTGTTTAAAATGAGACAACAGTAATTATTACCTGTTACTATATAATGAAAATCAATCAATTAATTTTGTGAATATTTTTACAGTGGACTTAAGAACCATCAAAGTGGCCAACTCCCCAATCATCATTGACACGTCACATCCGTTCCCTGGAGTTGTGAATGACGGACCTATCTATGGAGTTGACCTTGAGTATACAAAGGACTTTGATTCTGTATGTATTTTATTCTACTTAGCCATGTTTTCTAGAACGATAGCAGTGCTTGAAACCTCTTCTTCTAAAGACCTGTTAAGACTAACTCTTAATATTGTGAAAACATGCACATGAAATCCAAGTCAAATTCAGTGATCCCTCTAAATGTTTTGATAAAGGGTGTGATCCACATTTTTACTTTCTGAAATATACCAAAAGTGTCTTGTCATATAAACTTACTCTGTTTTAGAGGACAGATTTACTTCTCAATTAAAGCTGAAGTCAGTAGTTAGACCAGTTACCAGAATTTAGTCTCTGTTTTAGAGGACAGATTAACTTTTCAATTAAAGCTGAAGTCAGTAGTTAGACCAGCTACCAGAATTTAGTCTCTGTTTTAGAGGACAGATTAACTTTTCAATTAAAGCTGAAGTCAGTAGTTAGACCAGCTACCAGAATTTAGTCTCTGTTTTAGAGGACAGATTAACTTTTCAATTAAAGTATAAGTCAATGTTTCCATCAGTCACAACTATTTTGTCTCAATGTTTAAGGTAACGGGTTCAGCCTAAATCCATAAACAATAATCAAGTTAACACAACACCACTTTAGCTTGTGTCTTTAAGAGACCAAATAGTTTTCAGTCTTGGGTGTAATATTTTGTTACCATTTGACAAGATGTTTTTGTGTCTATCTAATTTTTTGCTGAATACTCTTGACAAATTTTGAACATTGAAATCGTGAAATATATATAGTGAGACACAGATTTATGTCATTTTATACATACTTGTACTTGTACCTAACACAGCTTTATACAGTTACATACCATGCATAGATGTAGCACCAATGACAATTGAAGATTAAAAAAAAATACCCTGGTGAAGCCTCGCATCAGAGGTGGAACTAATTGGCCAATGAATATAACCCGCTCTGGTGAGTCGTGGTGTTTGCTGTGATTGAAACTTACTTGGATTAACTATGACAATTGAATAAGTAAAAACCAGTTGACAGTGACATTATACATATGTGTTACCAGTGACAATTGAATCAAATAAAAGCTAATTGACTGTGACATCCATGACCATGTCGACTGACTTTTGAAATCACTAAGCTACGATTAACTATATCACACAAGTATAACAGTGCATATTGCATTACAATTATTGAAATAATTTCCACAGTCTTATTGTTATCGATCAAATGACCAAGAATGATTGAAATTGTCACATAACCGGCCTGTTGTGTCATGTGTTGTACAGTCCATTCAGTATCGTAAAACATATGTAATAACACTATTCTTGCCCCATAATTGTCTGAATAGTGAAACTCGTACCATCCACATTAAAGTAAGTTTATGTGGTTGGGAAATTTCACATTATATCAACACTCTTGTAAGATCCTCTCTTTGCAAAATTTATATCATCAGATTATCATATATTAAGTTATTCTGGTATTACGAAAATAACATGTGATGTGGTACGGTATGTAAAATTGAGTCAAACCCCAAAACATCTGTTATTTTTGTTACCAGCTATGTGTGAACTGGCAGGGATTTTATGACCCAGAGTCTGGAATAGCTTACTACCAAGTGAGTATGGGATCAGTCGACAGCATCAACGTTACTGACATAGCAAATCTTACCCAATACACTCGCCTTGACCACGAAGCATGTGTCACTCTGAGTCCGGATAATTATCTACAACATAACAGAGAGTACTTTGTCACTGTGTGGGCATACAATGGAGGACACAAGCAGTTAGCAGTAGCAAAGATATCGGATGGAGGTAATATACAATTACAGTCAAACTTTGTTATCTCGAAAACCCCATTCAATTTTGTCAATCCCTGCAACCAACCCTTCAAACTCAATTAAATGGAGTACTGGGTTATCCCCAAGTTTTCCTACAGTCCCACAGACATTACAATCAATTTTTATCTGTATTCTGATATACAACATCCGTCTTAGATAAACCATCTAACTGTTCTGCTGCAGTCAGTATCAGTTTCACAAACAATTGTCATTTTATGCCGCTTTCCATTTTATGTGGGCACAGTGTATAAAGTGATATAATGTCCACTTGTTACATCCCCTCCCCTCCCCTCCCATCCTGTTCCATGTCGTTTCATCCTGTTCTGTTCTGATTGAGTCAATGTCAGATTCTAAGAACTTCTCCTCAGATATGGTTCATATTTACTCCATAGTATCTGACGTCAAATTTTTACACGTTATCAGGTTTTTGGTTTGGATAGAAATGGAGGTGTTCTTGTCTTACCGACATTCTCTGGTACTACATATATGTTTATTTTCTTTAAAATGTACTTCTACACAACTCTTACCCATTGAAGGATCTCAGATTCAGATTCGATTCTGTTGTAGGTGTAAGAATTGTCCTTCTGTGGTTTCTACATTGTTCAGCATAGTTACTACATAAATATAACCTTTCAGTCACATGACACTTTGAAGGAGTCATTGAATAGTCTTAAAAGTGGCTGACACTGTAGTGTGACTGAAACTGTAATAAAGAGACAAAATAATCCAAAAAAAGGGAGCCAAAAAACAAACAACAAAAGCAAAAAAACAAACAGATAGTTGACCACAAAAATTGGCAATAATTGATTGAGGTCTTAGAATAGCTAGCCTTGTCTAGCTTTCTCAGTACTCATGAATATAATATTATCAGTGTTTTACTGCATGCAATGTTACTGTAATAGGAATGAGTAATGAAAATCACTCCGCTATTGGGGTTTGAACTAGCAATCCTTCAGTTTGTAGGGGGGACACTCTATCGCTCATCTGAAGGAAAATTGCGACTAGCTAAGGCTCAGTAACATGATATGTACTCAATTTCTACATCACCTTATCATCTACTTGGAATACTTAAGTTTTACTTAGTTGAAGTTCCCATTTGGTTAGTTTTTTATGCTCCCGGAAAGGAGAGCATATAGTCTCCACTTTGTCTGTCTGTCAATGGTCCCGCTGTCCGTCCGTCTGTCCATCATAATTTTGTCTGGAGCATAACACAAACACTAAAGAGGTTTGAACATAAAAACTTCATAGGTAGATAGATCACAGCAAGGAGAAGAGCAGTGCACAAAAACTCATTTTTGCATAATTCAGGAGTTATTGCCCTTTGTTATGTTTTGTTATTTTTTCATACTTAAATTTTGTCCCAATCTGAGAACATAACCCATCTCTGACAATTATTGTTTTAAAGAGTTCTTTTTTATAGAAATGATAATCATCTAAACGGTTATGATAATTATGTACCACCAACATTTCAGAAAAAAAGCCTTGAAATATATATATTGTATGCACTGCACTGGTCAACATTTTGTATCCAGTTCCAGCTCTCATATCATGTTTGAACAAAACATAAAGCACTCAAAATATTGTACTCTAATTTGTACTTTGGTTTTACACAGTTGTTTGTGACCTAACTCCCCCTGTACCTGGTGAAGTGGTTGATGGTAACATAGAGAACTTTGAAGATCAAGTTTACACAGCTGCACGAGCAAAGGTCGAAGGTCAATGGAGAGATTTCTCTGACATTGAGTCACATATCAAGGACTATAAAGTGCAAGTGCAGAGAGCAGTGTAAGTAGGGGAAATCTTATTGTGTTATTATTGTGCTATATCTGTAAATATATAAAGGAAAAATCTGCAGCCATTTTATAAATCTGTCTTAATGGTGCACTCTGCTGTATTATACAACTATATATATGGTGTATTTATTTGTATACATTATAATTTGTACACAAATGGAAATAGAACATATACTACTATGAAATTTCATGTAAGTGCCCATTTAGCTTTTGTACAAAAATTTGATTTTATTCATAGATTGAAAATGTCTGTATAATTTTGACATTAGTTTATTGAATCGGTAGGAATAAATTACTTTTACATGGAATGTACATTTTGTAGAAATTTGAGTATGGACTATGAACTGCTGAGGGATTGGACTACATTTGATAACGAAACATTCAGTGTGAAGTGGTTGAACTTTCACCTGAACCATCGAGACAGGGTTAAGCTTGTTTTGAATACAACCAATGGAGCCCTAAACACTATCCAGAATGAGACTGATGGCTACGTTGTAGACCTCACCCCTCCCAAATTGTTCTATCTAGGGGACGGTTTGAACCCTGGAATGGACATTCAGTTCCAGGTAAGGTCAATGTTTCATTGAGACCTACAGCTTAAGGAAAGATCAAAGGTCATAGCTGTAGTTAAGTCCATGTCACTGTTTTAGTCAGTCTGAGGTCAATGGTAAAACATTACCAAGAGTTTCAGGTAAGGTCAGCATTTGAAGTAAATCTGAGGTCATTGTTAAAATGTTACCAAGATTTCCAGGTAAGGGTGAAGGTCATCATTGTTTGAAGTCAGTAAGAGGTCATTTAGTCCAACAGTTTAAGGTAATTTAAAGGAAAACTGAGGGTACAGCTTGATGACAACATTGGTTTAAAAGAAGACACAGCTAAGGTCATTTATTTAGAAAGGAAACCAATGGCATGATCAGAGAGAGTTTTAGATAGAAAACACCACATTAAAAAAAAGCAGGAAGTTTTATCTTTAGGAAAGTGAAAAATTGTATTACTTCAAATAGATGACAGGCAACAGGTAAAGGAACATGTATCTATGGAGGGTCCAGTCCAGGATCTAGGATGCTTGTTATAAAGCCATTAAAATGCCAAACTGTGCATGCATTTTAAAGCTTATCATAATCCTGCATTTGATGTCCTTTTGTTACAGGCTGATGCAAACAGTTTATCTGCTAACTTCAAGTTTGAGGATGTCGAGTCAAACATCAACCACTACAAGTTCCAGATCTATGAAAAGAAAGGAGGATCTCGCACTCAGATTTACCCAGGCAAGTCTCAGTTATGCACCATAATCCTAGCTATGAATATTCACAATGGTAGAACTGCTTTGACAGACAAAATCCTTAAATACAAATATGTCAATCTGGCTGTGTAAAATTTCATTTGCTTTTTTATGGACAAGAAATCTTACTTGCTTCTCTGCTATTAATCTTTTATGATATAGTAAATATCCTGAAACATATTTAAGCATTAGGGTTTACTGTGTCCCAATAGCTATTTTTTTGCTTGTATCATTATACACAGATTCACTTCATGTTCATTATGACCTCTGAGGATTATATAAATGGTTTATATATGTGTGAATAAACTTTTGTCCCCATGTTGTTGGTTCATGGACAAAAAGGGAGAAATTTAAAGGAGGGCAAAAATTTCTCTTTATACAGTAAACTCTAAGATATGAAGGTTATTATAAGCTTAGGCCTTTGACCATTCTTGAAATAAATTTTCAACAGACTTTTCCTCCAGCCTGGAAAGAACTTATATGAATATTTCCAATATTTTACGTTGGTTTTGACTTCGTCATGCTATCAGTTAAATTCACTTACAAAACAGTAGAAGGTACCCTAGTCAGAGTCCTACTGTGAGTGATATTTCATTCTATGTACAGTAACACAAGGGGAGTGGCTAGAATTGAATGATGACCCAGCTCGAACTGTCTTCACTCATACCACATCTTCACTTAGTACTGGAAGCAGATACAGCATTCGTGTCGGAGCTATCAACAACGCCGGGTTTGTGGCAGCGTTTGAAACGGACGGTGTTGTTATCGACGTCTCAGCACCATTGGTATCTATATTCTAGATCTCTTTACAGCTCTATATGAACCTAAACTGATAATAATATCTATCATTCTAAACATGCAGTAAGTTCAAACTTATTACTTATTTCTCTTGGTCTGAGTTTGACTTCACTGAACAGAAATATATACGAGGCATGGGCTAAATACAAGATGTAGTCTTGTAACATCCAGTAGTTTTAAATACTTGAAAGAAATGCTACTATGTATATCAGTATATGAATAGAACGTTGAAAAAGGAATATTTGAAAAACTCAGTTTATTTGACAAAGCAGTAACATAGAAATAATGGAGGGTAAAACATTGTTGAAACAATCTGGCCTGTTGTCAAGGAATCAACTTTAAATAATTAATTAAAAAGATCAGGTGATGCAGTGGTAACATGTTTACCTTTTACCAGAGGCTTGATTTGAACATGAAAAGGTAAAGGGGGCACCTGTTTAACCATGTGTTTTTACCAATGTACCATGGACTCCTCCTTATCACTTCCCTTTGGGCTAACAGGAAATTAAGTCTATAGCACTTATACAAAACACATCCCTTGGGTTTTGCACTTCAGCTTGTAGCTTAATTTATTTATATTCAAAGGTAATAAATGCATACATTATGAAAATATCCTGTAATAATCCCGATTGGCTGACATACAAATTCTGACTCTTACTTGTATGCTTATTATGCTGAATAATAACAGATATAGGTGGGCTTATTGCAAGGCATGGTCTGATTTTATGTAAATAACATACTCGGAATTTCTTTTTTTAAGACATTGTGGGTTAGGGTAGGAATCCTCAACAATGATTTAGAGGAAAAGGTTGAAGGTTATGTGTGGCAGGCTGATCGCACTGGAATCAAAGCCAAGTGGTTTGCTACAGATCCTCAGTCAGGAATCATTGGATACAAAGTAGCAGTTGGCACCACTCAATGTAAGGGACAAAACTCTCTATTGATATCAATACTCTTATCTGAAAGAATAACACAGCAGCATCTGTTAAATATTTTATGATAACCAAATATTTTTTTCTCGTTTTGATACTTTCTTGTTGAGGAATATTTAGAATAACACAAAGTACTTTTCTGATGATTAATTCTAATGGAAAAACATATACATATTACATCTTTGACGATTAGTTACATTTTTTAAAAGTGTTATATTTTGTATTTTTGATATTTTATTATAATGTCTAAGTTACAATATCATTTTACAAACTAGATGGCACAGACAAGCTTGACTACATAGAAGTTAGCGACAATGATGTGTACATTGCCAACCTTGACCTTGAACTTACTGACCTGAATACGAAGAGTCCAGTTTATTACGTCTCTGTCAAGGCCATCAATGGTGCAGGAACTGAGAGTGGAAATGTCATAACATCTACACCCATTGTAGTCGTGGAGCAGGATACCGCAGGTATGTTTTCTAAAAGACACCTACTTTCTGTAGGGATTGGTTTAATATTTTTACAAGTGAAATCAGCAGTTTCTCTCTTATATACAAGTCTCATTTTCACACAATGAAGAAAATGTCTTTCAATTATTAGTGAAATATTTCTAAACTTTTATAGTTGATGTAGGCATAAGCCATGATAAAATTCAGGTTAAAAAAACCACTGGTCTTTCAGCCATGGACCTAATATAGCAATTGCAATGATATTCACATACACATTGAAGACATACCTCAGACATGTTCAAATATTGCCACAATTTTTTCAGGAAATATATTAATGTTGCTAAAATTTGGATTTCGAATTGAAACAAGAATCCAAATTTAGAATTTGGTAAAAAAAATAATCCAAAATGAAACCTAAAGTGCCCAAAATGGTGATTTCTCTGACACAATGCAGGATATATATGTATCATAAATTAACTATTATATTGCCTCAATGTGGGCTTTACTGCAACAGATGCCAATGTTGAATCAAGTGACTGGTTTTGAATTAGATTGAATTAGAAGGAAGAAAACAATATAGCAGATCATAAAGAAAGTCCAATCAATGATGTTTTATTTAAGGCCGCTTATGAATTAGGGGTAAATTAATAATATAATCATAATGTTGGCCTAATTGATTCACCTCGGTCAGTTGTATTGGGTCTTCAGCCTCAGGTCAGTATGACAGACCTTTGGCTAATAACTAGTTCAATATTGAAAAAAAAAAAAAATTATATAAGCTGAGAGTATTGAGGGTATGGAGTTTTCATCATATGTATATTCTGTTACAGGTTATGCTATAGATGGTGCCGAGGGTCTGGAGAGTGAGAATATCATGTCTATGGATATTGACTACACAATGGACTTCTCTGTGGTAACCACCCAGTTTGAGGGCTTCACAAGTGACCTCCATGGGGTCATGGCTTTTGAGTGGGCTGTTGGTACCAGCCCTGGGGGTGAGGAGGTCCAGCCCTTCATGACTGCAGGAATTGTACATGAGGAGGACGAAAACATTCCTGGAGATGGTTTGTTCAAAGAAAATAACCAAATAAAAAAATTATAATATATTATTTGAGAGAATGCAGTTAATAAAGATATAGGTGATGACTATTGTTAATACAAGATTTATTCTCACAATAAAACTATTTGTAATTGGTCGATAGTTTATGAGTCATAGGAACTAATTTCTTGTGTCAATTTTATGATATAAGGTGTAGCCAGTAGTGGATTTGCTCAGGCCACTGTGCAGTTAACAGCCAACAAGACTTACTACACTACCATTCGAGGAAGGACAAATGGAGGAAACATCCTACAGTCTACGACCGATGGTTTCACCATTGATCTCACTCCACCCAGTATAGTACTGGAAAGGTAAACTACATTGATCACATAGATATTGAAATACAGGGTCATCCTGGAAAATGACTGTATAATCAATTCTATTGTATAGTCATTACATTATTTATGTAGATGATGTTCCTTGTAATATTTGAACATTTTTTTTACTATAGTAAATCCAAATATTCATTTTATAATTTTTTAATACTAACCATAATTAAAGAAATGTTAGGCGATTCTAATTTTTTCACGATTTGAGGATGTTATAATCTGACCAATATCAGGTTAATCTGACAAAGTGTGATAAGTTGATGACACAGTGTATTAGAAGTATAGTGAAGTTATTAACTGAATCATTGTTGTTAAAGTATCTTATATGATATGATACAAAGATTCTTTTTCTGACAGCTTGACCGACAAATTCGCATCCGATACAGACATAACAGAGGGTGCCACCATATACCAGGAGTCCCCGGACTCCATGACAGCAAGTTGGCAGTACAACGACACAGAAAGTCCAGTGATGGAAAGCTGGTACACTGTGGGCACTTATCCATTCGCAGATGACATCAAAACAATGCAGTATGCTGAAATTACCTCACTTGGATTAAGTTCAATGCCCCTTGGGTCAATCACACCTGAGGTTACAGGTATGTGATTATTTCCCCTCATTTTATGATAATATTACTTTTTCCTTAATGTCTATTTTTTCTCAGAACATTGTCTTTATTTCAATTAATTATGTGGAATGTTTATGTGTCTTGTTTTAATTTGCGTTCTGTTGATATCTTTTTTTTCTGTAGTCATATAAACTTCTCAACATTCGTTAGACTTAATTTTGAACATCAGATCAGTTCTTCGTTCATAATTTCTTAACTTCAAACTATATTTTTCATAAGGAAAGAACAATATTATATTTTGCATACATGAAAGCATGATATTATCAACTTTTAAAATGAAAATATTTTGTGCTAAGTTTGACAAATACAATTATTGAGGACCTTTTTCACTTGACAAACAACAAAATTTCACCAATGTTTCTTCATTCAAGAATGATGTTATTTGAACTCTATTAAAAAGAATTTCCTATTATCAATAATTGCAAAACTTTTACCAATGTTGGATGTTAAGTGAATGTTATGCATTATTGAAAAAGTCTCCTTACTTTTAGGAAAGCCCAACATTCTAAGTGTGTGGGCAAAGAACAAGGCAGGGATGATAGAAGGTGTGGCTTCTGGCTCGGTTGTGTTTGACAGTACTGCACCACAGTTAGGTGACGTAACCTGTCCAGATTATGTACAGGTAAGGTACTAGGAAGATTGAAAATGTCTTATTTAATTTGTGCATAAAAATATTTTTAAATGTAGCAGGGTCTTGGAGGAAATTTCAAATAAAAGCACACAATGAAACCAATTTTGCACTCCATAAGACTGATATTGCTGGTACTGTTACCAGGGTATACCCAGAATCCTAAAGACAACAAGTTCTGTGGTCAGTGTGTTTATCCCTGATTTAAATATATTAGCCTGCAGTTTACGGCTGAATGTTTTGGTGCTTTATTAAATATCTCAATGATCTACTTGATTGCAAATTGATAATTTTGTTCCTCAGAACTTTGTCAATGTGTGTTAAATTTTTTGATAAATAGACGAGGCAGTAATCTGTTTCATTTCTTCAAATGAACCGTTTCCTCAACAAAAGGAATGCACTATGAACAATAGTACGACATCATTGTTTGTGGTTTTTGTAGCATCATTGTTTGTGTAGCATCATTGTTTTTGCATGCAACAAGTACTTAGTATCATAGTAGCAAGATATAAAAAAAATCTAACAATTTGGTGGAAAAAAGGGAAGATAATTGTAAATAAAACCATTATTTCATGATTATTTCGATCAAAAGGTCTGTCAATCTATTTGATATAAAATCTATCATTGATATGTGTTATTGCAAGTGTATAAAACTGTAGGTTGCTGTATACTATATTTATATATATATAAATATTGTATAATAACAATAATAAAAACAAGGAAAAACAAATAAAGGGAGATAATCCCTTTATTTGTTTTTCTTTGTTTTTTTCGCTTTCTGTGTTTATAAATTCACTTTCATTTCAAATTATATAATTTACATCATTTTTCTTAAACTTTGTTAACTTTGGCTTCGTGGAGAGAATTTATATAGGCTTTGCCTGTTATTCAATCCACACTGACTGTACCATCTTTGTCAATAAAATTTGTTGAAATGAAAAGGTCTGTCCCTCAGTAGTGTGGTAGAACTTCAGAATTGTGCCATAGGTTATCCATTCTACTGAGGGATGGTAGCATCATTTGCATACACTTAAAATACATTTATCTATTGCTATTAGTTACAGGTTTTATGTCTTGTATAGTTTGAAAATGTTTTTATATCCCTGCCATTTCAGGCTTAAGGGGACTGTACATATATAGTGTTACCCATGACCCTTCATTCTATTCCATTAAATGCAATTAATGTCCAGAACCTCCCAACAGATTTGACTCATATTTACCCTACCTATCATAACGTCAGATTCTACATCTGATTCTGCTTTGCAAAGGACAGGAGAATTCCTGTCTTGAAATCTTGAAAAGTTGTAATATGATGTCACGTTGACCTACTACTTACAGCTGAATGCGCCTGTGTTGTGTACATGGACGGGCTTTTTTGATGAGGAGAGTGGTATAGACAAGTACCTCATAACCATGGGACAGATAGAGGGCTCTGACGACATCTTCAATGGCGGCGAGGTGGAGGGCAGCATCACCAGCTACTCCATCACAGGTAAACATACAAATGTGTACCAGAGACAGTGTATTTCCCACTGGGTGTATTGAATTACATACCTTCACAATTATATATATTCAACATTTTGTGCATGAATAATGATTAGTAACTCTACAAGTAGTATTAGTACTTACTCAAGCAGTAGAAAGAAATTTAGATATTATATAAGTAGCAATGTTTAAATACTGCAAGAATAGAGATCTGTCTCAAATTATGTTAGAATGTTTTTTACAAATAACTGAATGATGGAAAAATTTCTGAATATGGACATGACTCGCATGAACCTTATTGTCAAAATGGTTGATTCACATTTTGAATTTTAGGTCAGCCAATTATAGTTTTATCTATGGCAATTAAAATCAATACCCCCTAAAATTAGAATTGAACAGATAGTTTGAAAATTGTGAATTTATAGATTTTAGTGGTGACCTTATTTTAGTGGTTTTCTAGATAGACAAATGTATAAGGTATCTCTTGTGTCCATGGCTTGTAAAATTGATTGGGCAATGGCTTTGTTAGGTCTAGTATGGAAAGTATTTCATTAGAATTGCCTCTTATGTTAACTAAATAATAAGTGATATTTCAGTAAACCTTGTACGATACCCAAAGTATTCAGTTTTCGTTGAGGGTTGCCACCAATCTCTAAAGGCTTTTCATGGAAGATGATGGTAACGATAGTTTTTGAGTCAAATGACTGGATGTTGACAGGTCTGGTTATGAGAATCTTCTACTGAAATTGTCTCTGAAGTTGACTGAATAATAAGGGCTATTTCTTTAAAACTTGTATCCCTCCCAAGAATCCAGGGTTTGTTTGGAGAAACCACCCATAGAATTTTATTGATAATTCGATTAGGAGTAAACGATCAGTAAAAAAATGATGAACCATGGATAGAAGTAATTTATTTTGGGGTCAACTGGATGTTTTACTTGAATAGCCCTTAGAAGTAAAACAGTTCTGACTCTTCAATATATTAGCTTCAATATCTCTCAGAGATTGTTCAACTGATAGTTATGACTTTCTTTCTTAGGTCTAAGTGGCAAGCTGAAGCATGGCAACACCTACTTTGTAACAGTAACTGCTGTCAACAAAGTAGGACTGGAGATATATGCTTTCTCCAATGAAATAGGAATTGATACAACACCACCTGTAGCTGGTCTTGTAGTGGACCTCCACACCGTTTACCGTGTAGATGTAAACAATGGTGATAACACCGTTGCTTACAACAGAAAAGTCTGCAACACAACTGAAGGTGAGTAATATAATTTGTATACTGAAAACCGTGAGTTAAATGTAAACCAATTTGGTTCGGCATGGATTTTACATAAAGAAATTAATGAATTCAAAACAAAATTTGGAAAGTAGATAATCACAAATTTAGACAGGAATGGTGAATATTCTGTAAGTATAGTTTCTGTTTCCCAAAATTTTATTACCAAAAGCTTATGATGCAGTGATTTTATAAGTTAGTTGTCAGAAAAGAAAATCAGATCAGAATAATCAATTACAACAGTTTACTGACAGGTGCTTTGTTAATTATTAGTTTGTCTACGAGTTTCACTCACACTATTTGGCATCATCAGGATAAATATTAGTTAAAATACCTGAATTCATCAATTGCTTGCACACGTTTGAATATCCAGGCGAGAGGTAAAGGACCTATTCATCCACCACGTAATAGTGCACAGTGTTGGCACTACTGCCTGATAAGAGGAAATCAGTTTATTATAAACTCTTGCATGTAAAAATAGATTGATAGGGAAATCTGTGGATCCAAAGGCAGGATCGAAATGCAAAGTTTGAAATTCAAAATTACGAGGAGTACAATTTTATCTTGTTTCTGATAGGACAAACATTAGGAGTAGTACAATATTATCTTGTTTCTGATAGGACAAACATTAGGAGTAGTATATTATCTTGTTTCTGATAGGACAAACATTAGGGGGAGTACAATATTGTCTTGTTTCTGATAGGACAAACATTAGGAGGAGTACAATATTATCTTGTTTCTGATAGGACAAACATTAGGAGGAGTACAATATTATCTTGTTTCTGATAGGACAAACATTAGGAGGAGTACAATATTATATTGTTTCTGATAGGACAAACATTACGGGGAGTACAATATTATATTGTTTCTGATAGGACATGTCAATCTCTACATGTATAATATTTTGATCAGTATTGATCATTGGAGGTGTCACATGAGTTTGGAGTTAGGCCTGTCTGTATGTATCTACATTTACATCTGTTTTATAGACTGCTTGGCCCTGGATGCTGTTTGTACCGAGTCCTTGACATCACTATCAGTCACCTGGCAACCATTTTCTGACCCAGAATCTAACATTGTGAGGTAGGTTAAAGCAGAGAACTATTAAATATAACCTGACTCAAGAGTAGATGTATTAACTAAGGGCTATTCCAGTAAGATATCTACTCAGTGAGAGAACTCTCGGTTTGTCTAATAGGGACCAATGATTTAATACAAACAGCTCTAACAGCTGTCATGCATGGATTTTCTGGAGTCCTCCAATTGGATATATATTTCAATGAAACAATCCTTAGCTGGAAATGTATAGTTTTCAAACAGAAGAGGATTGGTTAACTTCTGGTACCAAATCTGTCCAATGATAAGCTTGTGTGTGGTAATATGCAAACCTTTTTCTACTGTTGTCTAGTTAGTAAGTGGCTGATGTCATTTCATATTCCTGTAATAAGACCATGACCTTTGACCTTGAACCAAAGATTATGTGGAGGATGAGGATAATAGTAAGAAAGGAGAGTAGTACCAAGGCTGAAAATTCATCAGTTCTGAGATATGATTTTTTTTCACAGTCATCAGATAGCTATTGGAACGACCCCTGGTGGAGGTCAAGTGAAGCAATTCTTTGAGATACCTAATGACTCCAAACACTACACTGTCAGTGGTCTTGATCTTCAGGGTCAAACACAGGTATGTACATGTGGTATACCAGTATCTAGGATACAGTTTGTTTTTTTAAAATGAACTTGTGTTTTATCATGATTTTGTTGCTTTATAAAATACTTTTGAAACCAAACTTTGCCATTTCTTATACATCAACATGTAAAGGCTGTCATGCATATATTTCTAAAGTGACATACTCATTTGATGTAGAACATTAAGCTAAAAGAAATATGAAAAATTATAGATATATCCAGCACTTTCTGTTAAGAATAATTTCTTTGTTGATTCATAGTCACAATTAATAACATGTTTGACCAGTGTCATGGTTTTAGAAATTTAATATTGCACTTCATACAGGAGCTAAATTATATGAAGCATGGAGTGAACATTGATACTAATAAGCAACATATTACACAAAACTGGAAATAGTCGCAGGATGATAGATATTTCTTTCTTACAGCTTTTTGTGTCAGTTAAAGTTATAAATGGAGCAGGATTGACAACAGTAGCAACATCCAATGGAATTTACATGTCCTACCTCAGTCAAGGGTTACCTCCCCTTAGCCCTGTTGCCATCATTGATGCTGTGGAAAACTCCATAGGAGACGTGTATGTTTGAAAAATTCATTTACATTTATTTTTTTATTGAGAAGTAGTATATAAGTTTTCAAGTGATAGTTTGTTAAATGATTGGTCAATGGATAAAAATACCATATTTTGAGTGAAGTTTGGAGCTATAAAGATATTGACAAAATTTTCTTTTATGTTTAACAATGTAAAATGGAGGGGGGATTTTCAGAGGAAAAGGGGAATAAATATTAGTGTATTTTGCATTTTGCTACAAATGTATAAAACTAATAAAAGCGTGATGACAGACCGAACATAGTATTATGCATAATTGTTTTTCTGTGAATGTTGTTTTGTGAAAGTTTGCGTTAGAATGTCAGAATGTCACTTGCTAAAACAGATATGAGTGGATCCAGAGTCTCCAACTCTTCACAGATTTATACCCCTTTGTTCATTGTATGAGTTCGTATGTGTATTAGTTAGTCTGTATTTGTCACATTGTTTACTGTGTTTGTACTGACATGAATTACCTGACAGTTTTAGGGACAGTGTATTGAGGTTGTATGTGCATTGATTAAACTTACATCATTGTGTTTGTACTGACAGGAATTATCAGACAGATTTAGGAACACTGCGAGCAGAGTGGGACGTCAGTGGAGATCCCTGCCCAATACTTAGTTACTACTGGCAGTTAGAACGGATAGATGGAACCATCATCATGCCCTATCTGGACATGCAGAGTCAGTAAATCTACATAACAGTTCCATAATCAATGGCATTCACACTTGTAAAATCTTCCTTTATACTGTGGTTATGTACTAAATGTAATGACACTAACACATCCTCTGTTCCAACCAATGAATTACTTGATCACTAATGAGGTCAGATTATACATAGATCTGACGTTGTTATTTATTTATTGATTAGTTCTGATTGATGAAAATTATGAAATTTATCGAATTATAGGGTAAGTGCAGCTTCCCATCTAGATTTTGACGTTTTTCTTCCGATCATTTTTTATTTCCTCCTACGCTTCAAATTTAAGGTCCTTACCATTACTGATGAGTCTTAGAAGGAAGAAACAGCTCTATGATGCATTTAATTCATTGTTTAGTTTTAATGTATCTAACTTTAAATTTGTATTAAAAAGTGCTATTCACTTGTATTTCTTTTGAACAATCTTAAAAAAAGAAATACATAATTTTGTAAATTGTTTTCAGCTCAGACAGTAGGTGTGAATGACGGCCTACAAATGCAGGACCGAGAAATGTACTTCTCTAAACTGAGGGTCACCAATGCCCTTAACTATACATATGTTATACGGTCTGATGGTGTCACCATACAACAAGATCCTCTACTGCCAGGCAAAGTGTTTGATGGAGACATTACTGGTTTTGACCTTAACTTCCTGCCCTCCAGGACAACCATCTCTGCCAACTGGATGGGTTTTGGTCAGCCTGCTGACTCTCTTGTACAGATAAATGTTGAATCAGGTACGTTTATCCATCCCTTTATTCAAAGTCTTAATGCAATCAAAGCAGAGTGGGAAACATTCATTTACCAAAGGCTTTTCTCATCAAAATATTTGTAATTGCCAAGTGTTGAATTTGCTTGAAAAGTATAATAACCATTATATTTCTGCTATAACTTCAAACTTTCCACACTGTCTTACTTTGCCTTATTGACGAACAGGCAAAATGGGCAGAGCTAAATGCAGCAGAAGTTTTCCTGTATACAGTATTAGAGAAATCTTTTTGATTACTTGGTTTTCAACACAATGCTAGTTGGTTCATAGATTAAGAACTGAGGCAGAACTGAGAATCATGGTTAACTACCTAATAATACAAACATCATGATATATTATAAATATATAACCACTGTAATCCATCACAGGAGTTTTAGCATCAGTCGTCCTAGGACCGAAGAAATCAACTATTTCATGCAGAAAAAAGATTTTCTTGTAAGAAATCAATTATTGCATTAAAGAGTTTTGGGTCTTCTTGGTCTGGGGGTCAAGCAGTTGAATATGCATCAAGGAAATTTAACAATTGGAGCAACCTTTACATGCTGATGCAAATGAAGGAATTTTACCATTTTAAATAAGTTTCCATAACTGGATGACATAAAGTTTAAATAAATAGAATGTTGATGAATGATTTCTGATCAATAGAAAAAAAGAATTGATTTAATGATATATGAAAGTTAAAGGTTTTAACACTTGTCTTCCATAGGTAACCCTGGTCTACAGGTAGGCAATGACCTGGAACAGGATGGTAATCAGCTTATCTCCTTTTATGAAGTTGCCATAGGAACAGACAGAAGATTTCCAAATACCCGAAACAATGTTGTACCATTTACAAATGTTGGTCCAAATACAACTGTGACTTTGTATGACCTTGACCTGACCCCAATAACAGCTGTGTATTATGTCACAGTGAAAGGAACAAGTACTTCCTACTCTGAAGCTACAGTCACATCTAACGGCTTCCGAGTGGGATATGATAGTGCAATTATGCGTAAGTATACAAATGAATTTGTGCAATTATTTGTAAGTATATAAGTAAATTTGTACAATTATTCAGAAGTATATGAATAAATTTTATAAACAATAAGACTCTGTGCAGATAGATTTTCCAAATTAATTCATTGGAATTTCTTTGTGACACAGTGTGATGCTGCATTGTCTGTGAGTTATATCTTTTAAAAGTTTGTTTAGGGAAAAATTTCTTATGTCATCATCCAATATCTATAAAAGATGGAAGAATTTACCACAATCATGTGTAACAGTGGCAGTAAAGATTTTGTTTGTGTAGCTCTTTATTTATTTGACAGCTCTACTTTACGTAAGAATGCAAATCTGTATCTATATTGATAACAAATCTTGTAACTATTTCGCCTGATTATAAACATTTTTATTTCTCAGAACCTGATACCTCTTTTTGTATAACCCTATTTTGCCCTGTTTCAGCGGGAGAAATTGTACTGACAACCTATGTGAGTACATACCAGTACTTGGATGCACAGTGGGAAGAATTCACATCAAACCTGGACATTCTCATGTATTATGTGGCTGTGTCCAACAATTCTGATGCCAACAACACTGACTGTAAACTGTATGTAAGTAAAATAGGCAATTCTGTACCAGTGTAACCAATGACACTGACTGTAAACTGTATGTAAGTAAAACAGCTAATTCTTTACCTGTGTAACCAATGGCACTGACTGTAAACTGTATGTAAGTAAAACAGTTAATTCCTTACCTATGTAACCAGTGACACTGACTGTAAACTGTATGTAAGTAAACTGTTTACCAGTGTTACAATTGATACAGATGTAAACTGTTTCCATTCAAAGACACTGACCACCAACTGTAAAAGAAACAATTGTCCCCCAGTGACACAAACTGTTTTTAAGACACAATAATGCTGGATAAAACAACCTGTTTCTGTATTGAATCTCCTAATGTGAAGTTTCTTTTGTGGCTACTAATTTAAGTGATTTTTAGTGTCACAATGATTTGTAGGGATTAACTCTTGTGACACCAAGTTAACCTCTGCTTTTACATACCAGTCTTATCCTATGAATTCAAAGTAATTATGAAAGTCATCCCTGTTTTAATTCATGGCAGTTAACTTTTGTGCAGAAGTAGATTACACTGGAAAGAATATATTGTTTTACAGTATATATAATGTAGTACACGTCTTTATAAAATTTATTCCCGGTTTTTCGATGACCTACTTTGTATTTATAATGGCTTTGTAGATTGAAGGCGGTAAGGCCACACAGCAAATGAAGCAGCAACTTTTTACCGAATACAATGTGACCAACCTAGGCAAGAACTCCTTCATGAAGATACAGCCCTTAAACTTAACACAGGGAGAATCCTACTTCCTGTATGTCATGGGTAAGTTGTAGTAGTACTAAGGAAGATATAGTGAGGTGTTGCTTGTTCGGTTTATATTGCTTAGCATCCTATCAACAGGCAGTGTCATTTAAGGATGGCTTCCTAGTGTGTGGAAGGTGAGTGGATATGTTGAAAGTGTTTTTGTGAAAATGCAGAACTGAGGCCAGCTTTATATTATACCAGACTGAGACATACTGCTAGAGACCTCCAGCAGGACATCCCACTTGAGCAAATTATACTGACAACAGGCCAACAAGTTGTTACACAGGGGACAGAATCCAAAGCCTTCTCCACAGTGGTGAATGCTCAACTTAAGGCTGAAATGATTTTTATGAGGGCAGTTTCAAATGATGCATATGTAAAAAGGGTCTTTAGAAACAAAAGAAATTACTACAATTCCAACTTTAGTTGTCTCTTATGATCATACAATGGAGGCAGCAGGCACCATTCCTAAATTGTCTTACCTACAGGGCAGGGTATGTTGCTGAGTCCAAGAATTCCATCCTGTATATTATTATACACACTGAGGAAGGTGGAGAACAAATGTAGGAATTGTACATATGTATATGACATCTGTGACAATTTCTCTGTTGTTACATTGCATTTCTTTTATTAGGATTTTTGTTGAAATAATGTTTGTCTTTATGGCTTTGGAAATGTAGATGTTAGAGAGACAAGTTCTGCCATCAAGGTGATGTCTTTATTACACAAGACAATGGAACAAATGTAAATCTGCAACATACTGTTATTGTGTAGCTTCTATAATAATTGAGAAGGGGAATTCATAAAACTGAAAGTGGTTTGTGTTATTCAGATAGGGAGATTAAAAAATTGCCCAAGGAAACTTCATATCTTCATGTTTAAGTGCCTTATTGGATGAAATGATATACCGGTAGTTATTATGATGTACACTGTGCGTATGTTACAGCCATTGACAAGTCTGGACAGTGTACAATGACAATGATTTTGATATACACTGTGTTTATGTTACAGCCACCGACAAGTCTGGACAATGTGCAATGACAATGATTTTGATATACACTGTGTTTATGTTACAGCCACCGACAAGTCTGGACAGTGTACAATGACAATAATTTTGATATACACTGTGTTTGTGTTACAGCCACTGACAAGTCTGGACAGTGTACAATGACAATGATTTTGATGTACACTGTGTTTATGTTACAGCCACTGACAAGTCTGGACAGTGTACAATGACAATGATTTTGATGTACACTGTGTTTATGTTACAGCCACTGACAAGTCTGGACAGTGTACAATGTACAATGACAATGATTTTGATATACACTGTGTTTATGTTACAGCCACTGACAAGTCTGGACAATGTGCAATGACAATGATTTTGATATACACTGTGTTTACAATGCAATAATTTTGATATACACTGTGTTTGTGTTACAGCCACTGACAAGTCTGGACAGTGTACAATGACAATGATTTTGATATACACTGTGTTTGTGTTACAGCCACTGACAAGTCTGGACACTGTGTGTACAATGACAATGATTTTGATATACACTGTGTTTATGTTACAGCCACTGACAATGATTTTGTACACTGTGTTTATGTTACAGCCACTGACAGTGTACAATGACAATGATTTTGTGTTACAATGACAATGATTTTGAATGATTTTGACTGATTTTGTACACTGTGTTTATGTTACAGCCACTGACAAGTCTGGACAGTGTACAATGACAATGATTTTGATATACACTGTGTTTATGTTACAGCCACTGACAAGTCTGGACAGTGTACAATGACAATGATTTTGATATACACTGTGTTTATGTTACAGCCACTGACAAGTCTGGACAGTGTACAATGACAATGATTTTGATATACACTGTGTTTATGTTACAGCCACTGACAAGTCTGGACAGTGTACAATGACAATGATTTTGATGTACACTGTGTTTATGTTACAGCCACTGACAAGTCTGGACAGTGTACAATGACAATGATTTTGATATACACTGTGTTTATGTTACAGCCACTGACAAGTCTGGACAGTGTACAATGACAATGATTTTGATATACACTGTGTTACAGCCATGACAAGTTACAGACAATGATGATTTTGATGTACAATGACAATGATGATGATACACTGTGTTTATGTTACAGCCACTGACAAGTCTGGACAGTGTACAATGACAATGATTTTGATGTACACTGTGTTTATGTTACAGCCACTGACAAGTCTGGACAGTGTACAATGTACACTGTGTTTGACAAGTCTGGACAGTGTACAATGTATGTACACTGTGTTTGTGTTACAGCCACTGACAAGTCTGGACAATGTGCAATGACAATGATTTTGATATACACTGTGTTTATGTTACAGCCACCGACAAGTCTGGACAGTGTACAATGTACAATGACAATGATTTTGATATACACTGTGTTTATGTTACAGCCACTGACAAGTCTGGACAGTGTACAATGATTTTGATATACACTGTGTTTATGTTACAGCCACTGACAAGTCTGGACAGTGTACAATGACAATGATTTTAATATACACTGCGTTTATGTTACAGCCACTGACAAGTCTGGACAGTGTACAATGACAATGATTTTGATATACACTGTGTTTATGTTACAGCCACTGACAAGTCTGGACAATGTGCAATGACGATGAAGGAGTTCACTACTGATACAACCCCTCCCATCATAGGACGCATGAAGGCCGGCATATTCTATGATATGGTGATTTTTCTTTCTTGTCAGAAGTATTTACTACAACCACTTGACACGCTTTATTTCATACACTTGTGTTTAAGTTGATGAAAACTTTGTCGTTTTTCCTAACAATGTAGGATTATCTTTCCTGTGGATAGGACAAATTGGTTGCTATGGCTACTAACATCATTTAATTAATTTTCACACTCTATATTCTAAAATTGTTCAGTCTATCAAAATCTCAAGAGAATTTCCCATTACCAGCTGTATGACTAAGACATTCAATGTTTTTGTCCATAAATTGCTGTACATTTAAAAGTTTGTCATGATAATAACAAAGGGGAAAACAAAGGAAGAAAGGTCTTATCCTTCTTTGTAACTGATGATTCCAATTGTTGCATAGAAAAGTGGTCGATTCACAAGCAAAAGTTTGCAAAGGAAATCCCAGTGTTTAAAGATACTGTTATATATGGAATATGACAGATCTTCAACCTGTTTCCTGATCTTTCATTCTAGCCTGTATCTTACACAACTGATAACAAGTCCATCACAATCCATTGGGAAGGCTTTGAGGATAATGAATCAAACATCACCAGTTACTCTCTATCCTTGTACAAGTATGCTTCCTGTAGCGTCACCGACAACACTGAAATACTCGTCATGGATTGGATTTCACTCTCCAGTAATAATTCTGAATTTACCCTAGTTGACCTGGAGCTAAAGGTGAGTGCCTCACTTAAGGCTTGATAGCTAGTGGTAAATATTTGCAAATTCACAAATATTTACTGAATGTTTGCATTAAGATATAATAAATGATTTACTCAAATGTGAAACACTATAATATAGAAAGTCTTTTAACAAAATGTTACATTTTGCCAGTAATTTTTTTTATTTTTTTTTCGCAAGATGAAAGTATGTTGTATATATATATAAATTAAGTGTGCAAGGTTATCCCCCTTTGTTCACAGAATTTGCCTATGTCAGGGACATAGCTCATGTACCATATCACTAGGAAAAATTTGGTTTCTAAGTATGATACTATTTCTGTACTGTTGATTTACTATGTCTGTACTATATTATTACTGTATTAGCTTTTTTGTGTACTGTTGTACATATTTTTACTCAATTTGGAACCGTGTTGAACTTTCATTTCCAAATTGAGTGTACTTTTTTGTACTTTTTTCCGCACTATTTTCATACTTTATTTTGTTATGGAGTATCACCTATCATATTATAAAAAGTTAATTGTTATACACTTTTGCCATATTTAAGATACTATAGAATTATAACATAATGTATTTCACAGCCGAGTACCCCATACCTGGTCAAGTTGAAGGTTACTAATGGTGCTGGCCTATTTGTCACCGTCACCAGTTCACCTATTTTGTATGACAAATCAGTCCCTGAAGCAGGACGGGTGTCTGATGGATTGGACTTTCAATATGATGGTGTCTGGTTCAATGAAAAGATTTCAATGACAGGTGTGTATCTTGGGCCAGACATTAAAAATCTGGGATGCTTCCTGTTGATTTTAATTTGTGATGTAGACACAATATTAAGAAATCATTCTAACTATACTAATTACTAGTTACTATATTTAAACCTGGGTGATTCCCAAAATGTCTGATTTTCATTGATATGATACATTGTGGAAAATTTCACTAACAGCACAAAGACAACTATAGATGTTTTCATGTCTGGTGGTGTTTAAAAGAGCCTGATGTTGAAAGCATACAATGATTTTAATCTGATAGATGATGGAACGAAATCAGCTGAATTAAATGTATATATTTTTGCAAACTGTTGTGTATGTATATAGAGGAGATATCTCAAAGATGATTTAAATGGAATTGTTTGTTTGGAACTCTCCTGTCACAGAGGAAAAATGTTTCAACAAGAAAAATTGAAAATGGAAGATGAACAAGTTGTGTAAAATGTTAGTGGAATAAATTGAATAATTGTGTCAGGAGTTAAACCCCAACAAAACAAATTGATGATTTTGTAAACTTAATGAAAATTAGTTGAAAACTTAAATCAAGGTACATACCAAGTGTCAACAGATGCATGAACAGATAAATGCCCACAAGAATATGCTGTTAGTGATACTTATCTGAAATTGGGTATAAAACTTCAGTCAGGAATCTCTTGATATACCAACTGTCAACAGATGGATGGACAGACAAATGTCCTCAAGAATATGCTGTTGGAGATGTGAAAAGGTATAGAGTCACCTACAGGACCACACTGATTCTCCAGAGATACACAGGTGTCCTTCCACAGTAAGAACCCCCACCTGCTTCTGTCTGGGTCAACATGAGTGATTATTATAAGCTGAGAGCTTGTTTCACAATTTTTGTGAAATAAATAGTTTTTATTTTTACATCATTTGCATGTCAGTTTATTACACCAAATCTTTTTTATCCTGTTCAGGATCTTTCCTACACCTTGCTAGTCCAACTGCTGAGAATTGTCCACCACGTCCAGTAAACATGGTAAATGCTTCTGGGTGGTTTAAGATGGAACAGAACGGATTCAAGGATCCAACCTGTCTGGAGTGGGATTTAGCCCAGAAGCCAGGTTTTGTTATTAAGGACATATATGATGGCATTGTCACCCTGAAAGTGGCCAGAGATTCCAAGGAAGAAAAGGTCAACGCTGGTATCTACTACCGAAATGCTGATATGGAAAATGGCGGTGACTATCAGGTCAGTTGGAGAAAGAAGATACTGTATTTTATCACAAATAATCCTCCTCCCCATGTGAAAAACGGTAGACCAAACGTTCGTTTAGGGCTCATTTGTGAACATAGCCTAATTGCAGTAAAATACAATTCTAAAAAATAAAATATGTAATTTAAAGTTAGAAAATAAACTGCAGCTACCAGGATTCAGACAAAAACATTTTGTGTAATGTTTTGTGGTATTCATAAATGTTTGCCCCTTAAATGAATTCCTTAATTTAAACAATAAAGGACTCTTTCATATACAAAAGAGAACTGATCATGAACCGTTGTGTTAACACAAAATAACTTCAGCATGAACATATCCACATTGTTTTGACCACAGCCTGATTTTTTACAAGCTTACTTGAAGAAGAGGGTAGAGGTTCTGGAGATGTCATAAGTGATTTGTGATTACAGGATATTATAATTGGTGGTTATAAGAGTAGTATATAACTTGTGGTTTTAGGTGAAACTGAAAGCTGCTGGAGGTGGTGGAAAGGCAGTGACTGAGATCCTGTTCTGGGATGGACCAGTGAATGAAATTGCTACACTAGACTACTATGAGGACCCAGACTGGACCGTGGGACTTTGTTTGTGTTGTCTTATCGATCCTCCTCCTGCTGTAAGATATCTGGCACTTTTATAGTAAATGTGTGGTAACGTCTTCCTGGCATTGTCAGGAGATTATATCTGTATAACCTGTAAGGTTAGGGTAACGTCTACCTGGCATTGTAAGGATAGTATTTCTGTATAACCTGTAAGGTTAGGGTAACGTCTACCTGGCATTGTAAGGATAGTATTTCTGTATAACCTGTAAGGTGAGGGTAACTTGTACCTGGCATTGTAAAAAGACTATTTTATTGTATATTCAGAGCCATTTTTTACCTGACATCATTCCATTAAAACACTATTTTTGTTTATATGTTATCAACAGCAGAGACAACTCACTAAGAAGTAACTGTAGTGAATATATCGTTTCCCGTTTGGGACAAGATGCATGATGCCTCAATATTAATGTTTATTTATAGGACTGTGCCTGCAATTGTCCCTACTACTTACAACAAAATAATCTAACAGCAGCTCCTGCTGCCAGTGTCACTACTACTACTCCTGTCCCCACAACAACAATCACTACCACAACGTCAGCTTATGATGTCATTGATAGCAACACTGTCGTAGACGGTGTTAATGCTATAGATACCAGCTGCCCTCTCACTCAGAAGTCATGTGGTGTACAGATTCATGCTGAAGACCCAGGTATGTAATACCTAGATACAGAGTCACTAGGTGTCCAGTTTTACCCAAAAGGTATAATTGTATGTCTTGGATACAGAGATCATGTGTGGTAGAGATTCACACTAAATTCAAACAAAGGAACAAGATATGTAATAATTTCATTGATATATAAAGATCCTTTGTCATCCAGGTTCACATATAGGACAACAATATGTGCTGGGAAATATATGTGGAGATATATAGAGAATACTTGGTCAGTGTCTTAAAATATAAGCTGTATTTTGGTGAGGGTGAAGAATTAATATTAGTGAAGAAAGACAAAAGCGACAAGCCTCTTTCTTTCTGTCCCGAGCCAATATACAGCTTATGTTTTCAGATACAGATGTTTTTCCTGAAACATTAATTAAAAAATCAGACAATTCAACATTTTGTTGTTCCATTTCTGTTTACCTGACATTGACATGATGCTTTAATTTTGCCTGATGATTACTCCAAAAGAATTGCTCAATGCAGAAACTGCAAACTTCTGTGATTATGAGAGCAATTTTATGAATTTCCATAGATAACCTTGTTATTACAGCATATAAAATTGCTTATTTCAACAGCTATTTTTATTGTTAAATGTAATTTTAAAGTAATTTCAGAAAGTAGTCCTGTCGAATTGACACACATGCTGAAATACAGCTGTTTTCCATCACTGCAGAAAAAATATATATGTGGCAGGTGTATACCAACAATGGCAGTGCCAGTCGCAGGAAAAACAGAGTTTATATTGTGTATAAAATGCTCCTTAACATATCAAGGTTTAAGCTTCTTCTAAACTAGGTGATGTGTAGGAAAAACAATAATGCCTCTTGTCACTGGTATCTGTTATGTTACAGTTTTCAGGCAATATTTACTCTTTGTCTCTCTAGATCAAACATAACACAAAAGTTTGTTTTTAGATGAAGGACTTAATAACCAGCTGGTTATCTGGTGTCGAGATTTCAATGACACAGAAAAACTCAGCAAGACCGCTGTTGATCTAACCTTCAACCCCTCAACCGCCTACCACAAGTATCAAGTGAACTTTGTAGGAATCAAGGAGGAAGCTGTTGACGTAAGGAATATTTAATTAATAAAGAATTTATGGCATCAACTATTTAGTATAAATGTTTGTAAGATATCCTTTACTTGATAAATAAAAACATCAATTTAAAAAAAAAAAATTAATTTTGATTTTGATTTTGAACCATACAGGTAACATAACAATGTATTTTTTTTTTTACCCCAACAGACTCAGTGGTGTATGGAAGTGTTTGTAGATTCTGAATATATGGCCCAGCTGTGTGGAATCACAGAGTTCTCCCTTGACACACTTTTAGTCTTCCATGTGTTCAACAAAAACAACTTCATCCCACCTATTGTCTCAACATTTGAACCATGGTCAGCCAAGGCATACATCCAGGAGCTGATTATGCCTCCAGAGCCTGGTTCTCTTTGTCGTTATGGCATTCCCTTCAGAGGAGCAACAGATCCAATCCTTCAGTATGAAGCGGGTATAGGGACAACTAAACTTGGAACTGAAGCAGAGCCATTCAGAGTGGTAAGGCTTTAATAACATCTGTCTATAGTATATTACCGTTGGTCTTTCCAGGATTGTCCAGCAATAAGCTCGTGTCAGGTTATAATTCCATTCATACCAATTATGTTACACTATTGAGTGGAAAACTTCCATTAACATTCAAAGTATATTACAATGTAAGATAAAGTGTTAAAATAAATAGTGTTAAAACAAATTCCAAACATTGTTTTCGAAATCAGAGTTGTAAAGCTCTTGAATTAAGATATTATTAGCTATGAATTATTTTTTGAAAGGTTCTGTTTTTCACTAATTTTGATGACGGAACGAAATTGAGAAAAATAAATGCCTTGGAAATGAAATCGGTAGGGGAAATTATAGGACTTTTCATGACTTCTATGATAAATATATTTTTAAAACTACTTCAAGCATTTGGTAAAGTTGCAAAAGTTGCAAAAAGTTAATAATAAAAAAAAGGTGTAAGGTCAGTTATATGACATGTTGTGGCTCAAGGCTGGCCATATATTACTTGAGGATTGTATTTATGCTTCAGATCGACACTCCTTGTATCCCATGCTTTGATGATTGTTCCCGGTTCAACTGTAATAGCACCTGTAACCCTGACGACCGTATATTAAAAACTTTCACACTCGCCAATCTCACCCTTGAACCAAAGCTGTATGTGGAAAATGAGACAGGGCATGGTCAATTAGAGGATGTCACATACTATCTCACAGGTAAGAAATAATTCACAGATAAATTATACTGTTATCTTACTTACTATGGCCTTCTTATGAGGTCACATGCTACATTTCTAAAAATAGTTGGAACAGTTTTTACTGAGAAATAACATAATGACAAAGGACATTTAATGTCAGACTTAATGACAAAGTAATTTTGATGTCAGATTTAATGACAAAGTAATATTGATGCCAGATTTAATGACAGAGTAATATTGATGCTAGATTTAATGACAAAGTAATATTGATGCTAGATTTAATGACAGAGTAATATTGATGCTAGATTTAATGACAAAGTAATATTGATGCCAGATTTAATGACAAAGTAATATTGATGCCAGATTTAATGACAAAGTAATATTGATGCCAGATTTAATGACAAAAGTAATATTGATGCCAGATTTAATGACAAAGTAATATTGATGCCAGATTTAATGACAAAGTAATATTGATGCCAGATTTAATGACAGAGTAATATTGATGCTAGATTTAATGACAAAGTAATATTGATGCCAGATTTAATGACAGAGTAATATTGATGCCAGATTTAATGACAAAGTAATATTGATGCTAGATTTAATGACAAAGTAATATTGATGCTAGATTTAATGACAAAGTAATATTGATGCCAGATTTAATGACAAAGTAATATTGATGCCAGATTTAATGACAAAGTAATATTGATGCCAGATTGAATAACAAAGTAATTTAAATGCCAGACTTAATGACATTTATTTAATTTAAGGAGAAAGTGATGTTGGTTTTACATAGCATGTAGGAGCAGGCACTACTAAGAGAACAAATTCAAATGTTTGGACATAAAATAAAGTTTTGTAGTTGACCATTAAAAAACTAACTAATAAGGATTCTTGTAACTGTAGGTCAATGAAAAAAAAAACCTGTCTGATGAAAAATTCATGTGTTTGTACAGTGAGGGCCATGGTTGGTTCTGGAGAAACAGCAGTGGTGTCTTCCAACGGATTCTACATTGATGAAACACCACCAGCTTTTGACACAGATGTATTTATCTACATTGATGTCAATCAGGGTGAATTTACCCCTACTTACTTCCAGTCCTCCAACAGCACTATCAAGGCTATCTGGCTTTGTGAGGACAGCGAAAGTCTCATAAAGGTAAAAAACAAAAAAATTTCCCTGTGTTGTAAAGTTAGAAATAGTCCTTACCTGAATGTGTGAGGCCAATTAAGGTCTCATAAATGTAAAAAAAAATGCTGAATGTGTGTGGACAGGGAAAGTCACATTAAGTAGAAAACTAAAAAATGTCCTCGTGTCATAAAGTTGAAAATAGTTTGTACCAGAATGTGTGAGGACAATGAAGGTCTCATAAATATTTAACAAAAAAGAAAAAAATGCTGAATGTCTTAAAAGTTAAAACTAGTCCTTATCTGGCTGTGCCCGGACAGTGAAAGTTAAAGCTGAGTGTTGTACAGGTAAGCAGGTTAGTGGAGGTCTCCTACAGATGAGTAATTTCTATATATTCGACATGTAATTGAAAGTCCCTACAGATGAATAAGTTTTATACAAGTAAGCAAAAATTTTGTTCAGGTAAATCTTGTACAGATAAGTGAAAATCTCCTACAGGGAAGTAATTTTTATATACTACAGGTGAGGTGAGGCTGCTAAGTCCACTGTAAGAGTATGTTTACAGTAAATACCTGTATATATATAACTTTTTGATTATTGAAATTGTACAGGAATATCAGTGGTCAATTGGTACAACAGTAGGAGGACAGGATCTACAGGACTGGGAATCAGTAGGAGTGAATCCTACTGGGATCAACGCAACATTTGAGGGGCTGCTGGAACATAACACCACTTACTATGTGTCCGTCAAGTGTACTAATGGAGCAGGAAGTGTTGTGACTTATAATGACACTAAAGGTTTGTTTTATTCAGAATACAGTTCAATAAACCCTAAGCCTTCTGTCCATAAGATTCTAAATGTTTTTTTTTTTTTTTATTTTGAAACAATTATAACTTTTCAATATTAGATCAATATTTTGACAATATCACAATGCCACGACATGATCAGATTTACCTACATTGTGACCTTTGACCTTTGACTTGCATCAATGAAAAATTGGTTGTTTGGGCTCTTTGACATACATTTTGAGACCTACATGCAAAACAATGTGTCCAGACTCCTTTTTCCAACAGATTTTGTCACTTTAACTTAATACATGGGGAATGTGTCAATATAGGTGAGGCAGTTTTCAAGGTAATAAAGTAGGTCACATTGACTTTTGACCTATAAAATAAAAACAGATTTTTCAGACCTGATTCCTGCACTGCTTATACTGAAACTTGTGAATTGGGCAGAGGTGCATGTCACTTGGGGGCAGGGGTTTATTGGCATTGAAGGAAAAAAATACTTACCTCACAAACAAGATGAATCTTACTTAATTTATCTAAATTTATACCATATATATTTATGTATTGGGCTTTATCAAACATTTGTTTGTCTAAAATTAGTTCCTGCATTAATTGATCACCTGTTCTGAGAATCTTTACCTTGAGAAGGTGACTGTAATTTGTTGATTTGCCTTGTTGTAGTAGTTACCATAGTGATGCTAAATTGTTATAGTAGTTACCATAGTGATGCTACATTGTTGTATGTGTTGTAGGTACCACAGTGTTGCTGGAGCCACCGGTTATAGATGATGTTAACACAGTCCTGGAAGGAACAGAGCCTTTCCCTCTACCGGTTATACCTGCCGATGCAAAAGTATTAAATGACTCTACCTCACTCACATGTACCTTTTCCATGACAGCTGATGAGAGTGTGGACCGTTATGGTAAGTTATGAGTCACATTACCAATACCACTTAATAAAATTTAAAAGATTGATAAACTCAGTAATGTCTCACATTGTTCAGAACACTAGAAAATAACAGGTGTGCTTGAAAGGGTAATTATTGTTTCTCGCAGACTCTTATTTTTTGATAATGAAATATGATGAATGCAATAAAAAGATACCTGGCAAAAAAATTGATAGAGAGATTCCAGGATTTTCGTGAAGAATACATTTTTCCATTTCAAGTTTTTGTTAGACTGCGAAGTGTTAAACTGTTGAAACAAATAATAACAGGATATTGTGTGTCACTGTATTTGTTTGGTGACATAAAGTGCTGGACAGGGTTTTAATTTAGTATAGATCCTAATAGTTGAGTCTAGAGTAGGAATGACACCATGTATCCAGTGTTTTATTATTCCATTTGGATTGTGTAGATTTCTGTGTGGGAAGCACAGACGAAGAAGATGACATTTTCCCATGCACATACTCAGCCATCAATGTAACTACAAAGGTGGAGGTGAAAAATGGTAACTTTTACATCAATGGCATGCAGATACGGGCTCTTTCCCAGTTACGACCTCCGAAGGTTGGAGAAAGTGCTGCAAATCAGTCAAATCCCTCTAACAGCAAATTTCAACTGGAGCCAATGAGACAAGCAGTTATGTATCTAAGGATCTGTAATAAAGCTGTGCTATGTACCAACAAAACTGTTGCTACCACTGTGGTTGGAAGTGCTGGTATGATGAGTGGTACCTCCTCCAATGGGTCTAGTGTTGTCATTACCTTTACACTGGGATCAGCAAGACGAAGGAAACGAGCCACTAACGACATCAATATCCACACTTCTGGAGGTATTTATATATGAAAAGATTGATTTACAATCTTGTCACCCAAATGGAAACTAGAAAATATATTCCTTCCATATTTAATAAAGCTAAAAAATTTACAAAAAATTTAAAATGTAAACATTCACACATACATTGTACATGATACTGAATTAACAACAGGAAACATTTCATTCATCACTCTTTAATTCTGTGATAGAATGGATTATATAATGTTTAATTACTATGTTGCCAGGGTTACAAGCAGGCCAGACTATTGTTGTGTCACCCTTGGATGATGCGGCGTTACAGAAGGAGTATCGGTCAGACGCTTCCCTTTCCTATGTACCTTACATAGTCGACCCAGCAACAACCAATGACCTTACGGAACGATTGCTACGGAAACGGTACTTTCTACCTCATTAAGTGGCTTATCTTGATAAGCAATTCTCACTGAAAAGCAAAAAAAACTTAAGATGTTGACTGGTTGACTTAATTAGTTTCAGAGTTTGATACATAATGGAAAGTCAGTTTTTATGGAAAGGAACTTGTTTTACATTCAAAGGAAATTAGAAGGAATATAAGACTGAGAAAATAAACTCAACATTTCATCTAAAATTTCTTTTCGTTGATTAGTATATAACACTCTAGCATTGCATGTTTCCTGATTTATTTCATTGATGTTTTATATGGTTTATCATCAATTATCTCAGGCTTTATAAATATAAGTAAACATGGCACTTCAGTTTTCTTTTGTCCTTGTTCTTCTACCATCCCCAGTTTCGCTGACTTTGATTCAAGACAAACTAGTAATTCTTTGGGGCCAGTTTTATATGTCATTTCTACAGAAAAATGAACAGAAATATGAAAAATACTGAATGTAATACAGATGAGTAAATTCTCCTGTTGAAGAAATTATCCAAGAACCAATGCCCTATGAAGCTGTGGTTTGTGTGCTGGATTTCAGGTGAATACCTAGTGGTATGCAGGGCTCTCTTCAATCAAGTAATCTAAATAAAAAGGGAGAGATAAGGAGCAACTCCTGGAGCCAGGTTTCCAAACAGTATAATATACTCTCTTTTACAGCTGGTTATGACATTTGACCTTCGAATACTAAAACAATGTATGTTACTGGTTTTTTTTATCCTGTAGGTTCCTCGGATATTCTGATAGCTTTGCGATAGGATCCCTTGGCCACATTGAGTTACCAGGACCTCTACTGGTGACTTACCCAGACACTGTTGGAAACGTTACAAGTGGCAACAGGACCATGTTGCTGCACTGGAACAAATGTAAGTAGGACTGGGTGATCATATGTGTAACTACTTCTGAATTCATAGCAACACAAGCAAGAGATTTTATTCTTCTGACTCTGCAAAGAAAACATGTTGCTTTTATAATGAAGTGGGAGTCTAAATTTATTATCAAATGCATGAAAAGAAAAGTTTATTCTTCTTTAGAAATTCCTTGACCGATGAATAGTCTAATGCTGTAGCTCATAGATGCACACATATTATTGAAAATGCATTTTAGTATGGACACTTCCTCACAGCTCAAATCTGGGAGGGCAAAAAAAGAAATGTGAAAAAAGTTTTGGTTTTCTTACCATAGTTGAAAGTTATCAGATCAGGTCTCCAGGTAAAAGAATTTTGTATTTAATTTTTTTTTTCGTTTTTGTTAATGAGGCAAACAAATTATATTTTATGCTTGAAATCTGTTATACAATAATATTTTTTTCATTTCATTCTAAACTGTGAAATCTTGATCTAGCTTAGCGGTATTAGAGACGGAGAAGTTTTGTAGATCTTGTTCTAGTTACTGTAATATTCTCGTACACTTACAGTACAAAACCAGTGGGAAATCAGCAGTGAGTCATGCCAGTACGAGATTGACCGCGAAGTATTTAACGGGGATGGCACCGCCACAGTCAAGGTAAATATACCTAATATAAACAAGAATAATAAATACAGAGAGCAGAAATGGGAACAAATACAGATTTTGTTTGACATGCATTCATAATTACAAAACATTTGATTCCTGGCAAGGCATTGTGAAGGAAGTAATATAAATTGTCTTGTAATGACATATTGTGAATGCAATATTGTAAAACCATTAATTTTCAGAGGTTTTGTTTGGTCACCTGAGATGTTTCTGGTAGATCTGGTGTTAACAATACGAGGATCTGAAACTATTTCTGATCTGGTGTTAACAATACGAGGATCTGAAACTATTTCTGATCTGGTGTTAACAATACGAGGATCTGAAACTATTTCTGATCTGGTGTTAACAATACGTGGATCTGAAACTATTTCTGATCTGGTGTTAACAATACGTGGATCTGAAACTATTTCTGATCTGGTGTTAACAATATGAGGATCTGAAACTATTTCTGATCGACCTACTCTTGGTTATATCATGATACTATATATAATAAGAATTATGTGTCAGTCATCTCATGCTTAACATCATCAAAATTAATCGGAAAAATGATAATATTCTGACTATACCACATGACATCGCCCTTCAAAGTACCATTTATTTTCATCAGTAAACTGAATACACTAGGATGATCATTGAATTGCTTTTCAAGGTTTGTGAAACACACAGAGAGGCTGTTGAAAATGCTACCGACTCCATCCCTGATAGCTCCAGTCGTAGGCGTCGACGATCAGTTGTAAATGCAGACTCCTATTTTAGTTCAGAAACACAATTTGTGTTAGCAAATACGGCAGCAGAACCATTCAACTCGCCTCCAGTCCTGGAAAGTGACCCCAACATACTGATGCTGGAGGATGAAGGTAGGTACAAAGTGATGGAGTAGATGTTACAATAAACCTGATTCAGGGTAAACCTGTTATTTATAGGTACTGCTGATCAAGTTCTACTACATTGTTCACAAAGCAAAGATATTAATATTTTGAAATTCTCTGGTCATCAACCCTACATTTTGAAAAAAGTTGGAAAGAATCTTATGTAGAATTAATTCAATATTCTTTATGAAGCTTTGGAAAAGTAACATGAAAAAAAGCCAAAAGGTCATAATAGAAAGTAGCAGTTTAAACATCAATGATTTGATACAAGAGTATAAAAAAAATTATTTTTATTACAGGCATTATTCAGTACCAGTTAATCTCATCTGACCTGGAGAATGACACTGTGGAATTTTTTATTGACATCCCCTCTGGGAATGAGACAATGGGAACAGCACAAATATCTACAAGTGGTTTGTAAGTAAATCTTTTTATCAACAACTTACCAGTTCTCTGTGAAAGCACCTATAAAGAGCCTACTCTGCTGGAATATTGGAACCTGTCCTACAGAAGCACCATGGTTAGATAGAACCTCTTTAAAGAGAATACAGATAAAATTCCACAAAATGTGTACTTGCTATTTCATATAGCTAACCAGAGTTGCAGACTCCCTGGAAAGATTTTGCTGGCTGCAGAGCTCTCATAGTGTACTGTATTAAATCTAGTATTTTTAATGGCTTTGTAAGAATCAGTACTTTCTGTTACACATATGTATATATTTTTCATATTAATCTTTTTTCCAGGTTGTATTACACCCCTTGTTTAGACTGCAATGGCCTAGACTATATTTACATCACATTGGTTGAGGTCCAATCCGACCCAGAAATACCACCTGCAAACACTTCGGTGATCCTGATTGTAAACATCACGAATGTGAATGATCCTCCAGTGATTTTTGTGTCACAGTTTGGTGACAGTGTCCTTAATGAAGATGTCACTGAACCTATTGTTGTAAGTGTTTAATAAGGAAGAAGAGGTTTATTTTCTGTTATTATTTTGTCAGTTGAACATTATTTTTTAAATGATAGTTATATGAAATCAATATTGAAATTTAAAAATTTCCAGTATGTAGATCTTTTAACACAGAAATCTTACCAATTATTTTAGGTATACCTGGAACAGAAGAACAGCTGGAACTCTGAAAAATGGTCAACTACTGACTCCTACCTGTTACTTGGAGCATATGATGTAGAGATGGAAGACCTCAGCGTTTCCTATACAGAACCAGCTGTGGGCACTATACTATCCTCTACACATTATACAGATGTTCCTGAAGTTGGCCTCTGTCCGGCAAGTCCTCAGGACAGAACAGTACGTTTAATTGCTGCATAAAACAGGATAAGTGTACACATATTTCCAGAAATGTTATGATATTATATACAGAATCAAATGGAAGGTATTAATTCTTTTATTGGGATAATGTTTCGTGTCAGACAAGAAATTCCAAAACATAACTTTATATAAAACTTTTTCAACATTTGGTACAAGTGCATTTGTTTATCCGTGTAGAATGCCATGCCACCTTGACTGTTTCAGTTGAGTTACACAAAAGTAACATTAATATTGTTATTGTCTGCTGTACACTACAGAAAGGATGTCAGATATCATGCTTAATATTTGTCAGTATTTGCATTTAGTACAAAATGCAGTTTTCCTGAATACTGACTTCTAACTCAATAACAATTTGAATGGGATGTTAGGTCCCATTTGCCATGAAGATATAAAGGAGTATCTTACACACTCAATCTTTTTAAAAATTATCTGAATAAAGAGAGACGAGAACCAACTCCAGAAGCCAGGTTTCTAAACAGTATCATTCTGATTTCTTCTACAGCTGGTTAGGCAGGCCGTCATCAGTGCATAGCTTGTATGGTATACATGTAGTAAGGATTGATTTTAAAAATCATTTTCATTTTACAGGCGACAATGTTCCCGTGTGGAAACTTTAGCATCGAGATCCCTCATGATCCTGTTAATATGTCCTGGTTGTACTTTACACTTAACTACTCACAGCCGGATGGATTCTCTGGATTAGTTTTCTCCAGGTTTTATTTCAATGACACTGCAAACAAGACATCAGACGTCATCACTGTACAATTTACAATACTGGAATCTCCTTGTCACAATTCTGGCTCATGTCGTCGTAAGTGATTTGCTCTATGACAGCTAAAGTTTTTTTTACTACAATAACATTTCATTTGTTATAGTGATATCTTCATCTTAATGCTGCAGCGATGTTTAAGTCTTAGTACTTTTGAATCATTTGAATCACATTGCTTCAATACCAGTTAAATATCCATGTAGCAGTGACATTATAATCGAAATTTGGTAACAAAGAGAATTACAGAGAGGTTTGAATCCTTTATATCACGAGTTGTTTTAAGCTCAGAATGAAAGAGATTTCTAAATATTGGTCTCATGGAGATGTTTGGTGTCACAGAGATGTTTGAATAATATTTCACAGTAGATGATTGAATTTTGGTATCACAGAGATGTTTGAATCTGACCATGAAAGTCATTTCTAAATCTTGGTCTCACAATGGATGTTTGAATTTTGGTATCACAGAGATGTTTGAATCTGACCATGAAAGTCATTTCTAAATCTTGGTCTCACAATGGATGTTTGAAATTTGGTATCACAGAGATGTTTGAATCTGACCATGAAAGTCATGCCTAAATCTTGGTCTCGCAGTGGATATTTGAAATTTGGTATCACAGAGATGTTTGAATCTGACCATGAAAGTCACGCCTAAATCTTGGTTTTGCAGTAGATGTTTGAATTTAGGTATCACAGAGATGTTTTAATGGTCTAGAAATATATATATAAATGTGATGAATGCTTTAAGAGTATACCCAGTTTCATCGAAATAATTATCATTGAAAGAAAGAATTAATAATTGAATCAGTTTCATTGTTAACTTCATTGTTTTCCTTCATTTTACAGCAAAGAGCAACAGTAGCTATCCGTGCCAGAATGCGTACCGCATCAGTAATTTTGACCAGTATTACGATTGTGAATGTCAGCCAGGGTACACAGGTGTATACTGTGAGATAGACATTGACGAGTGTGTTAGCTCTCCTTGTCCAGCTCCTTTTGTATGCACAGACTTAGTGAACCAGTACGAGTGCCTGTGTGAAGATGGAGATCTCCGCTGTAAATTTGAGGCTTGGATGATAGCTCTGATTGTCTTTGCCTGTATTCTCATCATCATCTTGATTCTTCTATGTCTATACATCAGAAAGGTCAAGAAGAGGTAAGAAATATTTAAGGAAGGCATGGTGAAGATGAAAAAAAGACATTGTGTAGTATAATTTTATGTCCTCTGATTACATTTGCATTTTTTTTTTTAATTAACCCTTACTTTGAGTTGAAGTGAAAAGTACCACTGATATTTATTTTATTATTACAGCAGAAATTTTCTCCTTATTGAAGATAATTGATAGGTTATTAATACATTTTACAGACTTCATTTGGCATAGCTTCTTGTCAGTGTTACCTATGTATGTCATACCTATTCTTTTACGAGTCCAGAAAAGCAAGAAATTATCTCTAATTCATCGTAGCTTTTATGGTATAGATAAAATAGCATCTGGTGACATTTTTAGAAACTGTAATACATGGTGATGGGGTTATTGCCAGAGATGAACTTATTACAAGTATATATACAGTAAATGAATTGATAAGATACATATTGATTCAGATTGTCAGACTGAGAGATTGTCTGTTTATTGGACTTATCATCGTGAACAGTCAGGGTCATTTGTGTGGTGGTTTCCTTGTAGTAGCTGGTGGCTACTTCGTTTAATAACATACTGGAGACCAATTGCATGCCATCCAGAGCAATTGGCATAGACATGTCTTGCCCGAGGACACAACCAAGTCAGTAATAACATGGGCCGTTGGACAGATGGAATCATTATTTTACATAGTAAATCCTCTCTCAAGGTAATACATTCTGTTTCACTTTAATGTGAATCTCATTATTACAGGTTTCTGACAATTACATATATATTATATATTTCAGTGGTCATTTTGCTTGGGTGGAAAAATACATCTTGTGTCGACAGAAACATGACTCCATGGTGTCTTTGAAGAGCGATAGTGACTTGTCTGATGTAAGTACATGGGATACTTGTGGTGACAAGGGTTTTCACTCTCTGTTGTTCCTATGGGTTTTTGTTTTAGAAAAGTTAAATATATTATTTTTAACAATTGAAAGTTATTCATAATCAGTTGTATTCCAGGTAAAGCCTTTAGAATTAAGAAATAGTTTGAAGTCTCTATTCTCTGCCTGGAAATATGAGGAATGATTGCGTGTCTGTTAACAGTCCTTTGGGATAGTAAATGGAAGAATAGTCTTATGTTAATCCTGATAAAATGCATAAATTATTCAGATTCTACTCTTTGACATAGTAAACTGAGCAAAGATGACATTTTAGCTGTTTTCAGTTTTTTTGGTATTTTAACAATATGCAAATTTTCAATTTTCGTCCTTTAAGAGAGTTTCTGCCCTTTTGTCTTCAAGTCGTTTTGCACCTCTGACTGATGTAGAGGTCAATTTTCTAGCTAGACTTGGTAAAGACATGTTAAGTTCACATTCAGATGAACTGAGAAAGAAGTCCTGACCTGGCAAAGTGAGCAACAAAGACAACTGTTTTCAGCCATTTGATTTTTTCAGCCCGGTGTAGAATTTCAACATATGGAAATATTAAATTTTGCAAATAACAAAAAAATTAAAAAAATAAAATTCAGCCCTTTTGCCACAAAGCCAATTTTAATTTCTGATGGAGGAATAAGGAAATGTTCTATTTTTAGTAAACAGAGGAATATACAGTAGTAAGTACATACTTAACATGATCAGGAATAATTGAAAGTTGTTTTCCTTGATCTGCCGTAAACTGAGGAACTTTTTTCAAGTCAGTCTGGTGAACTATGAAGTTTGTCGTAAGCTTAGTCTAGTGAATTGAACTGATTTATGATTAACTTTAATTTTCAGGAATTTATTTTGGAAAAACATGCCCCCTTTGTGGTGAGAAATGTACTTAATGTGTATATGTATCTGTAGAGGGTATAACATATAAATTGTTTGTTATGAATTAGCATGTTTGACAAGTAACTGTCGTAATTGTTTATAACCATGTAATAAAAACAATGCTACTTTTAGTTGTAGGTTTTAGATAAACAGAATGAACAATTTGTCACACTCCAACTCATTTTTATATCTTATGTTATATAAATCTTGTAAGTATTGAATTTAATGAGATGGGCTCTTTGACAAGCAGTTGTTTTCTAAAGAATTTCTGTTTAATTTAACATTGTAGTTCATATTGTGGCTTTATAGTAGGCCCTTTAATGTGATGATCTCAGGGAAGTGTTTTATAAATGTTACATTGACAATTCTACTAGTACATATACAACTCGTCTTAGAAATTGGTTACAGTAGTCTTCATACATCTATTAGTGAAAACAAAGAAACAAAAGGCCAATAGATTTATGTTATTTACAGTTCATATATATTGTGTATCGTTGTCTCTTTTATGTCTTAGGTATTTAACCCCAATTTTCTTTTCTGTTTATATGTAGTATGTGAATGTATCTGATGAACAAAATTTTAACATGTTGTAATAGAGACAATTTCATAACCAGTGTATGTTTTTAAAATCAGATTAGTTTTTATAATAGATTAAAATGTATGCTTGATAAGATATATATTTGTTTTCTCTAATCCAGGATTAATGATCATTTGTTTAGCTGTGTGCAAAGTTGGTTTATTAATCATGTCTAGAATGGGTTTGTAGTGAGTCAGGTAGAGTGGAAATAAAGAGATATAATTGCAAGGAAAGATAACTTAAAGCAGATCAAGCAGACCTGGAAAATGTTGAGGAGGTAACATAAAACAGGGCAGTAAGAGGAGGTAACACACAAAACAGGAAAGAAAGGGGATATAACTGAATACAGAGTTGTAAGGGGAGGTAGCACACAAAACAGGAAAGAAAAGGGCGATAACTTTAAACAGGGCTGTAAGGAGAGGTAACACACAAAACAGGAAAGAAAGGGGATATAACTGAATACAGAGTTGTAAGGGGAGGTAGCACACAAAACAGGAAAGAAAAGGGCGATAACTTTAAACAGGGCTGTAAGGAGAGGTAACACACAAAACAGGAAAGAAAGGGGATATAACTGAATACAGAGTTGTAAGGGGAGGTAGCACACAAAACAGGAAAGAAAAGGGCGATAACTTTTAAACAGGGCTGTAAGGAGAGGTAAGACACAAAACAGGAAAGAAAGGGGATATAACTGAATACAGAGTTGTATGAGGAGGTAACACACAAAAACAGGAAAGAATAGGGCAATAACTTTTAACAGGGCTGTAAGGGAAGGTAACACACAAAACAGGAAAGAAAGGGGATATAACTGAATACAGAGTTGTAAGGGGAGGTAGCACACAAAACAGGAAAGAATAGGGCAATAACTTTTAACAGGGCTGTAAGGGAAGGTAACACACAAAACAGGAAAGAAAGGGGATATAACTGAATACAGAGTTGTAAGGGGATGAAGCACACAAAACAGGAAAGAATAGGGCAATAACTTTTAACAGGGCTGTAAGGGAAGGTAACACACAAAACAGGAAAGAAAGGGGATATAACTGAATACATGGTCGTAAGAAGAGGACACTCATTTAATACATCTGTAGTGAAGGTAGCACAGTATCGACTATAAAGGGAGGTAACACTGAACCAGAGAGTAATATGATGAAACACAATACCTGACAGTAAATGAAGGTAACACAACACATGACAGAAAGTCGAAGTCTCACAATACAGGACAGTAAAGGGAGGTAACACTCTACTGGACAGCATAAGGAAGTAAAACAGTACAGGACAGAAAGGTGACAATAGAAGCAGGTTACACAACACAGGGTAGAATGGAAAGTCTCCCAATACAGGACAGTAAAGGGAGGTAACAATACCAGACAATAGAGGAAAGTAAAGAATACCAGGCAGAAAGGGAAAGTCTCACAATACATAAAGGGGGAAGTATTAAAATACTCAACAGTAAGGGGAAGCTCATAACACAGGGCAGAAAGGGGGAGTTTCACAATAGAGAACAGTACAGGGAGGTACCACAATAAAAAGTAGTAAAGGACACAATACAGGACATTAAAGGGAGGTATCATGTTACAGGTCAGTAAGGTGAGGTACCTGAATATAGGACTTTTAATTGAAGGTAAATATTAACAATGTTGTATGGGAAAGTAACACAAAACAGTGTTCGTAACCAAGGTTACATAAGAGATGATACGAAGGGGAGATAATAATATTACTGCAGATTATAGTTGTTAACACCTAACACAATTGATTTAAATATAGAGAGTCAACAGGCATGTGAGTGTTTTGGACAAGTAGCATTTATCACACTTATCATCTCAAACTGGTTTTCTTCTGGTTGACTTTTTAAAAAAAGCTGAAGAATCAGATACAGTTGTTTATAATCAGACATTTTTCAATCATTGTATTTAATTCTCTGTAATTTCATGCTTGTAAATATTTTATGTTTTTCAATGTTCATTGGAGCACCTGTCTGAAAGTATTTATCAAGAATGAACAACTCATTTGCTTTAAGCATCCTAATCAATTTCATGTCATATGTTTGAAAGGCTTTTTTCATGGCTTCTGCACAAATATCAATTAAAATTGTTATTCAGTATTGAAAGGAAAGTCATTTTGCAATAGATACTTTTACCTTTCAACTTTGAATTACATTATTTTGATAACATTCAGCCAGATTTTGAACTTACTGATGTTGTAGTCATTGGGTGAATCAGATGATGACTTTGACGAGTATGATCCTTATGGTTTGAACCAATTAGTGAAAAATCCATTTGGAGGAGACCTGGGACCTGAAGTATTCCCAGATCATACTTTCCAGTCGGTATGACTGAGTGATGGTGTTATTTTGTGGTGATCTGGATTAAAATTAACCATTAGGGAATGTTTGTTTTGTCACAGAGTTGCTTGGTTACTTGGATTGTGTTTAATGACTGATTGGCAGTGATATTGTGTACTATGATCAACAATATTGTGTACTATGGTCAACAATTTTGTGTACTATGATCAACAATATTGTGTACTATGGTCAACAATATTGTGTAATATGGTCAACAATATTGTGTACTATGATCAACAATATTGTGTACTATGGTCAACAATTTTGTGTATTATGATCAACAATTTTGTGTACCATGGTCAACAATATTGTGTACCATTATGTGTGATGTGTTTTGAGTTTACTGTATGGTAATTTATACCACTTTACTGTACTATTTAGTTTTTTTGTTGGCACATATTTGCCAAGGAAGATTTTACTAATTATTGAAGATATTGGTGTTGTGAATTTGATCAACCAATATTGAAGTATTGATACAACTAAACACTACAAATATTGTCACCTAATCAAGGCTGAACAATGATTCATAACTATGTGTTTGTAAGTGTCAATTATAATGTGATCCCTCTATCAAAGAAAAATTGCATACCATTAAGTCTCTAGTTTAATTCTGTATATCTAGCAGTATGGGTATTAAACTGGAGATATTTGAAATTTTAAAATGATGTTAACAAATGCGATAGAATTTAAATAACTTAACCAACAATGCCCAGTTTATAATTTCAAACTCCAATATTTTAACACTGTTGGGACTATGATTATGTCCAAAATTTTTGTGCAGCATTGGGACAATGATACTGCCCCCCCATCCCCCACCCCAAATTTTTGTACAACGCTGGAACAATGATACTGCCCCCAAATTTTTTCTACAACGCTGGAACAATGATACTGCCCCCAAATTTTTGTATGCTGTTGGAACAATGATGCTGCTCAAAATTTTATATACAATGTTTGAACATTGATACTGCCCCGCATTTCTGTATGATGTTGGAATTGTTTGTATGCTACTGGAACAATTGATACAGTCCGCAAATAGCTAGTTTCTTGACAGTAATTTGTTTTCATCTCTAACATCTCATAATCAGTGTATTGTGCACATATAAAAAAAGTAAATAAATAACATATTATTTGAAATCCATGTGAAGGTTCATATTTACAAGTTTAGCTTTGATCGAGTTATCTTCAGTTTTCAAAAGATTTTATTCCTGCACATATTTCTTTCAGATTTTTAATTGCCTGGTAAACAGTTTCTATCAAAATTTCATAGAATTCTTTTTATGAAACATATTTGTTTTTCAATAAGTAATTCCTGTTCTTCGTAGTTAGTTTTGATATTGACATATAGTTTATAATCATAAAATCTTAAGTGATATTAGCCTGTTTTCTTGACATTACAGGATGCTTCAGGGGCACCTGTTTTTGAGAAAGGTGAGTAAAATATCTTTCAAAGAATTTTAGTAATTAGATATTTGCACACATGGTGTAATAGAACACTTGAATGACAAGAAGATCTCTGTAATGTGCCTTTTGATATTAGTTATATGTGAAGTTGTTAATGGTTGTAAATTTGATACTGATTCTACCATGAATCCACTGTCATTTTTGTATGATTAATACTACCTATTAGTTGGGTTACATTAATGTGATATGTAGATTTCTTAAGATTAAGAATTGCTAGGAAATAAATGGTAGACAGTTGTTTACAAACCTTCAGGTAATAACTTTTCTTTCATCCTTTTGCACTGTGTAAAATTGAAACTGGTTCTATCATTTACAGTCCTTGAAGAAGGAGATGGAGCAAACGAGGTATGTATTACTTTATTTTTCATTAATGCAATATTCAATAGTGTATTCAATGCTTAGTTGTATATCGTTATTCTCGACCTCTGTATAGCTACCTTTGTTCCTTTGCTTCCTTTCCCCATTACATAATTATCACTGATCACAGGCCTTCTACAACATTGTAAAATTATATATACATATATATGTATTGACATTATACTATATAATTTTTGCTTTGCTTTTTTCTTTTTTTTTTTTTGCGGGTTCAAAATTTTTGCTAGTTTATCAAAAGTTGAAAGAAAAAGGATAACATTTTATGGAATGGACCATAACCGCTAAATATGTCTTATTTTCAAAACTAATTTATTCTTTGATTTTGTTTTCCAAATTGTGAAAAATTAGAACACCTTTAAAAGTTCAACCTTTACAGAATTCTAATCTTATATGTATTAAATTCAAATAACCTTTGATCAGTTTGTGTCTTTTCTTCCTTCCTTGACTTTGTTCTTGCTTGTATTAGTTTTGTGAATCGTACTATAAATTATAGCTCCTTTGAAACAGTAGTGGTTTAGGTTAGAGAAGGACATCTGCCAAGATTGTATATCATTTGCAGTGATGATGTAGGAAAAACATTTTAAAAAATCACATTTATCACATCAATAACTCAGAGAATGTGCAGTAAGTGGGAAATTAATGGTAGAAAAAATCTCCTTCAAAAAAATAGAGGGGGAAAAAAATCTCATTTGTTCACTAAAAATGTGTGTGATATATTGTCCCAATGACTGCTCTAACTTTACAGAAACCATTACCTATTGTATATGAGGATGAAAAACAGGTAATTAAGTATAGATAGTTGTAGCTATTAATTCAGTAGAAGGTTGGTGTAATGTTACATCTGAAATGTTCAAATTTGTGTTGTGTTTCAAATAATGTGGTATCAATGAAGGAATGTTGTTCGTCATCGTATTGTTATTGTTTATTAACATTGTTGTCATATATATAGACAATTATACAGAGTACAGAACTGTACATGTTTTTCTTTTCAATTAATGTGAGTGTTAGCATTACATTTTTTAAAGCATTTCCACTTCAGTTACGTATCATTCACACAGATATATGTTAACAACTTAAAATATTGGAAATCTTAAATCACCAATTTTGTAACGTTATATACTACAACGTATTCCATGACTCACTATATATATAATTTGTGTTGTTTACCTCGACTGTTATAACTTCACAGTTACCTGCTGTTTGTGATGATGAGAAACAGGTAATTAGTTATTAGATAAATGTTGCAGTATTAATAGGTAGATGTTTGGTGTAATTTTAGATCTAATGTATACATTGGTGTATTATAAGTTAAAATTAAAGTTAAACTTGATTTTGATATTAGTTTGTTTGTAAGATATCCAAAAATTCCGTGACATTCTGGATTTGATTACAGAAATGATCGACTTTGGATACCAAACTCATATACAACATGTAGCATGCCATAAAACATATAGGACTATATTATAATTATTTGTAATCGTTGTCATCATATAATTATGTGACTAGGTGTGATCACATTCTCTTTTAACGTCACAGAAACGGCCAACAGGATCAAGTATTAAATTCAAATATGATATTGAACATGTACTTAAACATTGAAAAAAAATATTATTGATAACACTTGACTTAAACTTTACAGAAATAGTCAGCTGTGTTCAGTACCAAGCTGTGTTCATTACCAAACTCTAATATGGTGTAGTACATGTTTTTAAACACTGGAAAAAAAATTATTATTGATAACACTTGTCTTAAACTTTACAGAAATTGTCAGCTGTGTTCAGTACCAAGCTGTGTTCAGTACCAAACTCTAATATGATATAGTACATGTTTTTAAACACTGGAAAAAAATTATTATTGATAACACTTGTCTTAAACTTTACAGAAATTGTCAGCTGTGTTCAGTACCAAACTCAAACATAATATTTAGCTTACAGTCAAACTTCTATGAATCAGTTCCTTGATGTATGGAAAAATATATTCCTATACATTACTACTAACTTACCTGTTATGAATCAAATTTTTATAAATCAAACTGTTCGATGTATCAAAGTTTTTAACGGATCGTAATCTATGATAACATAGTCATTGACACCTCATAATTTGAACAAACATTTACCTGCAATGTACAGGTATTTTCGCCCCGATCTGTGTTACAAGGTTAAATAATGACTAGACACAGATTAAAATTTAATTGCTTTTTTACAAGCCATGACGTTTAATCAAAGATAATGGAACGTCATGTGATGTTCTCTGCCGGCGTTCTGGTAATGGTATTTAGTTAGGTCTAATTTACGCAATTTTGAAAACATTCGGAGAATATCCGATCACTTTTATGATGATTGATACCATTGATCTTATACTTTGATGTTGTATTTGTATGATTACATTGACAGTTTTGAACATCAAATGTACCATCTTAAACCACCAAAGTGAACTTTACCTTTTTGTATTACAATTTTCTGATTGTTTGGCAATATCCCTTCACAGAAACAATATCCCATTATTTGTGACGATGAAAAACATGTTGTAACTAATCAGAAGTAACATGTAGTAGTTTGTAGCAGTTGGGCATTAGAAGATAAATGGAATGAAAAATGTGTGTAATAACAATATTTTAGAAGGATTATGATACTTGTATGTTGTAAAGGAGGTCTTGTTCTGATGTACTAGAACCTTAACACATACCCATGTGGATGTTTGATATGTCTCATTTTCAGAAAATTTAACATATGTAACAAGACTTGTCTAGATGATTGATATGGTGATATTTAATCTCTGATGTATAGTTAACAAAGATGGTAGGGAATTCAAAAGGCTTAATTTATCATGAAAATGTACATTATGGAATTCAACAGGTGTAATTTATCATGAAAATGTACATTATGGAATTCAACAGGTGTAATTTATCATCAAAATATCTGTGTATGGATGTGTTATTGTATCAAAAAAAAGTAAGCAATATTATGCATAATTTACATGCTGTTAAGGAAATCTTATTGACAAAATAATTGCAACGATGAATAAATAATATGAATATATATTATCTGAGCATCCAAACAAGTGTTTGCTCACTATGCAATGTTCCATTTACATGTCTGATTTCTTAAAGTTCATTTAAGATTCATTGTTATGATGGAAGTATATTTTTAGTCATATTGAAATATTTCATAATATAAGATAAATATATGTACAACACCATTCAGTAATAATGAGATCCTTTGTAGAATATTTAAATGACAGAGTAATGTTACAAAAACCCTTGAAATCACGTCTTCAATGTTTCCAAACATTATTATAACTTAATATGAAGATCTTTTGTATTGTTCTCTGATTCTCCTCCGACATTTTCAGTAGTCTCCATGTAATTTTTTCTTTAGTTCATGTTCTGTCCCAGTTTTTTTAATTTGCGTTTGAATTGAAATTCTGTTGACAGATTTGTACTTTCTTTTTATAATTTTATCACACCGCATGTGAAAAGTGATCTTAAAACAATTTAGAGCCAATCAAAGATCCTTTGATACACCCATAAAACAATTTAGAGCCAATCATAGATCCTTTGATACACCCATAAAACAATTTAGAGCCAATCATAGATCCTTTGATACACCCATAAAACAATTTAGAGCCAATCATAGATCCTTTGATACACCCATAAAACAATTTAGAGCCAATCATAGATCCTTTGATACACCCATAAAACAATTTAGAGCCAATCATAGATCCTTTGATACACCCATAAAACAATTTAGAGCCAATCATAGATCCTTTGATACACCCATAAAACAATTTAGAGCCAATCAAAGATCCTTTGATACACCCATAAAACAATTTAGAGCCAATCAAAGATCATTTGATACCCCCAATGGTCAATACAGCCTACATCTAATGTCCTTGAAAACAGAGTATCAAGTGCTACCCTCTAGTCTAATTTCCCTATTTATCAGAAACATATATTCATATTCTAAAATTTCATATTTGAATCTACATATCCATAAGTCACTCATAAATATTCATCAACTAATTTGCATATTCATGCCTAAATAAATGATATCCATTAGCAGTATGCATGGTTCTGATATTGTTCATATATAAACTTTAGCCACCAGTCGAGGCAGTCTTTGAGGACCCTCCGAAATATACGGTGAGTTTGGGTGTTGTTGCAAACGTTTTGGTGTTGTAATGCTTACCATCTTTGTGAAGTTAATCGACCATATTGATGTCACAGACTTTCAATTGTATGTGACCATATTTGTTGTAATACACCACAGACTGCAAGTTATTGAATGTATTGTTATTATTATTCATTATCAACATATTACTGTTTTGCTTAATGCTGTGGATTTTAACTAGTTTTACCATATTTGGTATCAAGAATTTTTGTCTGTGCACAAACTTAACTGTGTGTTTTGATAAATAGTACCGTCTTTGAAGTAAGTCTTTATTTGTTGTCATTGGTTATGGAATGGTATCTGTATAAATTTGTCATATTTAATATTTAACCTGATACTACTGAATTTGTTGTTATGAGAAATCCCGATTTGATTTGTGAGAGAATACATTATAACACAATTTGGATACTGTTTACAATGTACAATGTATCAAAAGAGAATTGGGATAATGTGTGCTTCTTAATGTTAATTGATGTTTGTTGCCTTTTTACATCATTCCTGAAGTTTACATACTGATGGAGATAGTCTTTGTTTTGTATTTTTTGTCACGGATCTGTTCATCAGCGATAATATTGAAGTCTGTATCTTTTAAACGTCATTTTATGTTTAAATTAACATATTAAAAGTAAGCGGTATACCAATTTCTTCTCCTATGATAGCCAAGTTATCCGTCAAAACAACTTGAGCAGGTGCCGGTAAGACATTCACAAACATATATTTCCTTCAATATTTTTATTATTGTTTTACAGCATATTCGTTACGTTTCATGTAAATGTTGTCTCTCAAAGCTCGGAAGTAATCTGATGCTTTATGTATTCGTCATTGAACTTCTCATTTCTACCCAATCTTTTTTCTAAACACCTACATAGCTTAGTCACATTGGCTTGTATAGACAGAATATGACTTATACCAGAAATAATTTACGATGATCAACTATTGTAAAATATCTTGGGCATTGATAAGTTCATTCATGATAATTCATGTTGAGAATCATCTAAGGATGGATATATTTATTGATAGCTATTTATAATTGTTTTTGGAAATTTTATACTCTTAATTTTGATTATAGCCTATTACAAACCCATATTTAAGGGTAAACTACTATAATTAGAAATAATATCTTTGTTTTCCACATGAATACTCACCTGTGCTGATTCTATTTAAGAGTGTTCATGCTTGTACATGGTCACCTAATACCTGTTCTGTTTTTAGAGATATTATGTGAGTGTATCAAAAAAATTGTCCAGTAGAATCCAACATATTGTTTTTTATGGATGAAACAAGTTACCCCTGGTAATATCTTTCAGCCAAGATTAAGTGTCGAATAAATGTTTAATAGACAACATAATCGGCACACATTAATACAAGTGTTCACTATTAGATGTGAAGTTATATAACAACAGTTTGAAGCAAATATGGATCAACGTGATAGATGATACAAGCTGAACTCAAATTACAATACAGAATTATCTGAAAGTTTTATAATTTTGACAACAGCACTTACAATAAACATGTTTTTCTTTTTCTGTCACTCCAGCACAGTATATTTCCTGGAGGAACTTCATTTTTGTCTACATTACTGTCCAAGGGATCTAACATTTTTCTCCTTAATTTTAGTTTCATTCACTATTTATAATTATCACTCATCATTGTGATCTAAGATATGAATGTGTTCTATAACACAAAAGCAATTCGTATATCATTTATTAAAAAATTGCTGAAAATCTTAATCCTCTGAGTGCTTTAAAAAAAGAAAAACAACATGTTATTGTTATTATGAAATTCTCAATCTCATGTCATCATAGTTCTCTAGAAATTGAAGTTCTCCCTTTCCGCCATCTTTATAAAACATACTGGTAGACTATTTTTATACTTGATCAAATGTATGATCCTTTCCGCACAATGTTGTGACTTGTCAAATTATTTCCATGAGTCATTACTATTCCTTTTTATATGAAATCTCTTATTTTCAAGAATATATTTCAATTAAAAAATAAATCAATATTCACAGGATCCGTTTGAATACATTCCACCGACACATCATCTAGAGCAGTCGGTTGTACCGGTAAGCTCCGCACGAACATGTACTTTTAGACAGTTGTTTTATGGTGATATGTTGTAAACTTATTGTACTATGTTGTACACTGATAGCTATTTTTTCAGCTTATTTGTCATTTCACATATCACTTTTCTCTTTGAAGTACTACTCATTTAACTTTGATTGCTTGCAATGCACTTCAAAGCCTTCATATTTTTTTCTTGGATCAAAATGTAAACGTTATAAGGAATGATATTACTAATAGTCACTGACTTATATTCCATACAGCTTGAATTATATTTCATTTGCTGTTTTAGTAAACAGTATATTGGTTAGTAAAGTTATTTTATATTGTAAAATACTCAACAGGATGCATTTAAGTACATCGAACAAACACCTTATTATCAAGATGTGCGGGTAAGTTCAGCACACACGGGTACTACCAATAGTTATAGTATGAGAAATGTTTGGTTCTTCCTAGTTTATCAAAGTCGAGGAATTAATCTCCGTGAACATTTATGGGAACATTAATTTGTTTATGTGTTTAAAAATGTATTTTCGCAATATTTTCTTTCAAGGTTATTTTGAAGAAAACTTTTTTATGTACTCGTAATGAAAGAAATGTTATGTCATATTCACAAATGTTTCATACTATTCATCTGATATCCTCTTCAGTTGATGTTGTTCGTGTATCTTTTGAAAGATTTTTTCGGTTTTCATAACACTTAGCTTGTAAATTTTCCACCCATAATGCATTCCTTGCTCTATTTCGATATTTTGACAACTATTATGTTCGTATTTTCGAGATTGTTAATTGTAACTGTATAACTGGGTTCTAGATTCAAAAGAATATGAAGGAATTAATAGATATTTAGGAAATGCTTGATAATCTTAATAATCATAACTTTTGCTTAAGTCCATACCCATTTACAGTTCATAAAAGCCAGGAGGTAAATTTTTTGAATAGTTTTTTAAAAAAACTGGTTTATCCATAATAGATGGACGTAAATATTTATTACGGCATGGATAGTTGTTAGAATGCAGTTTGACATTTCCCTACAATAATTCTATTTCCAAAATAACACTGCAGGAAACAATTGATTATCGTGTTCCACGCGTTGAAATATGTTAAAAGACGTAAGTATGATAACACTTCCTGTAGAAAATGTCTGGATATACAGGCAGACACTAGTTGCACATGTATTTAGTATTACAAACGGATAAAAAAAATCAGACAATCATCAAGGATGGTATTTATACAGAATGTATTGAAACACAAGATTTCGTTTACATGGCACACTTTGTATTCTATAGTGGTAAACATAATCAGTATTTAATCAGTATCACAGTTCCAAGAGGTCTGGAGCACATTTTTGTGAACAGCACCAAATTTCACTATGATGAGAATTCAAGTTTTGTATTTCTCTAAAATGTCTATTTCAGTATTGAATTGTCGATGCAGTCTTCCTGGGGGATCTACATGAGTTTCTCCTTTCTATGACAAGAGAAGTTGTGGTTAATACCACAAGAAGTAGTTGTAGGGGATATAAATGATGCAATGTTTCACAAATATTCTCAACGAGAGGTTGATATTATTAGCTCATCTCTACATTTCTGTTTAAATTTTATGTTCGATTTTCCATCTGAATGAAGAGGAAATGTTTTTGCAATTTTAGAGATAATGAAAAAAAAATCATCCACCATACCATAAATGCAACTTAAATGACATTGTAGGTAGACAATTTTCAATCTTCATAAACATTATAAACCTATGACTATATACTGATAAAGTTTGTCCAATAATGCATTGATTGTCTAATCCCTTTGAGATACATGTATTGTAAAAGAGGGCAAAATTAACAAGGGTTTCCCACTGACATTTGGGATACTGTCCACATGAAATACTTTCTAACATTGAATTAAACAAATATAATCCAATTATGATCTTCAAAATATTTTTTTAAATGAGATCATAATACCTAGCTGCTCAACTTAATGTCAGCAAGAACCCATCTGCGACTTTCAATGACAACCAAATGTGACTAAGATTATCACTCCGATATTTTCTTCAATAGTATGACTATGACCGAGAGGAACAGTTAGCCTACCTGCTGTCTGAGGTTGGTCCTGAAATGAAGTTTTCATGCATGTTTCGAGTGTCGTTTGATGTCTTTATGAAATTATCTTGTTTTGAATTTCCGACTTGACTTGTTCTTAAGCGCATGTCAATTGAAGAGACGAACACAATCTAGATTTCATTTGAATTTTGTTGATGCATCATTTTATTGCAGTTTGTAACCTGTAGTGTAGGTTGGTAACTTGTTGATTCATATTTATAGTGAAAATTTCAGAGACTAACTTTAGTAATATCATTAACACTAGGAACTTAGATCATTTTCCTGTCATCAGGTGTTTCTGCCTCTTTTTTCAGATGTTATCACACTAGTCTTTTTTTCAGGATAAATTTGAAATCATTGAAAAGTATGTTAAAATATGATAAACAAAATGAAAAAAACATCTTTCCAGCTGAAACCCAGAAGGACGAAAAACTCTTTACCTAATTTACTCCTCTATGAAGGAATGGGTAGATACCGCCATCTTAAAAGAACTTCACCTCCGCACCAAATGTCGCAGTTTTGTAAGAAAGATACAATTATTTATGGGAAGGAATATGTATATGGTGGCATGTGCATGCTAGCTTTTGTTTGTATTGCCGTACAAACATGAATGCAATCGCACATATCATCAGGTTCCATTATACAAGAGTAATGCAATAATATATCTAATTTGGTTTTCAATGTTGAATGCAATTAAGTAATTATGTAAATTTTACACATAGCTTATCCAATATATGTAGTTTGGTGAATATTTCAACAGTTTATATGCAGAAATTCAGCATTTATAATACGATGTATTATGATATGGTTAATATACAAACCCACAAAGTTGGGATTGTTTTAAAGACGGTTTTAAAGAAACAGAAATCTATTATCAAATTTATGGATATACCTGCAAGATGGTGTTGTCATGAATATAATTCTTCACACAATCATGTACTCAGAGACCAAGAACTAATTTTCCAAAATAAAGAACTGACTAGGAAAAGTATTATGAAAGAAAACATTTAGATATACAATATAAGTACACACAATGCCGATGCAAATGCAGAATATCGATCCAAAGTTCAGAATATTTCGAAGAGATGACATTATATGGTACTTGCCAGATGCGCACGCTCCAAAACCAAGCCACTAGGGAAATTCAATTCTAATTGATTTTCAATTGATTTTTTGTCGGGTGAAATAAATTGTTGTCAGGTCCCGTTCCGTAGTGCTGCATGCAAATTTACTTTGAGCTTGATATACATGCTGTGGTTAATGTGATCAAATTAAAAAATGTCACTTCATTTATTGTTTTATTCTGTTACAGAATGGTATATCAATGACGCATGTTATGTGTATATTACAGTTTGTGTGTGTTTAGATTGGTATTTCATTTGATGAAGGGAAAATAGAGTGGAAAAATATTTCTATTCTTTTGAAAATTCATAAGTATTTATCTTTAAAAAACCCCAGAAATATCTTTTAGTTTCAGCATTATGTAAGTATAATTTATCTCTTTAGGGGAAAAGTGGGGAAAAATTACTACTACATTGACATTACGTTGAGCTCTATGCCAGCTAATGAAGTGTTTGTTTTTATGCAAAACATTCTTTTAACTTAAACCTATTTTTTATTTTGTTACTTTTTTAACAGAACTCAGCACCGCCTTTGAGAGAACGTATACACCCGACCCATGACTACCAAACCTTGCCACGATACACACGCTCAAACTTCAAACCACTTCCAATTCTGAAAGACACCAAGACTTCATCAATGGCTATGGGAGGGTCTGGCTATCAAATCAAACCTGGGGGCAAGGTAGTCAAACCACCCCCTCCATATTCCATGGATGACTTCATGCAGAAAATGAAAGCAAATGCAAAGAAAAAGAAGAAAAAGGTAACGAAGAAACGCAGACAGATGAAAGCACGAACAGCACCTCTAGACGATAATGTTGACGTCTATATGGGACATGCACGACAAACACCACTTCCAAGTAAAATTCACACGCCTATAGATTTTGAGATGTCCCGTATACCATCAGAATCACCGCCTCCGTACGCTTCTCCACAGCCTAAGGGATCTAACTCCGGTAGCAGCCGTGGTCCAGGCGATAGTGAATCCATCGAAAATGTGAGTCAGAGCAGTCAATCACCACCAACGGCCATCTCTTTCTTAGCTGCCAAACCGCTTCAAGATTTCCCTCCTGTGGTACGTCCTAAGGAAGCCTTTATGAAGTCACCAACAGTCACTCCATCAGTGCCGTCTTCTTCCCAACGAGTTGCTTCTTTCAGCAGTCAGCGTCAAACAACGTCTCCAACATCACAGACTCAACCAAGAATAAAATCGAGTCGTGCTCCTTCTCCTTTCCTATACATGCGGGACAAGCCAGAGCGAGAGCCTATTGATATTGACGTGGATACAGATAGCACGTACGGAATCGAGGAAATCGACAACCCAGCGTTTGATGGTGATGGTGGTGGCATTTCACCAAGTCAGCCGTTCCTTGAGCAAGGCAAACGAAATTCCCCTGAATCTGAGGCTTAGTTGGTCAAAACCATGTGAAGTGATAAGAGAGAGACTTCAAAATATATTCTTCAAATAATTTAAATTCTTATATTTCCCTTTCCTTGTTTCTATTTTCGAATGATGATCAGCAATTCAAACAGAACAGTATTTATGATTTTTCAGATGTATTTTGGTATCAATTTGTATATATGATTTTATTTTATTTATCCCTCGCTTACATCAAAGAGTTTTCAAAAGATTTCTGTCTTATCAGACCAATGCTCTTTTGCTCTATACTTTAAAGATCAGATTTTGTGTATTAGTCATGGAAATCAAAGCATATGAAAAAAACTCAAATTTTGCAAACAGCCTTCTTTATTTGCATAGTACCGGATAAGTGTTGGATTTGTGTAAATCTTTAAGACTTGGACAGATATAGAAATATTAATTTGTGGTAAAATATATTTATTCATGTTGATACTCTTAAAAATAGACAGAATGCTTTCTTTTGTATTATGAACTGCTCTGTGATCAAATTTCATTTACATTGCCAAATTATATACGCTGTTTGTATACAAAATCCGTCCGTAATTCATGGTCAGTGATAAGTTCAATGATTTTTCAGTTGTATGGTTTCTTTATCAACATGGTTATATAAAAAAAAAATGTTTGAATATTTTCTCTGACTGAATGTAATTTCGTTTGAAGAAAATTTGTTTTTTATAAAACAGAATGTAATAATACATTTCTCTCTAAAGGTTTTATATTATAATGCTTTACTGTGATATTTTATTCTGTGATATATTGAATCATCAAAATGATTTTTGTTTCCACTTGTTTAACTCATCTATTTTTGCATATATAATAGCTATTAGACGAATGCAGAATACTATAAACGTACGTAATATAATGAAATCAAACTTTAGTCCTTTATCATTGGTTGGTTATTTAACGCGTTGATGAATAAGCGTTTCAGTAATAATTGCTGTTTACGAACAATTCACAGTAACAGCAAGTTATGTAATCATATTTTATTGCAATACTTTCAGCAAAAAAGCGCCTGAATAATGATTGATAGAATATGTGTACAGTTAATTGTGTAAAGTGCTTAAACTACTTTTTAATCGTTATCATCAAGTAAGAATGTAATTCTTTGAAGTTTTTAATATTTTCATTAAAAATAGAAAACTGGTACATACTAATTATATTCCCTGTTTTTGTTAATTTCTCCGAAGTTTTTGAAGTGTTTATTTTGGTAAAGTTTGGTATCTGTTTCTAGATAAAATTCATTTAGGACTTTATTGTAGCTTAACTAGTGCTCACTTAGACAGCATTCGGATGGAAATCTCAATTTTACAGATATGTTCGTAAACATGAATTTTGATTTTAAATGATGACTGTTCATGAACAATTGTTTAAAAATAAAATATGAGTTTCCGAAAAATGATGATCGCTGTCTCAAGTGCATTGGTAGAAGCAACAGCCAGTTAATTGTCTTCAGTCAATGAAATAAAAACAGTGAAATTTGTGTGTAAAAAGAAACAAAACTTTTAATAAACAGATTCAGAATTTTACATTGATTTCATTCATGTTGATTTGTTCATTGTTACCTTTACTTTTTATGTATTGCATAGCCATAATGGGATTGACTTGGTGAAAACAATGATTTACAAACTCCCAAAGTTTTTCCTCATTATTAATTAATGCATGCTATGTGTTTTGGTACACGCTTTCAACTACTGATATCCAGACAATAAGAGAATCATTGAGGGATGGGGAGGGGAAAACATAAAGATGAATTAATAAGGAATTGTCTACATACTACAATCCTACTGGGATATGAAAGTAATATTATTTTAACTTGTCAAGTTCCATCAGCTGGATTTTGCTAAAACAGGCCTGAAATGATCCTGAGGTGGTCCTGATCAATGCAAGTGTTGCTATTTTTGGGGTCGGTTCAGAATTCAATATGGCCACCATCTTATCAACTTATTCTAAATTTCTAAAGTACACCGTTTTCATTCCATTTTTTATGGAACTAAATTTTTCAGCCTCTTTAGAACAATACCCATTTTAAAATTGAGCTGAAGCTTGCCTGAAATCTTATTTTTTGATAATCTGTAATCCATTATAGCTGCCATTTGTATAAATGTATCAACTCAATTCCACTGGTGGCACTGAGCTGAAAGTTAGTGGTACTGTTTGCTTTCACTGCTAATATTTCCAAATAATTCCAAAGTGTTTTAATCATTTAGTAACTGTTTCTACTACTGCTGCAACGTCTGTTATATCATATTTAGGTCTTTATAGTCAGATAACCATTACGGCACTTGTGCCTTTTGTTTTATGAATACAGATGTTGGCCTCACCCACTCCTGGGCGGAGGGGCAGAGCCCCCAATAGGAGAGTGTTTGAATATTCTTTGAAAAACCTTCTGTATCAATTAAAGGAGTTTGCCCGAATTTGGTATGGAGCATCCTCGGACGAAGAGGGTTCAATTTTGTATAACCCATGGATCTGATCTTATGCCGATCTATGGAGAATGTAGACTACTGTAACAGGCATCGAAAGAAATTATTTGATCATGATCGTAATACATATGTTTCCATCTCTTTTCGTCTCAAATAGGTGGCTGTTTAACATCAACATTGTTTTTGTATAACCAACAAATACGAATTACCACATGCCCTTGAGGACAAGATTCCATCTGATTTTTATACTTTTATTCAGCTATATAGTATAGCCAAGCCAATTTACAAACATCAGTTCTATTATTAATTGGCCACAACGAATTTGCTTTTCATTAGCCGAACAGTTTGAAATATTTGAGAATATTTTAAAATCGGAAAGAAATAAGCCAAACCCAAACAAAGCAATGGAATTCCGGTCCCAGCAGAAATTCAAAGTGAACGGTATACAACCCTTTATAATGATGGAGTCCGTGATAGTTAGTTCCAGATTTCCCCAGCGTCCTATATTTAGACAGTCATTATTTTTATATTGGCAGGGGAGCTTTCCACCAATTTCGTTTATCGAAACTGGCCTTAGGAAACAGATTTTTGATGCTGACAATAATTTTACAAGTCTTTAGAAAAAGTTTGAAACGGTACAAAACAACCCAGACAACTTTTACAGAATATCTCTTTAAAAAGTTTCCTGAAAGAAAGCGTCTTCTGCTTCATCGATTACACCTGCCGACTAAATCTTGGCCAATCGATGCCACGTTCTAAAATAAGAACAATGTCAACAAGAACGGGACCACGAAACATACAACAAGAAGCATGCACACCTCCATGGCACCCAAGCTAATGGCATATTTAGATCGTTGCGAGGACCATAAATTCATCGGATTTGGTCCGGAACATTATTGGTTGATGGCTCTACAATTTCAGTATTAGTTATCCAATATGTTTCCCATCAGATACACCATGGTTTTCTTCTTTCTGGACGACAAGAACCATTTGAGTTTTTCAAAGTTTGAAATATAATGTTTCTTGTACAGTGATTTACATTGAAAACGCAACTAACATAATTGGAAGGTGTCAGCTTCGTGAAAAAAGGCAGGTCCCTGACTTAGAAAGCCGAACGATTGATGTGGGATAAAAAGACCAAAACTATAAAATACATCTTAAACGACGTTTTGCTGTACAACGTATACAAGGGGTACATTGATTTGGTCAAGAAGTACAAATCGGAGAATGAACATCAATTCTATATGCGTCTTCTTGAAGACTAGAAACAGTTTAGTAAGCAACGTATTGGTATTAATTAACTGTCAACTTTGATGAAATACATGCATGCCGAAGCAGCGTTGGAAGGGTACTATACAAATAATTCCGGAAAACATACGCGTGCGACGGGTTTGTATCAGACTGGTTTTGAGGAACAAGATAAGAGTAAATGTTACAATGTTCTTGAATTCAGATCTGGATTGAAACGTGGCAAAACGAATCGTGCCACCACGAAACTCAGGCGGCATCGTCGGAGAAAACTGTGTATGATAAGTTGTTTTCATTTTTCAGTAAAAAAAGGAAGGGAAGTTTTCGTTTCATAAACATTTTTTGATAATTGTCATATAGTTTTTTCTATTGTGTACTTTCTTTCATTAAAGATTGACAGAAAAAAAAGGAAATGTTTTTTTATGATTCCAATATTTCCTTTGAAGTTACCGTGGTCAGGGACGTAGATCACAAAAAGTGGGTTCATTTCCATTCGAGACAGATAAACAAAGACATAGGAAAGATTTCGAACAAATCTTTAATGCATAAAAAATCTATTTTCAAAAAAACAAGAGAGATTTTGTTAAATTGATATTCGTCGTTTTGACGTTAGTTAATACATTCAAACAGTTCTGCAAAAAAAGGTACAATCCGTTACTTACGCGAGAACAGAGATCAGCACATGAACACTGTATAGCCCTACATTGAATAAAAGTTCACATACTTGTCGACGGCCTGTGACAATGTTATATCATCGAGATCGCCGAAAACATGTTTCTAAAGTCTTTCCATACGTTGTCCAGCTCCAACATCTCTGACACTCGTAATGTATCCTTCGGACTAGTATGACATATATCCGATACATTACTCCTGCCCATTATGTATCTATTACAAACCCGTACTTTTTGTTGTGCCCGCTAAAATAGAGGAAAGACTGCATGAGCTGTCAAGTTTGACAGTCCCACGTACACGTCTGTAGGGGCGGAGCTAACAAGAATGTTGGTTTGCTACAAATATTCCACGGTAACTTCAAAGGAAAAATTGGGGCCGTGCACCTGACTATGGTACAATGTACAAATAGTAAGTCACAATATTTGTCCTGTCTGACTGAAGACAGATAAAGTCAAAACACAAGAAGATCATGGACACGACAAATTCTTCATCAGCCACTTAACTCTATCTTTTCCTACAACGAAACCAACATGGCTAGCTTTTAACGATGCGTGATTATTTCGATATCCCTATCGTAATTTATTCCATTTCTGGATAACATTATTCCTCCAACCCCAACCTGTGGTGTTTACATGTCGCACTGGAATCGATATTCAAGGGTCTGTTCCCATTTT